GGGCGTTGTGGTCTTTGTTGACCGCTTCAGCAAGATGGTATATCTTGCTGCGGTACCCGCTGAAGTGACTGCGAAGCAGACGGCGCGTATGTTCGTTGACATGGTGTTCAAACACCATGGCATGCCGATCGACATTGTGTCGGATCGGGACCCGCGCTTCACTGCACACCTTTGGCAAGAAGTGTTTACACTTCTTGGGAGTCAACTTTCTTTCGATGTCGACTGCGGACCATCCGCAGACGGACGGGCAGACCGAGCGCGTGAACCGCGTGCTCGTAGACGTGCTTAAGAGCTACGCTCACTCGTTCCAACACTGGAGCGAGTGCCTGCCGATGGCGGAGTTCGCCATCAACAACTCGGTGCATGCCTCGACCGGGCATACACCGTTCTACGTGAATGCCATCAGGCACCCACGCCTCCCGAGTGTACTGGGATGGTGGCTCCTTCCTTAAGTGGGGGAGAATCTACGACTGCAACACAGCAGCCGCAGAATACCGCTGACACTTGCACAGTGTCAGCCGCGACTACGCGCAAGAAGAACAAGAAACACGCGTCTGTGCAGGGCACAGACGCCGACAAGACCAAGAAGAAGAAGAAGAAGAAGAAGAAGAAGAACGGGTCTGTGCAGGGCACAGGCACCGCGAAGACGAACGCAGAGGCCGGGCCTACTGCTGGAAACGAGCTGAACGAGTTCAGCTCGGACGCAATCAACTTCTTGCAGCGCAGACAAGCCGTCATTCGGTTTGTCCAAGACGCTATTGCAGCTTCTGTTGATCGACAGAAGCTGAACGCAGACAACGTTGGCAGGGACAACACAAATGAATTCAAGAAGGGTTCATTGGTTTTGTTAGCTACTCAAAACCTGCCTAAACATGCTGTTTCCGACTTCGGGGCGAGCAAGCTCGCTCCGCTCTTCATTGGGCCGCTCACTGTGCTGACACGGCACGGCAACGCCTACACACTGGACATACCGTCTAGTATGCGCCTTCTACGTCGGACGGCTGAAGCCATACCTGCAGTACGAGCTACCTAGCTCGGCTGAACCGAAGCAGAAGACTCGGCGGAAGCCGTCATCCTCGCCAGCGCGAAGTCGCGCTGGAGTAGCGGGTCGAGCTAATGGTCTAGCTCGGCCGGAACGATCGAGGCGGCCTGGGAGGCCGCCGCAACCTGAGGATACTTCAGAGCGCCGAAACCAGCGCTCTGGAACTACTCCACGACCGGAACTCGGTCGTGGGGAGACGCGAGATCAGGGTCAACACCAAGTTGACCACACACGAGGCGTGTTTCCACCACCACCGCCGCCAATTCGTGACGCACACGGCTCAACTCGATGGATAGTTGAGCGGATTGTTGGTCACAGTATCCCGAGAACGAACAGGCAACCGGTTCGTTTTCGTATCCGTTGGAAAGGATTCCCTCCCAACCAAGATACATGGGAGCCGCGGAACGTCTTGCTCGAAGACGTCCCGGACATGGTGAGGGCGTACGAAGCCCACCATGCGCTACACGCTGGAAAGTAATACGAGCGCTGTTGTTAACAACAGCGCCCGAAGACACTTCAAGGGCAGGCTGTGGGTGCTGCCCACGCGGCAGCGACGCGCTTCGCACGTTGTCGCGCATGCTACTCAGCAGCACAGAGGTTCTCCGCTGCTACCCCAGCGGTCTTCAACTTCGACGCGCTCGTTCCATTACGAGCCCGCTCTCTTCAACATCACGCATTGACCAAGCGGTCAATGGTGGTTGACGGGGGGATGGTGTAACGGGTTACACGCACAAGTGGCTACAGTCACTTGTTACTCTAACAGATGCGATGTCTGTTAGAGGTTTGAACACTTCCTCGACCTTGGTGTAAGGTACACCAATGGCTACATACATTTACGACCACCACGACGGGTGGTCCATACACATTTAGGATTCCTATTGGCTGAAAGCAGCATCTTTTAGCCAATGAGTGGCTTGCATGTTAGCAGAATCCTGCCAACCAGCCGTTGGCAGATTCCTAGTTTAGAATATTACATTTAGAGGAAGTCAGAAATATAAAACAAAAATAGCAGTTCTCATCTTTTACCAAAACCCGCTACTTGGAGTCTTTATCTTGTTTAAAGTATACTCGTGGATCTCGAGTATATTTAACTCAAGTAAAAGAAACCCACGCTTCCTCATACACGTGCGCATACGTGTAAGCCGTAGTAGTGAGCCAAGGTAGGCCCACTACAACACTCATGGGGCATGTAGAGCACCTCCGCCTACACGATACCCGCACCGGTCTGTGCGTCAACTGTAGTAACCGCGACGAACGGTGTCTGCCGCACCACCACGTCACTTTCCGTGTCCTCGATCACCAAATAGCACAGCTTGCAAAGCGCAGCATGTCGTGCTGCACGTGGTGCGAGGCAGAGTTGACCCGTCGACGTTATAAGCTACTTCCTGGTCGACTGCTACTTGGGCTGCTTCTGACGCACGTTGCCCACCTGCTGTTCGTGCTGCCATGACGCATCTTGTCCACCTGCTGACCCCTGCGATGGCGCTGCTGCATCTTCTAGGCCTCACTCATGCATGGGTCATGAGTCATGCCCCCTCGCTACTCTGCTGGTGGGGCTTGCGCTCGTTTGCGTTGGAGCTCCTCATGGCGAGGATCTTGCTCGCCTTCCTCCGACGCACTCCGTTGCGGTATTGCCGGGGGCAGCGACCCAGGGTGCTTCAACGGCTCGGTCCGTGGAGGTTGTGACTCGGGCATCACCGAGGCGTTAGGTAGGCTTGTCTTCCCAGCATCATGGCTGAGGTTTCAAAGTGAGACTTTTTGCGTCGTCACAGCGTGGCAATTGTGGTCCAATCACAAGTTCAAAGAAAAAGTACAGTCTGATCAAATCCAAGACCTGTTCTGCATAAGACCCATTTAAAAATATTCCCTCGTTTCCTCACTTTGCTATTTACCAAAAGAGCAATACACTACGGCTAAACTTCCCGGAGCTTCGCCAGCCCCCCCCAGTGTGTCTTCTACCTGCAGACACTACACCATCAGGTCTCTTGCGGATCAGAAGGATGCGTATACTCCGCAGGTCGACGACATTCTTGACGCTTTTCTCCTGGATATGAGTGCGCTCGATCACTGCAATAACTACGCATGGGGCATCGTGGCATCTCCTGAACCGACAACGAGGAAAGTGACCGCCGGTTCAAGCAACTCCAGTTCAAGGACAAAGAGCACGAAGAAGCGATCGAATCCGTCGTGGCTCAAGCGCAAGCGGGAGTTGGAAGCTTTACGAGCGGAGGCTGAAGCGCTTGAGAGTCGCAAAGAATTTTACTTTCGAAGCGAGTACGCCGGAGATATCGCTGCCAGATGCGAGGCGAGAAGAAGAAGAGAAGCTGAAGTATGAGGCTGCGATGGACGAGAACAGGAACTTGAAGGAGCAGTTGCGGACTCTCAATCCAGGGCTGTGGAAAATATGATTGCGATTGTAATATTGTTAAGATTGTCAATCACAATAATTGATTGTTCCGTGATGTCAATCGACGATCCCGTTCCCATATTGTCCCTCTACTGATTTTGAGCCTCTGCCAATGATCCGGTAGAGCAATATGCAACTCCAAGCCCATGGAACCGATCCTAGACTCATCAAAGCCTTTCTGTGTCTTCTGCTACTTCAAAATGCGGAAATGAGGGGTCATTGGGTGCCCGAACGGGGTACACGCTCAACATGATGAATACAAGACCCAACATTGCTTTTTGCCAATGCTTTTGAAGGTTAACACGTATGCAATCGAATAAGCACAGATCTTAGGGCGATAGCGCCGCCAAACGAGTAAAAATATGAACGTAGCAGAGGAAATACAAGCGAAAACTTAGATTGCAATCTTTTGTTTTTGGGATTGTCAAGATTGCAATAATTGATTGTTTCAGATCTGAGTCGCCAATCAATAAACAATCACTTGTGTCGAGCATTCGTAGGACAGTTTGACGACAAATCAAATTTAGCCATGTGAATGGCTAATATTATGCGTGGTGTTGTCCGTGTATGCCCTTGGCCGGACCGTCTGCGTCGCCGTCGTGGCATGCACCAGCAACGGATAGCCGTGCTGACGAGCAGAATCGGCAGCATGAACGTGTATTTGTTTTGTTTTCGATTTCGTAGTAATGTGAAGTGCATCACAGTTATTTGGCCTAACTAGCGACCTACTAAATGCCAGGTCCTTCAAATGAAAGTGTGTATTATAGATATTTTATGAGGTCCGAGGAGCTCTTCCATGAAGCCGCGTAGTCGGCGTAAGTAGGGAGATGCCCTTCGGAGGACACGACGCGGTTGGTACACGGAGAACTGAATTGTGCTTGAGCGTACATTGAATAGCAAACGACTAGAATGTACGCTCGAGCACTCTCTAGAAACTTGTCAACAAAGCCGAAACGGAAACACTACGAAGATTCAAGCTTAACAGACAGCAATAGACTGGCGCGGTTATAAGCGCTCTAGAATCGCTGCCTCTTATCCTACGTAACTAACCACGTTATTGAAGGAAGGCTTGCCCGCATCATGATACGTACATTGCAACCTGACCGTACGAAAACTCCTACAATATTTCCCTCCTGACACTATTCCTTACCATCCAGGCACTGAAAAGCTCTGGACGTGGCATTTTAAGAGCAACAGATCAGAACAGCCTTAGCGCTAAGGCTTCACGCAAGGCCTGGCGCGGCCGCCGTGGCTGCAGCCAGAATATCATCCTGTTGTCGACGGACCTACGCGCCATGCAACTGCGTCGTCTTGGCGAACAAAGGTGCCACCAACACAGCCTGCATCCGCACCGCTGTCGTGGTTGAGTGGACCCGAGCATGCACATGCAGCTCTGCACGTCAAGTAGAGCTTTTGACCAATAATATGTTTTTTGTTTTGGCATTGAGATACATTGTTGTCACTTAACTTCGTGGCTAACGACATCGATGACCTTGACGGAGGTAGTCTCTAACCGATCTCCCTGCTTTATTACCCCTAGTGGCTACACACTCAGGGCTGCCCCCAACCGTTAAGGTGTGAAGGCCCCGAACCCGAAGCGTTCTCATCGCTGATGTGCTCCAGCCAGTGACGTGGGGCACTGGCTGCGTAGGCATGAAGATCTTCCCAGATCGAGTCGGAGCCGATGTCTCGAGTGGGTTTACATTGCATGCTACGCCGTGTATTCATCGCCAGGTTGGCGAGCGCATCGGCCATCTTGTTGAAATCGCGTATGTGATGCTGCCAGCTGATCACCGAGAGTTGATCCGCAACCCGCCGACTTTGCCAGTATAGCTGAGTGAGGTGTTTAGCCTTTGGTGGTCGCCGCTTCTGCTGTTGATGGATGATAATTTTGCTATCCCCAACCACGTGGAGTGGTCTCCAATTGTGGCGATGACAGGCCTTTAACCCCATAAGCAGCCCCATGTTCTCTGCAATGTTGTTCGTTGTGGAAGGTGCCGCGTATGACATGCTGATAACCCAGCAGATTTCGACCCGAACCACTGCCGCTCCACTCCCTCCAGGCCCGGGATTACCACGGGAACCGCCATAAAAAAAGAGGAGATACTTCGAACGTCCAACAACTGGTGCTGACCAATAATATGGCGCAAACTGGTGTCCGACAAACTGTCTTACGTTTTGAGTAGCCCTGCTCTCAATCAGTCGTTGGCTTTGGTTGCTATGCGTACGATCGTTTTCTATGGGGAATGGAGCAGATTATCCACTGCGAGCCACAAACCTGCGGCGGTGGAGTTCAAGTGCACCCACTTGCTTCCGTTCGCAGAGCACGCTATCTCGTCGACCGTCTGGTCTTTTGTGGAGTTTGGAGGCTTTCCTGACGACCACGAGCTGCATGTGCACCAAACTCTCGGAGAACACGTGCGCGATTGATTCGAGGATACTTATGCGTCTCGGAGATGGCAGCCACGTCGTTCTTAATGCTCATCGCTTGATAAAGCGCTTCGTGACGTCAAACGGGATCGTCTTGATGTCGGAGGCCAGCGATGACTGGACAGTCAAAGGCAAGAATTCAAGATCTGGGGTCCAGACGATAGAAGAGCGAGCGTGCTTCGTGATACGGAGGTACTCAACTGGTGAAGGCTCCACAGGCAGCGATGTATCCGAGGTCCAAGCGGAAGTGACTCTCTATCCCGAAGCTGCTCGAAGAAATGGACAGCGCCAGCCATCCGCCGAGAGCAGGAAATTTAATGCCATCGTCATTCCGAAATTCCGCGAAGTGATGGAGTCACGCCGTCAATTCGTCGAGAACGCTCTATTCGATAGCATCCGTGATCGAGACGCTGCTCGCACATGAAGATTGGATAATATCACTTATCCACGGTCTTAGCAATATTCGTGCCGTTGTTCTCGAACAAGTTGGTCCATCGTCTGATTTTCCAGAGCTTGAAGCCGTGCCATGATCATATCCTGGTAGGCCCTTGTCAGAGATCTCGTCGCTTCGCAGCTCTCGCTGAGAGTTAAGCCGTTAATCGTAGGGCTCACCAGGATTCGGCCAGCGGTGACGCTAGTGCCATTGCGCAGTGGCTGGATGTAGCCCCATCCGTACTCCTGGGTCCTCACGTTGTGCAGCTTCCCCACGCGCGGCCAGTCCGCCACCGTATTCCAAACCTGCATGACACGATCGCTCTCCACAAACTCCTTAATCACTACGCGCATCACGCACGCATAGTTACCAACTGCAATCTCGTACTTTTGGATAATAACACGAGAAGCCACGCCAAGCGGAAGTCCCTAGATACACACATAATAACAGTCAGCCACATAGTTCCATTGCGTCCAAACCCGTGTAAAAACTTACCACGTCGTTCATAGGGGTAGCGGACCCCACTGAAGCCCCCAGTCCGGCCTCAATGCCTCTCCAGAAGGCTTTATCTAGCGTGGGACTTCTAATTGGAGACAGAATCCTCGACCGGAACTTGAGCAGCTCGCCACTTTCCCCTCCTGTGTACACCGAAGTCGCTCGACCGATCGAGCTTTCCACCACCTCCGTGTTGAGACCAACCAGTCCATCTCGGCTCATGACTCGGTCCATATCCTTGTACTGCGCATCCACACTGTTGGCCATCAACCTGAACATTGTGTCGTCGCGAGCTCCATCATACTGAAGGTTTCGTGTCAAAACCAATGACCTCGGCAGCGACTGCACCAGCTCCTTCATCTGTTGCAACAGATTCTGTTCCAGCTCTTGAATGTCTTCGACACTTTCTTGCAACATTTTCCTAAGTGTTGCGTTCTCGTTGCGGCTACGCAGAGCCACACGCGCCCGGTTACTGGAATTGGTCAAGTGCTGGTCTAATTGGCCGCCGTTCCCGTACGGCGTACCTCGTTTTACGTTGTATCTGGCCTCGTCCGGCGTTCACAACTAGTGCTCCAGCGCCAAGTTCCTCATATTAGTCTCCACTTAATGCCCGTCCTGCACTAAATCTTGACTGAGAGTCGAGCAGCACGCCGCTGCTCTCCTCTCTCCTACGAAGCCCCCTATACAAACTACCTACGGGAACGGCGCCATTCACCTAAGCTACCTGCTTGGACCTCTCCCCAAGATTTAGTGCAGGACGGGCATTAAGTGGAGACTAATATGAGGAACTTGGCGCTGGCGCACGGGTTGTGAACGCCGGACGAGGCCAGATACAACGTAAAACGAGGTACGCCGTACGGGAACGGCGGGGACGGCCGGACAGTAGAGTGCTAGAGGACCGTAGAGAGAGACTGCGGGGTCCGCGGTGCCTATAGTTGGCGCCTTGGCCGAGGGGTCTGTGTGTGCGAATGTACCGTGCGGGCCAGGTGGCTCGTGCAGGGCGACGCACGGCAGCCCGTTACATATTTCATAGGGAATAGCGGGGAGCAGCCCGGTCACTCCCAGGCCGTGGTCGCTTAGTGCTCCATCCTCATCGTCTCTATCCTGGACCCTCAAGGGGAAAGGGCCAGTCTTAGCTGGTGGAACGCTCAGCCCCGACCCGGCGGTGAGTACCCGTTGCCTAGGTGGCCAGGCCACGAACAGTTCTGAGGATGTGATTCTAAGCTAGTTACCCGAACGAGGCGGGTGCTGGCGATGCTAGTTGCCCGGACGCGGCGGGCTCTAGTTGATGATCTAACCCGGGAGAGGCCCGGAGGTAACTACAACATCCCTGTTTTTATATCGAGGAGCTGCAAGCAGCTTTAAAGTCAACGTTTCCTGCACTACCAAACATTTCTAGTAGAAATTTTCTACTGCTACTATATGCCGTGCTCTGAAATTCGAGCTTGGTTTAACGCGCAAGACCACGACGAAGAGAGCGAAAGAAAACGTCCCCGCCGAAATCGGTGCTTACTATTATGCAAGGAGCTGGCGCCATTCTATCGGGGACCTTATCAGTTTGTTTTCTTGCAGCGACAACCGATTTATTCTTGCAGTGGCAACCGCTCCGTCCTTGCTCTGCGTTGTGCTTGGTACTGGCGGTTGATTAGCTTAACTTTAACTTAGAGTTAGGCTGCGAGATATGATCACCGGGAGGGATTTGCTCGTTGGTTTAGAGCCCTTAATCGCATGCCAAAGTTCGTGCAAAGCACAATAAATACTACATACTATACTATGTAGCCATGTTCCATGAAGCTCCAGCAAGTGTTTTTCTGGATGAAGGGCACTGTGACATGTCAAATGAGAAGCGCTGGCTGATATTTTACCAGAGCGAGTTAATCTTGGGTTAATTTCCACAATGGTCCTCTTGATTAAAAATTTCGCTTCGTTCACCTGCCCCGCGTCCGAGACCGGATGATGTCGAACAAGGCGTTCTCAACGAACTGGTCGCGCGAGATCGCAAGCTCCCGGAAGGACGGGATCACCACTTCGTTTACTGCCTGTGCTCTGAAGGCCACCGGTTGAAGTCGAAGCACAGATCGAAGCTGACAAACACCACTCGAGTCGCCGTAGTCGCGCATGCCAAAGCTGCCTCCTTCTTGCGTCGTGAGGCACCACGCGCTTGTGTCTGGGTGGTCGGCTTTCCAGTTGGAGTCTTTCAGGATGACAACTCCGTCTGACGTAACGAACCGCTTGAGCACACTGGAGCTGTGGATGTCGATGACATTTCCGCTCTCGAGGCTCACTCTCATATGCGCGTTCACAGCGTACACGTCTCTTGATAGCTGCATGGCAACAGCATTTTCGCCGTCAGGAGAGCCTTCCATCTCGGCAATGGACCAGAACGCAGAGAAAATGTCGGCGATGGGGAACGGCATCAGCTGAATCAGCTCGAACTCGACAGAACTCGCTTGGAAAGTCTCGACCATTCCGGAGGCACTATAATAGAAGTCATGGGCTTCTTCATCAGAGCGAACGACTCCTCAAGCTCTCGGAACCGCGCGTCCACCCACGTCTGGAGCAGAGATCTGCTGCAGATCAAAGACTTCAAGACTGCCGAACTGGTCGTCCACAGTCGTCGTGACCGGCACGATCCGATGTGTCGGCACTGCCGACTCGGCAGCCACTCTAAGGTCCTCGCCTGCCTCGCGTAACCCTCCAGCTTCTCCCTAAGCTGGATATTTTCTTCTTGAGCGTCTTCATACCTCTTTTACTCCACCAACGCCCCCGTCCTCACTCTCTGCTGACGCATACTCTCGTCCCTCGAAGCCCCAAGAGTAGCTTGCAGCTTCAGGCCGCGAGTCTCCATCGCCTCCGCTTGCTCCCGCACTCGCTTTTGCGCCTGAACCACGTCGGCCTAAGGCGTCTCTTCCTGGGTAGAGCTGCTGTCGGCTCCTCCGAATATCTCTTGTCCAGAACTGGCGACACTTCTTGAGCGTTGCTCTCGCTCTCGGTTGGCAGGAAGTCGAGGCTTTCCATGCCTCGCAGGGAGCTGTCCAGCATGCCATCGAACTCGCTCGGAGACGTCATCGGGCGTGAGCAAAATCACCAATGATGAGTCACAGCTCTTCTTTGTTCGGTGATATCCAGTTTTACTGGTACATGTAGGGCCTCGTTGCAGTCCCTTTGACCTGTCGATTCACGCGGAATTCCAGAGCAAGTTCTCGACGAATTGTCTCTGGGAGGTTAGAATGTTGCCGTGACCAACTTGTGCGATAAGCTGTGAGGCTCAACCGCTTGACTATGGATAACGACCCGGAGCCTCATGGTGGCGAGCTGCAAAGTAGGCGGACTCTCGAGACTCGTGAGTCCACGAGAGTACGTCTCCACGTTGGGCGTGTTGGCCTCCACCAGTAGGATAACGCCGTCGAGTACCGCACATTGCTTCACAAGGCAGTGGATATCTGCTGTGCAACAGCGTGAAGCGCGACTCGACAGCGTAGGCGTCTCTGGAGAACTGCTTCTCAGGGATACCACTCGCTTCGAAGATGTTCCAGGCCGCGTTGCATGTTGCTACAGCATCGAAAGGCAGCAGTCCAGTACTTTCGTAGATCATCGAGGGAGCTGTGTCGGCATCCCCATCCAACATCTTCACCTGCAGTGGGTCCACTACAGCAGGCATTGCTGCAGCTCCTCGATAGTTCCGTGCACGCCAAGTGTCTTCGCCTCCATTCTCGCCTTAAGATCGGAGTAGGGATCGCCCACCTGTGCTAGTTTTGGTCGGGGGTCTTGCCTTCCAGGGTGACAGCTTGATCCGGGGCTCGCAGCTTTGATGTGAGAGACAACAGCAGTCACAGCCTCGTGCATCGCGTTTAAACGCCGCAGATACGTCCGCAGTTGGCCTTGCAGAGTTTCATTCTCGTCTTGCGCTGTCCGCAGTCGTTCTTGCTCTCTCGTGGCGCTCAACTGCCACCTTGACTGTCCTTGTGGTTGCTGACGTCTCCTCCCTCGCTGGAGCTGGAGGAAAACCACTCGCGTCTCCATCTCCTCTCTCTGGCGTCGAAGATCGACGAGCTCTTGCTTCCGCTTCAGCCACGACCCTTTTGAAGTAGACTTCGCTCTTCGCTTGTCTGGTGCAGCACCTTGCGCGAGAACTAGTATGGACTGCTGGCTGTCGAGCTCCTCAGAAACGCGTCCAAGACGCGTGTGCTGTCATCTGCGCTGATTTGATTCCTGCAGCCATCCTCACAGGGGAAGATAATGCAGATCTGAGGCCATGGCAAGTCCTACCACGCATGATGTTGATGCTGGTGGCCGCATGTACATGAGCTTGGGGTATTGCTTGGTATTTGTAGACCACTGAAAGGCAAGATGACATGACCAGGGTTTGGTAGTAGTCTCCAGAATAGTAGCGTTAGTAGGCATATTATGACTACTACTACTATTACTACCAGCGTTACTAAATAAAAATTGCAATAAAACTATTGATAAAATTGTGGTCAACAACTACAATTAGAAAATTGGCTGCAATGATTTTATTGTATTGTACAAGGCAGCTGACTTGATAAGTGTATGTGCGTGGGTAGCCAATCAAATGGTCCATACAGACCCCTATACAAACCACAAGAATACAATTCAATGCCTACATTGTACAATTAAAATTGTAGCGTGACGGCAAATCTCAATCAATTTTTCAATGTGATTTGACGAAATGCTGATTGCTACTACTATAGCTCTGGGATTGGAGCCATTACAGTAGTAGTACTATTTATATAGTAGCCAAACGAAACATGGATAGTAGTGCTATTATCGCTAGTAATGTACCTATTCCTTACCCTCAAGTATTCTCCTGACTTCTGAGTAAGAGTAACATGCTTCAACTTTCGAGTACATTATTTCTTTTGAAGTTAGTTTGCTGTATAAACTAGAAGCTAGATACATCAACGTAAGGTGCTGGCTGTTGCACTGGCACAAACGAAGTGAATAGCATACTACAAGCAGTCTGGGGTGGTGTTTGTATAGTCTTCGGCTTGATGACGCTTATCTTTCCAATTAACCTCTTCTCGTCAGTACATGTATGCCGATGATCTCCTCCCCATGTATACTTGCGCTGTGCCTTCCTCTTCTTTTTTCTAGGTTGCCATACTGGGCATGGCATCTTTCCAAAGAAACCAGAAGCCATTTGCGAAGTTACTCAGAAGTCATCACTTTACTCTAAATCAAGTACCTCACTCTATCGCTTGTGATCGAGCAATGCGCCGACCGCGATATTCAGGCAAGGTAGAGTGAAATAACGGAGATCGTGTGAAATAGAAGACGCAATATAAAGGTCTGGAGTGTTGAGCAGCTTTGAGAAGGCATTTACGTATGCTGTTGGTTCGCGGAGGATCGCGAAACCTTACTCGTGCTTGAACGCTGCTAGTAGCCAAGCGCGTCTAAACCGGGTCTTTCGTGAGGAATCCTCTTAGGATAACAACGGACAGCGCGCACCTACAGTTGTAGTTCATACTTCGCATTTGGAGGCCAGTAAGCACCATTGCGGTCGGAATTCGGAATGATGGTCAAATAGTCATATTAGTAGTCATATTAGTAGTTATTTTAGTACCACCGATGCCTTACTACTAATAGATATAGCATTCTACTATTACCAGAATTTGGATAGTTGGGGACGAAGTCCCCACATATAATCATCTATCACTCCTCTTTACTCTATTTCTTACCTCGCTTAATCTGAGACATGAACAGTTAGGGTTTACATGTAGAATCACTTCCCCGGGGCCAAAAATTGCGCAAAAAACCTCGGTTGAACAACCCTCTCTTGATCCATAGACACGCTTAACTGCGTAAAAACTGGAGTGACCCCTTTTGAGAAGGGGTCGATGCCATTAAAGTTGGGGGGACACGATTTAGCCTCGACGATAAACGCTAATCAAACAGGCATCGGGAAGCGAATCGCGGGTTTAGATAAATTGCTACACTTTAGATCGCACCGAGCGCAAAAAAAACGCCACTAAGTCCTCGGCTTCACTCTGATTTAGAGCGCCAAGTCAGCGCTTGCATCCATTACTACGAGTGAGTTAGTGCTGGGAAGGGTAGAATTGCTAAAAGAGAGTGCACTTCAACTTGCCTGCATGGATACGTGCTACGCAAAGCTCACCATGTCCAATACTCTGTGAAGCTACACCCTGTAGCCTACAGATAGCTCCTGGCAGTGACGCAGGTGGTCTCCTTATACCTTGGGGGCCCGCACCCCAAACTACGGAACTAGCTCCAAGCCGCAACGACGGGTTCGTTCGCTGCCGTGCTGGTTGCTGGGCCCTCCTACGCGGACATGCTTCACGGGCACCCCGCGCGGGTTTGCTTTGGCTGTGCTCCTCGCAACCACTTGCTGCCGATAGAATAGAGAATCTTGCGATAGTGTAACAATTTTTAAATTGTGTTATTAATACTGGTAAGTGATATGGTACCATATCGCTGCGATTCTAACCCCTGAAAAATACCTTAAAGTTTGTATGGTGCTTCCGGCCAATAGGAGTGTGTCGTCTGCGATTCTTAGCATTATCAACCAATAGACACTACCGTTGCTAAAATTTCGACCAATTAAATCGAGGGAATGACTGCCAACCGCTGATCTGAACATTCCAACGATATCTGTTTGGAAACGCGATTTGATATCGAGTATGCCATACAAATATCAAGTGAACTACAAATAGAATAAATATTCATAGGTTTCCAACCCCTGCCAGCTCATCTCCGACTCCATTCTGCGTTCCGGCGCACACAGGCATGTCGGTGGCATCGCTGGTTCCTGCGAACAGCCAGAGAAGCAGAGCGACGGCTGTGAAGTCCTTCTAAGACTTCCTTGCGAAGAAGGAGGTGACGCTCACAGAAGTGCATGATCGTAATTCTAATGACAGCACAGGTAAGAGTTTGTTTGTCATTCTGGATAAGTATGGGTGGTTCTTAGTGAAAAGAGTAGGAAGGCAAGGAGTAGCTCTGTCCAAGAACACTGTGCTAGCTTATTTTGGCAATGTTAAGAACTGGCTGGCGGATCTGTACCCGCAACAGAGCCAATGTGTAGCTAAGAAGCTGCAAAAGATGCTATCAACTCTAGATCTGTACTGTGAAAAGAGGCCGGAGCAAGGTGTCACGAAACAAGCGCCACCATGTACTAAGAAAGATATAAAGACTATCATCTCGGCTCTCTACATGCACGCTTCCGCCAACTCCGACTACCTGGATGCGGCGCTAGTGGCGTTAATGTGGTAACTTCCAGACCTTACCGCCCTGGACGGAGTCGCCCGAGCGCGCGTGGAGAAGCTGCAGGATCTCCTCTTCGCTGCTGTCACTGGTTTCCCGACAGTGTCTTGGAACTTGGATCCTCAGGTGCTCGAAGTGTTGATGGCGACCTTGATCCTTCACTTCCCCGAGATGGAACGCCATCGCTTCGATAGCCCTTACGTCCGTCGCATTCATGAAGCCCTTGGTGTCCTCAACATACAGGCCTCCGAGCTGTTGGCATGGTCGATCACCCTCCGAGCCGCATTCAATCCACCTGCAGAAGAGAAACAAGAAACAGTAGCCGAGTCCTCTCAAACATGATCCGTGTTCTCGAAAAGCTGTCGCAGCAGCTCGATGAGCTATTGCTCCGCCAAACACGCGTAGAGGAAAGGCTGGCTGTTTTGGGGGCGAACGCAGAATCTATTGACAAGAAAACAAACACTACCGAGAAGCAGCACGAAGACGTTGAGCAGTCGCAGCCACAGCGCGCGCGCAAACGTGCCTCCAAAGCGCTATCGACAGTGTGGTTCGAGTGGTTCACTGCTGTACCACGCATGTACGAATCAACAACAGTTAGCAAAGCCATCCTTCACGAGTCACGACACGCAGTTGCATTCATGATGCTCTGCTTACCTTCTGGGTTCAAGCTGGACCCGGCCTCGCCAGCGTACAAGGCGGAGGTCCACGCTGTTGGAATCGAAGCCGAGAAGAAGACGCTTGAATACTTGGCTGCACCAGGCTCACAGGCTGTAGCCGTTGGCTCGGTCGTCAAAAGCATGCGTGCGCTTCACAAAGCAGGCCACCTTTCCGTCCTCCTTGACCAGTTTCGCGAGCGCTACTATGAAGGCGAAGTCGTCGACCCGACACCCAATTCCGCCCTTGCGCCATTCCTGCGCTTCACCTAAATGCACACGCAGCACACTAAACAGTCAATAAGATATATAATACGTACAACAGGAGTAGCACGCACTCTCGTAGCCGACCAGTCCAAAAAGAAAGCAAAAACACATAATACTTGATGCCCATGTCGTGGTTTGAACCCGATCCTCCAGGCCCGAAGGCCTGGCGCTCAACCTCACGAGCTCCATGGGCGCGGGTAAGTCGCATCCATCAACAGCACCATACTCGTCCAAACCCTCGTCCACTTGAGCCACACGCCACGAGAGCGCACAGGCGCAACCCAATACACGTCCCAGCAGCGCACATAGCCCAGCAGCAAGTGGCCCGGCGTCAGTAGCACACGCAGCCCAGCAGCACACACGGCCCAGCAGCACACACGGCCCAGCGGCCAGCAGCGCCTGTGTACACGCAGAGACAACAGCAGCACAGTCAGCACAGTCAGCACAGGTAGCACAAGCAGCGTTGCACGACTCGCTGCACTAACCTGGAAGCTTCTGGACTGTTGGCCGAGAATCCAATCGGCGGTCGTGAGGTTAAATATCAGCTGAACAAAAAACCTAATACCGTTGCTAGACCGGTTTTGGTTGGAAGCAGTCCAACCCCGTTGGAATTATGACGGTATGGTATAAGTGATATGGTATGTAGCACTAGAGAGGAAGTACGGCGGGCATCGGGAGCCGAGATGCTGTATTGAGAACGCTGGAAAATCAAAACTGAAAATTATAGATTTTAACAACAATTATCCCTTGCTACATGTATTTTGCTTTGGGCTGTCGGCTACCACTAATTGATCTTGAACCGCTGGTGCTGCAGCTCACCCTTGCGGTTAACCGTGATCTAGGGTTTCGCGAGATATAGTCCAGCATCATTACAGTAATTAGTCTGGGCTCAAAATTAGTCTGGGCCAGACTAATTCGTGTCGAGCAAAAATTGACGTCTTCATTATTAGTCTGGCTAAAAATGTTCATAATTAGTCTGACGTGGTGACCACGGTTCTAGTCCACCCCCACCTACTTTAAGGCACCGCTTGCTGAAAAACTCCTTTGACAGCAGCCAATTTACTAGATCTCGTACAATATCTGCAAGATATAATACTTCTCTGTCCCACGAAAGTATGATGATTTCGAAATTGTGCACTATCTTTGCTTCTACTTAAGCATTTTGGCCATATGAAACCTTATGATGAAGCTTAGAGGCAGGCGCTAACGCCAGATTTTTGCTGCCTATTATCTGTGAGAACTGAAGGAGGCACAACGCTTTTCTGCCAGCAATTTTAGTCCTTCGCATGTTTTTTCGTAATTCTATCAAAAATCAGCGATAATTCATCGCAATTTCAGGATGAGTTTCTATTGCCAATGTTAACTTGGTGGACCAATTACAGCTTGTGGAAAAGCCTGATAAGCGAGATATCTCGCTTTAAAACTAACGAGGTTTTTCTAATCATGTGTGCTATCATTGGACAAAAGTCAAATTTTGCCCTAGCCAACGTCAAATGACCGATGATATTCGTTGTGTGGTACACAAAAACCGAACTACCCATACTATCGTGGGACAGAGAAGTAGATACCTGGGTATCCAACCCATATATCAGCCTTCTCCAACCATTAGAGAAGCACCATCTGCGACGATTTAGTCTTGATTTCTCTTCAAAGCCACGATAATATATATATATAGCTACACTATAAAAATACTAAAACAAATACGTATAAACACATCATTTCACAAAAATAATGGTTTTCTTACTGGAAAACGGACATTTTTAGATATTCATAATTAGTCTGAATTCATAATTAGTCTGTCACTGTTGGGGGCATACTAAAAATTGTGAGCGATGAAAAATCTGGTATTCAGATTTAGTCTGGGCCAGACTAATTACTGTAGGTACTGTAGTGCTCTCTTGCTGCTGGTGTGTAATTGCCGTTGATTATCTTGACCTCGCGATAGATAGTAACGTTATTTGCTGATAATGAAGACTTCATCATGCAGCTCCACCAGTGTTGCTAATTGCTTATTGGTTTGATGACCTGCACGGGTTAAACTGAGACTCTAAATTGCAACGGTCGCGAACACACCCTTAGCCCTAAGTTTGCTTCATTACACTACAAAAAATAGTAATGGTGATTGACAATATCAATTAGAGGGTGGGGACGTCGGCCTGAAGTGGAGACTCCACTGCAGGGTGTCGACCCCCGAAGCAACTCAACGGAGCAACGCGACTGAGATGCTCCATTACTAGTAGTAGTATGATTATTAGCCAATATTCCCACTACTACCAAACCCTCAAACTGAAGTGATCCACACACATAAGCTGATTAGAGCCAGTTTGTGTCGGTCTATTTTACCCAATCTCAAATAGTCCGTCACATTTCTGACGGAAAGTGAGACCAAATACTGCACTGCCGTGGACGCGACCATGCCTGCCGCGTACTGCCCCATCCTGGACGCGGAAGCGCTCCTGACCATCGTAGACGACATCTGGGGTGACCAAGAGCTCCCCAGTACCCCCCCTCCAGACACTTGTTTCGGCGGACCAAGCCTCGGACTCGACCCTCTCCACGGACGCCAATGTCCCGGAAGACTGCGCAACTTCGTCCACAGACCAGGAGCAAGAGCCCAAGAAGCCCAAGAAGAAGCGGCGACGGGACCGGAACCGGCCGTGGCACGAGATCGCACGTCTGCAGTCAGAGTCGGAAGCGCTGGAGCGCCAATTAGACCAGCACTTGACCAATTCCAGTAACCGGGCGCGTGTGGCTCTGCGTAGCCGCAACGAGAACGCAACACTTAGGAAAATGTTGCAAGAAAGTGTCGAAGACATTCAAGAGCTGGAACAGAATCTGTTGCAACAGATGAAGGAGCTGGTGCAGTCGCTGCCGAGGTCATTGGTTTTGACACGAAACCTTCAGTATGATGGAGCTCGCGACGACATAATGTTCAGGTTGATGGCCAACAGTGTGGATGCGCAGTACAAGGATATGGACCGAGTCATGAGCCGAGATGGACTGGTTGGTCTCAACACGGAGGTGGTGGAAAGCTCGATCGGTCGAGCGACTTCGGTGTACACAGGAGGGGAAAGTGGCGAGCTGCTCAAGTTCCGGTCGAGGATTCTGTCTCCAATTAGAAGTCCCACGCTAGATAAAGCCTTCTGGAGAGGCATTGAGGCCGGACTGGGGGCTTCAGTGGGGTCCGCTACCCCTATGAACGACGTGGTAAGTTTTTACACGGGTTTGGACGCAATGGAACTATGTGGCTGACTGTTATTATGTGTGTATCTAGGGACTTCCGCTTGGCGTGGCTTCTCGTGTTATTATCCAAAAGTACGAGATTGCAGTTGGTAACTATGCGTGCGTGATGCGCGTAGTGATTAAGGAGTTTGTGGAGAGCGATCGTGTCGTGCAGGTTTGGAATACGGTGGCGGACTGGCCGCGCGTGGGGAAGCTGCACAACGTGAGGACCCAGGAGTACGGATGGGGCTACATCCAGCCACTGCGCAATGGCACTAGCGTCACCGCTGGCCGAATCCTGGTGAGCCCTACGATTAACGGCTTAACTCTCAGCGAGAGCTGCGAAGCGACGAGATCTCTGACAAGGGCCTACCAGGATATGATCATGGCACGGCTTCAAGCTCTGGAAAATCAGACGATGGACCAACTTGTTCGAGAACAACGGCACGGATATTGCTAAGACCGTGGATAAGTGATATTATCCAATCTTCATGTGCGAGCAGCGTCTCGATCACGGATGCTATCGAATAGAGCGTTCTCGACGAATTGACGGCGTGACTCCATCACTTCGCGGAATTTCGGAATGACGATGGCATTAAATTTCCTGCTCTCGGCGGATGGCTGGCGCTGTCCATTTCTTCGAGCAGCTTCGGGATAGAGAGTCACTTCCGCTTGGACCTCGGATACATCGCTGCCTGTGGAGCCTTCACCAGTTGAGTACCTCCGTATCACGAAGCACGCTCGCCCTTCTATCGTCTGGACCCCAGATCTTGAATTCTTGCCTTTGACTGTCCAGTCATCGCTGGCCTCCGACATCAAGACGATCCCGTTTGACGTCACGAAGCGCTTTATCAAGCGATGAGCATTAAGAACGACGTGGCTGCCATCTCCGAGACGCATAAGTATCCTCGAATCAATCGCGCACGTGTTCTCCGAGAGTTTGGTGCACATGCAGCTCGTGGTCGTCAGGAAAGCCTCCAAACTCCACAAAAGACCAGACGGTCGACGAGATAGCGTGCTCTGCGAACGGAAGCAAGTGGGTGCACTTGAACTCCACCGCCGCCGTACCACAATCGTCTCCACTCTTGCTGTAGCTCTGGACGAAAGAAGTATCCGAAATTGTGGCACGTTGTGGAGCTGCTAGAGAAGCTTCCAGTTCTCGGAATCAGGCGTCGACACGCGCCTCCAACAGATCAAACACGCTTGGGTTTGTGGCTCGCAGTGGATAATCTGCTCCATTCCCAATAGAAAACGATGTTGCGGCCGCCGTACGCATCGCAACCAAAGCCAACGACCGATTGAGAGTCCGCAACTGCTCCTCCAAGTTCCTGTTCTCGTTCATCGCAGCCTCACACTTCAGCTTCTCTTCTTCTTCTCGCCTCCCATCTGGCAGCGATATCTCCGGCGTACTCGCTTTCGAAAGTAAAAATTCTTTGCGACTCTCAAGCGCGTCAGCCTCCGCTCGTAAAGCTTCCAACTCCCGCTTGTGCTTGAGCCACGACGGATTCAATCGCTTCTTCTTTGTTGTCGTTCTTGAGTTTGTGCTTGAGTTGCTTGGACCGGCCACTTTCCGCTTTGTCGGTTCAAAAGATGCTATGGTGCCCAATGCGTTGTTGTTGCGGTGGTCGAGAGCGCTCATGTCCAGGAGAAAAGCGTCCAGAATGTCGTCGACCTGCGGAGTATACGCATTCTTCTGATCCGCAAGTGGTGTGCTTGTCATAGTGGCGTCTTGCTTCGAGCTAGGCGGGTTACTGAGTGAGGTCAATGCAGGAAGATTCCGCCTGGTATCACTCAGGATTATGGCAGCCTGCTGAGCGCCCTTCTCAACGTGAGATACTCGTGCAGGTTAGCGACACGAGGGAGTCTGGCGGTATGCAAGTCCTTTCGCGAAAACCAGACACATGTTGTGTACCGTGATGTCAACTACATGTACAGACCGCAGTCTACCCACAGAGAGAGAGCGCTGCGAGAGGCGAGAGACGATTGCTGAGGGCACGAAGCTGGCAGCCTTCTCGAACCAACGATGCACCAGTACTCGCTGGCATCGTTGGAGCTACCAACGAGATGAAGCTGGAGAATGCACTGCTAGATTTTTCGCTGGCTGCATAGCGTATTATATGACAGGACAAGGAGTAGCGTTCATCTCACCGATTCCGATAATGTAATGCGTAGCTTGTATTATAACACAATTCCACTCTATCATCTCGCGAAGGTCAGTCTGGACGTCACTGGCAGCGGATCGAGTCGAACAGTGCGTTCTCCACAAACTGTTGCCGCGCTTTCACGAGCTGTCGATAGGACGGGATTAGAATCTCCTTGATAGCGCTGGCGTTCGCACGCGGAAAATGCTGGGAGCCATCAGCGCATTCATCTGGGTGCAGGCAAAGCCTGGATTGAACCTGGCACACACCCGGCGACGTGCCTCCATCGAGCGAGTAGCTGCCCATCACAAAGAAGCCTCCTTCTCTCGGTCCCCGGGATGTTCACGGTCCAGGTCGAGCACGACTCGGCCATCATTGCAACGCCATCAGCCGTGCCGAACCGCTTCATTACACCGTGAGAGTCGATAATCGCAACACCGCCATCACCAAGCTGCGCTGTAACGCGAGAGCTGAGGCCAAATCCATCTTCAGACCGACGAGTGACAACGGAAACTTCGCCGTCAGGGAACCTGCCCAACTCAATGAACGACCACATCGTAGTCGAGACGGCTTCTGTTGCAAAAGGCAGCAGCTCCAGACGCGAGAACTCCACTGTATCCACTCCAATACTAGAGCGCTCCACCAAATCCGTGTCCATTGAGACCACGGGCTGCTGTATATCTGTAAATGCGGACTTCAACTCATGCTTCCTCGCGTCGAGCCTCGTCTCCAGCATGTCAAACACTTGAAAACTGTAGTTTCGTAGCTGTTGACCGGCCCCCATCTCCACCCTCAGAGCTTCCATAGCAGCCAAGTTACTCAATTCAAAAGTCTCCACAGCACTTAATGCCGTCTGAAGAGCGCCCGAAAGTCTTCTATAAGCCTGCAACTTGGCTCGAAGTCGCTTGTTCGTCTCTAGTGCAGCTTGGTACCTGAATTTCTCCTTGGAGGCAGTATTCCGCAATTTTGCGCGCTTTAAGGGGTTTAAAACCCCGCTGGAAGGGGATTTTTTTGTCTCGAGGAACACGACGCGCGTCCCTAAGGCTTGAGCTTGTGTTCGTAGCGATGCTTCCGCTTCAGCCACGACGGCTGCGCTGGCTCCTTCTTCTTGAGGGGTAATAGAGCGATATTTGGGGCCTTCGGAGCATAACTTTGACAGATCTTGGGCTTGGGTGTCATGTCAATACTAGGAGGGAGTTCATGCTGCTGGTCCAGCGCCTCCATGTCGAGCAGGAAGCTCTCCAAGACATCACCAGGAAGCAACATCGAGGGCACAACATAAATATCCTGTATGTTCTAAAAATATGTTTATACAGAAGCATGGATAGATTTAGAAGATACAAACAAATGCTATGCTTTCAGTCTAAATTGAGCCTAATTTGGACGCAGATGATGAATGAAGTTTGCACTTTACTGTACGATTCGGAGCCTTGCCCCGAGTGGCTATCCAATACTGAAAGTGCAAGCGAGTATATTCAATTTGGTAGCAGTGATGCTACAGTGGTCTGAACTTTTACTTGCCGAACTGGCGAGGGATCACCAGCAACTTGCCGTCAGCCAGCTCCTTGATGCGAGGTGGAGGGAACGGGTGCACGTGCTTCTTACTCAGTTCTTGGGCCAGCTTTTCCGCCTTGCTGCTCTTGAAAACCTTTTCGGAAATCTTGGCCAACCCCTTCGTATCTCTGCCCGACAAACGCCTCTCTTCGTTCTCCACATCCGACAGGCGACGGTCCTCATTTGATTCGCCAACTTGTCCTTTACGCAGGAATGTTCGCACGCTTTCGTGGTCTTGAGCAGAGACGTCGGTGACTGCCAGCGCTCCAGTTCCTGCCAGAAAACACGCCGTGGCTGCTAGTAGAATGAAGGCGAGGCGCATTTTTGTTCTTGGTCACTTGGTCTTTGCAGTTCTTGCACACAGAGGGGAATTTGTGGACTGGCTGGTTGGCTGCAGCTAGTGAAAGAGCTCAATGGAGTGGAAAAGCGGGAAACTATGCAGAGAGTTTGGCGGTCCAGCTACAGAACTGCAACTTACAGAGCCGAGGAACGTGATGACGAACTTTACGATTACGCGGTACAGATGTACACGTATTGTGCTTTGCAGATAAAATGTCGCCCCGTTTTATGGCCTAGATCGAGGAAGGCCGGTCCACAAATCAGGGTACAAAACAGAGACGGTAGCTCGATTTACTTAGATCGACCTCGAATTGCGCTTTTGAAAACGCACAAGGGATCGATTTACCGTAGATCGACCTCGTTCTGCCCAGATCCACCAGGAGATCGACCTCGAGCCCTGATTTGGATTGTCGTAGCTCGAGTTATTAGCCGGCCTAAATAGATCGATATGTCCCTTTCTTTGACCTCGTTTTATTAAATCGACCTCGACTTAATGATAAATCGAGGAGAGCTCCAAGTCAAAACGACAAAACGTTTGCAAAGCACAATATTTATTTTTGTACAAATGTGCCAGAACAAGGGGAAACAGAGGAATTGGGCAAAATGCTGCTGCGGTACATCGGCCGTAACATACCACTACTACATAGGTACACTAATTCCTTTGAAGGTGTAGTTTCAGGTAACTTTAATTTCTTTTATCTAGGTGTTCTATCTACATGTATTGATCCAGCTCCTTTCTAAGATCTTGATACTTCTTTGTTTGTAAGAAAACATGATTTGTTGATTAAGAAAAAATAAGTTCTTGCAAGAAAAAAATGCCGTTCTTGAATGAGAAACGAGCGCCGCTCACACGCGAATGATATCGAACAGCGTATTCTCCACGAACTGATGCCGAGCAGCGACGAGTCCCCGGAATGACGGGATCACGACCTCGCTTAGAATATCTGAACTAGCCTTTGGATGCTGATCAGCATTTCCAACAAAGTCACTCGGCATACTCCAGGTACAGCGTCGCCCGCACTTTCGTATTTGTGCATGACAAAGCACCCTGCTTCTCGTGCCGTGTGAGTCCACGTGCCTTTGTCGGGCAAGCGAATAGTCCATTCAGAGCACGCCTCCACCAGCATACCGCTTCCAGTTGGCGCTTGGAACCGCTTCACCACGCTGTGACCATTGATGTCGATACGCGAGATGCAGCGTCACGACCGAATGAACAGCAAACGCATTCTTCGAGCGTCTAGCCGCGCGCGAGTGTTCTCCTTTCGGGAACTCGCCGGCCCCGACAATCGCCCACATGGCTGAAGACCGGACTTGGCGCTCGAACGGTACCAACTCGACACGAGAGAGCTGAATTGCTCCAATCTGATCATTCAGAAATTGAGTGTCAAACTGCCCGTCAGTCGAATTCTCCAGCGTCATCTTGTTGAAGGCGTCACTCAGCTCAAAGGCCCTCGCGTCCAGTCTTCTCTCATGCATGTCGAGTACACTTGAATCGCCGAATCGAAGACTGCGACCCGCTACTAGTTCCACACGAAGAGCAGTGCTTGGAGCCATGGCACTGTGTACAAGAGTACTCGTCTGAATGTCTGCACTTGATAGAGTTGTTCGGAACGCCTCGCATTGTTTTAGGCAGCCCTGGACCTGCTTCTTCAGTCGCTTGTTCTCGTCTTCCGCAGCTTCTCGTCGACGCTTTGACACTAACGCATCCGCCTTCGCTCGTGTTTGGTGGCAGTTCATCTCAATAAAGCCGCTCGTGTGGTTCGTCGTCATACAATTCATCTCCATGAAGAGCAGGCGGGTCTCCAGCTCCTCGCGTTCTCATCTCAGAGCGTCGATCTCCTGCTTCCGACGGAGCCATGTCGAGGTCTTCATTTGAGGGGGCGAACAACCAGGCTCTAGTCCGATCATGCTTGCTATCTAGCGGGAGGGGAATGCGTGTACTGCGCGGAGATTCTTGTGCTGACTAGCCTCTGCAATACAAAATGAGGTGAGTGCGTCCAAAACGACAAATCGAGAATAGGTCATGGTGGGGTTTTCCTCAGACCTGAGGCAAATCCTGTGGGTGGACCTGTAACACTATAACACTTCGTGACAGGGTGGTTTATCATAATTCTCGACAACGGAGCTTTTTCTTATAGGAAATCAAGGTGCACCGAGTTGCTGGCAGCAATCTGTGCTGATCGCTATTAGATACCAGCTATTCGTCTTGACTATATAATAGTTCTAGGTATATATCGCCAAATCTCGAAGTCACTGTCAGCGTGGAAATCATCGACTTGGTTCACTCGTATCCGCCAGAGCTGTACCCTTCAGAGCTCTACTCCCTCAAGAGCACGGAGCGTGTCAAACAAAGTATTCTCCGCAAATTGATGACGAGAGGCGACGAGCTCTCGAAAAGTCGGGATCACGACCTGCTTTCGAAGATCGTCCTTCATCGGCCGGTGGTGGGTCGTGCTCCCTTTAAATTCACTAGGTTCCAGACAGAGTTCCACACGCACTTGGCTTATTCCTGGTACATCGGAGTACTGACGGATCGCATGGCATCCAGCCTCTCGCGCTACGTGGGTCCAGTGTGGAAGACTCACAGTCCATTCCGCACACGACTCAATGAGCGCTCATGTCCCTGCTGCTGTGATGAATCGCTTTATCACACTGTGGCCGCTGATATCGATCTTGCCTCCACAAGTTCATCGCAAAGACATCATCCGATAGTTTGACGAGCGATCCCCATCAGGGAACTTGGCCATTTCAACCATCTTCCACATCGCAGACGAAGACGTTTCAGTCTTACTAGTCAACGGCAGCAATTTACATGTAGTGAGTGACAGCTCCACTTTCCCGCTTCCGAGTTGAATTTCAGACGTCTGCGGGTCCGTCGACTTCTCCATCGCCATCTTCCGAAAGGCCTCAGCCAACTCCGAGATCCTCGCGTCCAGCGTCTTCTCCAGCATATCGAAGATGCTATTGTCATCAAAACGGAGCGTATAAGCCGCGTTCATCTCCGCTTGAAGAGCACCGGAGACCGACTCGGCTGCTGCCAACGTTGCTCGGAACGCCTCGAATTGGTTCACACACGCTTTCAGTCGCTCGTTCTCGTCTTCAGCGGCTTGTCGGCGTTGTTTCGCCAGCAACGCAGTCGTCTTGGCTCTTAATTGACGTAGGCTGGCCTCGACGAACGCCCTGGAGCTGATGCTTGCGGTCTGCCCCATCTCCGACAAGAGCAGGAAGGCCTCGAGCTCCTCTCGCTGTTGGCGCAGCGCCTGGATCTCCCTTTTCGTCTTGAGCCAAGTCGGAACTTTCTTCGGCTTGGGCTTTATGGGGCGATACTGGCCTTGCGAGCCCTCATCGGAATGGAATTTTGTTAGTGGTGCCCGCGGTGCTAGTGGTGCAGCGGCAGCACTGCATCCGTGTGTGTGCCCAACGTTTGTGCGCTTGCCATGACCTCTCTGGACTAATCCGCCCTCGTCATAATCGCGGTCACGACCAGAATGGATGCAAGGGGTATCCGTGTTTGTGCTCGCGGTGCCGGGGGCCAGAGTCTGGACTGTGGATAAAGCTTGCTTGGGTCAGAGTCAAGCGTTCGAAACAGCGTGCCATCTCGGAGGGTTTCGACGCTTACCTGACTCCGTCATGGTTGAACATGTCCGTGTTAAAATATTATGAGAATATCTCTGTGGTATCTTGCTAAAAAGCTTCGACTTAATAATTCGCCGCAAGCGAACGCCACCAACGTGCCTCAGTCACAGCCATTCGGGCTGTGCACGTTGATCGTGTCGAACAGAGTGTTTTCCATAAACTGATGTCGAGATGCTACGAGACCTCGAAAAGACCGAATAACGATCTCCTTTTGAAGATCTTCCTTCATCGCTCGGTACTGGGTCGTATTCGCTACAGACTCACTCGGGCCAAGACAAAGTTCCGAGCAGCTTTGAGATACTCCCGGCAATACGCAACCTTCAGCGCAGTACTGCCGAATAACGAAGCATCCCGTCTCTCGAGTCACATGGGTCCAAGTGCCCGAGTCTGGGAGACTGAGGGTCCATTCCGCACACGATTCGGTCAGAATTCCGCTGCCTGCTGCTGTGTACAGCCGCTTGATCACACTGTGACCGTTGATACCAATGCTGCTCCCAGACGCGAGTTGCAGCGAAACATTTGAATGTACCGCAAAGGTATTTTCCGAGAGTCTGGCCACACGCGAGTGGTCCCCATTAGGGAACTTGCCCGTTTCAATCATCGCCCACATCGCAGCCGACGACGCATCGCTCTCAAACGGCAGCAACTCAACGAGTGACAGCTTCACTGCCCCACCATCACGTTTAGTCTCAACGAATTGTGAGGGCGTCGACGTCTCCATCGCCATCTTCCGGAACGCGTCCTCTACCTCGACCACCCTCTCGTCCACCCTTCTCTCTAGCAAGCCCAGGATACTCGCCTCGCACCACTGAAGCGAAGCTTGTAGTGCGTGTTTATCTCCACACGAAGAGCCCCAGGGATCGATGCAGCGGTCGCTAGCGTCGTTCGCAGCGCCTCACTTTGCGTCAAATAAAGCTGCAACTTCCTCTTAAGCTGCTTGTTCTCGTCTTCCGCCGCTTGTCGGTGCTGTCTTGCGAGTAGTGCAGCTGTCTTGGCCCTCAATTGATTCAAGTTCGCCTCGACGAACTCCCTCGAGCTCGTGCTTGAGACCCGCTTCATCTCGGAGAAGAGCAACGCGGTCTCCAGCTCCTCGCGCTCTAGACGCAGCGCCTCGATCTCGCGCTTCCCCCGCAGCCACGTCGGAACTTTCTTCGTCTTGGACTTCATGGCTGTCTTCGTCTTGCGCTGAGTCTTCATATCCAATTGGATTTTGCTACAGCTGGTGCTGCGCTGCAGTCGTGCAGCACCACGTCCGACGTCCGACGTCCGTCTCTAACGCTGCATGACGCTCGCAATGATCCGGTCAACATCATCGGAAATAGCAGTACACGATCGGAATAGACAGGGAGAGGGGGAACAATGAGCAGCTCTGCTGGGCGTAGTGTCGATGCGGAGAGCGCCGCCGTCGCCGCCTGTAACCTGGGCGAAGCGCTGTCCTACTTGCTATCCGACGACGACCATGCAGATACAGCCACAACACCGGAACGTTCAGTCACACCTGGTTGTATTAATAACGGCTCGTCGGGTACAAGTGCGGGTCCTTCCTTCTGGCCTGCCAACGCCGACTCCGTGAAGACTCGACCTCCTCCAACTACTAAACCCAAGAAGAAGCGACGACGAGACCGCAACCGGCCGGTCCACGAGATCCACCGCCTGCAGCTTCAAGTGCAGGACATGGAACGGCAACTCAAGGCGCTCAGACCCGCGCACATTCCAGACACGGACGAGGTGAAGGCTCTGAAGGGCAAGAACGCCGCGCTGAAAGACAAATTAAGGAAGAGTCTGGAGCGTACAGCAGCGGTGGAGCAATTGCTGCAGACGCAGGCGGATAAACTTCTGCAGGCTCTACCCAAGTCACTGGTCGTATCGGGGCAGAACTTGGTCTACGATGTGGAGCAGGACGACGCTGTGTTCCAAGTGCTGGCGACGACGGTGGATAAGCATTATCTCGACCTGAACCGCGTGTTCGAAGCGGCGGGATTGAGTGACGCCAAGTCGGAGATTTTCGACGCCTACGTGACTTCGCCACCGTCACAAACAGACTCCTCCGAGTGTGTCTTGAAGACGAGGACGTGTGCATTCCTGCCGTACGCCAAGAAGTTGGTGGAACAAGCCATGTGGCGAAGACTGGAGTGCGAATCAGCGCTTCTACCGGAGAACGTGGAGTCTAGCAGAGACCTGGTACGTGCTTTGGTGAGGTTTAGAACTTTCCTAGTGAGTGGAATGCTAACACTAGATTTCTTGCAGGGTCTTCCGATGGGATCAGCGTCGAATCTGATCGTTTCAAAGCGAGAAGTTCATCTGGACAATGCCTCGTTCACGATCCGTTTGGCTCTGAAAGAGTTCGTTGAAGCAGATCGCTTAGTGTACGTGTGGGATGCTATCGGTGACTGGCCCCGAGTGGAGGCGATCCCTCACGTGTCAACGAGAGAATATGGCTGGAGCTTTTTCTCGCGAAACGAGTGTCCAGACCTGTCTATTCTAAAGAGCTACGTGCTGGTGACCACCACAGCGTCACCTGGTGTGGACGCGGAACTCGTTGAAAGGGTCATGCAGCTGTATCGACGAACGATCGAGTCGCGATACCAAAAGCTGGAGAACACGCTCGTAGATGCGGCTATATGCTCGAGGAAGTCTGCGTCAGTGAGTGGTTGTAGTGATAAAGCGAATGAATAAGCCTTACCTAAGGCGTTTCGCTTGTCTGATACGTGTTGATGCTGTGGGTCAACAATTTCAAGCTCGAGCTGGATTCCAGTGCAAACTGTTAGAAAAACTGGTGTTGGCAATTCAGCGCGTGCAGTATACAATAACAGGCTCGCGGGTGATTAACGCTGGTGGTACGCACGTAAAGATTGGCAAAGCGCAGCCAACCAAGACAACTGCGCAGAAACTTATCAGCTCGTTTCGAAGCCCACAGCGCGTTCTCCAGAAACTGCCTCTGGAGGTCGATATGGTCTCGATCCGAGTTCGTCACGAGGTCAGGCGTGATGTCTGGCGGCAGTTGTTGCGGAACCGACTCGGTCCGCACCACGGCGTTCATTTGGCAGCCGAAAGCTTGGGCAGTCTCTTCACCGAGAGGAACTCGTCGAATCGCAAACCAAACTGATTCCTGTGTCGAGAAACTCCATGCACTCGAGACTCCACGATACTCGGCGCTTGATTCCGCCAGGAAGACGAAGTTCTCAGGCACCACGAACCGCTTCACGACGCAGCGAGAGTTCACTATTGCCGTTCCAGAATTACCAGCAAGTGCCAAGACGCAGCGAGATTCGACGCCACACGCGTTATCTGAGCGCCTAATGATGCTGGAACTTTTCTTATAGGGGCTGCCTCCTTCAACGAAGCTCCAGACTTGTTCATACGTCTTGTCACTATCAAGAGGTAGAACGCGCGTGAGTTTGTACTCCATCACAGCCGATCCTGCGCCTTCTCCACAGCGTATTTCGACGTCTTCATGGTCAGCAACTGCAGGCCTTTTTCGATGTCCCTCCACGATGGACGGGAAATCCACGAGACGCAGATCAACTCGAGCCTCTTTAAGAGCTCAAGCTGCGCATAGCCAGTTCCTGAGCTGAAATAGTCGTACAGGTCACGGCACTTGTGAGCTGCTGACTCGAGCTGGTAGCAGCTACTGCCGCTTGTAAACTGGACAAACACTGCGCGTACACGCGAACTGGATGCTTCAAACACAGCGTTCTCGTCTCGTGCCGCCTGTAGTCGCATCTTCTCTCTGGTAGCAGCCGATGTCCACTTTTTGAGCTCGGAGAGAACACTGGGAGGAGTTGGAGAGCTGCATTTTCTCTCTCGTTGGAGCATGAGAAAAGCGAGGTGAGTCTCCAGCTCTTGCGTCTGTTGCTGGAGAGCTACAAGCTCCTGCTTCCGTTTGAGCCATTTCGGGGTTGAAGTTCGTTTCTTGTTTATCGCCCTCGACGCTGCCACTTGCATCGCTCCAACTCGTTCTCGCCTGCCCTTGAGCCTTGAACCTGGTGTAGCTAGTTACATTTCGTCTGGCTGTGCCCCAATCTCCGCGCGCTGGGTGTTGTTCAGCTCGCGCATATCCGCCAGAAACATGTCCAAGACGCGACAACACTCGTCAGCGCCAAACTCTCTCGTATTTACTGCTTCTTCTGCCATTCGGCTTACGTGCGCGGCCCCCAAGGCGAATGCGGAAGTGGGTCGATGCGGTGCACACCGTGTCGGCCGATAACGCCACGTTCAACTCGAGCAATCAACTCTAGAATATCCATCACTGAGACGTGGCCGTAGGTGTAAGGTCACGCGTGAGTGCCTGCTCTTAGCTCCGATAAAGCTGATCAACAGTATCATCAATGATGCATATGAACTGTTGATGGTCCATCATATAATATCTCTCGAAACACAAGAGTGATGAAGCGCCATTCCACTCACTCCACGGCATCTCCAGCCTTCAAGTCTTCTCAGCTGTTTCGGTCTCAAATAGGTGTTTTGTACTACAAAATTTGTACAAGCGCAGCGGTGGAAAACCCGTTTTTCGGGAGATGAAGTGAGCCACGTTTTCAAGCACGACAGTCCACGGCTTTGCACTAGGCCCGCCCCCCCCCCCCCTACCATGTCGCGCTAGCAGCCTCTGTCTCTTCCAGGCGTCTTCACCATGCTGTCGGTGGCCTCAGCATCGCGGCCCTAAGCTCAGCAGCAGCAACCAAGTCCAGCCCAGTCCGGCACAAGCCCTCCCAACAGCCCAAGCAGCCCACGCGCCCATCAAGCCGACCAAGTCCCCATGAAGCATCCGTCTTTGCGCCGGCATTGCAGCCCTTAGGCCCCCACAGCGCGTGGTGCCAGAACTACCCCCGGCCCAGGTTCCCCGTGCAGCCCAAACCCTCCAAGCCGTCAAAGCACCACCGTCCACCCTGCCCAAGCGGCCCCAGCAGCACCAGCAGCCCCAGCACACCAAGCATCCATCCACGGCTGGCTCCGCCGTCGGCTGCCATTGCGCCCCCACCGTGCGGTGGGCGGCATCGGCACCGGCGTGGACGTTCACCAGCCCAAGCAGCCCAAGCATTTCAAGCAGCCAGTCGCCCATGCGCAGGCGACTCTACCGCCATTGCAGCCATTACGCCCGATCGTGGCGGACGGTGGCATCGGCGTCGGCGTGGATCCCGGCGCCCAAGCGCCTCCAACAGTCCAAGCAGCCCATCAACCGCATCATCAGCAAGTAGCTGATGGCCTTGACAGCTCCGGCGTCCTCTCCACCTTCGCCCCTCTTCTTCAACCTGGGGTGAGGCACCAAGCTGCCACGGACAACGGAGCTGTCACGAAGCTCGCTCGTTCAAGGGCATGCGGCGACCATCGCGACCAAGCCACTCAAGTATGCATCATCACACACCCAGCAACCAACTCCAGCCAAGCACCCATCGGGGCATCAAGGCGACCGTCCAAGTCCACCTCGCCATTTCATCGGGGGCTGCCTCGCACGGATTCACTGCGAACCCGCTGCGAGGCATGCCTTCGGTGATCTAAGGACGTTGCCTTTTGCCCCAAACATGTTCCCGGAGAAGGTTTGAAAATGATTGCGTGAGACCGAGACCGCTTCGGGACATGCGTGTCTTCAAGTCATTTTACAAAAGACCAAGTCACCGCTGAGTCAGAATGGCACAAGACCTCGACTTCCTTGAAGAGGAGTCCTCCTTCCTGGAGGAACAAGGATTAACACCACGCTCTTCAATGCGAGAGGGAGAGCTCGAGCAGCTTCTCGTGATGGAACAACCTCTTAGTAGTGGGTCGCGGCACATTACGCCGGCAGTTTTTTATTTTCATAATTTCTTACCGTAATTTACCTCCGAGAACGGTGCTAGAACGATCTTTGTGGATAGTCGTCCGTTTTACCTACACGACCTCTCAACCACCTTGTAGTCGTGCAGGATCGCACATGCGAGGGTAAGATGAAACTCCCAATAATTACTGGCACATTACGACGTTATTTTCAGAATTAATTTTTTTCAAAAAAATTAAGAGGCTATGTATATAGATACCCACACATAGAACATGACGATCGAACCATCTTTCGGAAAATACAAATGTCAATCCATTGAGGATGTATACAAGAATGATCCTGGATACTGTCGTTGGATTCACAACCAACCCAGTCTCAACATTAGCGAGGAAATGAAAATCTTTCTTCACTCAAGATTCCTAAATAAGGATAACTCCTCTATGATGACGTAGGGTAAGTATCGAGGCAAATCTTTACAGCAGATCAGTAAATTGGATCCAGGCTATCTCGATTGGCTAAGAAAAAGTCAATTCGTGATTGACAAGTGTCCAAAGCTACTCAAGAAACTGAACTAAAAATATCTCTTTTTTTTACGTACGCTATAGTGAAGTCTAGAACCTCTCCGGTTATTCTATCGAACGTTAGTTCCTGTTCGCTAATTACGAGGATCAGCATATTCACACCTTGGCATCCGGCGTTCGTACCTTGGATCTGAATAGCCTGAGGTACATCGCGCTCAGTCAGGCGACTGACATCGGCAATAAGCATGCGGTTTGTGAGCGACCACGTCTGATAGTTAAGTAGACCGTTTACGAGCTCAGGGGTTAGATCTCCGTTAATCGCTGAAATCTTAGCAATTTCGTTGGTAAAGTGGTGGAAATGATAGTCATGACTGATATCGAACACCTGAGTCGAGCCAATACGAACGTTAAAGTTTCGAATCGACGTCCCGGGCTGAAGCGTGTATGGAGAGCTATCGAAGGGGCTCTGGAACTGCTGAACAGTAGCAGAAGCAAAGTTGTTTGTCTGTTCCGCGAATGGTAAAAGCACAACATATTTCGCGTTTTTAACACTTGCCGATAGCTGTAAATCGAAAGAAGCATTTAGTTGAGTCGAGGACTTACCAATACCAGCACGCTGGTAAAACCACTGTGCGTAGCAATCATTGTAGCGAACCTTCTTAACCGGCTTAGAGATAATAGCTTGAGGGTTCTCAAGATGAACGAAAGGGACATACAAACGAGCAGTAGTAAAAGTCATGTATGTACCATCGATGGTAGGTTCTAGAGCATTTACAACCGCTCCCCAAGCAACACTAAAGCCAGCAGATGCGGCAAGCACACCATTCATCGGATTACCGGTAGCAGAAGCGGCAATCATGACCGGACAACTATAACCAGACGATAGAGTAGTAGAGGTTAGCGACATACCCTTTGAAGCATCTACCGCGACTACAGACGTTCCCTGATTCACACGGAAACGCAGGCGAATTTGAGGGTTAGCCATTAAGTCAAGCTCACGGAAGATAGGATGCAGATCGGTGAGCTTAATCTTGAGCATGTAGTTCCACGTTCCCATGATTGCGTTAGCAGCAGTACCACCAGCTACGAAAGCTCCACGCGAGGTCTGGTTAGAAATGGTAGTCGATGCAGCAGCACCACCTACCGACGGCCACGAGCTGGAGAAGTCAGCGCCAGCCGTAGGAGGATTCGATAGAAGGCGCTTAACGAAACCATCATTAGGAATAGTTGCACCACCAGGAGGAGCCGAGACAGCAAACGAAGACGAGAATGCCATGGTGTTTGAATATCCATCACCACTGGTAGATGCGGATCCAGAAGGTATGATACCGACTGAGCAGCGTCAGGGTACAAGAACGATTCAGCTCCGTGCTTTTCAACGTACTGAGGGCTGTAGCCAGTCTGAGCACGAACGTTGTTCCAAAAGAGCTTGTAGTCAGCCATAGAGACGATAGTCTTTCCGTTTAGTTCCAGACTCAGACTATCAATAACGTTCCAATTTCCGCATTTTAGAGTAGCACATAGACGATTGGCAGCGGCAGTTTGAGCAGTGCCACCATTCTTCATTGAGACCTTGTAGGGAAGCATAATGTAGGCATCACGAAGGCTTGCGAAGCCCTCGGAACCGTTAAGCTGAGCCGTAGCATCGATAGTGATGACACCATTCTGGTACGAACCCTGATTTAGGTCAATAACGTGCGGTACACGCTTGCTCGAAGATACCTTGATCTCCGGGTCGCTCTTAAGCGAGCTCTGGTACAAGTACTGATCGGATAGTTGAGTTTCGCTCATCGTTGAATCTATATGGATCCTAGTATAGTTTGATAAAATTAAATATTATGTCGCACCTCATCAAGCCAATCACCTCAGATCATGATCTCATCGAACTCGCTGAGAAAATGAACGTTCAACTCGATAATATATTTGAATCAAATGAGATAAAGTCCCATCTCCCCAAGAAAGGGTCATTTCTGATTCTACTTCGCCCTCCTAATCTTGAGGTAGGACACTGGACGGCGGTTCATAATGGTGAATTATTCGATAGTAGGGGGGAAGGACCACCAAAGAAGTATGGTATCGATCGATACAACACCAAGCAATACCAAGGAACCTATGGAGACTACTGTGGACCATTCTGTGTCCTATGGCTATATTCGAAGCAATACCGTAAGCCAAATGTATTCAAAACAATGAAAGATCTAAATTTGACAATTCTGGAATAAATTTAATTCAACGTATATAGTAATCATGTATCGCGAATTAACAATCTCCAGTGATATTCCTGCGCGGAAGCTTACCAAAGCTTTCAAGACTGGTAAGCTCAGCCTCACCTCAAGCGAACTAAAGGGTAGTGGTTCAGTCATTCATCTCCACCCTGCTTCGTTTGAAAAGGCGCTCAAGGCTCGTAAAGCTGGATGCGGTGTCAAACTCGACATTACCAAGCACGAAGTGAAGAGGGGCTACAAAAAGGCTCAAGGAGGCTCTATCTGGTCCAAAGTATGGGGAGGGATCAAGTTTGCATACAAATTTGCTAAGGATTCAGGTCTACTATCCAGAGCCGTTGATGCGGCGGTTCCTGCTTTAGCTACTTATGCTGGTCAGCCAACGGCTGCTGTTCTAGCCAGAGCTGCAATCAAGTCCCTACCGGCATTAGTATTTATGATTCCGATAGCGACAAGGAAGGAGGTCGCGTATCAATGGCTGACGTAAAGAAGGCTGCAACGAATACTCTTGCATACACGAAGCGCAAGGGGGTCATCACCGACGCGGTCGATGCTGGAGAGAAGTACCTACTATCAAAAGCTACCAAGCCGGAACATGAGGATCTAATCAGATCTGTGCGAAAGGAGGTTCATCGCCGCTATGGTGTAGGCGTAGCAAAGAAACGTCCAGCGAAGGGTTCGCCAGAGATGAAGGCTAAGATGGCTGCGCTCAGGGCACGTCGTTAGACTGGTGGTTCGTTTACGTTGTAGCCGCCCTAAAAAAATACTCTGGATGTCTTTTTTTTTTTGGACGAATCAGAAGCATGATGGATCCCGACGTATCTCTGATAATCACTTTTTTATCATTTTGGTTATAGATACTGAGTGTAATACTAGCTCGAGCGCCATTATAACAGTTCATCCACGCATACTGGCTCGGTTTGTATGAAATGACCTTTCCAATAGCGGCATCACCTCTATCAAAAGCACTGACAATATCACCAGAAGCCACGTATTCGTTTTTGATCAGATCGCAACGAACGATGTAGGAACTGGTCGGGTGAATCTGAGGAATGATGTTCGATAGCTGAGCACTTGCAACAGTAGCTGATGTGGAGTGGTATGTACCCGCTGTGAGACCAACTACTTTACCGAATTCAGCATTATCGATGATCAGTCGAGGAACGCGAGTAGTAGTCGGTAATCCAGTACCACCAGAGGAGTATAAACCGGAGGTAGGTCTGGTCCATGTTCCACCGGTAGTTGGTAGAGTTGTAGGCGTAGGAGAGAAATCAAGCTGACAAGCGTAATAGACACTGTTAGCACTCATTTTGATATAGAATACGTTATTCCCCGACGGATCGATTAGATACGCCCCAGCATTGACAAGAGCAGTCTAAATGCTTCGGTTGATATCGTCATACGAATATATACCATCAGGGAGGGATACACTGATTGTGGATGTAGTTGCAGGGGTAGGTACTTTGATTTTGAACGTTGTGTTCTGAAATTGCATTGAATCAATGTTATACTCGCTGTTATACATCGAAATCGATTGAATGGCACATACTACATCGAGGAAGTCAGCCGCCGATCCGGGAAAGGAGTATTTCCAGGTTGAATTGGTTCCATCTTATACCAGATTGGTGCTGTCGAGTTTGATAAAGCTGGACATATTGATTATATGTTTGTAGGCATATTTTTGTTTGATAAATTGGAATTAGTCCTCGATACGAATCGGTCTATCGAAGTTATACCTGATCTGACCCTTGACCGAATCAATGAAGAGCATTTGGCCCTTTCGCTCCGTGGCTTTGTTGTAATAATAGACGATTGAACGCTCATCTACTCCCTTGATATTAAAATCTTTCACAACCATCTGGAGGTCTCGCTTAGAATTAGCTTTCAAGATCGCTACGTACTCTGAGTTCAATCTGATCATCTTGTCCGTTGCGAAGTAGCTGTGGCTCAAGAAGATGGTTGATAGCTTGAAGTGGCGCCCTTTAGTGAAGTAATGTGAGAACAAATTCTTCTGAAGAAGCTTATCGTTGCTGTAGTCATCGATGATGACGAGCTCAGGCTTATTGGAATTAATTGGTGTATGACGTACCCGTTCGACACTCGGAGGCGAGTCAGGGTCGGCGAATGTGATAAAGCCATCAAGCTTATCACGAAGATACTCATATAACTCCTGGTGAGGATTACGAGCAATGATCGTTAGATGAGCAAATACGTGAGGAGAATGCTTGAGGATGAACATACATAAGTTGTTCTTCCCTGAGAACGATGGCCCCAGAACCACCATTCCAAACAGCGCTTTGATGTTAAGTGCTGGAATATCACCCTTAGAGGCGCTTTTGAAGTTTTTTTAGGGATTGAAGCTCCGAAATCTGGAATACCGCTCATGATTATCGTCTAAACTATATAGTATCAAACAAAGATGAGTTCACGTTTTTCTTATCCTAGCCCGATATTCACATCGCCGATTTATAATCCGGCATTCTTTCTCCAATTGGATGCCAGCGGGTTTCTAACGTATGACTATGCTCAGACTCTTTATCTGAACAAGTATGACTATCGCTTGACGTACATTTCCGGTGTCTCTCAAGGCGTAGCATCACCTGGTGTAGCGCTTGTCCCTGGAAGTGGTGGGAACATCAGCGGTCTTGGAGCACGACGCTGTAGTAGCCTAACTGTTAATGGTGCTTCCGTTTCAGGCGTACCAACGTATGTAGCTGATATTTCTCCAGGTACTGCCGCTATCAACAAAGCTCTGGTACTTGGTGCATCAGGTAAAATTGCTACTATTAGTTGTTTGACGGCAACGTCGATTACTGGCACGCTGCAGACAGCTGCTCAGCCTAATATTACTAGCTTAGGCACGCTATCGTCCCTCACCGTGAGTGGAAACATATCTGGTACATTGGCAACTGCTGCTCAGACCAACGTAACTAGTGTAGGGACACTCTCGTCGCTCACCGTGAGTGGAAACATCAATGGAACGCTAGCGACGGCTGCTCAACCAAATATCACCAGCTTAGGTACGCTTACTGGATTGACTATCGGGGGCAGTTTAACCTTTACTGGTGCAAGTCGATCCATTACAGGTCTTAGCTCGCTAACTGCAACTAACATTACTGGTACGATACAGACTGCTGCTCAGCCTAATATAACATCGTTAGGTACTCTAACCGCTGCAAATTGCTCGGGTAATGTATCGGGTACGCTAACAACAGCTGCTCAGCCCAACATTACCAGCCTAGGAACCCTGAGCTCGCTCACAGCGACGTCGATAACAGGAACGCTACAAACCGCTGTTCAGCCTAATATTACTAGTCTAGGTACGCTTAGCAATCTAACCCTTAGCGCTGGTGGAACCAGTTTATTCATTCCGAATCTGAAATTTTGGGATGGAGTCAGTTCTTGGATAAATTTCAATCATGCTTACTTTCTCAATGTTATCGAAGGGGGCGCTTCAGCCAGTAGCGTTGTGGTTCTCAATAGTACGGAAGATTACTCAGGCATTCGCGATCTAACCATATCACGAAACTTTATAGCTTCGACTTCAATATCATCGCCTACGATCACATGTGATACGATTAGTAAGTCAGGTACTCAAACTATGAATGCAACGACCTTGAATATCAATCCTACTACGCTTCAACTCAGGGGAGATACTCTCAATGCTACAGGTGCGGAGCTGAACAAGCTGGCTGGATACACGGCATCTACCGTTGAGCTGAACTATCTAGATCTTACCACCGGAGCAGGAACTGCAGAAGCAACAAAGGCTCTTGTACTAGACTCTAATAGTAGCATCTCATCAGGTATCTCATCTCTAACGTCAACCAATCTGATATCCACTACTTCTACCCAATGTCAGATTGCGGCCGGGACATCATTTACATCAACAACGCGTGCCTCTGATTTTAATCTCATGATTCGTAATCAAAGCAATACGGTTGGCGCTTAGGCTGGATTATCGTTCACGATTGAAGGTACTAGTGATATGACAACGTACACCCCTAGCGTTAATCTATATTGTACTAGAACCGCTACGAGTCTTCAATATTCAATGGCTGATTTTGTAATCAGTACACGGTCAGGAGCTAATACATTATCACCAATGACTGAACGTATGAGAATCACTCAAGCAGGATACATTCGCTTTGGATCAGCTACCAGTACTGCAAAAATAGATATAGTTTCGAGCGCGAATTTACTAAGCGGGTCTTGGCAACGCGCAATGCGTATAGCCAACGATACTACTACTCCAATCGAATTTGAAATTCGGTATACAACGATGTCGCGGGAGGAAGTAGTGGTGTAGCTCTAGGCACCACTACGAGCGACCCGCCAAGGTTCATGGTTGGAAACACAACTCAACCTTATCTAAACAGCTCAGGAAGACTGGGAGTTGGTATGAGTACGTGGTCGCCAGAAGCAACCAGTCTCTCAGGCGGAGAGGTATGGGCGAATAATTTCATGCACGTAAAGGGAGCGGCGATGGATTTTCTAGGTATCGATTCAATTGGTCTCAGACTGACTATCCAGCGATTGGTACTGATTCAACCGTAGGAGCTATCAGGTTGGGAAAATGCGATGCTAATTACGCGTGGACAGCCTATGTCCCGGTGCGTGGAGGAAGCTATACGATGAGAGGTTGAAGGCGGACATTGTAGATTGTCCCTATGGTTTGGCAAGCCTTATGAGAATGAGACCTAGAAGTTTCAGGATGGTTCAAGAGCAGACTGAGGAGCTGTATAAGGTCATACCAGAAGCAGTAGATATCGGAGCAAACGATAAGCTTAATCCGGATGGGTTTCCAGTGAATCCATGGGGAATCGATCTCGCCAGTTTAACCTCGGTACTGTGTAAATCTATCCAAGAACAGCAAGGCCAAATCAATAATCTCAAAGCTGAACTCAATGAGTTGAGAGCGATTATGTCTGAGTAAATATAGAATGGTATCTGTCAAACTCAGTTCGTGGCGAAGACCGCTTGCCCTCAGACTACTAACGCTAATGTCGTTGATACTGATCAACTACAATGTGATCGAATTGTCGAATTCCACGAGAGGGGTATATATGGTATTGGCTCAGGGATAATTTCGCACCGATAAATATAGAGCAGATCTTGAGTTCTTCGTTGTAATAGAGTATCATGGGCTGCGGACCAAGTAAAACGATCAAAAAGAACCTGACTAACCCTGAAACTGGCCAAGTCATCGGTTCAATAACGATGCACGCTGGAGTGGTTTCGATAGGGAATAATGCTTATATCCCAATGTACAACGTACATAGTGGCAAGAATGCGGTCATGGCTATCGATATCGGAGATAAAAAATCAGACTCTATCGCGAGAAGAAACAGACGTATGCATCTAAGTATATCCGCTCTGCTCTATAGAGCAAATGTCTTCACAGACTTTGACTTTTTTTTTGGCTGGTAAGCCCAGACTCGGCCGCCTTCCGTTTGGGTAGATGCCTCCACCTTCTTGGTCGACTTGTCGAGGTCAGTAGCCCACACAGCGGCTTGGGTCTTCTGGGGACGATCATGAATGATGAGGTTCTTCATGATAGCTTTCAACTCAGCGACGTTGAGGTCGCTATTGTCACCATAGCTGCCTCCGGAACTGCATATAATGCGCGAGTTGAAGAAGAACATGGTTTTATAATAAACGGGTGATAATATCTTTGAACTCTTTATCATCAATCAGTCGATTGCTGTACATATCCACCGTGAGAGACTTGAGCTGCTTGATGATACTGGGGTTGTCATTTCCGAGTTGTAGCTCTCCTTTTAGCTTATCGTATTCAGCCCTAAGCGTATCTAGAGGGTCTTCTAACTTATCGTGGAAGCTGTATTGGAGATAAGTAATCAATAGAACCTCCTTGAACAGTTTCTTATCTTCAACGCTGAGCTTATCGTAAGCGGATTGATCGATACGGTTCTTATAGACAAGTGCCTTGATCATGGCTTGGAGGCTATCACTGATTTCTCACTTAGGACCACATTTACGCCGATTCGGCTGAACGATCACGAGCTTTTTAGCTTCAAGGTCGGGGATACGAATATACTTGCTTCCGATCTGCTTGTATGTGTAGGCTGACGGCGTTGCTAATCCTTGGATCTCATTGAGATTGTAGGTACGGCCTCGGCGAACTACACCTTCCAGCGGGGCAACACCTGCACCGCGCAATCCTCGACCTTGAAGCTTTCGTTTAACGCCACTGCCGGATACCTCGCTTGCCTCGGCGTATCGCTTAGCCTTCGTTTGATATATCGATTTTTTGTCGCCTTCATAGCTGATGTAGCTGCCTTCAACACCGATCTCGCTGCTTTTGAGTTATTCCCTCTAACAGCCTCTTTTGCTTCTTCATAGCGTTTCTGAGCCTCACCGTATGTCTGAAAAGCTGCTTCTGACTCATCATGAAGCTTTTGCAAGCTGTCATCGTATTCATACTCTTCAACGCTTTGCTGTCTAATATCGTGTACAGACTTTAGAATAGCCTCATTCAATATTTCAAGATTAGCATCCAGGTTTTTACGTCTTTTCTTATCAAGCTCCTTTTCTTCAAGTATCTTAGCTGCTTCTTCATCGCTCGATGGGAAGGGGTATTCAACCTCATTAAGATAGCGGTCCAACTCATCAACCCCGTTGAGTAGGGACGAAAAGGTATCCATCCACATGATATTCTTCATTAGCCCCTTCCAAGCTACACCACTCACCTGCTTGCGTGCTTTGTTTTCACGATTTAAAATATTTAGGGGTCTAGACCCCGATGGCTGCCCAAAGTAGTATGATGGATGGGACTTAACAACACCGTTGATTTTCACGATTGGTTGTAGCCGAAATGGAATATCAATACTATTAGCGTGCAACTGGCTGTAGTAATCAGTTAAGATATTCTTGGCGTCGTTATCAGCGTTTGATAGGCTTGGGTCCATGTCTTCATCAATACCACTCATTAACTCATGCTGAGCTTCACCATTAGCTGGGGTAAAATCATTTATGTGTTTGGTTTCATTGCTACCAACTAGTTCTAACTCGAGGCCCCTGGCTTTAGTCATATTAATGAAAGATTGGAATGTCATTATCCTGTTCACTTTCTGAGTGATTGCTTACTTCACACGATCGCTATCTTTCCCGTAAACGCTAATGCTATTGCCATTGATCCAAACATAGCCATCTTTGTCAATAGGAGAAGATTTTGCGGAACCATTAAGAATTGGTACAATCTTCTTTATCAATCCGTTAGATTCAAGGACTTCCCTATTTCTGCTAATTGTCCAAAATATTTTGAGCTTGCTGTCCATTTGATCGGATCTTGTGAATGTTCCAGTATCGAACACAAAACTGTCGTCAAGTCTGTGTTTAGAGCGGTTTGGATAATCTCCTTCTGAGGCATTGATTCTTTTTCTTTTTGAGCCAATATTTTGCCAAACCTAGTATGGGCTATTTTTGTCCTCTTTACCCATCTCATTACGTCGCTCCTTCTCATTGACGTATGCGAGGAATCTGACATCATTAATTAATACCTCACCAATATGGTCATACGTCTCAGACCAATCAATGCTCGGAACTAGTACATATTTTCTTAGTTTAATACTGTACACCTTAGCATCCATCCCAATATAATACTTAGTAAGCTGCCGGCCGTTGGAAGCAATAGGGTGAATATTTAGTTCTGCAAGGATGGGGTCAACCTCGAAGATTTTAGCGACCGCTTCCTTTGACTTTGTTTGATTTTTCATCTCAGCATTGCCTTCGTCGAACAAATCTTCTTCGACGGGGTTTTGCGGCAGTGGACTATCAGGGCCAACACTAGCATCTGTCATTCTTGCACTATTACCAACTCCAACATCAGTCATATCGGGGCTCACGTGGACCCAACCATCACTGGTTTTGGGCTTAGCAGTACTGGAAGCATCAACGGACTGAGGCTTTGCAGTAGTCGATGCATCGGTCATTTCAGGTGTTGCATTAACTTCAGCATCTACCATTGTTGAGGACTCAGGTGTTTTTTGGAGTTTTCAATATTCAGACTTTTTTTTAACTCTTCCGGCGTAGCCTCGTCAGGGCCAACCGAAATATCAGAGTGAGCGGATTGTGTTGATTTCTTTGGAACAGTAGTGATACCATTCGCGATATCGCTAGCCCATGATGCACCTTCGTACATAAGGGGCTTGGACTTGGCTTGACGAACTCGGCGCTCAGCTCGTTCGAGTAGCTCCTGCCGCTTTTGCTCTCGTTGAGCGAGGGATGTAAAGTTGGGAAACATCGTCTAACTATATCATGGTAGTCATAAAAAAATATTAGCATCGATTAAATACATACTCACCAATAGCTTGGCATAACGGAGTCATGCCTAAATGGTTGATACGTATGCCAGATACGGTTTCGCTCATTGAGGAGATTGATGTATCGATCCTTGATGCAATGAAACGGCACACCAAATATCGTTTCTAACTGGTCGCGGTACTGTAGATTGCACACAGTTTTCCGGAAATTGGCTACTGGGTCTAAATCTCTGAGTTCATTTTTGATTCGACTAACCTCTTGAATTATCCACAGCTTTCTTCGGAGCTGTACAAGCTCACGTTGATTCTCTACGCAGTTGCAACACATTCTATATATGAAGTCATATATTTTTAAGCATTATTTTTGGAATATAGATGGATAGATATAGATGAGTCAACGCTTACAGAGGATTGCTCTATTAAACTTATTTCGAAGCTAGTTCGACTCATTTTTTATCGACTTCCAGTACTCATTCTCTAATGTTGATCTCTTGTTATTATTGACTAATCTAAGATTATCTTGTGGCTCCCAGGAGTCAAGTTCATTACCAACCCACTGAACGAGATACTTGTACTTGCCGGATCGCATCTTTTTGTGGTCTAAGATCTTCTCCACCTCTAAAATATCACCTCTGTTGATAGTAGCTTCAGATGTTTCTGCTTTAACAATTTTTAGATCGTTTGGCCCCTTGTAAAGAGTGTGTCCGTTTTTCGACTTGATTAGGATGCGGTAGCCGTCAATACCTACCACCGAATACACAGCCTTAGACCATGTTGCTGCTTCTTTATCAAATGTTTTCTTTTTTAGTCGATACAAAACCTTTTCACCGACCTCGAACTCGTTTTCGATCCTCTCGGCTTCAGCGTGGTTGTGGACTAGTTCAGATTCAATTACCTTACCTTTAGCTTCGTTGGGGGTCATACCAATCGTCCGATGGGTCGTGCAATTGTAGTTCTCAATAACAGCAGCTATGAGCTTCTGGGTTAGTCGCTTTGGTTCGATTTTGACAAGGCGCTGCTTCAGAGTTCTATTGAAGCGTTCAACTTTACCCATTTTGGCGTGATCTCCAGGCTCATTGTTGAAATGGTCAATTTTCTTAGTTTTGGATAATTTCTGAGCCTGTTGGTTCATGAATTCTGAACCATTATCGGTTGTGAGAATGTCAACCTTATGGAGGCGGACAAAAACCCTAATTGCTGCTAGTACGGTCGGGCCAGTTTTGTTGGTTAGTAGTTTTGCGTAGCTTAGGCGAGAGTTGATGTTGATCGCAGTCAAGATTGGTCTTTTCTCCCAAAACGCCAAGTCCATCTGCCACGAATTGGGGTTAGTCGATGCGATTTTGAACCCATCGTATCGCTTCTTCTGCTCCTGAAATCGCTGAATATCGCTCTGGTTTGAGTACCATTCCTTGACGATTTTCATCGTAATCTTCGGCTCCAGTTCTTTAGCCTTCTGGTACAAGGCTTGAGCACCCACATAGCCCGTTTTGGGGTCATAGTATATTTTGGACAACAGCTGATCCATCGCTCTATATGGTTATAAAACAAAAAAATCCCCTGCCAGGTAGTTGCTTATATGTCGAGCGGTTCGGTGGTGATACCATCCGCAAGTACACGACGCTTGTCATAATAGTAGTTTAGAGCTGTTTTAGTCTGGGTGTACGTAACGATTGACTTACTCTCCTTACTGAGTCTAAACCCCTTGTTGGTGCCCTGTAGCGTGATGCGATCGCAAACAACTGATTCAAAGCCATCTGGGTTGAGGACGTCGCCATTGCGGCCACCACTCTGCTGGACTCCCTTCGCTGAAACCTTGACCTTTAAGATTCGTCTGGTAGGTTGCAAATGTAGTTCTTAGAGGGCAATGATACCATAGCATCACCAGACCACTCATCCTTGAACAAACCTGGCGTTCGGCGATCAAACTGAGCCATCTCTTCGCTATAATCACGTGGAAACCACTCGTACTTATGCTGCTGAAAATGCTCACGAAGCTCGGGCTTGATACACTCAACGAATGGCTTTTCACAGCTGAACGCAATATAAGCCGAGTCTGTGTCCATTTCTTGGTACTGGAATTCCGAACGGTCGAAGTAGAAGTCAATGCAATCATAGTAGAATTGCAACATACGGAGCTTAGCGAGCTGATAGATTGCAATCGATAGATGAATTGGGTCCTTATTGTTGAACTTTCGCTTCTTCATAGTGAATTCACATGAATCATTCAGCTCTTCCATTCCATGGAAGGTGAAGTGCTCAATCTTGGCCTTGATTGCCTTATCATCCGACTCATACCTGACCTCCTTGTGCTTGCTCATGTCCATGCCAGATCGACCAAACGCACTATTACCAACCAGTTTCATCATCTCAGCAATCATAGCCATATTATTGCTACCCTCACTAAGCGTTTTCAGCTTAGTCAACAAGTCTAGAACCAAATGAATCTTAGGATTGGTTGTCGATTCATTCATGAATCTATCGATAATGAGCGCATCAAATGATTTAGGGTTCGTAATGATTTTTTTCAACTCTTGGACTAAATAATCCATATCAGAGTCAGATACCTTCTCAATAATGATCTTACAGATGGATTTAACATTTTCATCACCCTCTCGTCGCGCGCTCGATACGGCTTTCATGAATGGTGCAAATGCCTTGTGAGATCTAGCCTTGATGAAGCTGTAAGTCTTGGTGATCTCCATACCATGAGAAATGTACCATTTGAGTAGCGGTGCATAAATGAGGATCTTCTCACCAAAGTAGCTCCCGATGAGTTTGCGAGCCGGCTGTGCTTGCGCTCCTCGTTGTACTCGAACATGTGCTGACCGATGACACTCCGATCGCTGCAGTCGATAAGGGTGTTCTTGAAAATTGGGGTCATTTCACTGAAGTAGGGTTTGAGGTGCTCTGGTGTACGGATATCACACTCGAGGAAGCCAAAGATCTTGTCATATACAATATCATCGACGATCCCTGTGTATGCTTCGATGGTAGTCAACCGTCCACATGGCATCTCATTACCAAGAGCCCACAAATACAGAGCATTAGCATCGTAGCCGATGATCTTTTTGCAGATCCTACCCCCTCGAATCTTGATCTCGTTGCGTTTCGCGTATCTGTTGAAGATGATAGAAGGACCACCAGCAATGTTCGCATTCATCTTGGTGTAGATGTCCTTCTCCTCTCTATCGATACTGTACACCAACCTGTCTGAGTCGAATTCAAGTAGCTTCTTGTGGCGAAAGCCCTTTAGCGGCATGTTCTTGTGAGCAACGTTGCATCCCACACAGCTGATCAAGATATTACCATCGATGTGTCCGAGCTTGTTATTGATTCGGTCAGCCGAGGCAGTATCAGCTGTGAGTTGCTTGTAGCATAGCCCACACAGGTACTTTCGTCGCTCTAGCAAGTCGTTGAGGTGTTCTAGCGTCATATTGAATTCACGATCGGCATCAGCATCCTGGGTCTTATATCCACTTAAGCGACTAGCGGGAAAGTCAAACGCTTCAACTTGGTTGCTGGAGGTTGTTGAAGCACGTCTGATACATGCCTATCTCAGAGAGACCAGGTAGCGACACACCATCAGTGAACATATCAAGTTCGGAACGTTTGAATAGTTCTCGCTGGGCTTTGATGGCCTTGATGAAGGGTACTACATCGAGGTTGTTGTACCAAATGAGTAAATCCTTGATTGACTTCATGCCATAGTGTTCCCAGACGAACTGTACCCGCACATAGTCCTCATCGCTGATGCTAGTGCTACGAAGAGCACTGTCGAACGCCGACTTAGGAGGGACTTCCGGCTGACTGAGTACGTCAAATGAAGTAATGTACTCGTACGGGAAGATGCCTTTTCCTAGGCCACAGACGCATCGAATCTTGTCATCACACTTGCACTCACCGAGATATGTCGACAAGTACTTCGCATAGCTAGTGCCTGCCGGAACATAGTTGCCAATGTCAAGCATTTTCATGTCTGACGTGGCGATGCACATGTAGCTAGGGTTCTTGATGACTGATGTGATGTTGTCAGTACCGATGACTGCAAACAGGTCCGCCTTGATAAGGTTGATGTTGTAGCGTCCAGAGTTGAATCCGAATACTGGTACCTGACCAATGCACTGCTTCAGCTTGCCATAATCCGAGCGCTTCTTACCGAATGTGAGCATGCTGTGGAAATCGAAGAAACAAGCAAACTCCCCGTTCTGAATCCAAGCATTGACATCATCCATCTTGTACGTCTTACCCAAGCCTAGACCAGGAACCTCAGCGTCAGTCAAACCATGGACGTTGATGATTTTGCGGAGCAAAGACTCGTACTTCGAGACGTTGTACTGCTGAATCTTAGCCGCAACTTCCTTGATGTACTGGAACCTATCCTTGAGCAACTCCTTCGGGTCATCGCTGACAAAGCATCGCACCTCCTCAGTCAACCTGGCGCGGTTCTCGAGCAAGTCGAACACCGTGGACGTCACAAACTGTTTATGATGCCCAGAGTTCATCTCAGCATGCAGCGCCATCGCTGCGATAGCGTCGCCCATGAAGATGTTGCTCTTTTGGATCTCGGATAGCTCCAGACACTGCTTGACGTGCTTGAACGCCTTCTTGTTGGTTTGTAGCTGCACCTTCAGCAGCCCATTCTCGCCCTTGGCCGCCTCATATCGACGCTTCTCGCCCTCTGCAACGTCTTGCCAGAATCTGGACGGGTCTTTGCTTGCAGAACGCAGTTTTCGGCCTTCCAGGGACGCCAGGAATGCTCGGAGCGCCATTCCGGCGACTCCTTATCCGCTTCAAGGTCTCTAGCTTGGATGTGAGCGCCACAGTCTTCGCCCGTAGAGCCAGTAGCTCCTCCTTCCGGCGCTTCCAGCTCTGCGTTGAGTAGCAGGTTGCTGCTCTTTTGTCTTCTTCTTCTTCTTCTTCTTCTTCTTCTTCGTCGTCGTCGTCGTCGTCGCTTTCACTGGCTTGAGATGTGCTGTCGGGTGAAATTCGAGAACGTCCATTTCCTGTAAGAAGTTCCGGTGGATGCTCTGCTGAGTGATCGCTGCCGTTGGCTCAACGCTTGTACTGAAGGCGTCAATAGAGCCTTAAGCAGATGCAACATCGCGGCGTCGTCGGCGTCTCGTGTGGGCGTCATATCGCTGGTTTAGGGGTGGTTCTTGCGGGTGGGGAATGATGGCTAAGAGGATAACGGCACCGAGAGGGCGAAATCATGCGGGTCGGCATGGTAAGTTAAGTAAGCCTTTGTTGTTTCTGTTGTACTACTGCTTCACGTAGTCATTGCTACGTGGAGCAGTTGATCACATCATGATCACTTCATTATTCTAATTGTTATTGATCGCGAGAAGTTCCTAGCACAACAACTGAAGACAGGATCAGAACCGTTCAGTGCGTGTTTCCCAGTTACCAATTCTGAATTTATCAAAGAGCAAGCTCATGACGCCTCAATATATTATTTATCTATGTACTTCACCCATCGGAACAATAAAGTGACGGTTCTAGCAGCTTGTTATCTAGTTTGCGAAGACGATGTTCCAGCATTTTACCGAACGCAAGAATAATGATTTTGCACACATGGCGAGAAAGCAGCGACGGAATTTTTGGAATGTAGGACAAGTTCCCCCATACTCGTCCTCTTTTTCCTTAAAAGGATATACTTAAGTAATCTAGTTTCGTCCGAGCTCTGGGATCCTCGTTTCAATCTTGAACATGTTCACCTTCATTACATTTCGCATCACTTCCGCATTCTTGTCTAGAGACCAAGCCACTAAGCAGGTACGTTTAATGTGTACGTTCATCGCTTCACAATTTTACAATACGATCCCAATGAAGTGGCAAGTAATAGGGACGTACTGCTTCGTACAGGACATTGTATGTGTTCCCCACTAATCTGTGCGCTAAAGCGACGAATCTAGCAGCTTGTTGTCCACAAGTTGGTGCCGGGACTCAATGATTTTGCGGAACGAAGGGATCATGACCTCGCCGACACCACGGGAAAGCAGCGATGGGGTTTTGTGAGAGACGTCAGACATTTTTAGCCCCCACTCGTTCTCTTGGAGGTGCAGCCCAGTCTGGAGCTGACACAGTCCGCCTTCAGCAACGGGATGCACTATTCCCCAGCCAGAGTCCCGGGTCACATGTCTCCACTCTTCCGAGCAAGAGGGTCTTACGAGCCACTCGCTCACGCCTTCAATCATGACGATGAAGCCTTCTGGAACAAGGAAGCGCTTCATCACACACCTCGACCGGATCTCCACGACACCCCCACAATCGAGTTGGTTAGTGAAACAACCATCCGACACCATCAAGTTGTCGGACCGCTTAACGATATTCAACTGACCGTCCGGCACAGCGCCTAGGTCCATCACGTTCCACATAACTTGGGCCGTTTTCTCGGCGGAGTAAGGCATTAAACGCGTGCGCTTTAGCTCCAAGGCAGTGGTCACGTCCTGGTTCATAGTCCTCCGACGAACATTGACCTGATCCAAATCCAGCTCAGGAAGACGAACGCAAGAGTCTAGATAAATGCTGTTCAGGTCCACGAGCCGCTCGTCCGCGCGGTTTTCCAGTAGATCAAATACCACGGAGCTCACAAATCGCTCGGAATCTAACTCCGCCACTGGAACAAAGCTGTACGTGGAAATCTCACTCTGCTGGACCTTCACCAGCTCCAGCGCTTCCTTCACGTCCTCGAACGCTCGCTTGTTACGCTCCAATCTCGTCTTCAGCCGCGCGTTCTCGCTTCTTGCCTCCTCACATCCAAGTCGCTCGCTCTCGGCGACATCCATCCAGTATTTGCGCAGCGGGTCTAGTGCCATCGTGCGATCCCTTTTCAGCTTCGAGGTCTCCAATAGAGTATGCAGAGCCTCTGCTTCCGCCCGGAGACTTTGTAGCTCCTCCTTCCGCCGCTTCCATGAGGGGGCCGGCTTGATACCGGCTCGCTGCCGTGTCGTCTTCGCCTCCCTCTTCTTCCTCGCCGGTTGCTTTCCACGCTTCGGCGTCACGGGGTTCATGTTCAGTACATCCATCTCCTGCAAGAAACTCTCTAGCACGCTCTGCTCCATCGATGAAGGTGCGGCGCTAGATAGCAGCGCGAGCAGCTCGGGCGATTGCAACATTGCAACACCGTGGAGCCGGCGGGTGTCGCGCTTATCGTTGGTTATGGCGTAAGCTTCAGTTTGAGCCCGCAATGCTTCGAGTTCCCGTTTCCTCTTGAGCCACGAAGGATTCAGCCGCTTCTTCTTGACAAGCCTCGGGGTCTGAACGACGGCGGGCTGGGGTGGTGGTGATACCTTGGAGACTGCTTCATGGCCCTTCGGTTTTGGCTGGTGGTGGTCCAGGGCGGTCATGTCGTGGAGAAACGCCTCGGGGACATCGTCACAGTCTGTTGCAGCTTCGCGCATTGTGTGGCCTGCCTCCGCGTGAGTTATGGCGACTGAGCGAGGCCACGAATGCCGCATTTACCGTGGTGCGATGATGACGCCATGCACTGGTTTTATTCACGACTACCGGTCTCGATTCCTGTGCAGTCGATCAGGAATGGAGCCATGACCTATGAACCTCCAGCAAGCAAGTTGCTGGATGACGATGTCGAATGAGAAACGAAGCTTACCAGGGAGGGTGTGTTAACCTTGGGTCAATTATTATTATAATAGTTTCGCGTCGTTCATGAGCTCTGCGTCCGAGAGCGGATGATATCGAATAGTGCGTTCTCAACAAACTGGTGGCGGGAGTTTACAAGCTCTCGGAAGGACGGGATCACCACTTCATTCACTCTTTGAGGTGCTTCCAGCGGATCACAGTCGGGAAGAACGGGTCGAAGTCGGAGCACCGATCGGGCTTGACAGATACCAGAGGAGGCGCCGCATTCCACCGGGTAGTCGCGCATTGCGAAGCAGCCGCCTTCGTGCGTCGAGTGGCTCCATTTGCCTGTGTTCGGGTGGTCGGCTGTCCAATTCGAATTCGACTCCGTCATGACGACGACTCCTTTCGACGTGGCGAAGCGCTTGAGCACACTGGAGCTGCAGAGGTCGATGGTGCCTCCCGAAGCGAGCTGCACGGTCACGCGGGACTTGACACCGTACACGTCGTTCGACAGTCGCGTCAGGACCGAGTCTTCGCCATCTGGGAAGCTGCCCCTCTCGATGATCGTCCAGAACGCAGAGAACATGTCGGCGTTCGGGAACGGAAGCAGCTGGAGACGCGCAAGCTCCACAGATCCCAGCACAGACGTCTCGACCACGTCGGTATCAATTGAGGTCATGGGCTGCTCCATGCGAGCGAAGGACTCCTCCAGCTCGTAGAACCGCGCGTCCACTCGTGTCTGGAGCAGCTGGAAGACGTCCGAATCGCTAGTCAACTGGAGCCGATGCTCTTGTGTGGCCGATACACTAGGATACACCAACTGCCGTTGGCGACTGTCTTCAGTAGCGGCCAGCAGCGCCTTTGCCTGCGCCACAGAAACCTTGAGGTGCTCGCGAAGGCGCTCGTTCTCCTGCTGCACGTCCTGCCGCCGCTTCTTCTCCACCAACGCCCCCGTCCTCGCCGCACTCTCGTCCATACTTGAAGCACGTTTCATCTGCAGGTACAGGACGCGAGTCTCCATCGCCGCCGCGTGCTCTTGCAGCGCCTGCAGCTCGTGCTTGCGCTTGAGCCACGTCGGATTCGTGCGCCTCTTCTTGGATCCAGCTGCAGCTCGCTTTGCGGGCTTGGAGGCGGGCTCTGGCGCCCTGCGTTGGTCCGGCATCTGCTGCAGATGGTCGAGCGCCTCCATGTCGTGCAGGAAGCTCTCCAAGACGCCCGCGCACTCGTCCATACGAGGCGGAGATGTCATCGTTGGCGAGAAATCCCAGAGCCAGTTTGTATGGGTGTATATTTTTTTATCAAACCCCAAATAGTCCGACACATTTTTGGCACCAGGTGATACCAAACTGTACTGTCCGTACTTAAGTATTACAGTACAGAGCCTGCCATGTACGAAGCCATCCCTGCCGCGTACTGCCCCGTCCTGGACGCGGAAGCGCTCCTGACCATCGTAGACGACGTCTGGGGTGACCAAGAGCTCCCCAGTATCCCCCTCCAGACACTTGTTTCGGCGGACCAAGCCTCGGACTCGACCCTCTCCACGGACGCCAATGTCCCGGAAGACTGCGCAACTTCGTCCACAGACCAGGAGCAAGAGCCCAAGAAGCCCAAGAAGAAGCGGCGACGGGACCGGAACCGGCCGTGGCACGAGATCGCACGTCTGCAGTCAGAGTCGGAAGCGCTGGGGCGGGACGGCCGGACAGTAGAGTGCTAGAGGACCGTAGAGAGAGACTGCGGGGGCTGCGGTGCCAATAGTTGGCGCCTTGGCCGAGGGGTCTGTGTGTGCGAATGTACCGTGCGGGCCAGGTGGCTTGTGCAGGGCGACGCACGGCGGCCCGTTACATATTTCATAGGGAATAGCGGGGAGCAGCCCGGTCACTCCCAGGCCGTGGTCGCTTAGTGCTCCCTCCTCATCGTCTCTATCCTGGACCCTCAAGGGGAAAGGGCCAGTCTTAGCTGGTGGAACACTCAGCCCCGACCCGGCGATGAGTACCCGTTGCCTAGGTGGCCAGGCCACGAACAGTTCTGAGGATGTGATTCTAAGCTAGTTACCCGAACGAGGCGGGTGCTGGCGATGCTAGTTGCCCGGACGCGGCGGGCTCTAGTTGATGATCCAACCCGGGAGAGGCCCGGAGGTAACTACATGGTGGTCATGACAGGCGCCTTCCGGGCAGGAGTGTTCGAGGCTTCCTGCGGGCTTGGTGTCAGTGGCGATGAGGAGGCCCTGGATGAGCGATCCGCACTGGATAAATGGACGATATTAGAAAGGATGAGTTTGGATGAGAATGGAGTGCTAACTTTGATTTTATTACCGCTATTAGAGTCTGCGGAAATGACGACAGCGACGAGTAACACCCCACGGGACGAGCGCGCGGAGAGGCGCGCCGCTTCTATCGAAAGAACACAACAAGCAGCGAAGCAGATGACGGCAAGGACGTTGGACACGAACACAGGCGGCTCGGTCACGCTGAGCAACGAGGAGATTCGAGAGTCGACGGGCAGCACACCACTTGGAGCGGGAGTAAGCGCGAGCCTCGGAGGCATGGACGACGAACACGTCGGAGGCGAAATCCGCGGTGGCGGCGGCGATGGCCGCGGCGGCAATGGCCAAGCCGCTGGCAGTGGACACGTGGCGACTGTGGCTGGGAGAGTGCCCGCTGCAGGAGAAGAGCGCGAGCAGCGTAGCGGTGGCACCCAAGGCACCGGTGGCGCTGGCAACAACACTGGTGGGCTTCGAGCTGGCGTGGCCCAAGCTGTCACGGCATCTAGGAACGACGGAGATCACGGTGGTTCGGTCCGGCGCGGATCCCACCACCTCGGCGTACGGTGCCAGCGGCGACGACGGATCCAGCGATGCCGGCGAGGTTACCAAGCCAGCCGATCGTGGTGCGCGAGAAGGCCAAGTCGCTTAAGCTGACGAAGTTCAAGGGCCTTGACGACGCCATGCCCGTGACGATGTGGCTGAAGACCGTCCGAGCAGAAGTGCGCCGCCAAGCCGTGACGATGGGAGTCGAGTGGCAGGAGAAGCAGCTCTACCATGAGGTGGCTGCACACTTGGAGGGAGAGGCGCAGCGGTGGTTCGCCACCGTGATGGAGACAGTGCCCGAGTCGGAGGAGAGCATCGGCACGCTGGCGGACATGTTACGCGCGAAGTACATGACGCGCAGGACGGGGCCGGAGGTCGTGGACTTGCTGAACTCGCGGCGACAGATGCGCGGCGAGCGACCGCTGGAATACGCGCAGTCGCTGCGCGAGATAGCCGAGCAGGGTGACATCGGTGAGGACTGGCTCGTCAACGCGTTCTTGAAGGGGATGAGTAGCACGATCGGCGCAACAAACGTGCGCGGCCATCGCCCCAGAAACTTGGACGACGCAGTGAACCTGGCGATCCCGCATGTGGGAGACTACGGTGAGGGATACGGCGTGGGCCTGGAGGAGGACATGGCCGCGTGGGACGAGCGCGAAAGCGCCAGTGGGCGCGGGCCTCTGGCGGCGGCGAGAGCGGCACGAGATCAGGAACAAACCGGACTGAGCGGAAACAAGGGGACAGTGGTGACGGGCTATGGCCCGATGTGGGGTAAGGTCCAGAAGCAACCCTGCTATGATACTGAGGGGAGACCGGTAAGTAACGGTAAAGCCAGTTTGGACGAGTGGTGGAAGGCTATCCCACCTGACTTTCAGCTGGTGCCAACCAATCAGGGGTCAGCGGCGAACAGTTCAAAATTCAAACGGGTGGCGGCGTCCAACAGACGTCCGTACAGCAACAAAGTGGATGGCGCGGCAAGCGTCAAGGTGGCGGCGACCAGTTCGTGAGACGTCCGGGTAAGGCGCTGAAGGTCGAGGGCCACACTGGGGGCGGCCAGCTAGGAGCAGGAGGACGGCTACCCGATCCCTCCTTCGCTACGCGGGAAGGGCGGCTTCAGCGGAATGAGCAGTACGTGCGGAGAACGGCGACAGGTGGTTTCGGGGCCCGCCCGAACGACTACTGCTACTGGTGCGGTAAGGCAGGCCACTACTCGCGGGACTGCGACGTACGAAAGGAAGATCTGGCGGCGCATGCAGCCGCGTCCGCCCAGGACACGACGACGACAACGGCCGACGGGTCGGGAAATGTGCAGCGAGCATAAGGGCCCCGGCCTTATCGCTCGCTAGTCCTGATCCGGAGGAAGAACGAGATGAACGAAGTGTGCAAGTGGCCGGTGGACTACAACGGCCTGCGCAGGGAAGAGAACGGCACGGCAAGAGACCGCGAGGACGGCGTGACAAGAAGGCGAAGGTGCGTATTGAGCAGCGCGGGGGGGTCGAGACTGGGGATGGCGCCGTGCGCGCCGCACTAGCGCTTCCGCGCAGTCTATGCAATGAACGGCTTTGTAGTGGAGGTGACGCGGCGCGACAGCCGAAGGAGGGCACGTGGCCGTCCCATGGCGGCGAGGCCAAGAGGAGCGTGAGGTTCGTGGACTCCGAGGCCAATGGCAACGGCCAGGAAACACGCGAGGGCCCCAAGCCGGCAGCAGCGGCCGCGCTACTGGCCGACGAGAAGGAGAGTATGGCGAAGCACGCGTCGGAGAGCATGGTGTGCGACGGTGACCTTGAGGTCGACGCGGTACCAACGCCGAGTGGCGCCTGCATGGGGAGGAATGCTGGGGTGGCGCCGGGCGTGGCAGGCGATGACCAGGATCGTGGAGAAATCGCGGCTAGGGTCGAGGAATTGCTGGCGACGGCGATGGACGAGACGAAGACGGAAGCCTTGGACGGCGAGGCCAAGGCCACGAACCCCGGTGGCGAGCCGGAAGGTGCGCAGCTGGACGTGACCGCGGAGGACGACGGCGGCACGCCGTACGCTCTGCAGGCGGCTATTGAGACGGAGATGAAGTCGGGCGACGTGACGGCGGGCAAGGTGATGCGCGTCAAGGCCCAGAAGTCGGCGAAAGAAGACGCGATGGCCGCAGAACTCGAGCGGCAGCGTCGGAAGCGGCAGGCACGACTGGAGCACGCGCGCGCGCGTCGTGAGCGACGTGCGGAGGGAGAGCGGCTCGGAGATGGGCGTGCAGTCAGTGAGGCGACGGGCACGGTGGCGCCGGAGGCGCAGGGCGGTAGCGTCATGACAGCAGTAGGCGAGACGGCCACGAGCAAGGATGCTGAGGAGCGAGCCGCGGTGTTGGCCAGCCGCGTGAATACTGGTGACGAAGAAGCCGCGCTGGTGGTGGGCGACACGGAGCTACAGAGGTCACGAACGAGGCGACGATACGAGCGACGAGTTCGCAAGGCCCGTGCCAAGGAGTTGCGCGCTCTACGCAAGGAGTTGGACCGCCTGAAGAGGCCCGATGGCGGTTACTACGTGATGGAGTTGTACTTTCGGAGGTGCGGGAAGGGCGCGCCCCGGGTGCTGAGCCAAGAAGAGGCGGGGGCGATTGGAATCGCGCTACCAGGCGCGACAAAGGTGCGGCGGTCGAGGGGAAGTTTACCAGGAGCGAAGCAGTATGAATATCACAGTGGGAGCGTGTACGCGCATCCGCGCGAGGAGCGAGTCGAGGGAAAACAGCGACCCGTGCGCATCGGACGTCTGCGAGCAGTGCAAGCCCCAGCGGTGGACTCACTCCCTACCGCGAGGGTCAAAGTCCGGGGCAAGGACGAGAGGATCAAACTGGATACCGGTGCCCAGTATAGTGTTGCCGGCGAAGCGTGGTGTGGACTCGGCGAGCGGCTGGACGCGCTGCCGCCAGTCGGCTACTTAGAAGGCTTTACGGGCGCTGTGGCCAAGGTTCTGGGCGTGTGGAGGTTCCGTATGCGGACGCAGTACGGCCAGATTATGGAGGTGGACGCGCTCATTGTCGAGGGCGCAACCACGGAGTTCCTCTTAGGCGAGGATTGGATGTTAAGGCGCGGAGTCAAGATCGACTTCGTGTCATGCGAAATGAAGTGGTACGACAGCGGGGAAAAGAAGGTGGTGCCGTTCACGTGTTCGCAGGCAGAGCGGTACGACGAGCGACCGGCGAAGGTGCGGCTGGTGAAGAAAGCGCGAATGCAGGCACAGACGTGCCGTGCCGTAACGTAACGGTGGCGGTGGCGGCACCCGAAGGGACAGTGGGTATCTTCATGCCGAAGCCAAGGAGCAAGGGCAACCTGCTAATGGCGCCGACGCTGACGTCAGTTCGCGGGGGCAAGGTCGTTGTGCCCATGCTCAACCTAGTCGGGGCGACGACCAAGCTCCCATCACGCGAGGTACTAGGAACGTGGGCGCCTACGAGTGATGACATGACGGTGATGGAGCTCAACGGCGAGCTGACGAACGACAAGGTCAAGCGATGGCTGGACGAAAAGTTCGGCAACGCGGGCCCGCTGGGCAACGAGAACGAGTTGAAGATCGAGCACATGAGCGCTGAGGACAAGGAGCTGCTGTTGCAGCTGCTGCGGCACTACCCAGCGCTGCTAGAGCCAAGAACGGGATGCCCACCGGCGACCACGCTGCCGGTGGAGCACGAGATACATACGGGCAGCGAGCCGCCGATTAAAGTGAGGCCGCGGCGGTACGCGCAGAGTGAGCACGAGATCATTGATAAGGAGGTGAAGGGCATGCTGCGCGACGGGGTCATCGAGGAGGGCAATGGCTCATGGGGGTTCCCAGTCGTATTAGTTAAGAAGAAGGACGGATCAGTGCGCTTCTGTATTGACTACAGAATGCTCAACGCTGTTACGAAGCGTGACGTCTACCCCTTGCCCAGGATCGACGACACCCTGGACAATCTACATGATGCGAGGCGGTACACGAGCTTGGACCTCCACGCCGGGTATTGGCAGGTACCCGTGGCGCCCAAGGACCGTGACAAGACCGCGTTTGTGACGAGGCAAGGACTGTTTCGGTTCCTGCGCATGCCATTTGGGTTGGCAAACGCACCAGGGACCTTTCAAAGGATGATGGACGCGGTGTTGAGAGGGCTAATGTGGCAAACATGTTTAGTTTATCTAGACGATGTTATCGTCTTCTCTAGAGGAGGCGTAGGCCAGCACGTCGTCAAGCTGGCGATGGTGTTGGAGCGTCTGAGCAACGCGGGGCTGTCGCTGAAGGCCAAGAAGTGCTCGTTCGCGACGGAGTACTTGGAGTATTTGGGGCACGAGTTGAACGAGAACGGGGTGCGCCCCATGGAGAGCTTGGTGGAGAGTGTGTGAACTTCCCCGTGCCGAAGGACGCGGCCGCGGTGAAGAGCTTCGTGCACATGGCGGGGTACTACAGACGATTCGTGCCGAACTTCGCGGCGAAAGCACCGCCGTTGACGCTGTTGTTGCGCAAGGGAGTGGTTTGGCGCTGGGCTGAGCCCCAGCAAGAGGCGTTTGAATGCTTGAAGCGGGCGCTGACGGAGCGGCCGCTGCTGGCCTATCCTGATTTCTCGCGACCATTCACGTTGGTGACAGACGCCTCGAAGGTAGGACTCGGAGCGGCGTTAACCCAGGACCAAGGGCAGGGCGAGCAACCCGTAGCGTACGCATCGAAGATCAACTCGAAGGACGTAGCGCAGTATGGCATTACCGACCTCGAGTGTGCGGCAGGGATCTGGGCCGTCAAGCTGTTCCGCCCGTACCTGTACGGACGGCGGTTCCGACTGGTGACGGACCACGCCGCGCTGAAGTGGCTATGATTTCAAAGGACCTCACGGGTAGAGTGCACCGGTGGGCACTACAACTACAGGAATATGATTTTGAGATTGTCTATCGCCCGGGCAAGGACAACGTGGTCGCAGACGCTCTCTCGAGGGCACCAGTACGAACGGTGGCTGGTAGAGGTGCGAACGAAAGAGCAACAGGAGGGGAAGGGCAGCTGACTGACGGCGAGATCGCCGAGGAGCAGGCGAAGGACAAGACGGTGCAGAACCTGAAGAACAAGGGGAAACACGGCGATCGGCGGGTAGGAGTCGAGGGCGAGCTGGTTTACATCTACGAGAGAGACGGTAGCAGACGTGTCGTGCTACCGTCCTCGTTGTGGGCAAAGGTCCTACGCGAGAACCACGACTCGATCTTCGCATGTCATCTGCGAACATCTCAAACCTACACTAAGATTGCAGCCAACTACTGGTGGCCGGATATGCGGGCGTGGGTGAGACGATGGGTGCAGTCTTGCCGTGACTGCGGTACGAGGAAGGCGAGGGCGAACGAAGTGATCCCTCCGCTGCGGAGTCAGGGCGTGGGAGATGCTGGTGATCGTTGGGCGCTGGATGTAGCAGGCCCGCTGCCGGTAACGGACAAGGGCAACCGGTATGTGGTGACAGCCGTGGACTATGCCACGAGGTATGCGGTGGTGGCCGCGGTGCCGAACCACAGGGCGCCAGACATCGCGGACTTCATCTTCGAGAAGCTGGTGTTGGTGTACGGGCCCATGAGGGAGCTCGTGATGGACGGAGCGCCCGAACTGAGCGGGGCAGTGGTGGAGGCGCTGGTGAGTGCTCTCCAGGCGAAGCAGTTGACGCCGGTGCCGTGTCCGCCGGCTCTGCTCGGCTTGGTCGAGCGTTTCCACCGGACGTGGAAGGATATGGTCGCGATGTTCGTGTCGGAGGCACAGAGTGATTGGAATCGATGGCTGCCGCGCGCGGCCTACTCCTACAATGGTGCGAGGCATTCAGGAACGGGGTACAGCCCCAACGAATTGATGATGGGCCGACGTCTTCGGGCCCCGAATGAGCTGTTGCGGGCGAGTGGCGCCACGCAGGTCGGCGTGTTCGCCGAGTATCATCGAGCGTTGGTGAGGAACATGGCGACGGCAACGGAGGCGGCCAAGAAGGCGCTGGTCAAGGACCAGTTGAGGCGGGCTAGGTACTACGATCGACAGGTGCGGGCGCACAACGAGTTCGCGGTTGGCGACAGCGTGTAGGTGCTGCGACCACCTCGTGGCAAAGGAATTACGAAACAGGCCCATAAGTGGCTGGGCCCAGCTCGTATTGTAGCAGACGCGGGCTTTGATAATTGGGAAGTGCTACGCGAGGACAATGATGAGCGGGTGATCACGCACTGCAGCTTCTTGGTGAAGTGCAGTTGCCCGAGTAACTCACTGGGCGTGGTGGCGGAGCGCATGCTTCGAGAACTGAGCGAGGAAGAGGTGACAGCTGGCGGTGCCGCCGAGGAACAAGAGCGGACTCAGAGCAGTGAGGATGCGACCGCCCGGGCGGAAGGTGGCACGCAAGAGATCAGGACGGACACGAGTGGCGCTAGAACGACCGCTACGACACCAGTGAGCGCTGACGAGGCGTCGAGGACGGTGACGGGCACGCTGCCTGTGGCCGCTGGACAAGAACCGAGGCCGATGGCAACGGCGCGGAGCGGGCCGAAAGCCGCTGGGCCAAGAATAGAGACGACGAGCGCCATGGAGGCGGCGGCCGAGGCTGTTCCAAGGCCTCTGCCGGCAGAGTCAAAGCGGAGCCGCTGGCGGCAAGAGCGGCCCCAAGCCGAAGAGAGGAACGATGAAGTGCAAAAGAAGCGCCGGCGAACAGAAGCTGACGAGGCTTGTGGAGCGCGGGCAGCTCGGCGCGAAGCTGCACGTCGCCAGCAGGAAGCCGCAGCGTCGAAGGCGGTGGCTGCAGATGAAGATCGCGGGATTCACGGCGGTGCGCAAGCCGACGAGCGAGAAGCCAGTGCAGCCGCTGGACGAGCACGACCCGCGCAGCGAGGAGGTGTTCGCCGTGAAGCAGGAGCCAGTCGAGAGTGTGGAGACGGCCCCGGTGCTGAGGACGCTGGAGGTAACGGTGATAGAACGAGTGGTGTCGCTGACGCCACGGTGGGTATGCTTCGTGGACGTGGACGGCCACGACAGCCAGCTCCAATGCCAGAGCTCCTACAAGTCGCGACGGCAGGGCATATCGTGGAGCGGGCGCGAAGACGGGTCCGGAATCGCGCGGGCCGCTACGTAGTCGAGCACGAGGTGGAGTACACGACAAGACCAGGGATGCCGGTAGGACGGAGGTGGCTCAGTGCTGCTGAGTACGAAGAGCTGCTGGACGCCGGGAAGATCGCGGACGATCTTACGTCCGGGGATGGCGTGTAGTTGGGGCGGACCGTCACTTGCAGCGGCAGCGAGAAGAAACTGCTCGGCGAGCAGGTGACGCCGGTCGTGCTCAACGTGGTGTACGTTGCGTAGATCGGGGCAAGAGTGTGCGAGGGACGTCGATCGGTGGCAAGGACTAGCCAGCTGGCTGCCGTCACGTGCGTGGGATAGCTAGAAGCTCGAAGGTTGAAGATGGAAGATCGCGAGGGAGACGACACGTCCGGCAGGGACAGTGAGCAGTATGAGGACAAGGCGGGTCGACATGGAGGCGAAGGATGTGAGGCTCGGAGGCCTCGAGACGGGCGATGCGCCCCGAAAGGGGAGAGGTCCAAGCAGGTAGCTTAGGTGAAGGGCGCCGTTCCCGTAGGTAGATTGTATAGGGGGCTTCGTAGGAGAGCGGCGAGCAGCGGCGTGCTGCTCGACTCTCAGTCAAGATTTAGTGCAGGACGGGCATTAAGTGGAGACTAATCTGAGGAACTTGGCGCTGGAGCACTGGTTGTGAACGCCGGACGAGGCCAGATACAACGTAAAACGAGGTACGCCGTACGGGAACGGCGGGGACGGCCGGACAGTAGAGTGCTAGAGGACCGTAGAGAGAGACTGCGGGGGCTGCGGTGCCTATAGTTGGCGCCTTGGCCGAGGGGTCTGTGTGTGCGAATGTACCGTGCGGGCCAGGTGGCTTGTGCAGGGTGACGCACGGCGGCCCGTTACATATTTCATAGGGAATAGCGGGGAGCAGCCCGGTCACTCCCAGGCCGTGGTCGCTTAGTGCTCCCTCCTCATCGTCTCTATCCTGGACCCTCAAGGGGAAAGGGCCAGTCTTAGCTGGTGGAACACTCAGCCCCGACCCGGCGATGAGTACCCGTTGCCTAGGTGGCCAGGCCACGAACAGTTCTGAGGATGTGATTCTAAGCTAGTTACCCGAACGAGGCGGGTGCTGGCGATGCTAGTTGCCCGGACGCGGCGGGCTCTAGTTGATGATCCAACCCGGGAGAGGCCCGGAGGTAACTACAACATCCCTGTTTTTATATCGAGGAGCTGCAAGCAGCTTTAAAGTCAACGTTTCCTGCACTACCAAACATTTCTAGTAGAAATTTTCTACTGCTACTATATGCCGTGCTCTGAAATTCGAGCTTGGTTTAACGCGCAAGACCACGACGAAGAGAGCGAAAGAAAACGTCCCCGCCGAAATCGGTGCTTACTATTATGCAAGGAGCTGGCGCCATTCTATCGGGGACCTTATCAGTTTGTTTTTTTGCAGCGACAACCGATTTATTCTTGCAGTGGCAACCGCTCCGTCCTTGCTCTGCGTTGTGCTTGGTACTGGCGGTTGATTAGCTTAACTTTAACTTAGAGTTAGGCTGCGAGATATGATCACCGGGAAGGATTTGCTCGTTGGTTTAGAGCCCTTAATCACATGCCAAAGTTCGTGCAAAGCATAATAAATACTACATACTATACTATGTAGCCATGTTCCATGAAGCTCCAGCAAGTGTTTTTCTGGATGAAGGGCACTTTGACATGTCAAATGAGAAGCGCAGGCAAATTGTGGCTGATATTTTACCAGTGCGAGTTAATCTTGGGTTAATTTCCACAATGGTCCTCTTGATTAAAAATTTCGCTTCGTTCACCTGCCCCGCGTCCGAGACCGGATGATGTCGAACAAGGCGTTCTCAACGAACTGGTCGCGCGAGATCGCAAGCTCCCGGAAGGACGGGATCACCACTTCGTTTACTGCCTGTGCTCTGAAGGCCACCGGTTGAAGTCGAAGCACAGATCGAAGCTGACAAACACCACTCGAGTCGCCGTAGTCGCGCATGCCAAAGCTGCCTCCTTCTTGCGTCGTGAGCTCGAAGCGCTGCGGGCTCAAACCGAAGCGCTGGAGACGCGGAGGGAGTTTGTACTCTCAAAACGCGCCAAAGTCCAAGAACTTGACACCCAGGAGACGTTGCAGCAACAGGAACAGCACGGACAACTTCTTGAACAAGAGAAACAAAAGTGTCACGCTGCGCAGGGCGAGGACGACTACTTGAAGGAGCGGCTACAGGCCTACGTGGACCTCTCGGGGGCTCTGCAGTCCGTGCTCACCGCTGCTGAGCAGCAGAAGCAGCAGCTCATGACCATGAACATGGCCGTTGCCAGGGCGCTTCGCACTGAAACTGGCTCAGGGTATACTCTACGACTCGCGAATCCGCGAGTGTTCGACATGCTGGAAGATCGAGTAAACTCGAGGTTTAGAGAGCTGGGAGCCTCGCTCGCGACGGACCAACAACGACTGACGGCGGCTGCTTCCGAGCTCGTGCAAGTCTACTACACGAACGGAGACCGACGCTTTGGAACGGTGGAGTTCAAGCGCGCGCAGTTGCTGCCCTTTGAAGAGACTGCGATTTCTGCCACCATTTTCTCCATTGTCGAAGTCGGGGGGTTTCCTGACGGCCAGGACTCGCGAGTCATCAGGCGGTCCGAGGACGCGTTCGCCATGGACTCTCGCCTCACCGTTTGTCTGGATGACGGCGGGACCCTGAATCTCAACACGCACAGCGTGATGAAGCGCTTTCTGACACCGACTGGGATTGTGATGCTGCTCGAGTCGATATCCGACTGGACGGCCGATCTGCAAAACTCCGGATGCTCGTGGACCCACACGACGGACGAGGGAGGCTGCTTCGTGATAAGCAATTATGATGTGGGTAGAGTATCGCCTGGTGTATCTCAGCTTCGGTCAGAAATGACCTTGAAACCTGGCGATTCGACCAAAATCTCAAGGCAGTACCCGCTTGCCGAGGCACGGACGATAAATAGCGTCGTCATCCCGTCATTTCGGGATATTATTCAGTCTCGCCACCAGTTTGTAGAAAACGCACTCTTTGACTGTATTCGGGGATCCGACAGCGGTGGTATCGGTGCATGGCACTAAGTTACAAATAAAAAAATGTAACTTATTGAGACGGCAGCACAAGAATTTTTTTAAATTTTTAAATAAAATACGATGTTGCTGCCCTGCTTGTATATCTTTCTCAAAGTTTGGGGATTCACACCCGGGTAGCGTTGTGATCGCGGATGCAATCGAACAGAGCGTTCTCAACGAACTGGCGGCGGGACTCCATCATTTCGTGAATTTTCGGAATAATGATGGCATGTATTTTTCGGGCCTCGGCGGGTAGCTGGCGCTGTCCATTTCTTGGAGAAGCATCGGGATATAGGGTCACCTCCGCTTGAATCTCGGACACTTCGCTTGTGTAGTTCCTTATGACGAAGCACGTGCGCCCTTCTATCGTATGGACCGACGAAGTCGAACTTTCAACGTCTGTAGCCCATTCATCCATGCACTCCGATTACAAGAAAAACCCATTCGGCGTCACGAAGCGCTTTATCACGCTGTGTCCATTACTAACGGCAAGACCACCGCCTTCGAGCCGCAGAATTGTCTTCGAATCAATTGCACACGAGTTCTCCGAGCGCTTGGTCACGTGCAGCTCGTGGTCGTTGGGGAAGCCTCCGAACTCGACAAATGACCAGACCATGGACGAAATCGCGTCCTCTGCGAACGGAAGCAGCTGCGTGCGCTTGAACTCCACCGCTCCTGCACTCAAATTACCGCCATAGCCCTGGACAAAAGCCGTATCTGGAATCGGGATGTCGCGCTTAGCCGATAGAGCGGTATACAGCTCTCGGAACCGGGCGCTTCAAGCACATCGAACAGGCTTGAACTCGCAACTCGTAGTCGATCTCCTGCTCTTTTTTCAGTTGAAACAGCTCTTGGGGCCGCAATATGTAGACCTAAGGGCCGGAATTGGTCGGTAACTAGCGCGGCCTTTGTCAGCTGCTTCTCCAATCGATTGTTCTCGTCATGCGCAGCCTCACACTTCCGCTTCTCTTCTTCATACAGGCGCTTTTCAGTCTCCGGTGTACTAATTCGCGGCAATTTCGAGAGTAAAAACTCCTTTCGAGTCTCAAGTGCCTCGGCTTCTGAGCGTAAACTTTCCAGCTCCCGCTTCCGCTTGATCCACGACGGATTCAACCGCTTCTTCTTCTTCATCTTCTTCTTCTTCTTCTTCTTCGTCGTCGTCGTCGTCGTCGTCGTCGTCGTCGTCGTCTTTGAGCCCAACTCGGTTGAGTCGATCGATGTCCGCGTTGCTGTGTCAGGGAAAGGCGCCGTGATGTTCGCCTGGTTGTCGTGCTCGAGCGCACTCATGTCCTGCAGAAATGCGTTGAGGATATCGTCGGCTGCTGAAGTGCTTGTCATGGCCCGTGACTTGGTTGGAATCAGGCTGATCGTCGAGTGAGAAAGGCAACTGATAGTCGCCGATGGTGGCGATAATATCTTAGTTGACTCAGCTGCTGAAGGCCCTTCATAGTGTGAGATACTCGTGGTTCGACCGTAGCGACACCAGGGCAGAGTATGATAGCCTAACATAATTTCATTGATAGGTGAGCGACACAAACCCCGCCGTGTGACCTTGGTCCCCCGCAAATCACTTGATTTAACCCAACGTTAAACTACGGCCAGTAGTCTACGAAAGGCTAGACAGCACACACGACACGTGTGTACTCGACGCACTCTTCAGTGCATAAAGAGTGAATAAATCACGGTACATGCGATCAACAGCCCGGCTACGGCGACAGTTGATAACGCGTTGCTGGAATACACCGATGAAAGAAAATTCATCTCCTCCGCACGCTCGAATCTGGTTCCCCCCTCCCTTGCTCAATCCTGGCTACAGTGCCTGAAACCGCAGGTCAGAGCATCGCTCAGTCTCATTCGTTCAATAGAGCATGACCCCAGGCGTTCCCCAAAGTTGTTGCTTGGCTTCATTTTCGCCGTCCTCCTCCTTGTCAACGAAGAGGACAACGACGAATCAAAGATGGAAGCGTCGTAAGGAGGAACTACTCCGCCTTCGGGAGGAGACCCAGGACCTCGAAAGATACCTCTCTTCTCTAAGGATGCAGCACAATTTCAGCACGTTGCTTGCTGGATGAGTTCGAGACCACGGAAAGCCAGAAGCACTGGAAGGAGACGGCACTGACTGCGAGGAAGCAATGTCGAGAGACTATAGCTGAAAACTTGATGGCGGAGGACCTCTGTGTCTTATGCTCGTGTCCGCTGCAAGGATCCTAGTAGAATAAGAAACTGAAGTAGCTAGTGTATTTATACAATGCATGTAGGATCAATGTGGTCGCTGGGCTTGGCACTGAGAAGAGAACTATCCACTTCTGAATCTCCTTCTCCTCTCCAAGCTCCAGCAACCAAGATCCCGGAGCCTTAGGCCCCGCGATCCAGCGTTCCAACCTTCCTACTGTGCCCGTGGCAATGCGCAACAACCGACACTCGAAGCTACGAGAGAAGGTCACCCGCTGCAAGAAGACTATCCTGTCCCTCCAGACCTGCGCGACGAAGGCGGAAGCTGACAGCAAAGAGCTCTTATACTGGGATAGGAAGCAACGTAAGTGCTGCTATCGCAGACCAAATAGGATTATATCCGTGGTACGTCAAGTCAAACAATTCGCAGTTCGTAAGAACTGTCGTTACTACCTGTTTGATGTCAGATACCGGTACCGCCAGAATTAATTACTTAACTTTTGTATTGAAATCTAATATATTAAGTTTTGTAAGCATTCGAATGACTTACTGTTGTATTGGGCCGATTTATCTAAGCATTTGTATGCGGATGAACTAGTGTTGGACACATAATTCAGGGGAGTCCCCTGAGGGGACAAAGAGTAAAGGTATAGGCCAGAAGGCCTTTAGATGGAGGTATAGGCCATGGTGTTCCTGATCCGAGCGGGGCCGGCTCGCTTAACCCTTCTAGCCCCAAACCTTATTCTGTATCATACAGAATAAGCATTAGACTTGATTAAAGTATGCTTCAAAACCTGTCAAAGATTTGCTGTTGAAAGCCCTTTCGCATCTTGCGGTCAAGCGCTGGGTACGAAAGTGAACAAAACATGCTCAATGTATCCACCATATGCCGAAATGGCGAGCTTCTTTTGGTCGTGGCGAGCGTAGAGCACGCTCAAAACCTGCTACATGGTAATACCTTGCAAGGCTGCTAAGGCAGCATACTTCGGCTCCAGCCACCCATCTTCGGCACGTCGCGATAAACGCGGAGGAAGAAATCGCCCTGTTCCTAACTGACACAGTGAGGAGGAACTGGGCGAATTATTCCTTGTGCTTGACATTAGCGCATCATTAGATTTCTTTAGCCCACCTAACAAGCTTGTTACGATTGTCTCTCTAACAACACCAGGGAGCTTGCATGCTCAATAGCCCGTAATGACACGCACTACACACGGTTCCTCTTGTACGAAACAGGACAATATGTGATATTCATGCCAACGTCTACTTCTTCCTTTACATGCGCACGCTCTTCAATGTTCGCGCCAGCCGTGGGTCATCTTCGCCATTTTGGCAGCCTCCGCTTTGCTCTGTAGCCTCCGGCACTGCCGCTCCATTCCTGCCGCTTTCATCGGTAGCCTCCGTCGTAGCTTCTGTCCCTTCTTCTGTAATCTCCGGTGTAACCTCATCATGAGGAGAGCTTCTTCTGTAGCATCCGTCGTAGCATCTACCGCTTCTTCTGTAGTCTCCGGTGTAGCCACACCATGAGGAGCGCTTCTTCTGTAGCCTCTTGAGTAGCCACTGCATCAGCTACAATATAGCGGTAGACCCGGCTGTAGCCGGCTTCGTAGGAACCGATGAGGTTGTGCGCTGACTCCGCAATCGATCTGCCAATCGGGCCACACGCGAGAGCTCATAGCGTCGTCTGGGTCGGATCACCAGGTCTGGTAATCAACATCGCAACGTAGAATCAATATACCACTAGTACAATGTTACAGAGCAAAGTACACGCTCTCGGTTACCTGTAGATCACAATGGCACTCATCATGATCGTCTTCGGCCATGGTCCTTGGCCACTTGGGCGCGCTCGACGGGCCCCAACAAAGCTTGCATTGCGACGTCTTGAACAGCGCAGTTTCGGAATGAAGGAAAGTACGAGTGGCTGACACGCGGCGGTTTTAGGCTTCCACCCGAATTTTCAAACCTGTTGGTGGTTTATACTCGTCCGTCTATTACCGCGGAATAAACCCCGTTTATCTTCCCATCGCTAATCTAACAGGAAGATGTGCACAATACCGGCTATACAAACATCCATATGCGAAGTTCGAAAGAGAGGACAAGTTTGCTGGATATTATGTCCTGTGACAATGCTTATTCTGTAGGATACAGAATACGGGGTTAGAGGAGTTAATGTCATTTTAGAATTTGCTGAACAGGAGAACGGACATGACCTGGATGCTCGCACAAGGCCAAGAAGGAGCAGCAACCTCCGCTTGAGTCTTCAGGTACCCCCCCCCCCCCATTGACTCATGACATGGAAACTTGGCCTAAACTTAATTTTTCACTGGTTGTACTGTAGAATGCGACGCGTTGGACTTGCTGGTGCTCTAGGGGGCGATTCGATGCCGAAAGTAGCTAGAAAAGGCCCCCTCAGGCCACAAATACGTGCACCACGAATGGGTTCGTCTACAATTGCTGCGGTATCGGCAACTTCACTAATATTGTCTGATCTTAATGCTAGTCAGGACATGTTCGAGGCGTTCGTTGCTGGAAGAGGTCACGACTCTGTATCGCGATCTCAAGGACGACTCGAAAGGACAAAGTTTAGTTGGAAGGGTCTACCAGCACGTGTGTAAAGGCGTCCGACTGAGAGAAAATCCACTCGCTGCGAACCCAGATCCTGTGCAGGCGCGTCTTGTGACCGAACCCGAAGAACGCAAGACTGACTCGATATATGCTAGAGCGGTAAAGTAAGCTGAGAGGAGATGTGCGACTGGTGCGCCGCAAGTGAGGCGCACCAAAGTCGCGTGTGACTTTTTTCATTTGGAAATAAATATATCTAGTTGTCCTGCAGGGTTGTTGGTGTGATAATCATTTAGCTACATCTCGACTACTACAATTAATTGCGTATTGAACAGCTCGATGTAAAGTTGAGTCCCCTTAAGGCTTACTAAAAAAATAGTCTGTCGATGTGTTTGAAAAAGTTTGGCCTCATGGATCGAGAGCTATACTACATTCATAAAGTGTCTTTGCGGTCGCACTTTCGATCTTGTAGCTACTACGTTTGTGCTTCTCTTTCTTTTATTATTTATAATTAGCTTATCTGTATAATATGCCCCCAAAAGAACCGCCTAACCTATTAAGTCGAAACATGCCGGAGCGCTATTGTGGCGTCCAGCCTCGACACGATGACCTGATAAGCCTACTGTGAGGAAACCATACTCCCACAAACGTTCTAATCAAAAGCGTGCGACCAGTGCCTCAGATAAATTCAGCATGAAGTACAATCGATGACGCAAGGCTGATGTATGTCTACGCGCCATAACCGAGATATTCACAAGTGCTGTCGCATATTGACAGATAAGCTGGAAGCTCCGGTTTATCCGGTTGGTAACATATCTGCACCTGGTCGAGCTAAATTTCTGTCATGCATTATTGCCACTAGCATTTTTACCCAGCGAAGGGCTGACGAAACACCCAGGTGGAATACTTCAGAAGTGTTCCACCTGGGTGCTTAGCGACAAGTAGAGCTTAAAAGTTTATACACGGGAAACTTGCAACGGATTTGCGTCTTGATGATCAAGGCCTTTGATCGTATTTCACTCGAACAGGGTTTTAGAAAATGCTTACGTCTTCACAGTCTTCAATGTAGCTTTGTGAGGAGAGTGTGCTAACGATAATTTGAAGTTTTGAAAAAGTATTAATACAATTAACCTTACTTAAGCTCCTGCCTAGTGAGTTCTGTCTTGTAAGGATGCGTACATATAGTCGCTTACTGCGGCTAGCACTCAAAACACCACAGTCGTGTGCTCATATCCGCGTGGGAGCCGACGCTCGACGCGGCCCCTACTGGACGGACCCGCTACCTTTTGTTTTTCGATGGCGGCTCGCGTGGTAATCCCGGCCCTGGCGGTAGTGGCGCTGCCGTGGTCCGCATCGGAAACGGACGGGGTGGTCATGAGATCTGCTGGGTCATTAGCATGTCCTACGCGGCGGCCAGCACGTGGCGGAGAACATGGGGCTACTTACGGGACTCAAGGCGTGCATTCATTTTGGCTGGACCCCACTTCATGTGGTAGGAGACAGCAACCTCATCATTCATCAGCAGAAGACGCGGACTCCGCCTCGAGCTAAGCACCTACAACCGCTATATTGGCAAAGCCGGCGGCTGGCAGACAAACTGGCGGTAATGACGTGGCAGCACCACTTGCGTGCTCACAACAGAATGGCGGACGCCCTCGCCAACATGGCGATGGACTCACGCCGCAGTTTTCAAAAGATACTGTTGCGAGATCAAGATAATCAACGGCAATTACACATCAGCAGCAAGAGAGCACTAATGATGCTGGACTGTATCTCGCGAAACCCTAGATCACGGTTAACCGCAAAGGTGAACTGCAGCAGCAGCGGTTCAAGATCAATTAGTGGTAGCCGACAGCCCAACGCAAATAGCAAGGGATAGTTGTAGTTAACAGCTATAATATTCAGTTTCGATTTTTCAGCGTACTCAACACAGCATCTCGGCTCCCGATGCCCGCCGTACTTCCTCTCTACACCTTTGTGCGGCCTACTTCATCCGAAAGTCGCAAAATTCATATTGCAAATTTCTAGTTAGCAACTTCAATTACGCATTCAAAGATGGAATTACGGCAATCAAATTCGTACAGTAGGCTACTACTACTACTACTGGTCCGACGAGCCCTGTTACATGCCGTACATCATGTCCTCATTGTTCGCCGCCCTCGTGACGAAGTCGCGACAGTGCAGCTCCATGCTGGCCACCAGCGCTGGGGTCATCACGTTCATGTTAGCGGTCGCGGCGCGCTCCAGGATGTGCATCTGGCGTTCCGAAATGGAGAGGATCTCACCGTTGCTGTCTGGCTCACGCGAGCGATCGTAGATTGCGTGGCGATCCGGAGCCAAGTCTCGCTTAATGCGGGATTTTAGGACGCTGCTTCTCGAGGACGGTGTGGCGAGTAACGCGGCCTTGGAGGGACATCTGCGAAGAAGGCGAATTGCGAAGTGAGCTCCCCTCGGTCGGCGTCGGCTATAGTACGCGCCAAACCGCGCACCCTTGCTTTTGGCGCGAGCACAGCACGCCAGCTTACGTAGCCATGGAGTTCTTGGACCTCTGGTCCAACTTTGATTACCGTAATTCCATCTTTGAATGCGTAATTGAAGTTGCTAACTAGAAATTTGCAATATGAATTTTGCGACTTTCGGATTTGATTGCACGTCGGTACGAAGTAGGCCGCACAAAGGTATAGTGCTACCATATCACTTATTACCACAATTTAAATATTGTGACAGATACCCACTCGAATTTGCGGCTCCGGCTGGACGTGGGACGACGTGTACAACTACGCTTCCGGGGACGTAGGTCGCTGGATGGAGCAGAACAGTGATGAGAACTCCTCGGAGTTCGTGGCCTTCACCCGTTAGTGTGTGGAGGTGGCTCTGGCTTTGGTCAGGGCCGTTTCACAGGGCGGTCGGTTAGAGACGACCACCGACAAGGTCATAGCTGTCGTTAGCCAAAGAAGTTAAGTGACATCAATGTACCTCACTGCCAAACGAAACGAAACTCAAAACACCACAGCTAGGATAGACGCAACTAATACATCACAATTAACCTTTCTTACGAACGGCGACCCCCCCCCCCCCGGGACCCACGGGCTTGACCCGGGGCCCGGGTAACCAGTGCTCTTGACATCTAGCTGGTATATTTTATTAAAACCGGTACGACTCCGGTGCTGAACGGCAGCACGCGAGTATGCTTGAACTCAATTGACGTAGTAGAGTCGCTGCCATCTCCTCGACGGACCTGCACGGGCACTACGTCGCGGCTAAACACGAATGGACGATAGTCACTGAAGAAGGCGTCCAGCTCGAACGTCCGCGCGTTAATCAAACCCTCCAGTCGCTGACATAAGCCGTTGCTGCACAAGTCTAGCCGGTACTCGGTCGTCATCTCAACCCTCAACGTTCTCGCCGCCTCGGTGGTGCTCAACTAGGGCTCCGCGAAGGCTGGGATAGGATAATTTTGGTATAAACTCCCTCTTCATTTTAATTGATTACTTTTCTTTTGAGCTACGGTCATCTCCTGCCCAGAAAGTGGCCTTAAGACTGTAGATGTCAGATATCAAGTGGCAATGCTTTACAACATTAAAATGCGAATCTTGGCTGTGATACGTTTGCAGCCTGTAGAAGTTTATACTTGAAAATGCAAGTGCTTATCTCTAGTGCTATTACAGTCCGCCTCAATCGTTATCTTTCTCGAATATATATACTGAATCATACCATTGCACATCGGTTGGATCTGCCTAAACCTTTTGAAGGGCCGGTGCTTCACCGGGGCCATACTGGCGTGATAGGTATCCTACCGATTCAGTATATAAACCTTTTGGAGGGCGCGCAGTACACGTCCAGTGTCGCTTGGGGTCTGATGAAGCACGGTGACTTCCTGAACCAGGTAAAGCACAAGTACTCGTATCGTCGGACCTTTCAACGAAATGCTGGTGACGGAAGGACATATTATGTATCCGCTCGATTGTGGCGGTACTGCGAGTGTTCACTCGCTCTGCTTGTTGAAGCCTGTCGTAGTCCCTGGAGGGTTCATGCTTCAGGTCGAGGCGATGTCGGAATGGCACGCGTATCCAATGTTTTCGACCGCCTGGAAATACGTGACCAGGGACTCCGGATGGGTCACGGTGTGCTCGGTCAAGACCGACAGCGCGAACGAAGATTTCTGCCGGATACAGTCCTTCCTGTCTGTCAGAAGCGCTGATGCTGTAGAAAGTGGGTCCGTTCATGAGCAGAGCAGGAACGCGCTGCTTTCGAGACGCGTCACGGATATATTGATCCCTTGCATCCAGGAGTTAATACAGGCGAGGTATCAAACAACCCGCGAGAAAACCCGTGTTTTCTAGGCGTCGAAAAGAGGAACTGCTAATGCTACGAGCCAAGACGGATGCCTTAGTCTCAACTGGAGACTTTGAGGACGCGAAGGAGTAGCAGGATGACACTGGAAGAGCTCTTCAAGACATCCTCGGACTGCCAAGAGTTACCTTCTGGAGACAACAATTCATCGAGAGATCGCGCTTTCTGGAGAGTTGTCGCCGAGATGGAGAAGCGCCGCTATGCGGCGGCCAAAGGTGAGAATGAGCGGCTGAAAGCGCAGTTGAAGACCAACAAGAAAGCGTTCAAGGCTGTAAGGAAGCAGCTGCAGTTGGTGAAGAGCCAACAGCGCGAAGTTTTCATTGGCGACAACATTGCGGCGATGTCACTGCGAGCTGAGCTGAACTCCGGACATACTCATCAGCAAGTTGTGGCTTCCATGGTGTTTACACTATTGGAGAAGCGCGCGAACGAGTGGATGAGCAAATTCAAGAGTGTTTATCGGCAGTGCCTTCCCAAGCGTGACGTCGATCAGGTCAATGTCCGAAGGATAAGCAGCCCCGCTGAAGATGTTGCCTTGGAGTTTAAACGCACGCGCTTAGTGCCTTATTCTCCCGACAGAACCGCTCACGCGATGTGGAACGTGATGAAGGTGGGTATGTCCGAAGAGACGATGAGTATGGCCCAGCGCTCCGACACTCTGATGGTCTCAGAAGGTTGTGTCACATTCGAAATGGGAGGTGGGGAGTCGTGGAACTTCGTTTGAGATGTTAGAAGAAGCGATTTCATATTCCAGAAGGATTCATCGTCGTGGTCGAAGCCATCACGGAGTGGCTCACTCGTCCGGGGTCTGTGGACGAATGGAGACACGCGACGCGCGAGTCAAGCTGGGAGTGGTGCAGCCGATAGCTTTGGACCCAGGACTGTGTCAGTTGCAGCCAGGGTTATTTCTCCAAGAGAACCAACGTGGGGGAAACTTGTCCTACATCTCCCAGAACAACCCGTCGCTGCTTTCTCGTCCTGTGAGGGAAGTCATGGTTCTTACGTTCCGCAAGATGCTGGAGCATCGCCATCAACAAGTGGATAACACGCTGCTAAGCTCATGACTTTAGCGTTCTTCCTGTACTATTTTTTAATCGACATATAAAATGAAATGATCATGATGTGATCAAAATAGTAGTGTCATGTCATACTCTAAATACTATGACTACACCAACCATGCCCGAATGGAAGTGCGCGGAACGGTATGGATAACAACGGGTCAAACGTACTCTAGTGGAGCGAAGGTGTTTGTGAAGTCCCTTCAGCTTCGGCCAGACGCTACGAGCAACAAAAGACAGCTCGCCACGAAGCGCCAGTAACTTTAGGTATCTCCGCGCACAGGTGGTGCCGATCTCGCCGCCTTATCCTCTAGCCATCATTCCCCACCGCAAAGCACCAGTAACTGGTCCAGTTCTCGTCTCCCTCCTCAACCAGCGATATGACGTCCACACGTGACACCGACGAAGGCGCCATGTTGCACCTGCTCGAGGCTTTATCGGTGCCTACAAGCGCCGAGCCAAACGCAGCGTTCACGCACCAGAGCATCCGCAAGAACTTCTTGCAGCAAATGGATGTACTCGAATTTCACCCGACGCCAAGGCCGACACCTCCTATGCGAAAGAAGAAGCCAGAGGAACAGCCGTCCGCTGCATCGAACAAGCCCGTGATGAGCTGAAAGCACCGGAAAGAGGAACTACTGAGTCTACGAGCGGAGACGGTGGCGCTCCAGTCCCAACTAGAGACGTTGAAGCGGAGAAGGAGCCGCGGCATGGCACTCCGTGCCTTCCTGGACTTCCCGGAAGGCCGCAAGTTGCACTCTGTAAGCAAAGACCCGATTCTGGCAAAACGTCGCCGAGGGCGAGAAACGTCGATATGAGGCGACTAAGGGCGAGAATGGACGGCTGAAGGCGTAGTTGCAAACCAACAAGAAGGCGTTCAAGGATGTCAAGACGTGTTTGGCGCTGTTGGAGATCCAGGAGAATGAGATCTTCATGGGCGACGCGCTCGCAGCGATGGCGCTGCATGCTGAGATGAACTCTGGGCATCATGAACAGTTTGTGACGTCCACGGTGTTCGACTTGCTGGAGAGCCGCGCGGACGAGTGGCTTGCCGATCTGGAGAATATTTACCTGGAAGCGTGCGTGTGTCTCCCCGAACTAGTCTCGGACCAGGTCAATGTACGGAGGAGAAACAACTCGGAGAAGGCTGCGTTGGAGCTGAAACGCACGCGGTTGGTGCCGTTCCCGGCTGACCGAGTGGCGGAAGTCATGTGGGACGTGGTGAAGGTGGGCATGCCCAAGGACGAGAGGAATACAGCCAAGCGGTCCGACGATCTGTGTGATGAAGCGCTTCCGTATCCCCGAAGGGTTTATCGTCGTGGTCGAAGGAATCACCGCGTGGCTCGATCGCCCCGGGTCCTCGGACGAGTGGGAACAAGTGACGCGAGACTCTGGCTGGGGGGTCGTGCACCCGATTGCTTCGGACGGACCGTCACCAGGAATCTGCCAGTTGCAGACTGGATTGTATCTCCAGGAGAACGAACACGGGGGCAACTTGCCCTACATGTCCAAGAACAGCCCCGTGCTGCTCTCTCGCCCTGTGAGCGAAGTCTTGGTTCCGATGCGCAAGGACTGCCACCAACAAATGGACAATAAGATGCTAGAACCGTCGAGTTAGGCAGGCGTGAATGCCTGAAGTCGTAGGTGAAAGTAGTCTTACCACCGCATCGTTTGGCGCGCACGTGTCGCGCCCACGCACTGTAGTAGGTTTCGGAACACTACGAGGGAAGCTGGCGCTTCCGGGCAAACCAAAGCTCTGTTGATGGTTTAGATGTAAATCTCAAAGTGATCTCTGTCTGTGTCTCTGCTCCTAGCTGTCGGCGGCTTCATGCCGGCGACTCCTGCTAGCGCCTTCTGCCAGCGTCTTCTACCAAACCGACCTCTCTGTCGGTCGCATTGGTTTCGCTGTTCTCCCCTATCCTAATGCCAGCTTGGTGGCGTCGTTGTGTAGACGTCACCCGATGAGTGGGCTGGGCTTGCTTCTATGAAACCCGCCACTACACGCACACGCCGATCTTTTGAGATTCTAATTGTAACGGGGTACAATCAAGTGTACCCATTACATGAAGAGTGACGGGTGTCACTCTCCCGAGTACATGGTACATGGTACCAGTAGCTCCGCAAGCCAACCATTTGAGTTTGTGTGGGCTTTTGTATAGTTAACTTGTAGTTTGTATTACGACCAAGTTAACCTCTACCAAAATACAGTCAGTCTTATAACCTACTCCTTTGTAGCAAACCGTTCCCTTTGAGGCCGTGAACTGGTGAACTGCTGTTCACCTGGATAGTAATATCCGCACGCACTTCCTCTGTGCATTGTGCTGTGTGACCCCGTCACACTTAGTAGCACTAGTAGTCAATCCTACGCCTACGCGGGTAGATTGGTCTACCTGAATCCTCGGTGGCTCAGGTCTGTGAGCCACGATGGACCGAAGTGAGTTTTCTCACTTGACTGACTCGCAGTTCGAGTCGGTGCGGAAGATGGCGGGCATCTTCGGAAGAGATGCCCTCCGGAGCTTGGCGGCGGCGACGCCAGCCGAGCAGGTCGAGCGGGTGAGCGCGTTTGACGAGTACGAACGCGGGCTCATCGCTCATGTGCAGGGAAACCTGCTGGCTCAGATGAGTGAGCCCAAACGGGTGCAGCCTAAGCCTCTGCGGCTAGCTGTGCCTCCGTTCGAAGGGAAGGAAGGTGAGAACCTTCACTTCTGGATCCGGGAGACCGAGATCGCAATGAGCGCTGGTCTCATCTCGGCCGAGAACCTTCGAGTCGCCTTCGCGCTCTCCAATCTTGGCGGACGTGCCAGGACTTGGGCGTATATGCGCGAAGCGATGTCGCCTGGATGTTTCACATCCTGAGCTCAGCTGTGTGAGCAGCTTCGAGCCGCTTTTCTCCCGGCGAACAACGAGTTCCGCCAGCGCTCGCGCTTCCTTGCCTGCAAACAAGGGGAGCGCGAGCTGTACGCGTACGTACAGGAGATGCGCACGTTGGCAACCTCGCTGGTGGGGAACCCACTGTCGGAAGACGTCAAGATGACAGTCTTCGTGGACGGCCTGAAGGTCGGTCCTGCGCGCACGCAGTTGTTCCGCGTGCGCACCGCCACTATGGAGGAGGCGATCCAAGTCGCCCTCCAGGAAGAGTACAGCCACAAGCAGGCTGGTGATCTGGCTGTTGTACAGCCTGTGGTCGCTGACAGCGAACGAGAATCCATGGATCTGAGTTCGGCTGAGCAGTACTCAGCCCGCTGCTACGGCTGCGGCGGACGAGGACACTATCAACGTGTCTGCCCATCGCCTAGGTCTGGGAAGAAGACCTACCCGAAGACCAGAGGGTCAAGGGGGCGCCGACGCCATGCACCGTCAGGTGCTCAAGGGGGACACAACCACCAGTAAGGACGAGGGCCTTGCTGGGGTTGGCCCGAGTCTTTGTGATGGGTGTACGGAAGGCGTACACCACAGAGACCCGGGGTCCCTTGCGAGCACTGACGCTCGCATTGGTGAAGGACAACGGTGGGTTGTCGGTAGTACACGTGAGTGTGCGGGGGTAATAGTATCCCTAGACATGATTGAGTCTGGGACGTCGCGTGGATGTTCGCACATCGCCAGATGTGTCGGTTGGAATAACGACACAAGTGCCGAGACTCTGCGAGAGAGTCTAAGCACAAGGTCCGGTCTCATTGACTGAGGCTGGGCCGAAGAAGAACCTTGAGGTCCGCTGTGACCCTGGCTGTCGCGCTCGAGGGCGCTGACAGCAATGGAACCGCACATGGTCCCGGACATGGAACCGTACATCGTCCCGGACATCGTGCCAAAGCCGGCCCTGGGCATGGAACCGTATATGCCCTCGGCAAGTATGACTTGACCCTGAGTGCGCCGTGCAAGCTGCACAGGCTCTCGGTCGAGTAGCGCGACAACGCCTTGAGGCTAAGTCGGCCCTCTGTGTCTGACAGAGCATTGGTGAGTCATGTTCCCACCTATGGACAGACACAAGGGTGTCCGATGGGACCGCCAGGGCGCTGGATGCGTCCGACAAGACGACGAAGAAGAAGGGAGGCATCATTGACATGCTGATCTCCATGAAGAAGGTGCAGTGTATCTGCAACCGAGGGCTGTTATGCCTGGCATGTGGAGCTGCCTCAACAAGCAACTCCAGTGCTGAGAGTCATTGCTCGGCATGAGCATTGACAAGGGTGGTGTTCGATGACACCACCAGGTGGGTAACCAAGGACCACTGACTAGCGGGTAACTTAGTTCCGCACAGAGCATGTAATGCTGAGGAGGCCGCTCAAGGCACCTCCGGCGTGGGTAACCAAGTACCACGGACGGTCGCACAGACCTTAACTGAAGAGGAACGCGCTGCACGCGCTTCCTGTATGGGTAACCAAGTACCACACCCGGTCGCCCAGACCATAACTGAAGAGGAAGGCGCTGCAGGCACTTCCTGTGTGGGTAACCCAGTTCCACACCAGGTCACTCAGACCTAAACTGATGAGGAAGGTGCACGATGCACTTCCTGTGTGGGTAACGTAGTTCCACACGATGCCGTAAGGCTCTGCATGAGCCGGAAGGAGTCGCTCGAAGCTACTTCAGCGTGGGTAACTTAGTTCCACGCACGGTCAGTATGACCAAGACTAGTGATCAGGTCACTTGGGTCTCCTCGTGTGTGGTGGATGACCACACGGAGTTTAAGAGGCTCGTGACACCGTCACGATGTCATAGCCGCACGGTCCTCTTGAAGGCGCCGCGCGGCATTGATTTTAAGCGGAGGAGGAGTGCGCGGAAGCACTTCCTTCCTCCAAGGGCTTGGCACCCGGTCATCATGGATGACGTTCGACTGGGTGTCGACCAGCGCGGCTGTGGCCATGCGCACAGAAGACGTGGCTTGGGTACACGACGTACCTGCGGCGATGCATGTTGCGTCGCCGCCGACTCGGCGAGCATGGTCGATCACGACTGGAACGTGTCTGCCGGAGGGCGACACCTCAATGACCACATGCAGGAGCATGCTCGGTCTAAAGGCAAAGGCCGCTGCGCGGCAGGGATCGTTGGTACGGTCTGTCGCGCCTAGCACTGTGCGGCGTTGGGACAACAAGTGTCCACGACTCGGTGCCGAGATGGCTGAGTCTGAGTATGCGTGCATGCCATGCAGCTACTCTGAATGCAGGACAAGCCGTACGCTGTCATGGGTGTCATTGTCCGAAGACGTGGGTAACAGAGTAACACGTCAAGTCACGCAGACTCAAACTGCATCCAGGCTGGTAGATGCCAAGCTCTGGTCGACGATGTTGACCCAGAGCCAAAGAAGGGTAGCTGCCCGTGCCACCGGAGTCTGCTGGCACGGTGACTCGGTGCTGCAGGGCGGCGCGAGGTTAGGCGGCCGGCTGGCGCCTGACCCGCCGGGGCTCAAATCGTAAGTGGGGGAGGGGATCGGAAGTGCCCTTCCTCCCGAGGTCTCTGGCATGAGACTTGCTTCGTCGTAGAAGCCAGTGTAGTGGCTGCATGGTGTAGCCACTCACGAAGTATTGCACGAAGGTGCTGGACCTGATGCATCGCTGCTCAGGTCCCATGGTCATGGTGACCGATGGCCAGCAACCTTGGCAGCGGCTACTGTCGCTGCTGGGCCGAAGATGGCGCGCGCATTCGCTGCTGGAAGGCTGCCTCTGTCAGGCAAAGACATGGCAGCCAGTCTGTGGCTTGGTCCGCGGACGATGGCATGTGTACATACACAACACAGCGTGATGCTGTTGCAACACTGGACGCGGTACGTCTACCGGCCAGGTAGCCATCAGCACCACGCCAAAGCTCCAGGCTGTTGCTACGCTGGGCGCGGCACGTCTGCCGGCCAGGTAGCTATCAGTCCCGAGCATGGGCGTTGCCCACGAGGGGAGAACCCGAACGTGTTGCCTTTGCAGACATTTACAGTTGGCGCGGCACATGCCGCACCTGTCAGGCGCGAAGCCATACGCGTGCACGTGGCACATACTACCTGTGAGATAGTCGCGGTGCGTGACGCTCACTGTGCGCGTGGCACTTGGTGTACGCGAGGTACCCCTAGTGCACGCGACACTACTTGTGCACGTGGCACTTGAGGTGCACGAGGCACTTATGGCAGTCGTGGTACGTGCCATACACGACGTGCCTTTGGTGTATGAGGTGGTGCCCTCGTACACCTTGAGGTCCTGTATGGACTGTGTGCCATGCGGTCTTGCACGCACGCCGACCTGGTGTTGGTCGCCGCGCGCAGGATGCGATCGCCGGTGACGGAGGGCAATACACCCCACACCACGATGAAGTACCCTTGCGGTACCCTGGTGTCGAAGGAAGACACCTTAGCGTCGGCGACGTGATGGCCGTGACGCGCTGCAGGGCTTTAGACAAGTCCGCCGCGTTGCTCTGTATGATGAGCGGGTTGCTGGAAGCAGCCATGGTCGCTCAAGCAAACACGACGTTGAAGCATGACGCTTCATGGTTGTGGTCAGCGCTTGACCATAGCCCATGGGTCGAGCCGACGTATTCGACCGACCGGCACACCGTGCTGTGACAAGCGGGGCCCTGTCGGGCCGCTGTCATGGCCGGTGATGAGCAGCACAGCTCTCTCCATGGTTACGCTACGAGCTGACCGGAAAGGTGCTGTCCCTCGCGGGAGGCACTGCAGCACGAACGTGCCAGCGGGGCCCGAGGGCCATGCGACGCCAACTGCTGGTTGTCTACGAGGGACACCGCAAGTTTGGAGGCACATGCATCCCGTGCCGAGGCACTCTGCGCCTGCTAGCGCTGTGAATACGGCCACTAAACGCGTCGGCTTCGCGGCCAACATCGCCGAGGGCAGGGGGGTTCCGCACGGGGTGCCCGCTGCGGGAACAAGTCACTGTGGGCGTGGCGATGAGGCGCGCCAGCCTTGCGGCGGCAGCGCCCGAGAATCCGACCTTTCGGTGTTCGGATTCTCTCGAAGCTGATTGGAGAATCAGATATGATTCTCAGATAATGGGGGAGGATGTAACGGGGTACAATCAAGTGTACCCATTACATGAAGAGTGACGGGTGTCACTCTCCCGAGTACATGGTACATGGTACCAGTAGCTCCGCAAGCCAACCATTTGAGTTTGTGTGGGCTTTTGTATAGTTAACTTGTAGTTTGTATTACGACCAAGTTAACCTCTACCAAAATACAGTCAGTCTTATAACCTACTCCTTTGTAGCAAACCGTTCTCTTTGAGGCCGGGGACTGGTGAACTGCTGTTCACCTGGATAGTAATATCCGCACGCACTTCCTCTGTGCATTGTGCTGTGTGACCCCGTCACACTAATGCTAAGCCCGCTCTCCTCTTTCGGAAGAGTCTTCGCGTTTCATTGGAATTCTCAATTTTGCCAGCTTCGGGGCATCCGAGCTATCCGCGTTCTAGTAATTCTCCTCTTCTCGCTATCATTTCAAAATCTACCAAGCCCCCGATATAGTCGTTCACTTGATGATCAATCGTTTATTGCCCAATAATTTATTGACTCCATCAATAAAACAAAATAATTATTTTTCCGAGCTCTGCTTGCCACGCCATGTGGGAAGTGATGAAGTTCGGCGTCATCTCGAACGAGTGCTGCGCCTGTGTCTTCATCCGCTCGGAGGATATGGTGGCCTCGCAAGGCTGCTTCACTCAGCCACTGGAGAACGGAGGCAGCGTGAAAATTCGGTCCCAATGCTTGATGAAGCGCATCGTGGTACAAGGCTCGATCGTCTTCGTCGAGTCCATTACCGAGTGGGTAGCACGACCGTCTTGCTCGGCCGAGTGGAGCCACGTGACTCGAGACTATGGCTGGGTTACAGTGCTCTCAGTCGCATCAATGCCAGGAATGTGTCAGCTGCAGACTGTGATCCGCCTGCAGTCAAGCGAAAGTATGATGAACGACCCCGCTTCTTCGTTGCTGGGACTGAGCGACGTCATAATACCAGCGCTTCGCATGGTCCTGAGGTCACGGTATCAGCTCGTGGATAAGGCATTGTTAGACTCGTCGCGTGCAGCTCCACTGTAAACGTTTGTGGTGAGGTAAGCACACTGCTTCGAAGCGTAGTCAATAAAATTGACGATAAGAATGCTGAACTGTGGATTCAACGTCCGGTGTTTACCCGGACGAGCACAATCACCAGCTCTCCACGTGACCACATGTTGGTTGCCTATCCCCCCGGAACTCATCCTTTGGAATTCTCTTCTTGTTCGCCACAGTTATCGTTCTTGGCACGTCATGGCCTGTCAGGACCCTCTTGCTGGTACGCTTACGCCAAGAGGGGCGACAGAACAGCGCGTTCTCCTGAGCTTTCTGGACGAATTGGACGTCACTGACCTCGGCGTCTGCGCTGGAGGCAAGCAAAGAAGCCCAAAGCGAGCTGTGGACACGACGCGCCCAAAGTCAGCGAATGTGTGGTGGAAGCGCAAGAAGAACGAGTTGGAGAAGCTGAGGGCAGAGTCGAAGGCCCGGGAGACGCAGTTAACCTTGCTGCAAACTGGTGAATTGGAGACGAATGCCATCGAACTCTCCCAAGACCAGCCAAGCTGGAAGGACGCCGCCGAGGTCGAGAAACAACGGTGTCAAGTGGCGCAGACCGAGAATGAACGCCTCAAAATGAGGATCAAGGGCTGTTTGCAGATCTGTGGATCACTGCAGTCAGCGCTGTCTCTCGCGGATACATCCCACTGTGAAATGGAGACGCTCGTGGCCTGGGCTCTGCAAGCGGAGAGGAAAACTACTGTAGGTACCCTCACTTCCGACACATAATACTCCTTATTACTTCTGAGATTTAATGTGTTTATATTTATAAGGTTGCAGAAGCCTAGCTAATATATTATGGTCGTTGCGAGGTTTTCGCGCCAAAACCATTCATTTCACATTTTGGCAGGCAGAAGCATGGTGAAGACACGGCGATGACGCAAGAAGAATTCTGCGCTGCTGCTGCTGCTGCTGCTGGGTGTGGCACCCCGCCAGCTCCTGGTAGACCTCTTGCGGGACGAAGGCGAAGAGCAGCGCCGCCGCGGATAGGAGAAAGCTGCTCGACGCCACCCAGGAAACGTACGTCCCTGTGGACGCGTCCAGCACGTGCGCTGACAGTGCCTCGTACAGCGAAACGGAGCGCTCAAGCGCGAAGTGCCTGTGCTATGTCTTAGCCCATGCTACTAGGGCTGGAGCTGAGTCGTGTTCGGCGCGCTGAGCCTGCAGCCGCCCACGGACGGAGCTTTTGGAGAAGGCCTACAAAGACCAGCTAACGCCAATGCAATGGAGCGAGGTAATCTGCGGTACGATGTGCGCTAAACTCGTCTCGCACTGCTGGTGCTAGCCATACATGTAGTTTTGCCTCTCAATGGAAGCCTTCCAAAACCGTATTAAACTTCTGCATAAACGGATTTAAGAAAACTTATTCTGATGAGACGTAAATTACGTCTGAATAAACGAAGGGTCACTTCGCCCCCTCATTGTGCAACTACATAAATGTTAACTTGATTAAAGTATGCACCTCCCTCATTTAGCAACTTGAAGGCATAAAGCCCGACCTCTCACATATATCGACCTCTGCACAGTTTATATTTAGAGAGGAATTTAGAGAAACATTTTATGTCGATGAAATGCAGGTTTTGGAAGGCTCCCAATGCATCTGCGACCATGATGAGCTTGACCTCTATGAGCCAAAATACAGCTTAAACCCAAGCAAATACAATCCCCCTTCAAATCCGATAGAAAAGCCGATGTCTGAAGTGAGGGTACATACAGTACGCGTCGCTTTGACGTGCTTTGCTCCGCCGATATGCTCGAGGGAGAAATGAATAGACGCGTGAACGAACTGGACGCCATCGCGAGGCTTGTGTCCACTTCCCGGAGCCTGATGTAGACCTTGTCCAAGTGCGTCGAGGGGAGTTAATGGGGTCGTCCGAGGCGTTGGAGCTGAAGCGAACGCGTTTGATGCCGTTCAGCGCCGAGGAAACATCCAACAGCGTGTGGAGTGTTATGGACGACCCGCGGCCTGGTATTGTTATGAGGTCAGAAGATATGACGATAACCCGAGATACCTCCGTGCAGAAGCTCGAAGGTGGGGGCTGTGTGGAGATCACATCGCGTAGTTTGATGAAGCGCATCGCCTTTTCCGGAGGTTTCGTCGTCCTCGCCGAGGGGACGACCGAGTGGAAAGCACGGACCTGTGACGCACTTGAATGGAGGAGCTACGTTATCCCCTCTAACCCCGTATTCTGTATCCTACAGAATAAGCGTTGTCACAGGACATAATATCCAGCAAACTTGTCCTCTCTTCCGAACTTCGCATATGGATGTTTGTAGAGCCGGTATTGTGCACATCTTCCTGTTAGATTAGCGATGGGAAGATAAACGGGGTTTATTCCGCGGTAATAGACGGACGAGTATAAACCACCAACAGGTTTGAAAATTCGGGTGGAAGCCTAAAACCGCCGCGTGTCAGCCACTCGTACTTTCCTTCATTCCGAAACTGCGCTGTTCAAGACGTCGCAATGCAAGCTTTGTTGGGGCCCGTCGAGCGCGCCCAAGTGGCCAAGGACCATGGCCGAAGACGATCATGATGAGCGCCATTGTGATCTACAGGTAACCGAGAGCGTGTACTTTGCTCTGTAACATTGTACTAGTGGTATATTGATTCTACGTTGCGATGTTGATTACCAGACCTGGTGATCCGACCCAGACGACGCTATGAGCTCTCGCGTGTGGCCCGATTGGCAGATCGATTGCGGAGTCAGCGCACAACCTCATCGGTTCCTACGAAGCCGGCTACAGCCGGGTCTACCGCTATATTGTAGCTGATGCAGTGGCTACTCAAGAGGCTACAGAAGAAGCGCTCCTCATGGTGTGGCTACACCGGAGACTACAGAAGAAGCGGTAGATGCTACGACGGATGCTACAGAAGAAGCTCTCCGCGTGATGAGGTTACACCGTAGATTACAGAAGAAGGGACAGAGGCTACGACGGAGGCTACCGATGAAAGCGGCAGGAATGGAGCGGCAGTGCCGGAGGCTACAGAGCAAAGCGGAGGCTGCCAAAATGGCGAAGATGACCCACGGCTGGCGCGAACATTGAAGAGCGTGCGCATGTAAAGGAAGAAGTAGACGTTGGCATGAATATCATATATTGTCCTGTTTCGTACAAGAGGAACCGTGTGTAGTGCGTGTCATTACGGGCTATTGAGCATGCAAGCTCCCTGGTGTTGTTAGAGAGACAATCGTAACAAGCATGTTAGGTGGGCTAAAGAAATCTAATGATGCGCTAATGTCAAGCACAAGGAAGAATTCGCCCAGTTCCTCCTCACTGCGTCAGTTAGGAACAGGGCGATTTCTTCCTCCGCGTTTATCGCGACGTGCCGAAGATGGGTGGCTGGAGCCGAAGTATGCTGCCTTAGCAGCCTTGCAAGGTATTACCATGTAGCAGGTTTTGAGCGTGCTCTACGCTCGCCACGACCAATAGAAGCTCGCCATTTCGGCATATGGTGGATACATTGAGCATGTTTTGTTCACTTTCTGTGCACAATGTACCCAGTGCTTGACCGCGGGATGCGAAAGGGCCCCCAACAGCAAATCTTTGACAGGTTTTGAAATATACTAATCAAGTCTAATGCTTATTCTGTAGGATACAGAATAAGGTCTGGGGCTAGAAGGGTTATGCAGGAATCTGGATGACCTGCCGTGTATCCTACTAATGCTGCTTCGAACGGATCAACGCAGCGGGTTTGTCGGCTACAGAGTGCAGTTCGCCTGCAAACGAGGGACTGTGTGCGGGTATTGCTCACGCAACCACAACGTAAAGGTAAAGTCTCAACCGCCCGATCCCTATCTTCGGTTCCTGTCTTGACGGCTGCTTATTCCGCTGTCGCGTGCAACCCAGTTTTTGATTATGGCGCGTTAGCAGTATCGCAGCTGCAGACCAAGTGACTCCGGACCGAGTAATGGAGCGCTGCGCACGGGGACTTGAGACGACTCCAGCCATGGTTCCGGCCTCCACCTTGGAGCAGTGCATTATCGAAAGTTATTTACTCGAAATGGACGTCGCGGACTTCCAGGCGGCCTCGCCGATTGAACTGGACATCGCCGCGCTCAAGCGGGCGGTGGAAATGTCTCCGTCTCCTCCAGCGAAGAAGCCGAATCTCTCGTGGAAGCGTCGGAAGGACGAGCTGCTCAAATTACGGTCCGAGTCTGAGGCGCTGCAGACTCGGTTGATGTTTCTCAAGCTGCGCAAGACCCACGCGATGCTGCTCCGAGCTGGCGTGGGGCTTTCAGACGAGCAAAGACACTGGAAGAACGCGGCGGAGAGCGAGAAGCGAAAGTACCAGTCATCCAAAGACGAGAACACGCAGCTGAAAGACCAACTTCATCGCTGTTTCAAGGCTTGCCGCGACCTCCACACCGTCGTGTCTGTAGCTGGAGTCAAGCAGCGTGATCTCGTTGTGGCCAACCCGTTTGCGGCTCGAGTGCTTCGAGCCGAGCTGAGGAACGGACACTTGTTGCAGCCGAGCTCAGCGGTGCTTATCAACCTGGAAACCCGATTGAACGCGCGGCACTCGGAGCTGGAATACCTCTTCCACCACGCCCGGGAATCCATCTTGGGTCCTGACGGCGACCAGGTCACCGTCCTCCGCGAAGGAGTCGACGGGACTTCACCTGCTGTGGAGTTCCGACGCAACCAATCCATGCCTTTCGACGCCACCCAGGCCTTCCGTGCTATCTGGAAGGTCATGCACATGGGGGTCATTCCAGAGGATCAGACTGTCAGCGTCATTCAGCGCACCAAGGACACGCTGGTATCTCAAGGGCACGATATGCGGGAGCTCCCCGACGGAGGCTCAGTCAATGTGCGAGTCACCGTTGTGGTGAGGCGCGTGGTTATTCCCGGCGGCTTCGTCGCGCTGATCGAGTCGACGACAAAGTGGAAAGCGCGCCCCGCCAACGCGAAGGCGTGGACGCACATGACTCACGACTCGGGCTGGGCGCTGGTGCATCCGAACGTCCTGCGGCCAGGCACATGCCAGTTCCAATTGTCACTTCGACTGCGGACGCACGCAGCTCCGAGCGAGCAGAACGGGCCCACACTGCTCACCCCCGTGGTCAGCAACGTGGTGATCCCGTCGTTCCGCGAGATGCTGCGCGCCCGCCACCAGCTAGTGGAGAACGCGCTGCTGGACGCGTCCATGGGCGGCAGTGTACAGGTAGAGCAGAGGTAGAGCGGAGGTACATGTAACATGTAAACGTAGAGCGGTGCGTATTGTGTGGTCAAGTGTGCACACGTCGCAGGGATTACTCTCACTATGGGGCGTCAACATTTTCGGATTGCGGTCACGCGCCGATATGATTTTGTCCACACATTTTGGCCAGTCGTGGGCGTGCATTCGCCTTCCTGCCTGCTCGCGCGCAACAACACTAGACTATGAACTCGCTCAGGTCTGGTGATGCACGTAATAACGCCTGCAACAGCATGAGTATCCTGCTGCCGCAGCCGCTTCCCCTGTCTCAGCCAGCGCCGCCTGACAGCGACGAGGTGCTGCGCGACTTCCTCCAGGAGATGGCGGAGCTGGATCGCCAGCAGGCGCCCGCGACGCCCGAGCCAAAGATGCCCAAGCGCCAGGCAGCGGACACGCCCCCGCGCCCCGCCAAGAAGGCCAAGCAGACGCCCGTGCAGCAGTCAAAGGACAAGAAGCCGGTCACGCGCTGGCAACGCCGCAAGCTGGAGCTGCAGACGCTCAAGGACCAAGCGGAGACGCTGAGCAGCTACGTGTCGTATCTGCAGCGTCGGACGCCCGGCCAGGTCCTAGTCGACACTTTGAGCCTCCCTCCGGAGCTGGACCAGCTCGTCCAGTTCCAAGGTGGAGGCTGGCACGCCGCTGCTATTAGGGAGGTTAGACGCTGTCAGGCAGCGCAGAAGGAGAACGAGGAGCTCAAACAACGTCTGCAGGCTTGTGTCCAGGTCGCGGGGGCCCTCCAGACGGCGCTGAAGGCGGCAAGCACGCAGAGGGAAGAGCTCCTTGCCCGGGATTCCATTGCAGCCAGAGCGCTGCGTGTCGAGCTCATGATGAACCAGCAGGTCGACAGTGCGCAGAACGCGCTGATTTTTGACATGCTCGAAGCGAACGTCAACGCGCGGGTTCATGAGGTGCAAGCCGTTGCCAACGAGGCCGAGGTGTCACAGCCTCTGCAGCTTGTGGACACGGATCAAGTGAGCATTTGTCGCAAGGACGACAGCCACGCCGCAGTTGAGTTCAAGACGGTGCGAATGTTGCCTTTTGATGTTGATACGGTCTCCAGCGTCTGCTGGCGAGTTGCCGAGCTCGGCTGGAGACGACAAGGCGCGCGCGTGGTGCGACGGTCTCAGGACGTGGTCTGGTCCGACTGGTGCTTCCCGGTTCAACTCGACAAGGGCGAGACCGTGGAAATCCGGGTCCGCGCTGTGGCCAAGCGCTTCAGAGTGCCAGAGGGCTTTGTGGTGCTGGCGGAATCCACCACCGAGTGGCCCGCGCACTTGGCGGCCTCAGGTGCATGGTCCCGCGTGACCAGGGAACGCGGATGGGGCCTGGTTCACTCGTATCCGGGCCGATCGGCTGCACGGAGCCCATCCCGATCAACTGCAAGCGTGTCAAGATTTTTGATGCACATGACCACGGAGCCGTCCGGGCTTGACAGCGACACCAGCCGCAAGCTGCTTGGTAGTCCGGCGGTGAGCGATATCGTCATTCCATCCTTCCGCACGCTGATCAAGAACCGGCAACAGTGCGTGGACAACCGCCTCATGGACGCAGATTTCGGTACTCCCTCCATAGCCGCCATATAGAACACGCTCATTAGTGTATTCATGTTTTGTTTCTTGGCATTTGCGTTGGTGTTGGAGGGTTTGCCTGGGTATGGAAGTTAATGGAAATGGTGGCTGAAGTCACTTCAAAAAATATATGGCACATGTTGATTTCTTCTTATAAAAACTTGGTGGGGGAAAACTGCTTCGTACACTACTACTATACCCTGAAGGTGGAGGAGGGGCCACGCATCTTGGAGTGAATCATCTCATCGAGGATGGCGTTCTCGAGCATCTGCTCGCGCGCGTCGAGGACCTTCCGGTAGGACGGGATCACGACGTCGGTCAGCATCTGCAGGCACTCCGGCTGATTCATGTCGATCCCGGCCGACAGTCCGGGGGTCATGCAGACGCACGTCTGGTGCAGACTCAAGGGAGCCTTGCTTTTGCCGCCCTGGAACCTCTGAATCACGCAGTAGCCGCGCTCCCGGATGGGCACGCTGCTCGGTTGGCTGCGGAGGTAGTCCTTGGGCCAGTCGCCCGTGCCCTCCCAGACGACGACGATACGGTTGGGCTCCACGAAGCGACGGCACACGCCGCGCAGCAGCACGGGGATACCGGCGGCCCCGGCGTCCTGCTGCAGCATGCACTGCTTCTTGAGATACAACACCTCGTCGTCGCCGCTCTCAATGGCCGGGTCGTCGCTCAGGTTGAGCGCGGCGTTCTTCTTGGCGCCGGCCCACATGGCCGCGTTGATGGTGTTCATGTCAAAAGGCGCGACCTTGGCCGTCGTATAGCGCACGAACGTGCCCTGCTTGGCGCCCGTGACGACGCGCGCGTCGTAGAAGTCCGACTTGCTCTCGTGCAGTCCGGCGTCCCTGAACACGTCCGCGAGCTCGTCGTACTGGTCGCCCACGCGCTTCTCCATCTGCCTGAACACGGCCGCGTCCGCGCTGGGCTCGTACTCGAGCGGGCCGACGGACGACATGCCCGCCGTGAAGGCGACGTGCACGTTGACGTCCTGCTGCGCCTGCTTACGGCAGGCCTGCAGCATGGCGCGCAGGCGCGTCGGGTCGAGCTGCCTCTTGGGTGCCGCAGGCTGGCGGCGCCTGCGCGCGGCGGCAAGGCGCGCCTCGAGCTCCGCGACGTCGCTCTGCAGCGCCGAGAGGTCGTCATTGCGGCGCGGTCTCTGTGTGGCGGCGGGCGCGGCGAAGGGGCAGCTGCGCTTGCTGCCGGCCGCCGCGTACTTCTTCATGTTCTGCGCTAGGATGGCGGCCAGGAAGGCGTCGCGCTGGGCGCCGCGCGGCGGGATCTCGGTGAAGACGGCCGTGTCGGCCGCATTCCGCGACGCGCAGTGCATTTATCTACTCTGGTGGTGGCAAAACTGGAACTGGTGATGCCCCGGCAATGCCGGGGCATCACCAGTAAACTAAACTATTGCCGGGCCGGCAATAGTTTAGTTTCAACGAAGGGGGGCAAGCAGCAGAGAAAGTGGTCCCCGCGGCAAAGATAGTATAGATAGTACAGACGGCTTTCTCAGTACGATCTGTAGAGTAATTAATTCGATTGTCAAGGAAATGATGAATAACAGTTCCACACAACACTATATTAATAGTTTGCTGATCGGATATGACGGGGTATTTGAAGGTTGGGGTAAAACCCACTACTTACGAGCAGATTGCGGCGGGGCCCGGCTCTGTCCGTTTACGCTTGATTGGCACCGAATCAACTGGAGCAGAAACGCTGCGCTTCAACGTCCTGACGCCCTTTCAGTAGCCGCGAAGCGCGCTTCAGCCAATCAGCGCTCGTAGAATCTGAATCGGTTCTATCCGGGGCGATGATGCTATTCGGGCGATTACGGCCATTCTGATACCGCATAGATTTCTAGACTTGGCACTCCTAAACTAGATTTCCAAATTTCGCCTTCGACACTAAATCCAGGCTGCAACGTATGACAGTAGTCTTCGCTACGCTACGGATCCACTTGCGGTGCTGGCAATACAAGCAATGCCTGAGACGCACTGGACAGTCACTACGTTGCAGCTAAGTTACCGGAACACTAGCATTTCGTACTTTTTCAAGTGCTTATCCCCGCGGAGAGGTCATTTTTGCGTGCCTGTGCCGCGTTCAACCACATTTTGCTGATTCAAAATTCGGGCTGGGCCATCGATTGCGGCACGGGCGCGGGTCAGCGCGAGCCCGACCTCGAGGTGAGACGTCCAGCAGGTTCAGGTTACACACACGGGGCGTCAAGGCTCCGGCTGTCTTGGAATGATCGCTCTCACAACGCGGCGACACGTGTTAAAGGGCAACATCCTCCGGCCTTCCGAGCTTCGACGACGTTGTTCAACAGCGGGCGGCCTTGGGCCGAGCGTGATCAACGCGGCGACGCAGAGCGTGAGGACGATGTGGAGTTTTAGCTTGTCCATTTTCTCAGATGGAGGCTTCAGATGGTAGGTTTCGCTTCGGCTTCGAGGCTTTTCGGGCTTCAGGAAGTGTTGGTGCTTGGGTTTGCCCGCGGGTAGCAGGTGGTTGGGCACGCTGGAGTAAACGGGCAGGACCACTGCCGATCACGGCACGATGGCTACAAGCTGCCGTAGCCTGCGTAATACACGCTGTACGAAGCTCTGCATCCTGGTGGTGCGAGCGCGAGCTGACGACCGGGTAAGATCGAATTGAAGCTCTGCTCCGCCTACTGGCTGAGTTCTGGGCTCAGACTCTGGGCCAGAGCACTTTGAATCAGCGTGTCTGAGATTCTTGGACACCTTATCGCCCTTTCGGCTTTCCTCTTGCAAGGAAGGCCACATCCACGCGCAACATTTTGTGATCTACAGAAGAGCTCCACAGTGCCATCATGGCACTGCCGTGTTTCCTCACTTCCCTAGGAACCTTTAACCCAAATTCTAACTACTGTACGTCATGTATTCATGTACTGGTGGGGATCGTTGCTTTGTGGTCAACCTCAGCGTTTTTCGACAACCAGGGCAACTAGGACGCGGCAAAACAACGCAAAAGCACGGACCAATGTTCAGGCGTTGTCTGCTACGAGAGCCAACAAGTTGTCGACAGGTTGATGGTGCGAGCTCAGAATATCTCGGTAAGTCGGAGAAGCAACGAGGCTCCCCGCAAACTCCTTATGTGGGTCGCTCTCATTTAATCGACAAGAGACTGCAATTGTCTGTTTAGGTGGTAGCGCCCACAGGCTGAGTACCATCCTCCTTTTTGTTTGAGGAACATGGTTACGCTTGCCTAACTTCTATCATTTTAACCCTTTAACTAAAGACCATCTTCATGAAGGTGGTTGTTGGCCACGGCGATCCAAGCAATTCAACCCCCTCGCTGCATATACACCCGCTTCGTGGGACTATTTCAATCGGCTGCGGACGATCAAGTTGACCTCGTACCTCGTCTCAAGCATGAGGAGAAACGTTGTCGTGTTTCTGGTGCGCAGACGTCGAGTTGTGGCTTCTCCACCACACGCGGAGATTTCAATTGCCAACATGTTGCTCATAACTTCGTGTTGTTGCATTTCAGGCTGTACCAATAGTTACCGGTAGGTGGGGTCTTCGGGGTCCCAAGTACCTATAGAAAGGTATGGTTTCGGCTTTGCACGGAAACGCGTTCTAACCGCAGAGGTCGCTAGTACCAGTTCAAGCACTGCCGACTATCGCAAGCGACCGGATTTCCAAGTCGTTCCTATTAAAATGTTCGGTGCATTCACTTTGCCTAAAAACTCTTTCAATCAAGCGGTGTGGTCCAGGTTGCTTTTGCCCAGAGTAATTACGAAGTTTTCAGTACTTCTTTTTAAATTCTACGACCACTGTTTGTATCCGGATAGGTGTACCGCACTCTGACATCTCGAAAACTAAAACTTATTTACTCTTCATTACTTCTACTACTTAGCATGTTCTGCAACTTCCTCCTATTTATCTACAGTCTAACTTCTAATGGATCGAGACGAGTCTAGCAGGAAATTCTCTACGGACTGGTGGTGCGAGCTCAAAATCTCGCGAAATGACGGGATGACAATGTCGCCGACACAACCTGTAAACGTCGTGGGAGCCTTGGCGCAACTGTTGGAGTCAGGAGCGTCCGGCTTGAGCTTCATCGCCGTCCTCAGTTGACACGCGCGTTGGCTGCCATCTGCCTGAAGCGGGTGCTCATTCACCACGACGTATCCTGCCTCCTCCGTCGTTTGTTTCCAAGTAGGAGCTGTCGGATGGTTCATTGACCACTCGGAGTGAGACTCCACCAACACGACCATACCACTCGGAGCGCGGAAACGTTTGGCAACGGCGTGTACATCGACGCTCACTGTGCTGCTGCTGGCTCTGTCCAGCGGAACTGTAAAGCGAGACGCCATTCCCACCACGTCGGGAGACTGCTTCGTCACCTGGAAGTGCTGGTTGGTAACCAAGCCACCAAGCTCGATGATCTCCCAGATCGTACTAGCAGTAGTGTCTTGACCGAAAGGCAGAAGACGCGCGTGTTTAAACTCCACAGCGGCAGCCGCCTCCTTGCCCTCTTCGCGGCAGATTTGTATCTGCTCGCCTTCCTTGATCGGCTGGAGCGCGTCTCGAATGATCGTGTCCAGCTGATGAAGGCGCGCGCCCATTTTGCCCTCTAACATGTTGAAGATCTCGGCGTTCTCAAAGCTCAAGTGCCGGGTCATGACGATCCCCACGCGGATGGCGTTCACGAAGCCAGATTTACTGTCCAGCAGCTCCTGCTGCTGATAATTAGCTTGGGCGACTTGCGACTGCAACATCTCGGAGGTGCGCGTGTACATCTCCAGCTCGTTCTTTAGCCGCGCGTTTTCATCCTTAGCAGCTTGGCATTCTTGCTTCGCAATGGCTGCTACGGATTTCCACATCTCTTGGTCTTCAGTGAGAACCGCTGGCTGCAGTTGTTGGCACATTTTTGCAGTTTGCTGGAGTTGCAGGAACGTCACTTGAGTCTCCAGAGCTTCGGACTCGCTGCGCAACGCTGTCAACTCTTGTTTTCGACGCAGCCACGACGTGCTCCTTCGCTTACGGGGCTGCACCTTCGTGGAGGTGGTGGCCATAGTCTTGGTCCTCTTGGCTTCGACTTGTATGCCCAGCGTTGGTTCTTGCTGCCGTTTGAGGCCGCTACAATTCGGGGACTCGAAGCCTTGCACGCGGTCGAGCTCGTCCATCTCGTGCAGGAAGTCGGCCAAGACGAGGTCGCTCTCGAACGTGTCCATGGCTGGGTACGGAGCCACCAGGCAGGTCCCGTCCAGTTGCGGGGTCATGGTGCAGTGGTTGTTGCTGATCCGCAAGTCGGAAAATGATTAAACAAGAGTGATCGAGTGGCTTTTTGCGAGAGCGAGGATAGCCTGGCCGTGGCGAAGGTGTCCATGTGGGGCTGAGGTGCGATTGTGATGATGGCATGGCGACAGTTTGCGATGGTGAGCACCTGAAGGTTGGATACACAGAAAAATATCCAGCATTCAAAGTTCAGGGACTTCGCAGTGTTGCTCAGACTTTTCACTGTAGTGCTGATACAGTACAGCCGAACCTTGCTCAGATAACGCGCAGAAGCATCAGCGCTGGCCCTGTTGATGGCGAAAATCTGCACGGTGTGTTCTCAGGGAGACCAGACTGCGGCAATTCAGCGCCCAGGACCGCAATCGAGATGCTGTGTTACAGGTAGCGCTCGCTGCCGCTGGATATCCTGCGTGCTGGCTGCTCGCAGTCGTGGCAATGGTTCCGGCTGAGGTCGCAGCAACTTCCTCTCTACCAAATGCCGAGCGATGTTGAAGCTGTACCATTCCATCCAAGCGCCTGGCAGCGGCGGCTGTAGTTTTTTTTACTTAGATTTTTCAGCCTAGGAATGTTGCCGGTGTGCTGTTATAGTCTAAATTCCGAGTAAACTTCGAGTGTACAAGTGAAACAAATTTTGTACGAGGGTTCTTCTCCTCTATCCTACGTCCTCACCGCCCGCTCCAAGTCCAGCAAACAGTTCTCGACCGACTGGAGCTGCGAGGTTAACATATCGCGGAAGGACGGGACCACAACATCGACGATCGTGCTTGGCAACGACGACGTGGAATTAGCTCTTCCGTCAACTTGTTGGTACTCGGTTGGTCGGAGCTTTACCAATGTCTTCAATTGAGATGCTCGTTGCGTAACATCGCCGCAGTTCGGGAACGGGTACTCATGGATCACGAACCACCCTCTTTCTTCCGTCGTGGACCGAGACACTACCGACGTAGGGTGCTGGATCGACCACTCGGAGCGAGACTCAACCAACGCGACCATGCCCGTTGGGACGGCAAACCGCTTGATGACGGTGTGTACATCGGCACTCACGCTGGCCATATCGCCCAGAGGCAGTCTGTGGTGAGATACTAGCCCGACCATGTCGGGTGAACTCCTGGCCACGCGTGTGTCTGTCTTGTCGGCCGATCCACCCACTTCAATGTACTGCCAGACGTTCCTCGCCGTAGTATCTACCCCAAAGGGCAGTAAGCGGACATGCTTGAACTCTACAGCGGCAGCAGCAGCATCTCCACGACAAACCTGGACTTGTTCGGTGGTGCCTCGCTGCATCGACCGACGGGTCTCGTGGATGATGAAGTCGAGTTCATGGAGCCGCGAGTTGATCTTCCGCTCGAGGACACCAAACACGTCGCCGCTGTCGCAACTCAAGCGCCGACTTCTGATCATCCCGGCGCGTAAGATATTCGAGAATACCACGCTGCTGTCAACAAGCTGCTGCTTCCGAGACTCCGCGACGACTAGCTGGGCCTGCAGCATCTCGAACGCACCCGCATACATCTGAAGCTCGTGCTTTAGACGCGCGTTCTCGTCCAGAGACGTTTGGTATTCCTGACGCGCGATGGAAGCGACCGACTTCCACGTTTCTTGAGCTTCAGTTAGAGTTGGTGGACTCTGGTGGGAGCAACGCAGACGTAGCGAAGCCAAGCGAGCTTCGAGTGCTTCGGACTCGTGACGCAGCGCGTGCAGCTCCTGCTTACGTCGCAACCACGAGGTGCTTCGTCTCTTTGCCGGCGCGGACTGAGACTTGTCTTGAACTTGTGTTGGCGCTAAAGAATTTGAATAGGGAACTTCTTGTTGAGGGACTAGCGCTTGTAGCTGGTCGAACGCGTCCATCTCGTGCAGGAACTCGGTCAAAACGAAGTCGCCGTTGAGTACATCCATCTCGGTATTTTGTGACATGGATGTGCTCTCCTCCAGTCGCAGTGTCATGTTCATGGGTGCTGTGGTGCGTCCCGCAAGTCGGAAAATGACAAGCGTCTTGTCCTTGTGAAGTTGGTGCGCAAGAGATGTTGCTCGCGGCAAGCGTTAAAAAGGGGTTAAGTTGATGGCGCTGGTGTTCACGATCAAGCGCGCGATTACCGTAAACGATTATCACGTGGTGGCTATGCCCAAATCGAGCACCTGAACGCTGAAAAGCTAGGATACCACGAAATATCCAGCGTCTGAATACACTACATACTGTAGTCGCTGTCGCTAATCGACCTTATTCAGTGCCAGCACCACATCCTCCTTTGACAGTTTACTCTCACGAGACCTCCATGATTTTTACGATGACACATTTTCGCCGCAATCGCAGCAAAACTGAAGTTGACCCACCACTGCTGGATACTGCTTTGTTCTTTGCGATCTCAGCCGACCAGACCCAGCTCATTTACTCGCCACGAGTACTACACCGTCTGGTTCGTTCTGCTGCTACTCCCTTGCCGGTCAATGGATCGCAGCGTTTTGTATGGTACCGATCGATTCCAGCGGCGACGTTCGTGATACTTCTTTCGTTGCAGCGCAGAGTGAGGAATTTATGTTCGGTAGCGCAGATGTAGCAACGCTCTGTCACTTTCCGTGGCGGAGTACCTTCAACGGGCCCGTGACTGCTCCTTGAATTGGGCCTGAACTCGACAGCACCCGCTGCGCTACTCTGCCGAAGATGCAGCGCAACGGCAGCAGCTTCTGGCCAAACGCAGCCATGGGCGCTATCAGCCGAATGATTATGGTAGTGATGACGAGCATTCACTGCTCTTGAAGCTTCAAACGATCCACTTCAACGTTGGTGATCGTTGCCACAGAGAACCAGTATGTAATTAAGCGTGTCATTTCTGGGGCTGAGCTTATCGTCCGTTTAGCAGCACCATGTTGTCCAAAAACTGGTGTCGTGTGTTCACGAATTTGCGCAGTGACGAGATCGCGAGGTCGGCCTCAACGGTTCTTCGACTAACCTCTGGTTTGTAGCGCTGGTTTGAATGGATCTTCGTAGTTGAATACAACCGACACGCTTGAGAGTCTCCAGCAGATGGCTGGAGGCGGTGGCTCTTAATCGCGAACACACCCGAGTCCTGCGTCACAAAGCGCAGTGAAGACGACGGCACCGAATATTCCACGGTCGCCTCCATTAGGGCAACGTATCCATGGGAGACAACGCACCCCTTGATCACAGCAAGGATATGAACATTCACGATCTCGCCGCTTGCTTGCGCAACAGGATACAGAGCATCCAGAGCCATCGTGTCCTTCAAAAGGCTGGTAACCTGAAAACCTCCCAAAGCGCCTTCCAAACTGCGTCTGCGTTAAACGACATCGTCCTAATCTTTGAGAATTCGAGCTCAAGTTCACTACCCGCGGGGCTGATGGTCTTGACTTCTTCGCCGTCGAGAATGGACTCTCTTCGCCACTGTTCCTCGACAATTGTGTCCAGCTTGTTGCACAGCATATCGAAGACCTTGGCGTTTCCGGGTCTCAATGTTGGAGTAGATTTGATTCAGCTACTAGCGGTCGAAACGCCATAGCCTCACTGCGGCCCCGCTCGTGGTAGAAATCTTGGAGGCTTCTCAGTACTTTCGATAGCGCCGCCACCGTCTTCTTGTGCTCTTGAAGCTGCCTTCTCAAGTCTGTTCGCTCGTCTTGAGATTTCTTGAGTAGTCGGCGCTCCAAACAGGCTGTCAATTTCGCTGGGTGGTGTGGGTACTTCTGCAATTCTGCCAGGCGCGAGCGGAGAGCCTTCGCTCAGCGCTTGAAGCTCCTGCTTTCGGTACAACCAAGACAGGTTGGGGTTCTTCCTTGGCTTCCTCCCCTTGACTCGGAGGGGTTTCCGTGTAGGTACATGTACTTCAGGGACAGTCACCTCCACGGGTGACGATGGAAGCAACGGGAGGTCGACGTCATTCATTTCCAACAGGAACTTCACCATCATTTGCCCGTTGGGTTCCGTTGCGTGGATGATGGAGCACTGCATAGCGCGCTTTTCTCTGTTGTGTTGGTGGGCAATAGCTGCGGTTTTTGCGAATGAGTCGCAGTGACGCAGGAACACACTTCCAACCAACTCATCACTGATGGATTATGGTTCTCTAACTGGTAAGGCATCTACAACGATTTGCAAGAGAGCGGTTCGCTATTCAGTGCAGTACATTTACCTGTATTTTAATACAGGTACTGCACTATTAAAATAGTAGCTTACCTAGTCGAAGTAGATTGCATTACAGGTAGCGATCGATCCCAACTGGTGGTGCTAATACTACGTGAGGTGCCTTTACTACCTCGTCATACGAGAACGAATAATTGGTGCAACTGCTGCACTAGTTCTCGTAACTTAGTATTGACAGGCGACTTTTTCAAGGACCTATTACCACAATGGATAGCATGCCATCCTCGGGATTCCAAACATGCCCTATAATGGGACTAATACCGAGATTGACGTTCATGCCGTTTGCTGTTGACGTCCATGCCTTTCTGCAAGCTCTCCGAAGTCGGCATTAAGGACTTTGTGTTTCCAGTCAGATTGCCCTCGCTCTTCCAGATTTACGGTGCAAATCTTGTGAGATAAAGTTAGCGTCATTGACGACTCACTTGCGAGCTGTAACATGCTTTCATGTACGACAACCTCTTCTCAATTGTCAATACCATAGGAACACATATACTGTAGTTGTTGTTGGAATTGCGCTCTTTGAGCTTGCAGCTGCAATAAGTGCATGTACATTTGCGTCGTAGTTCCCGCTGTCATGTTCTGCGGCCAGTGATGGCTTTATCGCGTGGGAAAATACAAGCTGTCAAAGATCCAGAAGTCTACCGCCTTCGTGCATCTGGCCGTCAAGGCCGACAAAAAACCTATGTATATGTACAGTTGCTATCGTCGGTAGCCAAGGAGGTACATGTTCCCTTCGTTTTCATTGTACTGGCAGCCTTAAGTGGATGGTCGTTTAGTTAAGGCCTTATTGCGTGATGTACCACAACTGCAAACAACCGACGGGACCAACTCCAACTTTTCAAATCGCCACTCGTCCACCAAACCAACCGAGCACCCGAAGTGGCTTCCGCCTTCAGCATGCACTCTAAGCTCCTCGCCGTACTGTGCGCGGGAGTTGCCACCTCCATCCAGAACGCAACGCTGGTGCTGCCTGCCGACCTCGGTCCAAGGGTGAGGACACCCCCGCCGCCACGACCACGAACGGACTAGTGGGGTGAGCCCGGTCGTGACCACTGAGGAATGTCGCCTCCAATTTGGTGAAGACGGAGAAGGACAACATGTCCAAGGGGATCCACCCAGTCCAGCGCCGCGGACTACATGTAGTCGAAAGCAAGACGGGAAAAATAAAGCAGCCAAGAGGCGCAGGGCCCGTTGGGGGGGACCTGAGTGTCGGAGGGACCTCGCGAGGAGGAAAAAGTTTTCAAAGAAGATATCCATTGGTTATCTAAACCGCTGCCACTCTATATCGATGCTGCATTCTACACTACACTACGCTCGCTGTGGACTGCGTACACATGTACATCGACGCCCGTCGTCGGGTCAAGGCTAATGAGACGTCGATGGAGAGATGAAGGTTGATCCATGTCGGCAGCGGCTGAACTCTGCTGACAAGCCTCCACCCACTCACCGTCACTGCAACCGCGAACCGTCGGTGCAAATTGGATCCTGCCGCAAATCCAGCGGTGCCCGAAATCCAGTGCGTCCGCTCGTCAGCCAATCGTGGCCATCCGTCCGGAGCGGTGTGCCGAACCCACCGCTAGTAATCGGGGTGTTTACCAGACAATCGCGCTTCACTTTAAGAGCATCTCGGCTTATCACCGCATGCATATATTATCCTAGTCATATTTACCGCCGCAAAACTGAATCTACACTTTAGTGGCATATTCTGGGCTCGGCCTTGAGCGCGGCGTGGCTGTGCTTGGCGCCGATGGCCGCGTTCATGAGCTTGTTCTCGACGCTGCGCTGGCGCTGGTTCCACAGCGCACGGTAGCACGGCACCACCAGCTCCGCCAGTCCGTGGGTGTGTTGCCGACTCTGCTCGGCCGAGACGCCGCAGAGCTGCGGCATCAGGTACGAGCAGAGCTGCAGGATGCTCGAGTGCTCGCCCGTCGCTGAGCGCAGCGGCTCCAGCAGCCCCCAGCCGCAATCGCGGATCTCCACGCCCTTGGCGCTTGCACTCACGTGCGGGAGGCGGTTGGGGCTCTCGGCCACCGACTCCCACACGAACACGACGCGGCCGGAGGCGTCGTCCACCACGCGGCGGATCACGCAGCGCACAGTGAGCTCGGCGTCGGGCGCGCGGTGCTGGCGCAGCGGCATCGAGCTCTTGAAGCACACCGTATCGCTCGTGGTGCCGCCCACGACGGTGGCCTCCGACTCGGCTTCGAGGCATTGCCAGATGGCCGTGGCACAGGCCTGCACGTCGAACGGCAGGATCTTGGCGTCCTTGACCTCCATGACCGGGCCGCGGCGCTCGTCCAGAATCATCTGCGTCTCCTGCAGCTCCTGCTTGTCGTGGGTCAGCCCTCCCTTCTCGAACACTGCCTCCATCTCGGAGAGGCGGGCGTCGAGTCCAGACGCGAGGGACGCGAACGCGGCCGTCTCTTCAGTGTCGCTGGTACGAGGCCGCTTGACGCCGAGAACAGCAGCTGACGTCTCGGCGTCGGAGCCCGAGCTTATGGACGACTTGCATCTCTTCCGCAGGAGCTTCTCGAGGCCCTTGGAGATCTTGAGCTGCTCCTGGATGAGGCCCTTGAGGCGCAGGTTCTCCATCTCCGCCTTGCTCTTCTCCTCCTTCTGGTGCTGCGCCATGCGCTCCCACACGGGCACGACCATGAGGCCGCTCGTCGTCTCGCCCGAGGCCTCGAGGCCCATGAGCGGCGCCGAGGTAACTGCCACGGGAGAGTGCTCCGAGACCCGGGAGGAAGAGTCGTTCTTGTGCATCATGACGGCGATGGGCCGCGACTTGCGGGGCATCCGCCCGCGCACGTGCTCCAGCTCCCGCTGCAGCTCCTGCACCTGCGCGCGGAGCCTCGTGAGCTCGTCCTTCTGTCGTTTCCGCGAGTTGTTGACCGCTCCCGTGCCGGACGCCGCGCGGCCTCTCTTAGGCGGGCTGGGAACTGCTGCAGCTGTGGAAGGCTGAGCCGTCGTTGTTGCTGTAGCTGCCGGTGCCGGCGTGGGCATGGATCGCGCCGCCGGCGAGAGGCCGTGCGGACTCACGCCCGCGGTCGTGGGCGTCTGTGTGGAGTAGCTCTGCGTCACGCCACCGGAGCTGCTCGGGAAGGCGAAGCGCTGGTCGCCGCGCAGAGACGGGATCACCATCTTGGGCAGCGACGGCAGCGGCGAGCAGCCCGTGGCCTGTGGCCGCAGGGAGGGGAGCGTCGTCTGTGTGTTGTTGCTTGAGTTACTGTTGTTATTGTTGCTGCTGTTGCCGCCGCTGCCGCGCGCCAGCAGCTCCACGATCGTGAGCGCCGTGGCGTTGCGGCGCTCGGCGTCGTCGGTGCTGTCGCCGTCCACGCGTGGGAAGGGCATGCGGCCGCCCGACGTGGAGCGCAGGTTGAGTGGCGGGAAGACCGCGGGGCAGGCCATGTTGGGGTGCGCGGGCGACGAGTGCGTGGAGGAGGCGCCGGCGGTGTCGGCGCGCTGCTTCTGCCTCGGAGACTGCGATTGCTGAACTGCCAGCGGCCCCATGGCTTGTGGCTTGTGTCCTGGCAGCAACGGGGAGGGAGGGCTGGGCTGGGCTGGTCTTGTCTTGTCCGCGGCGCGCGTTGGCGAATGTTGATGCCGACAACCGCACGGCTGAAAAAAGAATAATCACGTGGACATTTCTGGCAATGCCCCTGGGCTTTGGCAAATTTTGGACACGAACTGCGCGACAAAGTGCGCCCTGTCAGATCTAGTTTACTGCTGAAGACGATATCTGTGATGGAGGGAACAGTGTTGTTATTAAGCATAAAGAACTGTAAGATCCGATTCTGTGCACTTGCTGGAGCAGGAGGATGGGAAGCAGTTGGTGGTTGCCCGTGTTTAGAGCGGCGAGAGGATTAGACCCGCGGCGGTTTTTGGGAAGCGAACCCTAGACCGTTACCGAATTTGGGCACCGTCTTCCTATCGTGTGAGCATGCAAAATGGGTTTCAGATGGTCGCGCTGCCGTCAAAATCGATTGGTACGACGATGCATAGATGTATAGAGGGAACCTTTCAGGCGGTAAAATCCCTGGAAACAGTGCGTAGCAGGGATCTCAGTCTGGGTATTGGCCGCGGTGATCTTTTTTGGCATCAAAGCCCCGGTTGCGCCCCGATTAAAGTGCCCAGTTACGCCTCAAGTGCCCATTCTGCCGCCCTTTCCCAGGCCGTAGCATAATCCGGCGCATGGTCCCGCCAAAACCGATCATCTCCGTAGCGAAATGTCTGCCGTGGTACAAGCCAGAATTGATTTGGGATCACTATGCCGCTGGTGCTGATACGCGGCGGTCATTTCGGCACAGGGGACTTGCCTTGTAAACAGAACGACCGGCTTGTGCGACAGCAATCCGCAAACAACGTCGACTGCCGTGGCGTGGCCGGGCTCACGACAGCCCACGACAGCGGAGCGCTGGCCGCAGTATCAGAGCCGTTGCAGCATCCTGGCAGTGCCTGCAGCATGCATGCATGCATGCAGGCATGCAGGCGGCAGCGACAAGATGCTCTGCTATTGTATAGGCGCTCTGGCAAAATTCGCCCATCGCTCTCTTTCGTACTTAATGTGAACTTGTCGAGCAATCACTGACTCGATTACGATGGAGCTTGATGACGCAGCTGCGCTGCTTACGCTCGGAGCGAGGAGCTGCAACGGAAATCCCAAAATGGGCTCCGCTGCGGCGGACAAGATCCGCTCTGTGCCGGCTGGCCAAGTGCTGCTTGCCATGCCAATTACTGTAGACATCCATCCTCAGGTGCAGTTTTGACATTGCCACCGCGCGGCAGATGGAGGACTCGGCTTCTAATTGCCTTCTCAGTGGGATCAGAGCGAATTGCCCATGATCATCACGCTGCTCCACATGGCTGCTCGGTCGCCGCAATCAGCCGCGCACTTTGTGGGCCACCATTATTAGATCGCAGACCTTTACCTACTGCACGCACGCGCACAAGTTGGTCGGGTACATGTATAAAGTGCCTAAATCGTTCGTGAGTCAAACCGCCCCGTTCCAGGGGAGACCTAAGCTTATCAGCGTGCACAGGAAACAATGCACTGTACATGTAGGACAGGATCGCCGCGGTGGACAGGGAGGCAACAGCAGTCCCGTGCGATCGCGTTGTCTCAAGGATCTCGATCCACATCAAGTGATTGAATTTCCCTTCTTTTTTCTGGTTCTGGTTTGAAAGACGAATTTCGCGTCACCAAAATGCGTTTCCCGCAGACAAACAAGGGAAGCAAAATGCGGCTTTGGAATCCAACCACAGACCACTGTTGCTGTGGTCTGTGGTTTCCGAGCGCCACGAGTTTTGGTTGCAAATCCTGCATCTCAAGGTTTACGCTTGGCGAATGGCGCTGCTCGGGAAACTTCAACGAAGCACAAACTTGCTGAAGCCCCAGATCCCAGTTCTACGAAGCGCGCTGTTTTACGGGGCATCATCAACCAAGCAACCCATTGGGATGGGTCCTGGCCGCACAAGCGTTGTGGAGACTCACTCAACCAAGCTATCCCAAGACTGGATAACACCAGTCTTCGCCAGCGCCAACACCCGTCGACGCGTACTCGTGGCCGACGCCAAAGCCTGGGTAACGATATCCTAGCCACCGCAGCCGAAGTTGCTGGGGTAGCCTTAGCCACCACCGTAGGACGAGTACTACCAGCAGTATGGGCAATAGGATGCCCGAAGCCAAAGCGGGTAGTAGTCGAAGCCGATCGTATCCATAGACACCCTTGCTGCAACTGAAGTAGTTTTTGCCGTAGTAGTTGCTGTCGCAGTCTCCCACCGTAGTTCTTGGTAGGCGTAGAATCGGTGGCCATGGAGTCTTCGAGACGGCGATGGTAATACTCCGGTGGTCGTAGTTCTCCCTGAAGCCGAGGTGGCGGTGCAGCGGCGAAAGAACGATTGCCATTGGAGCAGTATCGGCGTGGGCCGCGTGCAGGGTGGACGAAGCAACTCACAAGTTGAGTGCAATGAGGGCCTTGGTGGTGCAGGGCAGCTCGGGTAATCAGTTGGTGCGGTAGTCGTATGCAAATTCACACTTGAGAGAGCTTGGACGTTGTTGGTCTGGCCGTTATCTCGCTCACGTGCACTGTTCGCGCTGGTGGTGGCGTGCCCCCCCCCCCCCCCTTGTGACTCGACTAATCCAACCATGCCTTTGAAAAATCTCAGTTACCGGAACTACTTGTCGGCAGCTCGAACCGAGTCCCATATCACGTTCTCGAGTAGTTGTCGTCTAGAGGCAATGATCTCGCAGCAATGCGACATCACCATGGCATGCGTTGAGGGCGAGTCGACCGAAGTACCAAAATGCCTGGGTGTATGTTGCTGCTGTTCAGTCTCACTACGCAGCAACACGTTCACGTGGCACCCAACGGGACTTATTGATTCATGAGCCCCAGTGTTGACAAGACACCGCCGAACCAGTACACGTATCGATTCCTGGGTCGCATGTCTTCATTGCACTTCATTTCCACGGTAGACAGACCACATTGTGCTGGATTCTGCGAGCATGACACAGCCGTCCGGTGCCACCAAGCGCTTCATTGCGGCACGAATATCCGTGATCAGAAACCGGCCCTCGCCTAGCTGGAGAATGCATCGTGACTGGATCGTGTTCGAGTTCGAGTTCTCGGATTGACGTATAATCTGCGTGAATTGCGTTTGCGGAGGACAATCCAATTCGACGAGATGCCAAACTGCGTTCGACGCCACCGTTGCGTCAAAAGGCAGTGTCTGCGCCAATTTGTAGGCCATTGTGGGCCATTTGATCCATCCCCGTCGAGCATTTCCACGTGAACGCTATCCACTGGCGGTTTGAATTCGTCAAAAATCACTTGGGCATCCTGGAACTGCGCGTTGAGTTTGGATTCAAGCGTGTCGAAGGAGCCCGCACTGATGTGCAGCTGCGGGGGCACATTGATACCGGCAAGTGCCGTTGAACTCGTAGCAGACGCTATTGTCGCTTCCAACTGACTCGAAAGTTCTCCAAATGCTCTAAGCCGAAACCTCAGCTCTTCGTTTTCATCTTGAGCAGCTTTCAGCCGCTGCTGCTCAGTCAAGACAGCAGCCTCCCACTTGTGCGGCGCTTGACTTGGCCCCGCTCTCTCTCGTTGAAGCTGGAGGAACGCGACTCGAGTCTCCATCGCCTGGATCTGCTGCCGTAGTGCACCCAACTCCTGCTTACGTCGAAGCCACGACGGTGTCTTCTTTGTGGGAGCTTTTGGCAGTACAGGTCCCTCCATTCGAGTAGTTTTGCGCTTCTTAGCCGGCTCAGCAGGTCTGCTTCCTACGCTCTTGAGGGCCAGTCTGGAATCTGTGCTGCTCCGCTGCAGAGAACCTTGATCCAAGTGAGCCAGACTGTCGAGCTCGCTCATGTCCCTCAGAAAGCTGTCCAGCAGGCAAGCACCTTCGGGTTCACCGACGACTTCTTCACAACCACTAAATGTAGTGCCGCTTTCAACCATTGCACCGACCAATATCTTGGAGCTATCGGTAGTGGACTCGACTCAGCCAAAGCCGATCTGTGAGTGGAGAAGGTGGTGGTAAGGCAACGCGCAGCTTTCATGTTGACTCGGCCAAATGATGACGGCAAGTCAACCAACATTCCGACCTCTACCTACCAGTACAGTACTGTACAACGCAGTGCAAGTAGTCTGCATCTAAGTATGTTCCAGTGCATGTGGCGGTGCGGGTTGTAGTTTTTTTTCTATCGTGTAGAACGGTTCTACCACAATATTCGCAGTGTAGAACCCCTCACCCCTCGCCCTTGCTATTAATCAATCGGTAATTACCGGTATTTACCGGTCTTTTTTTCTGGCGCATTGCGCGCCTTGGAGCTCAAAATCACGTTTGGACCATACAAGAAGGCGCGCAAAAATGGCAGACAGCGACACCCCGGACTCGCTCGATGCGCCGTCCCCGTCCCCGTCCCCTTCCGCGGGCGGAGGCGCCAGCTCCCCGTCCTCCTCCTCCGCCGCCGCGGCGCCCTGGGCCGTGCGCATCCACGAGAAGCGCGCCAAGGCCTTCCGCTTCACGACCGTCACGGACATCGCGCTGCTGCGCGAGGTGATCAACCACAAGCCCTGGGCCAGCTCGCACGGGGACATGGCCAAGACGTGGGACGTGGTGGCCGCCGCCTTCAAGCGCACCGTGCCCTGGTCCACCAACGACGGGCGCGCCTGCAAGCGCCGCTACCTGGCGCTGGCCGAGGCCTACGGCACGGCCAAGCTGCAGAAGCTCAGGGGCTCGGGCACGCCCGTCATGAACGCCCAGCGCGAGTCACTGCTGGCGCAGTGTCACGCCATGGTAAGTTAGTTATTAAATTCTGACAATAGTTATTGTGATATTGTACAATATCACGATAGAAAGCTGACCTATTGTGATATTTGGTGCTGGTACCGTAGACGGAGGAGGACCTGCGGCGACGGAGAGCGGCCAAGGAGGCAGACCGCAGACCCATCGCCCAGCTGGCGCTGGAGGACGCCACCAGGTTGTCGGGCAACGTGGATCCTGAGATTAACGCGCTGGCGACGGAGGCGGCGAGAGTTACCGAGGCTACTGCTGGACCTACCGGACAGGATTTGACGCTGCTGCTGAACGATCCGAGGGTGCTGATGCGCCAGCGAGAGCTGGAGCTGGAGGAGAGACGGATGAAGCTCGAGGAACGCCGGGTCAAGCTGGAGGAGCAGCGCTTCGAGCAGCAGCGACAGACCGCCGAGAAGCAGCTGGAGATGATCGCCGCGCAGACCAACGTGCTGCTGAAACTGGCGGAGAAGCTGGCGGCCACACCGGAGTAAGACGCCTGGTCTTGTGGTGGTTTAGCCGTTAACTGCCCGAATCCTCTGCATACGACGAACTAGTTGTGCTAATTGTTGACAACCATGAACACCAAGTGTTAACGTCGGTTTTCCGTTGTTGAAGATGTTACAGCGTGCTAGGCTGCGTGGACGTCGAGGTCGAGTTGTCTGCAGAGCCGCGCGTGCGCGCGCTGCTGCTTTTGGCGCGTTATCTCTTGGTGAATGTGCAGCTGCGACGACTTCTTCAGCTGCTTGCGGCGACGTAAGGCTCGATCGGCTTCGTTCTCGAGGTGGTCGTAGACTTCACGCAGGTGTTGGCTCTGCCTCCGACAGCGGATTTGGTCGCGCTCCGCCTTGGCGTCGTTGTCAAGCTGAATTGCTGTCAGCCGTTCTTCGAATCGTAGCTGCTTCAAGCGTCTCTGTAATGAGGCCAAGTAAACAGTTTTATGGTGAGCTGTGGTTAGAGAGGAAGGAAGCAAACAGGGTGAGCGTACGAGCTCCTGGACGCTGCGCCGTCGCAGTGTGTCTTGGACGAGATCGTGGCCTTCTGAGCGGGTTTGCGCATATCCGACTTGCAGTATGGTTAGTGAAGGCAGGCCGTCACCTCGAATGAGGTCCAAGAAGGAGGCAATGGCTTTCAGCTCGGCGTTGCGGGACAAGTTGAGTTCGTGCAGCTCCTTGCAATTGCCTCGCGCCAGTGTCTCATTCAGGCGAAGTAGCCCTCGGTGTGGAATTTCGTTGTCTGGACCAGCATCGTCGTGCGAATGTCAATCAAATATTACAAGGTTGTACGCAGAGATGAAGCAACGCACCGCTGAGGTCGAGTGCCCAAAGTCGCTTGGCCGGAGGTGACAGCAAGAACGGGCAGAAGCGAGCGATGCCCTCGCCACGAGCGAAGTTTGCTGGTTGATAAAAGTAATGAGAGGCATGCACAGGCAGAGGAATACTGATCAAACAACTTACCCGAGAGATCGAGTACTTGGAGACGAGGGCAACAGTTTGTGGCCAGAGTGGAGCTCAACGCTTCGAACTCCAGCGCACGCAGCTCATTATCTGCAAAAGCAAAAGACGAATCAAATGAGTTGCGCCCCCTGTTGATCCTGAAGTCGAGTCAGTTTTCACGTGCCTGCTATTGCCAATGATCGAAGGTGTAGCAGCTTGCCCGCGGCTAAAGCACGGACGAAAATGTCGATAGAGGACTGAACGCTGTTGTCCGAGATGTCCAAGTGCTGGATCTTCGTTGGTCGATTCTCTAGCATAGCCGTCGCAATGGTCCGAAGTCCATCATCACTTAGGTGCATGCCTACAGTGACGATTACAATGGTCTCGTTAGGCGGAGGGAAGGTATTGACCAGCAAATCCGCACAACTTACTCGACAGATTGAGATGCGTGAGCTCCGGCCAACCCGACGATAGCTGTCTGCTGGATGTGAATACTCTTGCTAGTTGATTCGCGGCCTTGGGATTGCTCAGCGGGTTCCCACTAACATCTACGACTTCGAGGTGTGGACACCAGAGTGGTTTAGCCTGGAAAACTTCCAGTAGATGACCCATAGCCACCTCATCAGCAGTAATAGCCACACAGAGGAGCTCTCTTAGAGAGCTCAACGCCTTCAACTCGACCATCTCGCGCAGCTTGTGAACTGAAGCAAATGAACACAAGTTGTGTGAAAGATTAAGGCTCCGCAGCACCGGTGCAGTTGATAGGCAAGCAATAAAACGCTGTAGATCGTGGTTCGTCATTTCAGCATCTGCAAACAAATACAACCAAAAGTTATGAAGATGCGAGTAAAACATTGGTAAAACTGCACGCACTGGATACGTCGATCGCCTCTAGCTTCAAGAACCTTTCGTTCTCAAAGCTCCAGCTCCAGTCCCTCACATAGCGACTGCTGAATGCATTGTTAGCTAGACTCAGACGTCGAAGTGCTGGAAAGCACGCGTCTCGCCATAGCCTAGCAAGATGCTTAAACTGCAAGTCTTCCAGCGATAAGTCTGCCCCAAAGCACAACATTGTTCATGTTTGAGAAAGTATCAAGAGCTCAAGGGAAGAAATACACAAAACTTTACCGATCAACTCGAGAATTTGCAGACGGGAGCTCACATGATCCATGAACAGAGTCTGCAAGAGCTGCTCGAAGGACTTCCCTCTGTCAGCACTCAGCCCAGTCACTTTATAGAGTGAGATCTGCTTCACAGCTGCAAAGCAGTCGCTATCGTCGTCAGGATCGTCATCTTCGCCGTCGCTTCCTCTCTCCAGCAGCTGAATGACCTTCACCACATCCACCGCGTCGGCTTCATTAAACACAAGAGCTGGCGTCTTACCAAAGCGATTGTGAATGCGACTCGTACGTGGAAATTCATACGCAACAAGGAACTTCTTCACTCCTTGAGCGTTCTCAAACTCTAGCGGCAACGCGTTGCAAGCTTCGTAGAAGGAGAAACAGCTAGCACTAGCCCAGACTCGATCGTGGATCGGCAACAACTCCATCACTTTAGCTGGAAAATCGCTCTGACGGTTCTCCAGTAGGCGGTGGACGAGATATCGTCGTGGTCTTGGAGGAGGGCAATACAGTTCGTAGAATGCTTTGACACCAGCAGCCGTGGCCTTGTTCACGTACGCAGTCACTCGGGCGGGCTCCAAAGGGTCCAAGAAGGAGAGAATGCGAGCTAATAGCTCGATGTAAGGGGCTTTTGAGACGGTGAAAAGCACCGGAGGGCCTTGAGGGAGAGCTAGAAGGTGTTTCTTCTTCTTCCGGTGATCTTTATCGCGATGTTTCTCCACGGGGTTGAGCAGTTTGGGCACCCAGCGGTTGAGTCCGAGACTCGGTCTCTTGCTCTTGCTCTTCTTCTTCTTCTCTGGCTTCGTGGCTACATCCTGACCTCCTCCTCCTTGAGCAACGTCCTCGTCATCTTCGGATTCGTCGCTGTCTTCTTCATCATCGGAGCCCCGCGGAGGCTTTGGAGCTGTCGGTTGTCTCGCCCAACTCGCGGGTGGGAACGATGAGACCGCCGACACGGCGACTGGAGCAACTGGAGGAGCCTCATCAAGAGGCGTCGGTGCAGCTGTGATCGCTTGTGGCTTCGGTCTCTTCACGATTCGTTGACGCAACGACGCGAGTAAATTACCACCGAACCCCGTCACCCTCAACGCGCGGGTACCAACGCGCGTTCCCCCCGTCGGAGAAGAAGAGCTCTCTCTCTCCTTCTCCTTCGTGGCCTTAGGACGCGCTGGAATCCAGTGCTTCACCATAACCAGCGACGCTCCAGGAAATAGAGATCCCGATGCAAATAGGCACTTCGAAGCCAAGAGTCATGGGCCCCTCCCTATCTGTAGAGTGTCGAGTCATTCTGACCATGTAGGACTCTCGTGCAGGACTCGCCTCCAGGTGGCGACCAAGCAAGGACACATCAGGTGTCGACTTGAGGGTTTCTCTACTCGAGAATTGGCACCGCCATTGCCCGGTCTCACCGAAGTCATAGGGATAGATAAAGCGCCAAAACAGCAGCCCTCCCGCCGCTCCCATGACGTGCATCATGCACGGCATGGGATGCACTGCATCTGATACCTTGGTCGACGTTTACCGGCAATGAGTAGCCTCGGTGCTTTCGTGTCAGTGAGGCAATCATTGTCACAAATGCTTGAAGCACCTTTACTGCTAACGGGAAGGAAGGGGAAATAAGTAGGCTGTATTTTGTTGTTGTTGTTGTTGTGGTGGGGGGGGGGGGGGCATTCTACACATCGTGAATAAAGGAGGCGGGTCGTTCATTCTACCTGGCCTTAGCAGGACGCCGAGTAGTAGCTCGAGGCCGAGTGGCCCGTTAGCTGCATGGGTTCGGGGATGGCGTTCGCCAGGTACCGGCTCCGCGCGATCTGCTCGAGCTGCTTGAGTTGTCCTAGGTGGGCGGCCACCTGGCTGCGCAGCTTCTCGTTCTGTTCCTCGAGCTGCTGCACAGCCGCCACTTGGCTCTTGGCCGCGCCCACCCACTCGTTGAGCGCCGAGCTGTTGTTGTCCCATCCGTCGGCCGTCGATTGGTCGTAGTGCTGGTGCTGGGACCGCTCCAGCGCTTGACGCTCGCGCTCGAGCTTGCGCGCGTGCAGCTCCTCGACCGTGGACTGCAGCTCCACGACCTGCCTCTTGAGGAACTCGATCTCGAGCTTCTGGCGCTGCTGCTGCGACTTCGGCTGCGCGGTGCCGTCTTCCGTCAGCGTGGGGCGCGGACGCTTGCGGCTGCGCGGACGGGCGGGCGTGCTGCGCTTCGGACGCGCGGCTGAAGCGGTTGAGGGGCCCGCCGAGTTGGCGAACCCGAAGAGGTCGCTGAGCACCACCAGGTCATCGTTCGTTAGCGACGAATCGTCCGAGAGCTCGGTGCTGGACGGGCTCATGACCTCGGGGCGAGGTGCGGAGCATCCGTAGTCGTGTCGAATCGGAGCGTGGCTGTGGTGGTGACTGTGGTGCTCGTCGATGAACAGTGAGGCGAGGTCGCCGTTGTCGCTCGGAAGTGTCATATTCATTGGATTGGGTTGTGAGAGGATGGTCGAGTTGCTTCGGGTTCCTGCGTGGGGTGCGTGGCACGAGGCAAATTGGGGACTGTGGGGTGGGAATCCAGCCAGTGTGGCAGGCAGGTTTACAGGCGGGTGGCGCAGAGCTCCGAGAAAACGCGGCGGCTGGGCATATGCTCGGCTCGGTCTGTCGGGAGAAAGTCCTCTGCTCTGCGAAAACCTAGGCCCCGAGACTGTCGGACGGCCGCATGGCTCCGGCACATTTATGCGTCCGCCGCGGACTCAGCACCATCGTTGAAGATGGTGCAGAAATGCCGAGCCCGGCGCCCAAAAGAGACCGTCGAGCACCCAAAGCGTTCGGTTGTGGGCCTCGAGGCGTCCGGCTCGGACAGGTTTTGTTGTTGTTTGTTGCTTGCTCGTGTGTAACCTTTGGCAGACCCGAGACTCGAAGCCAACCAACCAAGCTCCACCTTCATGTGGCCTGGCTAGTCGACGCTCTCTCTCTCTCTCTTTGCATCTCGAAATCCTTTCTTCGCGTGTTTCGGCTCGAAAAGTTTTAGAGAAACCCCGGACATTGACCGAACACGCAGCGTTCGTTAATCGACAATAACAACCACAACACCCTAACGAAGAGGATCACGAGAGTCGTATATTTTTGAGGGTGCTACTCTTTGTTTGATGGTTGTATGGAGCTTTTAACAAGTGGACAGCCTTGCCTTGCCGACGAGATGTCAGCGTCGGAGGAAAATGACCCGCGGCTTCACCGCCACCACCGCTTTTCCCGAGCTTCAGCTCTTTGGGACTTCCTTCTCAGATTTATATCTAGCGGGCCGATCTTGCTTTCGGAGCCCATGAAATTTTTTGAAAACCTGCCGGCGCGCCGGGGCTTTCCACCTGGAGTCGCGGTGCAGACGATTGCGGACCCCGCTCGCCGCAAACATGTATGTAATCTCGGCGATTGGGACGGCGGACAGATGGAAGGATGCGCCTGAGCAACAAGGCAACTTTTTCGTTGGTCACGGACGCCAAGGTGTTGTTGCTTTGATTTTAGTAGAAGAGATTTTATTTGGACTACTATGATAGCCATTAAAATCCTAAAGAAGATTTCATCATCACCACTAATGGCGATTCTCTTGGTAGCTGCATGCTGCTTACCCGTACTTGTCCTGGTTGTTCAAGGATTAATAGAAAACTGTCGATACAGTCCTCCATCAACTTGCCTTGTTCAACTGTTTGTGGACTCATCTTGTCCCTCCGTGTTGTTGCTTTGATGTAGTGGCTCGCCTTGTGGTGGATTGAGGGCATCTGTACTGTACCCCCTGGCCTCTTCATTGAGGAGCGACTGGTCTCAGGTTAGCACTGCAAAGATTGCCATGCCGCTCGGGCTCAGGCTCAGGCTGCTTTTACTCAGCTGGCTACAGTACACATGCTCGTCTGGCCGGCTAATAGACACGCTCCTGTGGTCTTCTGCCGCAGCAGAAGTTTGAGCACGTACAAGAGCAGACTGCGAGCTGGGTTCAAAACCAAGCTGCACAAGACGCACAGCGCGGCTGCGGTGCGTACAGTACGGGTACTGTAGTCGACGCACTGCAATTGGAGGCAGCTAACCACCTGCTCGGGGCCGCTGATCAAATGGCGCCAGCTGTGGGGCACACCTTCTACGAGCCCGAGCCCGTCTACTTCAAAAGTGGGCTCCCCCTAAAACGAGAGCCAAAAGTCGCACAAAATGGGCTCCCTCATGGTAAGTACGAGATCAAGGAGCCCTGGTTCGGGCTCCCCATTGGCTCCCCTCCAGGGCTCCCCAAATTTAGCTTCAAATCTATGACGGGCTCTTCATAGTAATATCTGATTGGCCAATTTTACCTACTTAAGGCGAGCAACTTCGTGTGATCGATGCGCCACGCTAGAAGATCGAGCTCAAAGATCGCCACACTAGAAGATCTCGCGCCGCTCATATGTGTACAGCCGCTCCGAGGCCACCCCAGCGTCGCCGATAGTCCTTCCTTTCCCTCAAGGAGCTATGCCTTTTCAGGTTAGAACCTGGAGATACTTCAATGACGGCCAATCATCAGCGAGATATTTAACACAGGTGAGGGGGAGCCCTTAACGAGGGCTCACAGTTCTGGAGGGCTCCTTTCACTTAACCTATTGAACTCAAGAGCCCAGGAGCCCGGCTCTCCCCATGGCTCTTAGAAGGTGCGCTGTGGGGTGTCAAGCTGGATCGTTTGACTCGGCAAATCGGCTGCTTGGGTCCCCGTGCCCCACGTCCAGATCGAAAGAGGGGGGGGGGGAGATGAAATGGAGATGGAGTGTCACCCGGCATCAAAGCAGTGGTCCGTCGGGGTGGATGAATAAATGGCTGGCTCAGAGGTTCCTCCCTGCCTCCTCTCAACTTAAAACGATGTGGAGGGGGCAGCTTCGACGACGTTCGTTCGTCTGCGGGATATCGCGTGGCACCCTATAAGCCCCTCGACGTCGAGCTCGGACAGCCGGACTCTGTGACTGACCCACCCGAAGCTGTGTCAAACCAAACCAGTTGCGACAACATTTCAATTGGACCGTTTCCTCCGTTTGAGGGGCCGCCCGCAACGCCAACAGAAACGAGCTCGTTGCAAACATGCATACTGTATAACACGTGATCGAACGAAGGGACCATATTTTGGTCATTTTTACGGTCCCCGGTCGTGGCGAGCGCACGACAAGACGCAAAAGTTGGGACAGTCGAGCGATGTACGGACTCATCAGGAGTGCACATCCGAGCCTGCATCCTCCTCGCCGCGTTGTATCCGCGACGAGCGCCAAGAACTGAGTTCGTCGGACTGGACTGGAGCGCTCCTGCTCGTCCTACCCAAGCGGCGCGAAGTTGTTACATGTACTGTAGCAGAAATGCCATTTACATGTACTATCCTGCGTTATAATGTCGCTGCGGTTCTCGTTTGGGAGGGCATGTGCGTTACATTATTACTGCACATTGCGGGCAGAGGTTGGAAAACCTGCCCGTCATACACAGACGGAAACTCGTTGAAAGACACTCGATTTCTTCGGTGTCGAGATTGCGTCCAGCTAATGGCTTGGAGTCAACAATCTAAAGGGTTACTGTACGACTACAAGACTTTCCGTGTTTTATGACGGGCAAGTTTTCCAACCTCTGCCCGTTATGCAACTCGTTTGGGAGGACGCGCAACATTTAATGCCGAGTCCATTTCGTACGGTATACAGGACAGCAGCACGGTATTTACTAAAGATTCAAAATCTCCCGATGAAGCGAAAATGAATGGTTGGCTTTGATGAGGTGGCATTTTGGAGTCAAGAGTTAACCAATTTCGGCGATCGTTTTGACAAGTGCCTGCCTGCCTCTAAACACTGGCGAGATCTTCAGAAAAGCCAAGCCAACCAAGCTGGCAGCCAGGCAAATCGATCGCCATGCCAGCCGCAAGGGTTCAGCTTCAGTCTGTTGGAAGTCATCATCGCACTTGTCCAAATGTTCGATGGGCCCTGCACTTTTATCATAGCGGTCAACTATGGAGAACGCATTGTAAAGGCTTCGAATCGTTCGCGAGGAAGCTCTACCGAGGCTACATGTAGGCACCCCACACACGTCATTCCTACCGAGATTCAATGCATTCTACCGGCCTGGGCGATTCCACCCGGAGGACAATGCTTCAGATCACTTCAATCTTGAAGTTGCCCTCAATGTGACGACCATGACGACCGAGGGAGGTCTTCAACTTGGGCGGGCAAAGTGGATCAACCGAGGCCACGCATGTCTCGTCACGACGATTCTACCAACAAAACTACGAACTCTACCAGCATCTCGCGTCGGATCGGACAAGTAGCGCACTCGAACTTCGAGTCGAAGCTCCTTCACCGGCCTCCGGGGAGCGAGCTGAAGTAGAATTGGAACGCTCATAATAAGGCGCTACTCATCGCTGCTCTATTACGCTGGAGAAATCCACCCAGCGCAAAAATTCCAAGCACCAGTCGGGGCTTTGCCGACCAGTTTCAGCGTCTCAACGCGTTGGCTGCGACTGGAGCTCCAGGCCGGACTCATGCGTCGAATGCATGCAGCCTTTTCCACCGCGTGACGCCGCCATGACCTGGTCATGCAAGGCAGGACTTACGTACACAGTCTATTTTCGGTGATATATTGGAGTTTGTATAGGCAGCCCATCACCCCACAATGTGACCTTCCCGCAGGACGGATGTCATCCGCGGGAAATGGCTTTGCTCCGCTGCGCTCCGCAAAGGCAGTCGCTGCGCTCCTGCGATAAAAAGATTCTCTCACCTGGCGAGAACAGTGCTCGGCTCGCTGGAATGCTCGTCGCTGGGCCCGCCTCCGCAAATACCGCGCGACCCTGCTACGCGGGCACCTCGCGCGGGTTTGCTGCGGCTACGCTCCTCGCAACCGCGAGCCTCCGTTGGTCCTCTTCTATATAACATTCACCCCCCTCGACCCCCATCAAAAAAAGACTGTGTACGTAAGCACTCTCGGTCATGCAAACCCGATTGCGTCCACGCACAGCGCCAGGATCGTCTTTCGGTGGGTCACACTCCTGAAGTCGTTGCATTGTGCGCAAGGAACAACCCACGCGAACTGTAAGTATTCTCTTGCTTGCTTCATCGCCAGGTAGACATGGGTCCCTCCCTCTCCGCTGCAGCCTTTTCTTCCTCCTGAATGAGACGGTGATTATGGGCCACAGGCTCGGCGCCGTCTCGGAATTCATCCATCGACGAACACCTCACGCCATCTCCTGGGCTGTTGACGAGCCCACCCAAGCGCGTTCCCACTCACCCGCTGTGGAATTTTTAACTCGACAGCACACTGCTCCATGCCACCAGAATTCAGCTGTGAAGGCTGCATTTCTCTAAATATTCTTCCTCCATAGATTGTGAAGTTTTACTGTAGCCACCCACCCCTCCGAGAATGGAGACCCATCGCCAAGTGATCCAGAGCACTATAAGCTGATGTCCGTGTCTGCACCCGACGTCGCCGGGGTCACCGTAGCGTTCCTCGCCATCATTTCATCCAGTAAAAGGTTTTCCAGTGTCTGGTTGATACTCTGCCGACTCTGCTGATACGCAGCAAACACCATCTCTGTCAGGAGACCCGCTTCGCGGTTCTGCTCTTGCTGTTGCTCCATGTCTCCTTCTGAAGGTCGGCTTGAAAGAGTAGGCACCGAGTTGGTGTAGCTTCGGACGACACTACCAGGGGACCCGTCGGGGAGCGTTGCGGCCTCCATAATCGCATAACCTTTCTGCACGAGAAGCACTGGAGATCTGGTACCGTCCTGCGGGTTCTTCACGCTTGTGCTGGCATGCCACACGTACACGATGCGTTGTGTCTCGGTGAACCGCTTCATGACTGAGAGGTTGACAGAGTTTCCCAGGTCCTTCTTGTCGCTTGAACCTTTTCGCGTCAGCGGCATGATCGTCCTGGAGAACAGCATCTCGTCCGTGTTCTTGATGATCGTCAGCTGACTGTCCTCGAGCTTGAGCTTGCCTTCGCCGAACGATCGCCACACCACTTCATCCAGCACTGTGTAGTCGAAGGGCATGTACTTCTTCTCCTTGTACTCGAGATACATGCCGTCTGTAGGTGAATATTTCATGTTGGCGCCATCCTTCACATCCACCGCTGGGTCGGATGCACCGAGGCCGTGCTCGCTCAAGACCTTGTCGACTTGCGGATACCGGGCGTCCACATCGCGCACCATTTCCTCGAGCACTTCCTCCTCCTTCCGGGCTTCTCCTCCCTCTTGACTACTGCTGTTCTCCTGAAGCTGGTCCCAAATCTAACCAACAACAAACTCTCATCAGCTCCAACACTTCATCAGTGCGTTTAACCAGGCTCTCAATACCCACCTTTCTCTTCCGCAGCAGCCGCTCGAAGCTCTTGACAAGGCGCATCTGGCTCTGCACCATCTCGCGCAGCTTCACGTTCTCCAATTCAGCCTTGGCCTTCTCCTCTCTCTGTCTCTTGGCGATCCGCTCCCACAACGACACCTCCGGCTGCGCAGGTGCGCCGAACTCGTTCAATCTTCTAGTTACCATGGCCGTGGGCATCTCACCGCCGACTCCACTCAGCTCCTTCTGCTCCTGTTCTCTCTGCTGCCTCTCGAGCTCCTCCCGATTCCTCTGCTTCAACGAGGTCAGCTCCACTTCTAACTGCTCCGACTTCTCTCGTAGATAAGCCAGCTCCTCCTTCTGCCTCTGGCTCGTGCTCTTGTTGGTCTTGGCCTTCTTCTGCGGCGGCTCCACGCCTGACGCCTTGGAGGCGGCAGCGGGGGGCCTGCCCTTCCGTGGTCTCTTGGGTTTCGGTGCTTCTACGGCGCTTTGAGTTGTCGGAGCGGTCGGAATCGGCACTGATAGCATCTCTGCAGCTTTGGCAATTGGATGGGACTCTGTAAGTGCCGTCCAGGGCAGCGACTCGTCTGTTAACGCCGCTGCAAGGCTGTCGGTAGTGGCCGCATCTGTCTGCGGAGCTCCAGGCGCCAATAATGCAGCCTCGAGGCTCGAAAGACCGGCATTTGATGCTGCTAGGTCTAGTGTATGTGTGTTGATTGCTGGAGAAGCTGTGGTGTCCTGTGAGAGCCACAGATCGAGGTCTTGCAGGAAGTCCGTGGGCATGTCCCCCTCCATGCTCGGTTATTCGTCGATTTTGAGGCTTCTACAGCGCGGTGGACGGCGAAGGGGGGCTTGGAATGCAGGGGAGATGAAGGCAGATCAGGCGCAGCAAGTTGCAGCGCGAACGGAGGCGTGCGGCGGCCGTGGTGCTCCGAGGAAGAGGCGCGCGGATGGTGGTGCGAGGCTCGTGCCGTTATTGCAGGTGGAGTGCGTTTTAGTGTTATTTGTAGTGAGTTAGTGTAACTTATGGGTAATACCTACCCGTAAAATAAAATTTGGTCAGAATGACGGTAACTTGCCGCACAGTACATGTACAGTAAAGTGCGTCGATAAGGATGAATATCGTGACGGTGCCGACATACAAGAACTTGACTTGGCCACTGTATGGCGGCCATGGCCCAATCAGATGTCCAATACGTTTTTTCAGCGAATAAGCATCCCGTAGATCCCTATTTTGGCCAATCAACATGGTTAGGGGTAGGTATATTTGCTGCCAACACTATGCCGACGTATAATGTCGGCAACGCGGCCGAAATATGTATTCATCCCATAGGAAATCTAAGTAATAAGGATATAATATACATATCTGTTCTGCTGCCGACAAGTTACTTAGCTTTTGTATTGCCTTTGACGAGCTGATTTGAGCCGTTTGCAATAGCGTTTCAACCATTATCACGAACTCAATCGAGTTTCCTGGGCACGCCTATCGACCTACCCATAACATGAACAAGCAGCACTCAGTGAGAGCTGCTCATTCAGTATTGTCGCTCAGGCGGAGCTTGCTGCATACCGCACGAGCGAAGCGCTAGGATCCACTGCAGAATATACAAGAAAACCACTAATTTATTCCATTTATTATCAATAACTTATTCCTACTCAAGAGTACTAGACGCTAGTGGTGGGGTGTGACTGCGGAGCATTCCACCTGCAGCGATACCCCACCAACAGTGCCAGTCCACACAGCAGCAGCAGCACCCCACCAGCGTCGTGTTGTTGGTGCCAACACCAGCACGCAAGCCGCAGCAAGCCACAGCAGCCACGCCCTCCTCCTGCTGCACGCTTCCCTATGCTCGTCGCCTCCCAGCAGGTCGCTGCGCCCTTGCGCTCGATGCCCTTACCGCCCTCGCCTTGGCGGCTACCCTCCCCATCGCCCCACCTCCGGTCCGCCGCCTCTTGCCGTTCGCTCCGGTTCTCCTCCTCCTCCTTCCCGCCGTCTATCCTCCACGGCGCGGCCGTCGTGTCCTGCGCCGCCATCCTGGTGCCCACCGCCCTGCTTCAGGTAACCGTCATCGTCGTGCTGCGCGCCATCTTCCTAGCCTCCACCGCGGACCACTCGCCCACCGTCGTGCAGCCTACCGCCGTCCTCCCAGACACCACCCACATCTTGGCAGGCGGAACTATGCAGCCCCCCCTTTTCGCCGACGTCCTTCGGCTCGCCGCCCTCCTTGATGACTCCTTGCGGCCTGGCCTGCATCTTGGAATTGACATTTGAGTCAAATAATTTGACCAATAGATTAACCGCTCAACTAAATGCTTATTTCTACCAATCACGACGCTGTCGGCACGTCATGGTATGGAACGGGCGACATTTTATATTCTACGACAAGACATGAATCCTCGCTTGTACCCATTGAGTGCCAAATGTACTGAATTAGTTATATGATTCTACCAATCATTTGGTCCCGTTAACATTCCGCCAATCACAGTTCCAAAACCGAGCCTCAAGAGGAATCTAAAGGTCGCGAGAGGGAATCATGAGGATCGCTGTAAGCGCGGGAATCGCGCCAGGTACATGTCTGCGTGTCTCATTAACCAAATGTCGCTCTGCTGCTCACAACTCCCATGGTGACCGCCACTTCCAGACCGTTCCAGACGCGGCTACGTCTGACCAAGCTTCAGTCGCTGCTAATATGTCATCACCGTCGTGATCTACCGGGTGCTACCTATGCTGGGCTGGCTGCGTGGGCTCAAGGCGAGACTCTGGTCGTGAAGTCCGACATGAACTACATATTGCAGTAAATCAGTGCATTTGCTGTCTGTATGTGACGAGTCAAACCTTTAATTATCAATATACCTTTTTCTTTTAATGTATATCAGGCGTTCCATATCGACGCACTTTACTGTAACTTACATGTACTGTGCGGCAAGTTGCCGTCATTCTGACCAAATTTTACATGATGTAAGTCGCTAAAACCACAGCTACCGTAAAGAGAAAGTCATATCATACTGGAGAGATGATCACACCAGTGATGACAAGACATTCAGAAGTGATCTCAGTCACGTTATTGCCGGTATTTTTTCCGGATCGAGAGAGTTTGTTATGGTGTATTCCCGGGGCGAAGCCAAGGGAATTATGTTTTCCACATAAAATAGTAGTACCGATATACTGGTACATCCACCGGTTACGACTTGCCTGTTAAGGCCTCCGGGACTACTCGTCGCGAGCTCTCCCTCCGTCACTTCGCTTCTAGAAGAACAAGCATCAAGCCAACCAAGAAAGAGGGGGTATCTACTCCATCAAGCTGCACCATGATCACCCGTGGAGCTCCTGAGTCCGCCAGCGCGCCTGCCTCGCCTTCATCCCGTGCCCCCGCGGTACCTTCGGATAGCGAGGCACCTGCTGCCACCGCTGTCGTCGTCGACGTGACCGGCGGGGAAGAGCCCTGGACGGCGACCTCCGCGAGGCGCACGTCTGACCCTCCCCTGCTGCGATCGAGCAAGCGATCGTCTGCGCGTAGCGCGCCCGACACAGCGACAGCTGAGGCCCGTAAGGGCAAGAAGGCGGCGGCTAAACGGCTGACTGCCGGCACCGCAACTTCAGCTGCGAAGCCCCCGACGCGCGACACAGCGGGAGAAGAAGGCTGCGCCTCCCCCGGCAAAGAAGACGAAGAAGACAGCTGCGCCAAGCGTCCAGCCGGTCACCGCTCTGACCAAGGGTTCGACCTGACAACCTTCATGGCCTCGTTCCAGCCCGGGCGCGGTGGTGCGACTGACGATCCCTCGCAAGCTGAGCGCGGTGCACCCACGGCAAGGCCCGTGATGTGGCCTCGGAGCTGCAGGCACTCCGAGACGAGGTGGCGCGCCTACGCGGGCTCGTCGGAGCCCACGGCCCACCTGCTCGAGACTGTACACGCCTTGGTGCCACGACGGATCCCAACACCAGAGGCGAGCTGCCACCGGCGGAGCTACGTCAGCTGACGATAGCGAGCTTCCCTGAGGGCGCCAAGAAGGCCAAGGGAGACTACAACCCGCCGCAGGCACACCTGCTGGCAGCGAGCCGCATGTTTCGTGCCTTCGGGACGGAGACAGGTAAGCCCCTGTCTGCTATGTCCTTTGTGCTCTGGTTGCGGGAGCTGGAGTGCGTTAAGTTCCCGGTGACGCCTGCTGTCTTGATGGCGATATTCAGCGGGAGGCTCGGCTCGCGTAAACTTACGGTCATGCACTTCAAGGAATCGAGCGAGATGGAGACACTCGAGGACGGATCTACCAACGCCAACTACTCGAGCGACTTCAGCGCTACGGCCGCTCTCCCGACGGCATCCATCCGCTGTACGACCTACGAAGACATCCTGGATGCCATACACGGTCTGAGCGCCCTCGGTCAAGAGGTGTGGTACGACCACATGCGAAAGTTGACGTCTCGGCTTCGCGCCTTCGTCGCGAAGAACAAGTCCGCGGACCCTACCAATACTCCGGCTCGCGTCCGCCTTACACTGCTCTACGTGAACAAGTTCGTGGGCACCGCGCTGGGCCACATGCAAGCCGACAGTCAAGCTAATGGCCGGAGACGTAGCATCGGCTTTCCGCAACATCAGCATCCACAGCAAGAGTGTCTTCCTCTTCGCTGGGCTGATCGAGGAGGAGAACGTACTGGTGATCGAGCTATCCGCGCCGTTTGGATGGACTGGCTCCCCAGGTTTTTTACGAGGTCGTCGGCGGCGCCATATCTTACGTTCACGGCAATCACACCAACGCCGCGTACCCGGATGGCTTCTTCAATTATCACTGGGTGGACGACCACATCAATGTCGCGGTGGACGTTGGGTCCTCGTGTGACGACGCCGACCGGTCGCTTCGGTTCGCTATGGTTGCCGTGCTAGGCGCTGACGCTATCAACGACAAGAAGTTTACGAGTTGGAACACCCGCCAACGCGTGCTCGGTCTGGAATTTGACTCCGTCGCCGAGAGCGTTTCCATGCCACCAGAAAAAGTGGAGAAAGCCCGTCGAATTGTGGCCTACATCGCGTCACATCTCAACCGTAAGGCGTACAGGTCACTCATGGGGAGCCTTCGTCATGTGGCTACATGTATCCGCGCTGCCCGGCCCTTTCTCCAGCGACTCCGAGTACGAGAAAGCCAACTCCATCGCTTCCAGCGCGTTTCAATCACGGACGACATGAGGCAAGATCTACTGTGGTGGTGGCAGATTTTACATACTCCCCATCTCAATGGCGTTTCGTTGGAGTACTTCAACGCACTCCCTCCGCCTGACACGGTGGTCGAGATGGACGCTTCCGATTTTGGCCTATGCGCCTTGGATGTGTCATCTAGCTCAGCGTTAACCTACGCGTTCTCACCGGACGAGCTGGATCATATTCACGCGTTCAAGTCTGGCGTCGCTAACGGGTTCGACATCAACTTCCGGGAACTGCTGTCGTGCGCATTTGCGGTTCACGCCTGGGGACAACGATGGTCTATCCTCGCAGGGCAAGACGGCCGACCTCACCACGTGCACTTCCGGATTGACAACACTTCCGCCGTCGCCTGGCAGAACAAAATGGCATCACGGAACCCCCGCGCTCAGCTTATCATTCGGCTCCTTAGCTGGTGGGAGGAATCATATCATCTCCGGTTTTCAGCGTCCCACGTCGCCAGATCCGACAATACTCGCGCAGACGCCGGCTCCCGCATACCAGCTAATTCGTCTTACGCAGAGCTGTTTGCTTCACTAACTCCGGGCTGGTCGCAGATTACTCCGACTGTGGACATACAAGGGCTGGCCAAGATCTGGCAGCGTATCTCCGAGCTCACTCCGTTGTAGACTCCACGTTTGATCAATACCGTCGATCTCTAAGCAAGTGGACGGCTTGGTCTACCCGCCGGGGAATTCCTACATGGCTCTCCGGCGTTCCGCTTCAGGAGCAAGTACAACACATCTCCGACTTCGTGCTCCACGGTTTCCAGTACGGCTTCGGCTCGGGTGGCCCCATCCGCAGTGAGTCTATCATGGGCGTTGTTCAAGGCGCTCGGTATTTCTTCGCTGCGTCCGGCTACGAAGTCCCGCTTACACACCCGCACATTCGCATGCTGCTCAAAGGGATCGGCCGCCTGGATGTCGCCCGTCAACGCAAGGCGCCAGTGTCTCTGGACCTGCTGGAAGCGTGCTTCCACAGACTCGCATTCGACGATCCCTTTGACCAAGCCCTCTGGGGAGGGGTGCTGTGCTTGGCGTTCTCCTTCCTTCTGAGGCGTTCCGAAATCGCGGCGATCAGCAGTCGCTCTTTCAAGTGGTTTGCGCTTCGAGCCTAAGATATCGTCGTTCTCGACTCGACGGGCAATCCGACGCTCTCGCCGCAGCTTGCCCAATCCGTGTGCCTGCGCCTGATCGGGTCGAAGACGAACCAAGGTGGCGCGCCGACGACAAGAATGATCTCACGGTCTGGACATCCATTTCTCTGCCCAGTGTTTGGCGCGCTCATCCTTCTTCAAGCACGAAAGAGTCTCCCGTCAGTATCCCAGCGGCGGTGTACCTGTCTCGGAGAGGGATCCCGGCATGCGTTTCGTCTGTGGACGTCGCCGACGCGATCAAGCATGCAGCCTCGTCCACTGGGAAGGACCCACGGCATTTCAGCTGCCACTCCCTCCGCTCCGGCGGCGCGACGCATATGTATCGCTGCGGCACAGACGCACTGACTATCCAGTTCCATGGGCGTTGGGTCTCTGATGCATTCAAGTCATACACCAGGCTCTGCGAGGAGTCCATCACTACGCTGGCGGCGGACATGGTGACCGGTACTACGGGGATTCGACTTTGCATTAGTGCGGCACACTTGCACGACCATTGGGGGGCACCGCTCTCCTCGACCCTTTTTCGGATTGAGCTGATGGTCACTGCATAAGCCGCACAATAATGTAATTTCGTTTGCCCCCGTAAGATTGTGGAAATCGCAGTTCGTAAGAACTGTCGTTTGCGCCCCTGCGGATGTTTGAGATAATGCAACACTGGTTTGCGGGCTTTGGCCCGCGGTGTTCGCAGTTCGGTCTTTTTTTACTGTATTCCAAAACCTGCACGGTAGAAAAACTTTATGCTCTTATTTTTGTACTGTGAAGTATCATGCGTCCATTTGCTGGGTCGCTTACGATGCTCGATCTGCCGTGGTGGATCTATTAATGCATGAACTCACACTACTGCTACATGTATTCATGCTGCATACTGCACAGCTTCAAGCTGCCAGACTGAACTTCGGTTCATGTTGAATGTATAATGTGTTTTTTTTTCTGGAGTTATATGTCCAGTTGTGACGCCTGCAACTTGATTTTGTAGAATTGCTATACTGACTTCCATGTCGTTTAGCTCTCCTCACTACGAAGTCGACTCGCAACAAACACTATGCGCCCACTACCATTAATCAATAGCGATAATTTTGTTTTACTCACCGACGGTTTATTGTTCCTGCTGCTGACATGTACATGTAGATATTGTATCTTAGAAATGACAGCCACATGTCTAAACTAACTTAGCCGATACGACGGCGACTCTGCTCGCTTGCTGCCCCGACACGGTCGATTCCTCACAGATTACATTGATTGACTGCTCACCCCTCTTTATTATCGCTGCTGCCTGGTTAGCTTATCGCCAAAACATTGCTCTATGAATCGTTTGCGCTGCTATGCTGTAGTATAATTGCTGTACAACTGTCATTGCTGTTGTTTCAAATGGCTCTTTAACCGATAATGCAACATAAAACTTATGTTACATTACCTCAAACATCCGCAGGGGCGCAAACGACAGTTCTTACGAACCGCGAATAAGATTTTATGTTGCAGTATCGGTTTAAGAGCCATTTGAAACAACAGCAAATGACAGTTGTACAGCAATTATACTACAGCATAGCAGCGCAAACGATTCATAGAGCAATGTTTTGGCGATAAGCTAACCAGGCAGCAGCGATATTAAAGAGAGGTGATCAGTCAATCAATGTAATCTGTGAGGAATCGACCGTGTCGGGGCAGCAAGCGAGCAGAGTCGCCGTCGTATCGGCTAAGTTAGTTTAGATATGTGGCTGTCATGCCTACACGTACGATATCTACATGTACATGTCGGGAGCCACAACAGCAGTAACGATAAATTGTCTTTGAGTAAAACAAAATTATCGCAATTGATTAATGGTAGTGAGTGCAGACTGTTTGTTGCGCGTCGACTTCGAAGCGAGGAGAGCTAAACGGCATGGAAATCAGTATAGCAATTCTACAAAATCAAGTTCCAGGCGTCGCATTTGGACATACAGCCCGAATAGCCCCAGCAAAATATACACATTATACATTCAACATGAACCGAAGTTCAGCTTGGTAGCTTGAAGCTGTGCACTATGCAGCAAGAATAGCAGTAGTGTGCGTTCATGCAGATCCGCCACGGCAGATCGAGCAGCATAAGCGACCCAGCAAATGGATGCATGGCACTTCACAGTACAAAATAGGAGCATGTGCTAAAATTCAAGAATTTCTTCATGCAACGCTCTTCTACGGCACACGTAGCACTACTATATAGGACTAGTAGTAGTAAATAAAGTTTTCTACTATGCAGGTTTTGGAATACAGTAAAAAGTCTACCGAACTGCGAATGCCGCGGGCCAAAGCCCGCAAACCAGTTGGTAAGTACGGAGTTAGTGCATGGTCGTCAGGGATCGGACAACATATATTGGATATTGATTGTCGGCGAGGCAGTCATCACAATCAATATTGTACCAATCAATATTTGCCCCAATATATTGCCATACTTGACTTTAGTATGGCGATATATTGTACAGTACTAGAGTATATGAGTACGTTGAGTAATGTTAGCATGAATCTTCATGGCACTTATCCCCAATGGTTAGCGAGTCTTTACCCCTAACTGTACGTGTCCGAACATGATTGACGGTCTTCCTAGTGTCTAAAGCGAAAGTGACCAGACAGAAGCATCGACGAGCAATGTTGGAGACTCGGTTGGGGTACCTCTCCCTCTTTCATGACGTCTGTTGCCAAGGACACAAGCCAAGTTATTATCACCGACGTAGGTACCGCAGTAACGCTGCAGCTCTGAGGTCTAAGTGTCTCCCCTCCTACGCATACGAAGTCTTTTCGCACGTAGTCGCTCAAATTTATTACGTATACACGTTGGTGCCATTACGTGGCTGTAAATAAAACAGAAGTGCAGCCCTGCGGGCCTCAAGGCTACTCTCATGGAGAAAACCATAGCTCGATAAGAGAGCAAGTCTACGTATACTTAATTCAGTTGTTCAGCGCCATCGACCCCTCGACGCGAAACGTGAAAAAAAACGGCGCCGTTGGAGGCCATGATTATAATCATGGAAACGTACATGATCGGAAAACATGATTTGTCCAGGATTGGTAAGAAACATTTCTTACCGAGTGAGGGAGAAACAGCGCGATCAATTTAGCACTTGCGACGCTCGCGGAGGAGGCGAATGCGATTGATTCTCGTTCTGAGGAGTCGGCGTTTCCCAATCGAAGGTTTCCCGTGAAGATGCCGCGCAACGCACGCGGAAGCGGCCAAGGCAGTGAGGCCTACTGCGAAGGCCAAGGTGAAGCGAAACAGGATACTGGAAGGCAAGAGCAACGACGCTCATACCGGGGTCCGGGGCTCTGCATGACGCCAACTTCAGACGCGACCAAGAGCACGCTCGACGACGGAGAAGGGTGTGAGGAGAAGAGAGAGCACGACAAAGAGCAAGCTGCGATCATGGGTAACTCTGTGGCCAGTGATGGCGATGATGAGTACGATGCTGCGGGGGCTACTGGGGTCCTGCTAGTGGGGTGTGCGTCTTGCCGCGATGGTGATGGCCACGAAGAACACGGCGGGGACGGCAGTGCGGCAATCTCTGTAAGCGTGGAGCCTCCTTTGCTCTGGCACACAGACTGGGCTGCATGGAAGATCTATTTGGCTGAGTACTGCGAGCGCACCAAGCAAGTGTTGCCCGTGAAAGAGACCCTGTCTCGTGCAGAGCGTATCAAGCGCTTAAAGTGTACTAAGAAAGGAAAAGAAGTCTCTATGAAAGAAAACGATGACTCCCTGTTGCTCCCCGAGGCGTTTGACCCGTATCAGCGGACTTACATTTGCACCCACGGTTGGAAAAAGAGGAAGTCACGCAGTGAAGGTAGTCGTCCAAAGCAGCATATACGGTTGACGAATTGCCCGTTTAGATTCGTGATACAGTGGAATTTGTCAAGGGGCGAGCTGCAAGTAAAGCTTGGATGCTTTACCCACAATCACCCGGTATCGGCTGCTGCCTACGCGACGTATCCGACTTCTCGTGGAGTTGACAATCAACTTGTTGAAGCACGTGTGGAAGGTATGTTGGCCGTAGGTGCAAAACGCGCTCGAATCTACGACTATCTTCTGGAACACGATCAGAATGTCATCCAAGTTGATGTGGATAACATGGTGCGTGAGCATAAATCGTCGGTGTCAAGTGTTGACGATAACGAAGCTACCGCGAGAGAAGTCGCGACTTTCGCAGCAGCTGATCCAGAGAACGTTGCATCTATTGCAGATACTGATGCAGGTGAAACGGGTGTCATATCGCTGGCGAGTGCACACATGCGCCGTGTATATGGCCGATTTAGCGAAGTGCTGCTAGATACCCCCACCGTCCGAACATGCCTACATCGATGACGAGGAACTTCAGCCGTCAGAGCTCGCGCAAAAGCTAGTGCCATGACTATGTGCCCTAGAGGTTTCTCAAAGCTTAGCACTATCGCCACAATTAATACATGTAAGCTTTGCTCCAGCTTCCTTAGAGCTCTGCTCATTGAGACGTAACGATTGGGATGACGGCAGTCACTCTATTTCCCAAGTATCAAACCAGTATTTGCCCATGATTTCTCTTGCAGTAATTCTGCAAAGAAAGGAGAACCACACGAAGGGTATCTTCCGCGTCCTCAACGTATCTTCTCCAATCTTCCTCAGATGGTACTCACTTTAGTTAGGAATCGCTCGTCCAGGATTAATCCTGTACATCGTCATGGACGTGTCCATTACTATAATCCTGGCCTCCAACACCTGCCAAAAAAAAACTGAGACTCGATTAAGTACTGACGATGAATTGGTTTTTGATGACCAGCGAAGTGCTATTAAGGCTGTCAGAAGTATTCAATAGGCAACAGCCACGGAAAAAGGAGAGGAAAACTAGCTTATGGTGCTCTTTAATATCGTAAGATAAGGTCGGGGCAGTTTTTCTTCCTGAACAATATTGACAATAAATAGTGGATATTGATGACATCGCTACAATACAATATTGATGCCCAACAATATTACAATTTTACAATATCAATTTTTATTTTCCGATCCCTGCATGGTCGTTGGCACATGCATCCATTAGGGGCTCACAGCAAACAGTCCTCCCTTCATTAGCATCCACAGCGTGTATCCACTCCTCTTACTTACTATGCATAGGCAAACTTCGAGCTGAATTTTGACCCCATTGGGTTCGTGAGCCACATCCACCACGTGTCTGACAAGAATAACTACTGTGTGACTGCAGGTGCCCTCGACCGAGGAGGGGGCCGTGCATCCCAAAGCGTCAGAATATCGAGGATGAGCGCCTCAAGAAGCAGAAGACGGGACTATAGCCCATGATCGAGGAGCTGCAAGCTCGAGCGATAGCGTTACTGTAAGCACTGGAGAGGTCTCAGCATCAGTTGTACGGCCCGACGAACGACGGATTGGACAACAGCTCATCGCTCAACGTATGGGTGAAGGCTGCCTATATCCAAGTGTCGTAGCCGTGCAGCAGCTCGAGGAGCAGCTGGAAGCTGCGCAGTCAATTGGCCACCGACGTCGGCCAGTCCAACCAGCTCGATCTGATCGCGAGGAGGCCGAAAACTGAATTCAACAGAAACCTCTGTTAGCATTGACTTGCAACTAACATAGCAAAAATATCGACTTTTAGCGAAGCCGTCCCTAGAGGTCACCGCACTACGAAAAGGTGCTGCGTAGAACGCGTGAGGGGGTCATAGCGACTGGATGGGTGTCCTTTTAAGAGCTGACCCGCTATTATCTTCCTACGCCACGTGGAGCCCGCTTCGATAAGCAACAAGTCGGTCGCCCAGTATCTACAGGGGGCAATGAAGACGTTGGCACCCTGATAAGTACCGTAACGCAGAAGAGAGTTTGCAGGAAGAGGTGTTGCTGCTATCGGTCACGGAAGAGCTAGAAAAAGCTGGCCATCTCTACGGCGTCTAGTAATATCTGTGCGTCCTGAGGAACTCCCTGTACAACTCCGCGAAATGCAGGATGTCGCTCTCTTTGAGGCCTTGGGAAAGCGACAGCGTCATCGACCGAGCGGTAGGCGCTACGCCAGTTGTGAAACGTTTGGTTCAGAAACGAGGGCTCTTTCTTCATCCGCTTGAACTGTTCCGGCAGCCTGTCGAACCAACCGCGCTCTTCTTCGTCTTCTGCAGCAACAGCAGCAGCGTGGTGCGTCTTGTGGGAGCGCAAGAGTCGGTGATCAGCGCCCGCCTCAGTCGACAGTGTGGTGCTGCTGCCGAGGAAGGCGGCGGCAACGATCAGTAGGACGGTGGAGACGTGCATATCGCGGTCGTAGCCTTCAGTTGAATGGTGCGACTTGGGAGCTTGGGAGTAAGTTGAGAACTGGGGACTGAAGTCGACTTAATTTGGTTGAGCCAAAAAGGCATCGGTGGAGGTGAACTGGTGGAGTGTGTGTGCTGGGTACGCAACACGACGGCACAGATCCTTGCGTTAATCTTGGCTGGAGACGTGTGGCAACATTGGATCTTGATTCATCAATGTACAATATAGTTGATACAGAAGCTTTAAGCAAGTTATCTGTTCATTAGTAAGAGTTGCGTAAAGGACATGTGAGATTTGAAGAAACGTTTAGACCAGCAAAGCGCCTTGAGACATATTTCCGTTACAATCGTTTTAGTCAGGGTATTATATGTGAAATCTTCCTCATTATTTGATTATACTTCACTTGTATAATATGTTGTATAAAATCAAACAGCGTATAGAGTGTTCAGTTTAGTATGCGCATTGATGACATATCGATTACGTTATGATTGTGCAGGCTCGTGCCTTTGAGCTGTGGGCCACAGCTCAAAGGCACGAGCCTGCATAATCGTAACTTCCTGATGGTGGTAAGGAGCCACAGGCTGTGGCTCCTTACCACCATCAGGATGCACAACATATGTAATTCAACTGTTTGAGAGGAGTGCACATTTGCTCCATCACACGACTTAGAGCGCTTTAAGCAGTCTGAATACATGATAGAAGCATGACACACGACTGTGTGATGCAGTCCGCGCGCATGCGTCGTTGTTTTCACGACATGAAAGAATTGCCATCGCGTTTTGGACAAGAAACGCATTGCGTCCGTAGCAGAGGTGAACTGTGGGTCATCGTGCGGCACTCTAGGTTTTCCGTGCGGCACTCTGGGAAACAAGTGCTGCAGTGCAGACTCGTGTGTATCTCCTCAAAGCCACACTTTTAGTGGGTTTAGTGGCCTCCTGCGCATGATCATGGTAGTAGTGGGTTGATTCTCAGGGTAATTTGATCCTCTGGGGCACTCTGAGCCACAGCAAGATGAGGCGTACTCTGGGATACATTCTCCAGAGACACTTTCTGCCAGACTTTAGGCACTCATCGTAAGGGAAAGTCCGCGGCTGGACTGAGTGTTCTCTGAAATTCTGGGCGTGCACTCCCAGGATTCACACTTCCAGCCAGTTGGGCCCATCTGCGGTCAGACGCTGGATTCATCCCGAGAAATCACTTCTCTCCCACAGTCGCCATCCATGTCACACGGGTACAGCCGCGCCGTATCCAAGTCATCCACCAATCAGCATCCGATACAAACTCCAGGTCACAGAGGTGACGGCACATCGTCGGCAATTTTCTGGGGACCGCCTCGTGTCAGTGGCCTCCTCCTACTGCAGGTAGCTCTCGGTGGTGGCCCCGCACTGCGGGCGGCTGCTCGTACTCCTTGTGCTCGCGCAGGTGCTGCTGCTGCTGCCGCTGCTGCTCCGCCTTCTCCTGCACGGGACGGCGGAGTAGCGCTCGGGTCTCTTGGCGACGTCTGCGGGCGGCACGTGGCGGTGGGGGCCTCCTCCTACTTTTTGCCCAATAAGGGGGATCCGTAACGAGCGCTGCTCGCGGGGGGCTCGCGGGTGCTCGTTATGTTCGTATTTAAATGGGAGAGCCGAAAAACCTCAAAAATCGTGCTCGCTCGGCAGGCACGAGCTCGTAGATTGGGGTTTTAGTGCTCACTTGCCCATCTGCTCGTGGGATGCTTGTACTATCCTGTGAGCGAGCACGTGTTTATGCTGGCTCCCAGGAAGTTTACAGTATTTGACTTTGGCTGGATGATGGGTCGTTGTGCTGCCGCAATTCACTAGGCTTGGCAGTATATGCATTTTCCGCGTGAAACCATGGATTCTGTCTTTACCCTCGATGTATCCAAGATGGGAAGCGGCAGTTTGGTAAGGTGACCTAGAGTTCCAAAGATGATTCCCTGGGTTTGGACCATAAATCCAGACTCTCTATACTGAACTTAAGTGTTTCCCGAGCCAACACCCAAGAATCCCCACAGTTCCCCAGGATTCCTCAGAATTCCCAAGATTTCAGAAGATGACCCTGAGTGTCACCTGGTTTTCAGGGATTCGAATCAGTTCGAAGCCAGTCTGCAATCAAAATGATGCGTGACCTTGAAGAACCGTCATGGATGCACATACTGGATACTTTCGAGGAGTCTAGAGGGAGTCCTGTACCATACTAAACCAAGTCTAAGGACCCACAATTGGCACTTTCGACGCCGTGCGACAATGGATTAGCAAGCCGATCGCAAGATTGGACCGCTGATCCCAAGGTGTACTCAAGACAAGACATTTTGACCCCAAGCATAGTGAACAGAAGATATTTGCCCGAAGAAGAGAGAGAGAGAAGTAGCTGATAAAAACCAAACAGAGTTCCTTTTACCCTGTACTGCGCAAGTGACTTCGGCCAAGCCTGCCGACGGAAATCCGGAGGACCCGAGACTACGACCGCGGGACGCTAAGGGCACATCAACGGCGAAGGACAGCCGTCTGTGTGGGCTCCATCAAACTCAAGTCCAGTTAGGTGGTGACCAGCGACGGCCTTGAGCTTCCTGGGGTGATCCATCTATTCCATATCATAGTTGGGTCACTTGCTGTGCTCGTGGTAGCCCATTTCATATTATTCCAGAGGGTATTCAGGGGTGCTAGGTAGTCGCCTCCAGGATTTTGTATTGACTGCTTGTGTGAAGGGAAGGTAACTGATAGTGATTGTATTTTCCTCCTTTATTGGAGGTGGTGCGCGTTTGTGTGAGTCTCAGGGGAGCTAGGCCCCTGAATTTCAGACTCGAGTGAGCCTAGTGTGTGTGACCCAACGTCCAAGGGTCCAAAAGAATAAGTGACGGCTAGTTGTAGTGTTTCTATACTCTGTATTTGTTGGTTCTATCGAGCTAGGAGTGCATTCGGGTAAGGTGTCTTCTGAGTTCCAAGTCCCAGAGTTGACTGAAATCCTGGACCCTGAATTCGTGATATTCTGGGTTTCAGGGGATCTGATTCGCTGGGTTTGCCTTTTGGTGTGGAGGTGCGTTCTGAAGTAGACGTGCGCTCCCGCACTTCTTCGAGGCTACATTTTCAACCGGTGGAGTGCCGTTCCGTCGAAGACAAACGAGCCGACAGGGATTACACAAGGTACCCACGCCAACCAAGGAGTGTGATTCTCAGGGTTTAAAGCTTTGCGGCTGCGAATCTCTGGGTCTATCTTCTTGCTGTTGACTCTCAAGTCGATTCTCTGGGTCTACCCATGGGGAACAGTCTTGGGCTGCGCTCTACGAACCCCCCTGGGCGACAAAGGTTTCATCGGCCTCGCCTCATCACCTCCACCGCGTGCCACCCGCAGACGTCGCCTAGAGACTCGAGTGCTACTCCGCCGTCCCGTGCAGGAGAAGGCGGAGCAGCAGCGACAGGAGCAGCAGAGCCAGCGCGAGCACAAGGAGTACGAGCAGCCGCCCGCAGTGCGAGGCCACCACCGAGAGCTACCTGCAGTAGGAGGAGGCCCCCACCGCCGCGTGCTGCCCGCAGACGTCGCCAAGAGACTCGAGTGCTACTCCGCCGTCCCGTGCAGGAGAAGGCGGAGCGGCAGCGGCAGGAGCAGCGCCAGCACGAGCACAAGGAGTACGAGCAGCCGCCCGCAGTGCGAGGCCACCACCGAGAGCTACCTGCAGTAGGAGGAGGCCACCTCCGCCGCGTGCTGCCCGCAGACGTCGCCAAGAGACTCGAGTGCATTTTAACGTGTCGTGCTGGAGAAGACACGAAGAACGGTTGTGGGTGGTAACAGAGTGCTCGTTGTTATGGTTTGACCACCTGTTGCAGTTCGTGAGGCGGTTCAAGCCTATCAACCCTCTGCGGGCTACACGCTTAAACCACCTACTGTCACGGAGAAATCATTCATTTTTGAGTGGGGTGTACGCGTAGAGTATATCGACAATGTTAAAGTGAAAACTGGCTGGGTATGTCATGCCGACGAGGCGTGTCGACAGGCAGGTGTGAAGTTGGTGTTGTCACGAGCAAGAACATCTAGAGCAACAGAGCATTTACGAAAGGTGCATCGAATCTCGTCGAAGAAAACTGCGGCTGCAGTTGAAGGAAAACGAAAGCGAGATGAAACGGTTGAACGGCTGCTCTCGTCGAATTTGTATCGAACAAACCCTCAACGCCTTCATTTGCTGCTGGAAACCCTTCGCATCGTGAACAATAACTTGCCTTTCTGTAGCGGCGAGTACGAACAATCCCGAGTAATCCGGCAGGTGGTGGTGAGAGAAAAGATGCAGACTACGATAAATGCAGAGCGAATTGCGAAGGCAATTGTCGAGCTCTACAGCTCGACCAAAGCGGAGTTAATTGACTTCTTAGAACGTAATCGCTCCGATTGCGCGAATTTTGTGATCATGACAGACTTTTGGACTTGTCGTACAACTCATGGGAAATATTTAGGGTTGCGGTTTTATCTCGTGGATGAGTTTTGGCAAATGCGATCGGTGATGCTTGGAACGCGAAAATTTAGCCCATCGTATGGAGACCGCGACGTTGGAATTCAAGGTCCATTTTCGGCGTGGCTGGAAAAAATTCTGGAGGATTTCAGACTTCGGAAAGATTTCGTTTTTGCTGCCACGAGCGACGCTGGGCCTGGTGTCAAAAACTTGCTGGTCAACAAATTGAAATACATGCTGCGCACATGGCCCATGCAGCGACAAAGGAAGCATGTGGAATGAGAAATGATGCAAGTAAGTCGCTGAATCCGGGCATGACTAAGTTGATTTCACGGACTAAGAAGACTATTTACCAGATTCGCACCGTGGAAACTACTGGCAATTTATTTCAAGAGCTGTGTAGAACACAAACTGAAACTGGAACAACCCAACTTCTTGATTACAATCCAGCCCGATTTTTGAGTCTGAGGACAGCAATTAGAAGGATTCTGGATAAATGGACTGCGATAGTTGCCTGGTATGATGAAAGGGCACTAAAAGCAATTTACTCGAGAACGCCTTCGAAAGGCGCTCGATTCACGATTTTTTTCGAGATATTACAAGACGAGTGAGACTCAATCAGCTGCATTTGTGTTTGAGATGCAATCTCGGCTTCACCCGACATACAAAAGTCCTGATAAATCCTTAAACCGTGTGGTAAAGCTATGCTGTATCGACAATAGATAGCGAGAGAGAGACGCAGAGGTTCGATTGGAGTATTTCAGCGAAAAAAATAAAGAAAAGTTTCGGGAAATTTTGACAGCAGTAGCCCAGGACCGTACTATTTTTGAGTATGCAAGTTCTAATTTCGCATCGCGCCCGAGATCGGACTTTCTGGAAGAGATACAAGCAGAGTTTTCGTGTACAAGTAGGCATACTGAAACTCAGGACCTACCAAGATCGCGAGTTGACGATGAATTGAATCGGTGGGTTTTTTTGATGAAACTCCAATTGGAGTCAAAGCGGACGGCGAAGAAGAAAGTGTTTTGGAATTTTGGCGTGGGATGGAGCAAGAAAAAAATATCAGATACTACCACGAGCAGCAAAATTATTGTTCGCAGTTCCTACATCGTCCGCTCATATCGAGAGAGATTTTTGCGTCGCTGGTAGTATGGTGACCCCACAACGCACGCGGATCACTCAGCACAATGTCGACATGGGCATCTTCCTAAACCGCAACCGGACCTTTGTTGATCTTACTCAATGCGAGGAAATTCCCAGCGAGGAACTAGCATCTCATGTCCCCTCAAGCATGTCCTACCCGATTGAGTGTGTGCCCGATGGATTCGGAGACGACGTGCTGGCGGAGATGATGTCTAGCACAAGTCTGTCAGAACTGTTTGACTTCAATGATGTTTCGTCGTAGAAGCCCGGGGTGTTCTCCCTCGCTTCTTAACGGTTTTCATTCGCGACGATACCTATCGGTGTAAGAGATTATCGTTAGCATGTTACATCATAACAGCAAATTCATATACACTTACTTTGAGTTCAATGATTGCCGCCCTTGTCTCAGCACGCATCTGCACCTCACGCAGCACCTCCGCGATCACTGCGGTGAGAGCGCATCCCGCAGAGAGTGTACGTTTTGCCACGGCTGTCGACTGCCTTTGCTTATGGGGGGCTACCTTTGCGTATTGATCACTGCCCTCGGGTAGGGCTTCTTTTAGACTTGGCTGCGAAGATTTTGTAGGAAACATTTCTGCTTTCGCTTCTGCAAACATACTCTTCAACATGCTGCGCAACCATGAACGCTCAGGTCGAGCTTCGCCATCTTCTCGAGCTGGCACACCGTCAGCACGCGCTGTTACAAGCTTAGGCGACAGGCGGTACGTGTCTAGCTGCTGCTCACATGCTGCACACTTCTTTTCGCTGTCGGCTTCGGCCCTACCCAACCTTGTCTTTAAGTCCTCCAGCTCCGTCTTGATCTCAGCATGCCAGTTGCCACGCGCAACTTCTGCTGTCCATCAATGGCCAGTAGCTGCTGCGCGCGTTCGCCATCGTCAAACCCACCCATCCTTCTCGTAGCAACAACTATCTCTTGATTAGTTGTGTCATCGCCCCGATATTCAGCAGCTGCGGCCGCTCTAGCTCGTGAACGGGTCATGACCATTTTCGCTCGTCGTACTAACAAGCTTGCACGCCAATTCGCAAACCCAAGTCGCTTACCAATACGTCTGTGCGCGGCACGCGGCGGTGGGGGCCTCCTCCTACTGCAGGTAGCTCTCGGTGGTGGCCTCGCACTGCGGGCGGCTGCTCGTACTCCTTGTGCTCGCGCTGGCGCTGCTCCTGCCGCTGCTGCTCCGCCTTCTCCTGCACGGGACGGCGGAGTAGCACTCGAGTCTCTTGGCGACGTCTGCGGGCGGCACGCGGCGGTGGGGGCTTCCTCCTGCTTGCTGCTGATTTTTTGTGTGTTCCGTATATTTGCGCGGTTTTTTAGCCAGTGAAATCTTGTTGTATTCGAGCGCGGTCGTTGTGCTCCCCTGTCAAATCGGATCACGGAAGAGCGCCCAAATCCCAACGAGTGCGCTCGCAGGCTTTTTGCTGCTCGCGCTCTTTCACGCGAGCAGCGCTCCTGCTCAGCTCGTGGGGTGCTTGGGATAGTAGGTACTATAAATCGTCGATTGCGTCGTGAATGCAGTTCAGGGAGACGTTGAGTTTTTCAAACAAACAAAATATCTGCGAGTACGCGAGTGTTTTTTGCTACTCTGACTTCCTGAGTTTTGCCGTCGCACATCTGATCGTCTTCTTCCTGGGAAAACTAAGGCTCCGAGCGAGTCGACTGGTATATGAACGCCTCGACTTTTTGATCTTTCTTCCGTTGCGGCGCTGCCAAGAAACGGGATAATGGGGAAATTCTGATCCGCATATTTCGCTAGACGTGTTGTTGCTGATGTACTGGGCAAGGGATCGGATTCACGTCGCAGGACCACAGAAAGCAGTTGCAGCAGATCCGACCACGGGCGAAAAACACGCAAACTGCTCAATGGATCAATGGTGGTAGCATCTCTAGGCTTTCTAGGCTTGACGATACCATCAAAACTCGGCAGCTCTCGCAGTTGAGTACTCCAGGAGTCTTGTAAAAATTGAGGGTCTCCTAGAATTTGTTGCAACCCGCAGTATACGATTGATAAATCACTGAGAATGGTGCTGTCATATAGTTTCTGCAATGTGGTCCGCACACACACCGGGATATACAAGGAACACTTCTAACAGTAAGAGATGCTAAAAAAATAGAAAAAATCGAAACTTACAGTGTCTCCAACTAGTGAAATATGGAATTTCACGCGTAACTTTATAAATAAGCAGTAAAGTATATGGCGGTAAAGTCGACCGGCCAGAAGCTGCCAGAAATTCACTTTTCCATACCCATCCACAGGGTTCATTGCAGCAATTTGATTAACCTTTACACTATCTGAGCGGATCAACGTTGGCTTAATCCCGCGCGAAGGACGCTGATCGGAGATACTCCCGTGTTCGTCATCGATGCCGCGGCAGGTTTGTGCTTAAGTTGATGAAGGCCTACATTATTTTGCCTTGAGACTTTTTTTCGGTAATTCTGGTCGAGAAGAGTATCACCGATAGCCTGCCCCCTGGACCTATCGGCGATAGGTGACGGGCCAAAACTAACCCACACAGCCAAGCCATTTCTCCTCAGCAGAGTCACATTTTGGGCCGACCCCCTTTTCGATCTGAAGCCGCCGAAGGGCGATGTAGTTGTCGTCAGCAAGACACGAAAGAACTTGAAACCTCGTGTTGTAACAAAGCCCAGTTCTGTTTCCGGGAAGGAGACACTGGCGATACGGTTTACCCCCGCACATTTCAATCGTAGCCTTGGTAGGGAAACTGAGATATTCTGGCGAATCAAGCGGTGACGGCTGGCAAATGGCCGGAGCAAACTTCTCAAACTCACTTTTGGTGCCGATACTTCCTAGAAATGGGTCGATATTCATCAGACAAGTTGCTGCTGGGATGTTGACCAACGGATAGCTCTGACACGAGACGTGGCTCAGGTTACAGGGCGCCATAAAGCCATTGCAGCAAATGTGGTTCGGCCGGAGGAGCACAAACTCTAAGAGATTTTGCAGGGGCGACATGTCAGGTAGTTGCTCCATGTTGGGCATGAGGGAGAGGATGAGTCTGCCCAGCTTTGGTACGTGTTGGAAACTCGGTAATTCACGTAATTTCGTCAATCACGCTAGCGAGAGACTTTGAAGGTTGGGAACTCCCGTGAGCGGGGGAAGATGGTCGATGTTTTCATGAACTCCCAAGTGTACCGTTGGCAGTCGAGGCAAATTACCGAATATATCCTCTGGCAACCCAACCCAAACAGGTTTGAATTGCCGTATTTTCCTTCGATATGACTACATTTACAATAACATTCAGTATTCATCAATTGTTCGTTGCTGACAAAAAGTTTAGATGAACTTACAGTGTTTCCAGGTGATGTAGCTCTATGGCCCACGAGGGAATATGCTCTATACTTGTGTACATCAAGTAGCTGGCATTAAACACAGAGTGAGGCCCAGCTACAATTCATACGGATAGTACACTGACGTACATGACTCGCAGATTACTACACTTGCGAACCTCTTCTGGCAACTCGAGCAGCTGTCGATTGATCACCTGAAGCGAAGTCAGCATACCAGCTGCAGCCAGAGTTTTCACTTTTCCATAGGCGTCAATGGGGCTCATCCACTCGTCGAAAGTCTTTGGTGCGATGTCGATATCGATAGCAATGAGGCACGGACAATTCTCGTCGCTGGGCATCCACTGGTGGGCAAATACGACACATTGTGGATGGACGGAGTAGAGCGTCTCCGAATCTGACATTGCCTTGTGAGTTGACAGCAAGACGATTCCTTCCGATTAAACTGACAGCCACGAATACAACCGTGACTCCTTTCGGCACCGGCAGCACATCTGCCGCCGCACGTGGTCTAAGCATCTGGATAATTTTATCGCGATGTCGCGTCCATACAAGAGCCTCCAAAACTCGCTCGAACCGATAGCAAAATGCCAGATTCATGCTAATTCGCAGTACAAAATCCAAGAGCGAACTGATGCGAAGGCAGTCGAAGTTTACTCGGAATAGCGCAATTTTGGACGGACTTGCAAAAGACCGAGCGAGGTGCTCGAAGCTTCCAGGAGGGAGCATTTCCAGGTAGGTAAGATAAACTTCCCGACCAAAGTCAAAATTGTAGTAGCAGTAGACCAGCACCACGATCGGGAACAGAACGGCGACTGACAAATCGAAGCTAACCATACAACGTAAGCGCTCTAATAGTTATTTCTTTGTCAGCAACCTTGACCTCGCAAGTAAAACTGGACGTACATGGAGTCGATAAAAACCTCAGTTAAAACTGAAAAGCGGCCGGTTAGTACATTAACGGCGCAGGACAGTGCGTTGACCGCAAGAAAGCCCGCAAATCCATACGTGAGGCTCATGGGGCTCCCGCTCTGCAGTAGCTGACGAAGCATTGCTGTCTCCATAGAGATGTCAATTAGCTTCGAGAATGCATTCTACTGTATAGAGTGCGGTATGAGATTCCCAAACAACAGGTACGCAGTGCTTTTGACTCGAAGCGTACCCATTTCTTGCGATTTTTCCCTTCGTAGGCTGTAAGATCTTCGTAAAGACTGCGAAAACGTTCATACCTCGGAACGACGGAGCTCAGCCACGACACTAATCCACGTCTTGACGTAGTGAATGCAGTTGGATGGCTGCTAAATGCCGATCCGAACAACTTGTCGCGCCAGAAGAGCATCCGTAACGTCACGATCAAGTAACAAACGTCCACAACCACCAAGCCGACGGCACCAGCGAGCGTCATGTGTGGATTAGCATCGGTAATTAGCCAGAACTCGCCGTTGTCGTACGAACTCGTGTCCATGAGCAGATTGGCCGCCTTATTCGGCGCCAGAGCGAAGAAAATCAGCCACGACGTCCACGCCATGCAAACGAGAAGACTGCAGAGCATCGGGACACCGAGAATTCCATAGGCTTGGCCGAATGAGAGCGACCCAATGTGACTGCGTCCAAGGATTCGTTGGCTTTCGAGCCTTAGCTGCTTAGCTGTCGGTGCTGCGGGCGAAATTTGGCTGAACTTGGTGGGTTTTCAAGTGATAGCAAAACTGTGGATCGTGGCGCGGGAACATGGCGATGTTGTAGGGCTCGCCCTGCTTGCATCCGAGCCGCTGGGCGAAATTGACGTCCCTTTGGCCATCGCCAGCGAACACTCAATCGACAGAGCGAGTTGGCCGCAAAATGAATTGACAAGACCTTGAGAAGGATATTTTTGCCTGGCTGTCTCTCACAGAAATACTTGGCGCAAAATAACTTCCAAAGTGTCTTAGCTGCATTTGGTCGGAGATGGCTACATTTTGTCCCCAACTTCAACGACTTCCCCATTGGTCAAAATGCAAATTGTACCATTGTGTCGGTACAATGTTTTGGTTTTCGTCTGCAAAGATGGAGCCCACCAACGTCGAGCTGGTCAGCGCGTCGCCGTCCATGGACCTCCTGGACGACACAGAATTTCTCCAGCATATCCCAACCGTCTACGGCATAGCGAACACTCCGGCGCACAATTCGAGCCTGCCCCCGCTCTCCACCGACGTCTGTAGCCCAAGTTACGGCGCTCCAACCGGCGATGAATCTGTTGGACTGACACCGGACGAAGCGGCCGAGCTTTTGAAGGCCTTGGACGCCTCCGATCCCTCCCAAACTTTACCACAAGAATCTCCAGCATTTCAAGCTACTGAAGGCCAATCATCAAGTGTTAAAGAGGCAAAACTGAGGAGAAAGCCTGGCAGGAAGAAGGTCACGAACCCGACCACTGGAAAGATGAGGAACCCATCCCGCGAACGCCTCCAGAGTGAACTCGCCTATCTCCGGAAGAAGGTCGTGGAACTTGAGGGAGAATTGAGGGTCTTGCAGGTTGGGAAGCGCTCAAATTTGAGCTTGATGGGCCCGGAAACGACGAAGCAGGGGGCCGGTGGGGCCGGTGCTCGAGTTTGGCAGCGTATCGCCCAGCGCCAAGCTCAGGGACGAGATGCAGCTGAGGAGGAGAACCGACGGTTGAAAACTGTACTGGAGGGGCAGATCCAACTGGCGCAGAGACTGGAGCAGGTGCTGCACAAGCGGCCCAACGTGTCGGTCTTTGGGGATGGAGAGGGGATGCAGAACAAGAGGCTCTGTATCGGCAACGAAGATCCAAGTCGAACGTACGAATTGTTCTTGGGTGAGCTGGATGCGTTGTATGCCCGGATGGATCAAGTCTTTCACGAGAGTGGGTTGGACAACTCGGTGGATGACTCGATCAGGAAGGCCTATATCAAGACGAGAATGGGCTCTGAGGGCCAGGAAGAGCTCTACGCTGAGCTGCTCGACGTGAATATCCTCCCATTCGACTCCGAACGCGTGTCGTCGGCCATGTGGTACGCGGCGAAGCGGCAGTACAGCAAGAACAGCTACCATTCCTACCAGGGTGTGGAAGGGAGGGATGATACGATTGCGGTGAAATACCGGAGCAAGTCTCAGCGGAGGGGTGTCGAAGCGTGGCTGGATGTCATCATGGTCATGCGCTGTTACGCGGAGAAGGATCGACTTGCGATCGTTTGGCGGTCGGCATCCCAAGGAGAAGACGAACTTTCGGGAATGTATACGGACGAAACGGGCTGGAGCGTGTTGAAACGCATCCCGCCAGACTCCGGGATCAGTCTGAAGGGAAGCGTCATGCACAACTGCGTGCTGGTCGTCCCGAAACGCGTGGACTACTCGGCCCCGATGCAGCAAGGCGAGGTTGGATTGCTCACGAACTTTGTGATCAACTCGTACGAGGATGATGTCGTTGCTTTGAGTACAATGGTGGAGGATCTCCTGATGCAAGATGGCGTCGTTGTCACTCAAAGCGTTGGTACCCAGTAACCACAGGAATGTATTCAATGCGATATCGGTTGCTGTACATCGTGCAAATCTGCATGCTAGGAAGAAACGGGACAGTAAGGTACTTCGAAGTACGTGTTTTTGGATGAAACGGGATACGTGCGCACAAGACAAATTGTATTGAACATGTAGAACTCCGCTCGACATCTATTCAAGGCCCGTGTGCATGTAGTGGACTACGATTGTTATACTGCACCCAAAAAGATGGTTGAAACGATGCCACCGCCCCGATTTCTTCGGCAATGGTGCTCGTTGCAGCTGGTACGGGTGCACAGTTTGAGTAAATCTTAAGATTTGGTAGGGGTCCCACGTGATCCCCCATGGCATTTACACAGGCAGTCAAGAAATGACCTTGTAGTACAAGTTGTATAGTGTGCCGATGAGAGTCGTGAGCTGAACTAACTCCAGAGAGTCTTCGGCAAAGACAACAAAGATAATTTATGGTTTGTCTTTATTTATGAATGCTTAGCTCGTACATGTAGTGAGAATGCGACTTTTTCTTCAGGTGCAGTAACGTGCCTTTGCGAATATTCGGAAATTATCTCACAGTGTCGTGCAACTGAAACATGCGCTAACCTATACATTGAAGCTACTGAGCAGGCATGCAAATACCCGATGGATTTGTTACACAGGCGGTTGGATCAATTTTATCGCTGGTTCTATCACCCGATCATTTGCCAGCTCTTGCTGCCACTGGGAAAGGTTGGCAGGTCATTTCGCAATTCAGCCCGCCCTTCTCAAGCAACGGTTCCTAACTGAAAGAAACGAGTAGCAAAATGCGCGCCGCCTATCTCATTCTACTAGCTGCGATCACGTTCTTCGCAAGTGGTTCCGCAGCGGACCAGACCCAGTTGACCACCTTCACCAGAGGTATCGACGCTCGCCCTATCGGATCGACTGAAGTCGACAGCAAGAGATTCCTGCGCAGACGCAAGCACAGCGAAGATGAAGCTGCGGAGGACGAAGAGAGAGCCGGGTCTATGGACGACGTCGTTGCGAAGCTCGCGGGCCTGGTGCCGACGCTGAGCAAAGTACGCAAGTCTACTGTCGCCAAGGGCATGGCCTACCTGCAGCAAACCAGGCTTTCTAGCCATCAGCGGGAGGCTATCCAAGCTTTCCTTGCTCTTGATGAGAGCGGGCGCCAGGCTGTCATGAAGGCCTTGGCTGGTAAGCGCTTGTAGTCGAGGAGTTTTTTTTCTTCAGTTTGGTAAGGGAATAAAGCGTATTGTCTGTTGCAGCTGCAAATTCACTATTACTTTCAAAATTACTTGGAACGAGTTGCACTCGTGAACAAATGATGTGCTTTTGTTGCCCTTTGGTAGTCTGGCAGACACCGCGTTGCTAGCCATGCTTTGCCAATCGCAGCACAGTTGCGATTATTGTCTGCACGTACACACGATTCTCGTAAAATCAATGCACAACTCGTGCTCATGCGTCACTGGAAAATGCACTCGATACGTACTGAGGACAATACACATTGAGTCATTCGATCTCACATGATCACAGATTTAAGTTTCGGCATGAACAATTACATTTAGCATACCGCACGTTCTCGAGTATTCTACTTACTTCGGACCAAGTAGTGAATTTCTTAGACAACTTTGAGGTTGTCAGCCACAAACACCCAGTAATCGGTCCTGCGGTAGCATTGCGTTTGGTAAAGTTTCGACGCTCAACTGAGTCGACTTTAGGGGTTTTACAAAAGGAACACGGCGATCACGTAAGATCACCAACCTTGTCGATCTTGAAGCCACATTAACAAAAAATCCAAATCGGGAACAGCTAACACTAGTGGTAAGTTTACATAAGAGTGGTTAGTAAGTCCTAGGTGGTGGAATTCATCGTCTTCTTTCTAGCTTGGAATTCATCGTCAACTTTCTAGCTATGGAATCTTTTAAATTCGATAAACACTTGTTACTGTGATCTAGCTGCCATGAGAGAATAATGTTTAAAAGCGTTAGTACGCAGTTCTAATCGTGCACTCGCTCTTTTTTTTTCTATTCTTAGTTTTTGCTTTTTTATTATTGAGGACTACGTTATTACGTGTTTTTATCGAGCTTGAGGAGTGCTTCAAATTGCTATTGGGGTATACTTTTTTCGAATATGTGCTGCTACGATCTTTTCAAGTGGTAGAAACCGTCGCCTTTATATTCGGAGTGCCGAAGACGAGTTGAACTTGATTTGATCGTCGAAGTTTTTTTTTTTATTCTTCGGATGCGTCGATAGTTGGAGCTGAGCGTGCTCTAAATTGTTGATATCGCTGTTTGAAGGGGTCAGGATCTACATCCTCGAAGCGGAGCCTGTTTTACGAAGCAAGTAGTAGTGCAATGCTTTGGCTGTAAGAGACAAAAATCTAATAAGAGACCTCGCGATAAAAGCCGTGCTCATACAAAGAGCCTTGCCTCTCTGTGCGGCTTTTATCGCTGAACGTTTCAGGGATTTCCGGGTGATACTTTTTAAAAGCAATAAAATAACTAAGCAGACATTTTGCAGATAGGTTGTAAAAACACGGAAGCAATGAGTGGTATTTATTCACGAATCTGCAAGTGGCGGTTAGTGGCCGGCCACAGGGGGCCCCTGTCAGGGGCACCCTCGGCTTCGTCTAATGGCTTCTACCAGCGAGGAAGTTCTGATACGTCTGTTTAAAGTGCGCGATAGCTTTCTCACCGAGACCTTGTCCTTTCATGAACGAGACAGCCTCGTCGACAGTTCCCATGCCAATTTTCCAGCTGGAGAACATTTGCTCCCGATAAGCGTGTTGATTCTTCATCCGCTTAAACCGTTCCGGCAGCCTGTCGAACCAACCGCGCTCTTCTTTGTATTCGGCAGCAGCGTGGTGACGCTTGTGGATCCGCATGAGTCGGTGTTCAGCGCCAGCCTCAGCTGACAGTGCGTAGCTGCTAGCGAGGAAGGCGGCGGAAACGATCAGTAGGACGGCGGAGAGACGCATGGCGGAGCTGGACTTGGGTGAAGGACTTGCGCGCTTGGAAGTTAATTGCGAACTGAAGACTGTCGCAGTCAGCTCGAAGCATCAGAATCGCTGGAAGCCAACCCGCGAAGAGTGGTGTGGTTAGCTTGTACATACCTCTCCGGTGCAGTTTGTTGAGTTGAAATGCGCGGCAGGAAGCAATCCGGGATGTGAGGCAACGCATCGGATCGAACCGTTCCTCCTAAGTATCTACGTTAGCGATGCACTTCAAATATTTGTGCATGTTGCATTATAAACTCTCATATTACGAGATTGGATGAGAATTGTCAGCACTTTTTTTATAATCGGTGATGACAGAGTCACCTCAAAAATCATTACGCAGATCGGGAACTTATCGACATCCATGCGGGATTGTAATATTACAATCGGACATGTACCCAGCTACAGAAATATAGCGGATTGTGAGTTGGAGCTGTAACGTGTTGGAACTTACCCCCCATTGCGGAACTACTTACAAAACGAAATCATGTAAGAGTGAGACCAACAATGTTTGTGGCGGGGTATTCCGTTTTTACGTACTTGGAGTACAGTTTAGTAGCGTGCATAGTAAATTACGTTGTTTAGGGTCGCCCTCTCGTTTCCAATGCCAACAGAGATGCTGCGACATTATTTACGTTCAAATATATTGTGTACTAACTCACAACATTTGGGTCTTGAATTTTATCCGTGTATCTGTGCGTCGCCTCCGGCTAAATGTACGTGCGTTGTTTTAGGCGTATTCAGTACGGTGTGCATGTTGTATGCATTGGATGTATCATGATTTTTTTTTAAATGAAAGTATGACGTCGGAACCCTGTTAAGTATGCAAGGGTATGCCAAGCTGCAAATACTTATTGGGCAGGGTTCGTTTGTTCGTAGTTTCTCTATTTTGCCAACTCTTCCAAACTGACTGCAGAGCCAAATGACTCCTATACTTTTTGACGGTTTCAAATACAGTACGTGCATGGAGGGTTCGTGTGGCTATGACGACAACATAAATACTGGTGCGAGCTTCGTATGATCGTACTGGATCGAAAGCGCGATTGTTTTGCGCAGCACGCGGCTACAATTAATGTAGAATCGATGTTTTAGGCATCTGTCTGCACTTACTTACAGGCTGTAAGTTACATGTACTTAAAATGTCAGAATCTCTCGGCCTGCAGCACGCTACCTGTATGAGTCGTCGCAGTATCCTGCAGCTACCAATGCGCCGGAGAGGACTGGGGTATACTTCGCAGTTCGTTGACTTGAACTATGCGCTAGGACGCAGTCGAAGATGTGAGACAAAGCTTCCGATCAATCAATTGTCTCCGATAACGATGCGAGATTATCAGTACGTTTGTAAATCGGGAATTGAATCTGCCTGAGAGATTTGGTGATTTTTTTTCGCGCTGATGCTGATCGAGTCACATTAATAAACGTTATGCAGGTCGAGCTAATATACAGATTTTAACGGATTATGATGTTCGGTGCATCTATTGTTGATAGACGCCGGTACAGTATTTTAATTCGCCTCGCCACGTATAGCGTAAGAACCGGCTAAATCGCCCACCCGACGGCATTGATTTTTCTTTGGATTGACGGGTTTTGCTCCCGTTTTGCCACCGTGGTAAATTACCACGGTTATAGCTTCTCCTCACGCTACCACCGCCACCCCGCGGGTCTTCCGGGTGAACTGCAGACCAGCCGATCGTGGTCACGGCTGCTGTTCTAAACAAAATCCAAATTAACTTGAGAGTTTAAAAAAGTATTCCGTGATGTTTTTTTATTTGTTTATACGAGGGTATCTACTGTAGGTACTGTGCGGATGCGTGGCCTGAATACGGACCTATAAGTTTTTAAAGGTCTGATAGCCAGGACTATCCGTGTCTGCGGCACTATTGGCGTAAAACGCATAGTAGGGTGATGATACCGCGCTCAGCTATTTTGGAATTCCCCTTTTTTGCTACGAAAGCATGGATTTCAGATAAACCTGTTTGGTGAAAATAATGAAGAGACCGAGGTGGCACGTTCACCGAAACCAGTTAAAAGGTCGATCTGCCCTGCCGACGGCGCTGACGCAATCGTTGCTAAGAAAGCGACGACGAGCACGATGGCTAGGTTGGGGTTTGAAGTGGCTATTGAGCGTTGGTGTTGATGGGGAAATCGTAAGAGTACGATCAAATTGGGGGGGGGGGGCACCTAGCGGTTGTCCGTCGCTATAGGAGCTCGCATTTTTTTTAAAGCGTTTACGTACGCAGATGCTAGGTTTGGCTGGGTATTTAACCTGAAAAATAGCAATACAGCTACTCATAACTAATTACAAAATGAAAATGATCGGTGTTCTCAGCTTACAAAGAATATGGATCAAACTGTATAAAACCGGTGCTTTGTTATTCGAATTTTTTTTCTTCATACATAAGCTACAACAGAGATTCAATTTACAACCGGAAGCTAAGTCAGTAGCCCCTGCTCTCCTTTCTACATGATTTACTTCTCAAAAGGCAAGCAACGTGCTGACTACGAGAAGTCTACGAGTGTCACAGACCCGGGAGGAATTCGAGATAGAGATCAAGAAGAAACGGCCGACCCCTTTCTTTCTACTTGTGTGAAAACAATCTGCTACAGCCAAAGTTATGATACTTTAATGCAACGAGGATTCGATCGCTTAACAGACGGATGCAGTCTGCTACTACTAGTGCATTGTATTTTGGTACGAACAGCTTTACCATGAATTAGGGCGTAGATTGCTTGTAATGGAAGCCTCAACAGATGCGAACCTGTTCATCCAAAGCTTGCAGTAAACACGGACTGTTGACTTGTACCAGTTTGCCTGAGTGTCGCCAAACTTGAGTATGGCAATGACGTTTGTTGTCGCCAAAACCTACAGTGTAATTAATGGCATTTCACGACGAAACAATTTCAACTCCTTCATTGTAAATGCTGTGCAATAAATAATCAATGTTTCGGCTGAGAAAACAAACATGCTGGGCAGCGTGAAGATACGGAAATACTGTCTTGAAGGTTCAAGTACGTTTCTCTTCCAGAACGGCGGTGTAGGTGGTTCGATCGAGTCATTCACGGGCAACCTTTGTCTTTTATCGCGCCTTCCCATCACTCTTAAATTCTTTCGCATCGAATCCACCGCTCATACTGACGGGTTACGTCTAACCCCGTACTAGGCTCGATCGCCAAAACTGGGTCCGTCATCCGCCCCTTCCATCTTGGGCACCGGCGCTCGAGACTTGAACGAGGGAAAGTTGCTGTCGATCCTGTGGCATTTTAGCTAAATCTTTGCGGTTTCAGGTAACGTCGGGTCGATCTCAGCTAATGGTCTCCGTTCTGCGCTATGAAGCAGGTTGACCATTGCGCGGGTTTAGCCGCACCTAACGTCATTGTCTACAAGCCGCTACAACAGGCAAGTTCAAATATCGGCGAACAAATCTAAAATAACGGGAGCATCGCTAAAAGGAGTGGTATTTGTCCAGTTATTTGCCACAGCCGGGCACCCTCAACTTGGACTAATGGTCCTTACCAGCGAGAAAGTTCTCAAACGCCTTTTTGAAATACTTGATGTTTCTGTCACTGAGACCTTGTCCCTTCATGAACGAGACAGCATCGCCCACGGTTCCCATGCCACTCTTCCAGCTCTCGAACATTTGCGTCCGATAAGCCTTCTGGTCGATCATTCTCTGGAATTGCGTCGGCAAACTCATCCACGTTCTTCGTCTTCGGCAGCAGCGTTGTGACGCTTGTGGATCCGCAGGAGTCGGTGATCAGGGCCAATCTCAGTCGACAGCGCGGTGCTGCTAGCGAGGAAGGTGGTGGCAACGATCAGTAGGACGGCGGAGAGACGCATGGCGGAGCTGGACTTGGGTGAAGGACTTGCGCGCTTGGAAGGAGATTACGAACTGAGGACTACCGCGGTCGGTTCCTCTGCTTCTGCAGCAACCAAAGTGTCGGAGGTCAAGTCGTGTTGGATAGATCGTGCGGCACATACAACGACGCAGTTTGTTGAGCTGGGTTGCGCATTAGGATGCATTCCGAGATGTGAGGCAAAGCATCGGATCGAGCAATTTTCTTAGAGCACTTTCTGTCAGTGGTGTGTAAAGGTGTACTGGTAAGTTACCAGTGGTAACTGATGCATCTACGTGAGGGATTTGTTGAGTATCATCTGCTCTGGTACTGACCGAGTCCGAGTCAACTCAGAAAACGTTATAGAGATCCGAAACTCATCATACATGTATAGAAGAGCGCGTTGCGGCATTACAACCGCACATGTACCCAGCTACTGATTTGAATGGTTGTAAGTTGTAGCTGTGACGTTTTGGAGTACCTACCTGTACGTAAGTACACGGATTATGCAAAAGGCGTTTTGTGAAATCAACGATATCCGTGAGGTGGTATCTTTCAGGTTTTGTTTAGTATGCATTTACTTGGGTGCGGAAGTAGTATGAAGAAACCGGGGCAATCTGAAAGGCCGGACGCTCACATGCAATGTCAACAAATTGCTCAGAGTTTTTTTATAAATCGCTTTTCAATAACTTTTCTAGACTGTATTTTTACAAATACAAAAAGTAGGACATTCGATAACTACGCTGCAGAGACACACAACCTTTCTTCGGTTCTTGAGATCTGTCGAGTTCGTGTTGGCGATTGCTACAGAAATTATATGGACGTACGAAGTTGTGTCTTGTTTACAGATGCCATGGCAATTTCGACAGCTCTCTGTGCGTCCGATACAGTATCCTACTTGGAGCTAAATCGTGTTCTTGTGAAAGTTTGTATGGTATGATCGCCTTTTAATCTGCACCTATTGCAATATTTTTCAATGCTACGTCGGGCCTTGTGGCTTCCCGCTTCCCCCGTGCTGCCATGCTACTACCTAGGCGCGGCCATTTGACAGTTTGTTTTATACGTGTGTAATATTCCAATGCGTGTATGCAGTACTCCCAGTCAACAGTGACACTCATCGTCAGTGGCTCACTTGGTTTTTTGCATGGGGAGCGGGTGAAACGGCCATTCTCGTAAAACTAAAACTAAGGCTCTAAATCATCAGCTGTGTGAATGGTGCGTGGATTCGAGCGGCTTCACTTCGTCTGAGACTGTGAAGATGTCCCCAGGGTTTTTCATAGATAAGTCCTGCGTGTAGTGGTGCAGTCGATACGTCGGGCATTGTTGGATTTAACGCGCATGACACCCATCCCCGCTAACAAATTCGCAGTTCCGAGAGTGACCCTTCGTTTACTGAGGTGAAATCTACGCCTGACAAATATTATTGTGAAACCCGCTTCATTTGCATATTTTGCTCGTTAATCGATTGATTAACACCCTGATTTAGATCGATCGATTTTCAAACCGATCGACTCCCTGCGATACATGTGTGAGTGGATGTGCAGATTAGGCGATCGTTTTATGGAGATCTAGTCGATATAGCCGCGTTTGCAGCAGAATGCCCACCTTTTACTGGGCAATCGCGAAGGCAAGCGATGCATATTGGTCACGATCGATTTCAAACCTGATTTGTACTCTGATTAATTTGGCTTTTGAGATCTAATAAGGGGTTGCTATAGATGGGCGTTTTAACCGGTTCTCACAATAATATAAGTTTTCTTAAGTCGGCTAATGCAGAAAATTAATAGACTTTTGGTTAAGTCTAAAAGCCGAAATTGAGAAGGATTAATTGGACATCTTGCGGTCATGTCAATTGTCTAGGAACTGTCTAAACGAGCATTCAACAAAGACTTCAGCAAAGATATTTGAGGTTAAATTCAAGGTGGAAGGTGAAGCTTGCTACTTCAGTATTTTGTTTAATTATTACCTAAAGTAAACACATCAACGATGTGTGGGGATGACATGTTCTCGCGGGAGACGTTGTAGCTCTAATCCAAAAGATTCCTCTTGAAATTAACAGGTGCTCAAACCGATTTATTGCCGCTAGGCTTCGTGTCTTGGACCGCATTTGTTTTTGTTTTCTTACTCCTGGTTACAACAACGCTCGAACGCGACAAGAGCCGCACGTACAGGATTTCAAAACGCTTAGTTTGACCAACCATCAAGGTTGCGACCGGTCCAAATCTCGCCACCAAACAGTCTCGAACCTGGTAATTTTGGTGAAAAGCTGTGGAAACCGTTTCCCTGCGGGTTCAGCGCTATAAACTTTCAGCACAGACAAAGACGCAAAAGCTACAGACTTCCAGCATCTACACGACACTTCACCCTGGAGATGCTGCTGCTGCTGAGAAAGCAAGCAAGGAAAGGTTAATTGCGTACAATTTTACGGTAACGAAGAATGTGCGTACTGTGAGTTTGCCGCCTGATTTACTTGGCTACGAGCCTTCCGGCGATGTACTCAAGCATTGCCAATTTTGTCCGCGTTTACCTATTAGTTTAAATTCTACTAATGGTACATCTATCTTCACTGCGACCCCTCCCCCCTGGGGGTAATAAAGATATATGAGAGTATGTGCTGTTGTACATGTAGTTTGCTATCGGACGGTACGAATATGCAAAAGTGTAAGAGAAATCAGGTAACAAAAGTTCGAAGAAGTCAGCAAACCTGGGCCTTCGATCAGTGCAGAAAGCGGCGCTTGTTTCGTGCGCAGTACTTGCTTCGGGTCTCGCCCATGGTCGTATAGCAACAGGCGTCGTCCCCTATACATACGCACAAAGAGGTCAACAACCACTGGCAACAGGGACTCAACTGACGTCCCTGCGCCGGAGCCACTCGCGCAGCCCCAACTTATATTAGTGATCGCATGTTCTACTTGGACACTGGCTGCTTCTGCTGCATCGTCACGGCGTCCTTGGTCTGCTTCTGGTCTTCGTCCGAGAGCGCAAATCCGACACCGAGCAAATTCAAGACTGAGCACTGCTCAGTGAGCAGTCGCCTGGATCCAGATCCGCTGGATCCAGTTGTGTGTAGTTGGTGTACGCGTAGCTGAAGTTGCCGTCCTCGTAGTTCCTCACCGTGTACTGGTCCGCCGCCACCAAGTACATGTTCACCTTGTCCACCGACGAGTGTTTGTCCACCGCTGAGTTCTTGTCCACCAACTAGTACTCGTCCATCAGCGAGTAGCTGTCCGTCAGCGGGTAGTTGGCCACCATCGGGTAGTTGTTCACCAGCGCGTAGTTGTCCGCCAACGAGTACTCGTCCGCCAGCAAATTGTCCGTCAGCAAGAGCTCGTCCATCATCGGGTTCTTGTCGACCACTGAGCGCTTGTCCTTCATCGAGTACTTGACTATGCACGCTTCGTTCGTCAGCAGGTAGTCGTCGTCCGCCATGAGTCACGGCTGCTTGGTCCTCGTGCTTGAGTACTCGTTCGATGAGTCTGTCGACGTCCGCTGAAAACCCATTTGCTTACTGTGCTACACAAAAAAAGACACGAACATCAGAAGGGATTTAAGAGCGTAAATTCATGATGAAGAAACCTCTTTAGGAGAAAAAAATACTCGTCGTGGTTTATCTAAGCCTAAAATGGGTGATTCATTTCTGCTTGCTAGTTGTTCCTCAGAAACGCTTTGTATGCCTCTTTGAAATGCTCGATATGGTCGTCGTCGAGATACTGGGACTTCATGAATTTGACGGCTTCGTCAACGGTCCCCATGCCGCTCTTCCGCGAGGTGAAAATGGTCTCACGGAACTCAGGTTGACTCTTCATTCTCTTGAACTGATCCGGTAGACTGTTGAGCCCCCGTCCACGTTCTTCTTCAGCATCGTTAGCGTGGTGGGTTCTGTGGGCCCTGTGAGACCGCAGAAACCGCTGCTCGGCGCCAGACTTGATCGACAGGACATTGTCAGAAGTGACTACGGTAGCCGTAACGGCCAACAGGACGAAAGAGGTACGCATCTTCGGACTTGAGCTTGAGGTACTTCGAAGAAGTACTGGACTGGATTGGGCGTTTTGTGGGCTTGAAGGCGAATTTCGAACTGAAGACTGCGGTGGGGCTACGGTGATAGTGAATTCGAGAGGAATGATGTGCTGGGTTCTCCTGCGAAGGCCATCGCAGGACTTTGCATGCTGGTCTCAACGATAGATGAGAATTGAGATGTAAAGCTGACTTGAGGACACTTACACATGGAATAATTGGCAGACCATCCACTGTCTCTGCTAATACACTTTAATAGTAGAGTTTGCATCTACTCGGACATCTGGAGGAGATCTGGTGTACAAGTACGAGTGTGCAAATTTTCGCGGCCTTTACGGTATGAAGAAGAGCATAGACTAAAAATACAGCGCGGTGAAGTCATGGAACTTCTTGAGTGACACATCGTCTAGGTTGGGCAAGCTGCGTTAGCGAAAGTCAAAGTTTCCCATAGGATGAGACGACACCTTCTTTCTTTTGTTTTGCACTATAGGGATACAACGTGGCATTTTTTGTTTTGAAACGGTCTCGTGTTCACTCCGTCTTTGTGTTCGAGCAGTGCTTCGTTGAAGTCTTCAGCTCTTGCTCTTGAAATAATGTAAGCCAAGTCATTGGACAGAAGTTAAAAGAGTTCGCCGACGGCCAGCTGAACGACAGGATTTCCAGCTTCAATCTGAGCTCATTTGGTTCATACACCCTGCTCGATTGATTTTTTTCCACTTCACGGTTAAGCATTAAATATCGTGTTGACACGCCACTTCGAACCCAAGTCGTTCGACGTTCACATCCCCGGACACCACAGAGGGCCCAAAACTACATTCTCTGTCAATCTGCACGCTCGTTTTGCTCCTAAAGGATCCACTCTAGGAAAACACATTTAATATGTTGCACTTCGAAGTAATTAGTATTTAAATTACAATATACAGTTCTGATCCGACGTATATGAAGGAACATGCAACAGTACCGCCAAGACGTTCCGAATTCGAGCAGTTTTCCTGTGTGGTTCGCTCAATATTTTGTTAATGCTCCATGACATTTGTTTTAATTCCCAGCATTGCGGCCCTGAAAAAAACGAACTATTGATTTGAGTACACATTGAGCTTGGTGCATGTTGTATTGGCGGGTAGTATGCTGCAAGTGGTGTTCTCTAAAACTGCATATGTATATGTGCATCGATATCTCCATGACTTGCCGCTCTTAGTACTGACCAGCGACGAATTTGTTTCCTAATTTGTCGCTCAAATTGGCGCTAGGATCAGGTGGTTGATGGGGTGGGGGGTAAAGGAATTCAACCGAAGACTTCTGCGGGCCACACTTCATTCTTCGAGGTTACAATTTGTTTCGCAATGGTTATCCAATGCCCCATCGAATGCACGGAATGCCATCTAGATTAGACGGTGGCATCCGAAAACCACAGGTGTGTGCGCTCCAACTCCATTGATTACTCCTATGTTTGATGATATCAAGTGTCTAACACATTGTGGAAACGGTCGATTTACCTTGTTACTTGGATATTTGCCACGCATATCCCCACTTCAAAGTGCTGGGGAGCCTATTCCGGAATGACCAGGAGCCTGCTCCTCCCAAGAGCGACGAAGATGGACACAGCCATACCGAGCTTTGCTAGTGATGCACGCAGCAATCCATTCGAACATAGTTTGGTGGAGTTTCCAACGTTTCAGCGGCACCGAAAGGTTAGTTAAAGTCAGAAAACATGCCTCACCGAAGTCGATCTTGCACTTACTAATTAAACTTCTTCAAAATGAATATCGATTAGGCTTCCTTCAACTCACTCCAGCAAGAAGAATGACCAAGTTGCTGCTCACCTGCGCGATTTTAGCGACTCTTGCTGCCGCGGGTTCCGGCGTCGATGCTGCTTTTCCCTTGGATCGTGCGCTACGCAGCAAGAACGCTACCGGCAGCCTTACCGGATCACTCGCCGGCAGCGAGGGATCATCGTGGATGCTCTGCGATTACATTTTCTTATGGCTTGTTTCCGTTCAGTGCTGATCGACCAATTCAGCGCCGGCCCCCACACTTTTTTACCATCAATGCCACGCCGCCTCGATTAATTCTTACTGTAATTCACGAACACTTGGCCATCTATTTATTAAGCCGCGTGTTCATGCGGGTGTTGCATCTGCACCAGGAAAGTGTACAGTCCCGCGCCAATAACACCCCCAAGCAACGGCCCGCAGATCGGGATCCAGAAGTAGTAACTATCCGCAGTCCAGACCTTCGAGCCGTAGCCCACCACGTACGTCAGCAGGCGAGGCCCAAAGTCTCGCGCAGGGTTCATCGCGTAGCCCGTGTTCATGCCGAAGCTCATACCGAGCGCCATGATCATCAGAGCAAAGGCAAACGGCGTACCCACAGTCCCGGGAGAGCGGTTGTTCTGGTCCGTGATGGCGTAGATGCACAGCAGCAGCATAGCCGTAGCCAGCGCCTCCGTGTAGAACGCCGTAATGTTGCTGATGTCGGCGCTCGGGTACGTGGCGAAGTTGCTCTGCGTCGTCTCCTGGTCCGGGTCCACCTTGTTGAGCTTCTGGTAGTCCAGCAGGTAGATGGCGAGCGCGCCCAGGAAGGCGCCAACAACTTGCGAGACCACGTAGCCCGGCACCTTCCACCATGGCAGGCGGCCGTACACGGCGTGGGCAAAGGTGACGGCGCAGTTCAAGTGCGCGCCGCTGACGCCCTCAGAGCAGTAGACGCCCATGAGCACGCCGATGCCCCAGGCCATGTTGATGCTGAGCCACGTGCCGTTGGCCTCGGCCGAGAGCGACACCTGGTTGTTGACGCCCATGCCGAAGCAGATCATGACGAAGGTGCCGAGGAACTCGGCCAGGCACTCGCGGATGTGCGCGCGGTTCATGATGAACCACTTCTTGTGGTGCTCCTCGTCGCGCTCGTACTGGCTGCGGTTCGTGTGGTGCAGCGAGCGCTCGCAGCGGTCGATGATGCGGTGCGCGAAGTTGGGCAGGTGGAAGGCCGAGTACGGCGCCGTCGTCATGCCGGTCTCCGGCGGCGCGGGGCCATTGCTTGGCTCCAGGTTGAAGTGTGCCATGGTGTCTTCTGCTTGGTGCAGTGGGAGCGCGCAGCTATGGGGAACCACCCACTTGTCGGCGAGTCTGGGAAAAGAGAGAATGAGGGAGGGCCTGGAGGAGTGACCACCGCATGAAGACGCTCAGCGATTGGAGCCCCTGCTCTGCTCTGCGCCGCTCGTCGTGTCGTCACTGGCGTGGCTTCATGGACCGCTGGAATCCAGGTTTACGCGGCGAGCGTTCGAGCTTAGAACGGCCAGCGCCAAATGGACAACTCGGACGAGTTGCTGCATGGCGTGAGGTCGTCCGAGTGTACATGTACATGTAGTATGTATATCACTTCATGTGCAGCAGGGTGCATCTGACGACCCTGGCTCATGAAGTTGAAGTGGTTTAATGCATAGCTTCAGATTCGTGTCTTTGGTGCTCGATTAATCTGTCAGGTGCACCTGCACTTTACTGCAGTCGTGGCGACCACAGGAACATTCGTACTGCGTAGCCGGATTTTATATTCGCATTTATATTCATTCATTCACTTACTCCCGCATGCACGTGTGTATCTTGAGCAGCGTGCTCAGTTGTAGCCTCCGTAAATGTTGAAGCCTTGGTCGTCGCGTATCGGTGGTGTTGATGTGAGGCGGAACTCGGCTCGGCCAGGAGCAGGGGACGAACTACACGGGATGACATAAGCTAATGTAAGCTCAATGCTGGTGGCAACAAACTCGATAGAACAGTGGTACTTACTACGGAGACTCGGTGGGAATGCTGGCATCCGACAGTCGGCGCTTCATGATGCCGCGCCAGCCGCGGCGCCGCCGCTTGGTTTCTTGGAAAGCGATATAGCGCTCCACCACGTATGCTTGGCCGGCCTTGACGCCCATGGCGATCACTGGGAGTAGTGGCAGTGGGCCTGCAAACCAGGGAGCGACAAGTCTACTCGACTGAGCGATGCAGGCCAAAATGGCGATCCCCACGCTGGCCATAGAGAGCGCGTTCCACACCGAGAAACGACGCGTGAAGGTCGACGACGATAGCGCCAGCGAAACGATGCCCATGATTGGCGATACGACCAGCGCAAGAGGCGGCACCAGCAGCACGGGAACCATAATGGAAGCACTGCAGTCGTGATCCACTTCACCATTCGTGACGCATTTCAGGTTCACCAAGATGGCAAACGTGATAGCCAGATCCACCATAAGGAGCGACAATAGCGAGATGCTCAGCATCCACGACAGGTTCAGTGAACTGCTACGAGGCAGATTGCGAGGCAGCAAATGGAAGCGCAAGAATGATCGCAACATCTGACGTGGCGCCCGATCCGCCAGGCGTTCGCGAAGCTCGTCAGCACAAATAAGCACGCCCGGAACAGGAAGCGATGCATCCACTGGTCCCAGCCAACCTTCGTAAAAAGTGTGATGTGCAGCGCTGTTATGTCGTTTCTTCTTCGAGGACCCAGAGCCCATTAGCACCAGCACATCGTCCGGGTTTCCACCGCGTCCTGAGTGGCCAGCCAATCCATCTCCGTGGGAACTGGACGACCGAATGCGTAGTGCCTCTTCTCGGATGCTGCTAACGGGGTTCGGGGCAGCTCCATTGCCACTTCCGGGTTCGTTGGAGCTACGGCTTCTCCCACGCGACGAGTTGCTGTTCGTCAGAGCTGTGCCCCACCCACCCATGTCGTAGAGTAGACCGTCAGCATTACCGAAGCTCCCGTTGCTGCGGCGAGGTCCTGGATAGTCGAGAGAATCACCGCGCCCATATCCATACACATCGTTGATGTTGTAGTAATTGGTGTCCTTCGAACGGTGGCTACCGTAGCCGTATCGGTTGGAAGAAGAAGGAGGGGCTTGCTGGTGCGCCTGCTGGACATTGTTGTTGTTGCTGCTGACATTATCCATCGACTCATCGGCAGTTGTGAGGAAGAGGCCAAGCTTAAATTCTTCGCCCATGTCCAGCTCGTCTTGGACGTAGAACCTGCCGAGGTAGATGCGTAAACCGCCAAGTTTGCTGGAATTGTTCCCTAATGCCGCCAGTGCACGTTGCTTTTCCAGATACACGGCCACAGGTATGAGAGACTCCACAAGTGAAGCTTCGTCGCGCTGCACGACACGCAGCAGCTCGTTCAGTTCAGCAACAAATTCAATCCACGGCTCGTCGATGAATGCTGTAAGCTCCGGGCATTGCGGGATCGATCGCACAAGCAAGTCGTTGGGATCCAGGTAAAACGGAGAGAAATAGGTTCCGCAGCCAGCAAACAGAAGCACGAGCGGTAGAGACGGCTTGCCGATCTTGGTTGTGGGAACGCAGACGGACTGCGAGCTCTCCTTGTACAGCAGTTCGAGGTAGACAAGCGAATAATCAGCGCAGTACCCAAGCTTTACAGCGTTGAGCAGGCCACGCGCACGAGGGCCCTTCATACATGCGTGGTTGTACTTCGCCACAATTCGCTTCAGCTCGTTCACACGAATGTGCCGTCGGAAAAGCTCCACCTCGGACGCGAACGGGTAGCACAGTAGTGCCACTATGAAGTACACAATCTTTCCCCAGCTGGAGCATGGCCCACGCTGCCACGCCAGAACGCGGTTGATCCGATCTGCCAAATTCTTGAACTCCACGTCGTACAACACCTTTTTGAGAGATGGCGGGACGGTTGTGCGGAGCTTGAGCGGGGAGTCCGGGTCATTATACCCAGCAAAGTAGAGTCGAGCCATGTGCTCAGGTAGATCTCGCTCCATAAGTTTCGGATAGCCAACCCGAGGCCAGTAGAAGCAGCGAAATAACGATGCCCACCAGCTTTGCTGTGAGTTCGCAACAGCAGAAGACAGCAAATGCTGCCGCTCGCCCTTAGCACCACGGCTGTTGTACATGCGGGTGTATGACGGCTCCTTGCGGTTCCTGCAGGCGTACCCCAGCAAGATGAAGAAAGCTGCGATGCTCATAAGCACAAGAGCAAATCCGAACTCGCCACCGCACGCATCAAGTAGTTGCTGAATAGGCGAGACGCAGTAATAGCCTGAGTAGCCGGGATCACATGTCCAGTCACAGCGTGCACTCGTGGCACCGAGCCCGATGTAATGCGCGTTTGATGGCGCGTTTGTACATACCACGCATTCAGCACTATTGCTCTCGGACTTGTACTTGCCCACTGGGCAGAGCCGGCAAAATAGACCACCAGAGCCAGGTGGGCATGGGAAGCCAAAAAATGATCCACTAGCTCCTGCAGGAACGATGGATTTTTGCGCTACCGTTGATGCAGGCGTTGGCGCCGGCAACCCTGCTGTGTTTTCGCCTCCACTGATCAATTTGAAAGAGGTTGCACCTCCAGCAACAGTGTAGTTGCCGTCAAATCCTCTCGTACACCGGTCAAAAGTGCTAAGCTCACATCCCGTGAGCTGCAACCGGCCACCTCCGCCGCCGCCTCCACAAAGGCGGGGTACAACCTTCGAGCTCATTGGTGATTGAGCCTCAGCTTGTTCGTCAGCAGCATCATACTGGAGTTTTCCAATGAGAAACGCGGGTTCCTGCCAGCTAGTCTCGCTCTCAAGGCTCTCAATAGCATCAGTGCATTCGGATCCGCCACCGACAGCACTTATGTGGCCGTGACCACGCAAATACTGTGCTACAGACAGCCCTAAAAATCCTCCAGAACCACCTCCTGCACCATTTGCTCCGCCATCGCCATTGCAGTGAATTTCACCGTTCAGTACAAGACCTGTAGCGCCAAGCATTACAATGCCTCCACCGTTACCACCATCTACGCAGCCACCACCGGAGCCTAACATTCCAGTCCCTGAACGTGTACCATAAGGAAGACCACCAGAAGCGTAATTGCCGATTTTTGTCACCACGCTTGAGTCTGCTCCCCGACCTCCGTAACCCGCGCCTCCACCTATGGAGCCAACACACGATCCCATGCCAGGGCCTTGATTCGCGAGTTCTCCCATACCATCGGCTGAGACAATAGATCCAGGTGATATTTCAACCGAGTCAGTCGCACAAATCAGGACGGCGCCGCCACGAACACGGCCAACCGGTTGCGGCGGAAGCTCATCAGTCTCTTCAAGCTGGTCTTCTAGTTGCTTCTTTGCCTCATCTGACTGTCCAACATAGATAGAGCCACGTGCATGCAGTACTAGCGTGAAGTTGCTCAACGCTGGTAGTGCCGAAGGGATATTCGGTATCGGTGCTCCTTCCGCAGAATCATCATGATGGCCTCCCTTCCCCAGGTCTTCTTTCAATGACCCAACCGATAGCCACTGCTGTTCCATACAGGATCGAAAAGTTGACTTGATGTTTGGACCATTTAGCGCTTCGAGGTGTCCGTTGATAGTGATCGAAAACTCGGAGGATACCGAGAGCGCACCTACTTCGATCACACCGCCCAGGGACACATCACCACCACTTACCAAAGCCAACATTTTACTGTCAACAAGCTTGGTAGTTGCGGTAGAGGTAGCTGTTGTTGATGGAGACACCGCGATAATAGGAGTTAGCGCGCTCGAGACATTGGCATCAATGTGGATATTCTGGTTCGTGCTGATCTGTGCACTCCACGTAAACTCGAGAGCTGCCGTTGCATCCATCGACACGGAACGAGCAGATAGTTGAAGCGCGCTCGTGGGCAAAATCATCTGAGAGTTACTTGAGACCAACATATCTCGCACGCGAATCTGCAGAACAGGAGGCTTGGTTCTGCTGTGGACACTGATCGAGTCAGGTAATTGATGCGGCAATCCCACCAGCAGAGCATCAAGGAGAAATGAACCATTTAGCACCCTCAAATCGCCCCCAGGTAGCTGTAAGGAGCCCGTCGCGACTACAGCGCCGTCAGATATCGTCAAAGCGTCAATATTTGCTGCATCATCGTCTCCAACGTACAAGCTCGTAACCGCACCGCCAATTACTGTATCCATTTCGTCAATATCAAGTGTATCTCCGTCGTCACTTAGAACACGGTTAGGCCACAGCCGCTGCATATCATTGTCAACTAGCAGCTGGGCTTCGTGCACTCCATCCGAGTGCTGCACAACCTGGTAGTAGGTACCCGCCGCGCCGGCTAGTGCTGACACCTGAACGTGGCGAAAACGATTGTTCTTCGCCAGCAGCTCCTTGACTTGATCCGAGTTTAATGTTCCACCTGTCGTGTCGATCGCGTTCGTGTCAAGCTGGCTGGACATGAAAGTTATTTGCACACGGCCACCACCACCTGCGGGATAACAGTGCGTGACGCCACGCTCCGCAGCATTCTCTGTACAGAAAGCATCTCCACCCTTAGCCTCCACTTTTCCGCTTACCGACAGTGCATTGGCTGAAATGTACACGGAGCCACCTGATCCGCCACTCACTCCCGCAATCGCCGACGCGCCATTTGCCTGGATCTTAGCGCCGTCCATAACCACAACATCTTTCGATGCCTTAATCTGAATTCGCCCTCCTCCATCAACCGTGGCAACACGTTTGCTCGAGTCGTTCCCTGAAATCACAATTCGACTTCCACTGCCAAGCAAGAAGGGCGCAATCGTTGCGCTAGGATCCCCCGAAGCTCCTGATGACGTGGTCATCACCGCTGGATCAGCCACCAGCGCCTTCTCCTTGGCCCACAAGTCCGCAAGCTGCCAGCCCGCGCTGCTTTCCTTCAGCAGCGCCTCCTTCTCCTCAATCAGCTCCACATCTACTGTACGTCCTCGCACATCAAAGAACCCTCTGGTAGTCTGTTGCGTGAGCATCGTCGCATTGGCAATGAGCCGCTGTCCTCCACCTCCACCGTGACTCGCACCGAACTCATCGGTACCAGTAAACAGCCCGCGGCCGCCACGGAACGATCCACTATAGGACGCCGAGATTTGCGCCTGCACCTCCAAATGTACGAACGATGCCTCCACACTCAACGATGATGCTCTCAAGCTCGCCTTGGCTCCAAGCAGCACCATTTGACCCGAGCCCACGTGCAGCAGGCAGTCGTCGCCCTCCACAGCGACATCCACACCTGGTGCGACATACAGACCGCCCGCCACGTCCCAGTGACACGTATAGCCCTGGACGGCTGAGACTTCCCCCACCTCGACGTCTTCAGCATTGGAATCGCCCTCGAAACTCGCAGCGGAGACCGTCACCGCGTCCAGGAGCGAGCCGGAGCCTGCGGCCGCTGCTACCGGCGGCTCTGCGGCGCTGCGAGGACCGCAGACGAAGGAAACGGACTCGCGGAACTCGCAGGAAGAAGTGCTGGCGTTCCACGCGCAGTGCTGCAGGAAGTCGGCGCAGTGCGGGTGCGCGGCGTCACCTTCAGCTTCAACGGCGGCCGCGGTCGTGTCTGTAGAGAGCAGCAGCACGAGCGACAGCGACAGCAGGTGCAGACGGTCGCTGCGGCTCCGTCGGGAGGCCGGATGCGGCGCCATGCTGCTGCCGGGCCAGGACACGGATGCGGAATGCGCACTCCTTGCTGGTCTCAAGTGAGGATTCGGATGTGACCGCAGGAGTGATGGTCGGTGAAAAGGTCTCTTCCGTATCATATATCAGAGAGCGCATCGTATGTTTAGAACGCCACCTATTGAGCGTTAAGCTCTGCAGACGTAGCGCTATATGCAGGTGCAAATTACCTGTAGAATGTGATATCTGAGTTCTCCGAAAAGCCGTTGGTCACTATACCGAACTAGTGACCACTTTGGGTGCTGCCATCATAATTCGAGAAGCGCGGCAGCCAGCAAGAATGTCGTACCTGTTGCCGCACCTGGAGAGCGGCTGGGCCGTGGACCAGGCCATCCTGAACGAGGGCGACCGCGTGGTGGTGATCCGCTTCGGCCACGACCACGACCCGACGTGCATGCAGATGGACGAGGTGCTGTGCGGCGTGGCGGAGGACGTCAAGAACTTCGCCGCCATCTACGTGGTGGACATCACGGAGGTGCCCGACTTCAACACCATGTACGAGCTGTACGACCCGTGCACCGTCATGTTCTTCTTCCGCAACAAGCACATCATGATCGACCTGGGCACGGGCAACAACAACAAGATCAACTGGGCCTTCAACAACAAGGGCGAGATGATCGACATCATCGAGACCGTATACCGCGGCGCGCGCAAGGGTCGCGGCCTCGTCATCTCCCCCAAAGACTACTCCACCAAGTACAGATACTAGACAATACAACACACACGCAGCTCCAGCAGCAAAGCAAGACAGGAAGGAGCTCCCGGCTTAATGTGAGTTTTTTTCCCTTGCTGTTGCTACGGTGGAATCTCCAAAGTTTTTTGTTTCTCTCGTTTTGTTGAGCTGTGGCTGATGTTATGGAAGGCTGTTGATGGCTGAGGAAGAGCAGACAGAGCCAAGCTAGCTGCGCACTTGGCGGCGTGATAGGATGTCGAAGAAGTACTGGCACTCGAGTACGCCGTCTTCGGCCAGGTCGGTGCAGTGCACGGCGTTGCGGACGCGGTCGTGACCGAACTTGGCGCGGATGGTCTGTGGCTTGAGCTCCTTGGCCATCTCCACGTCCCACGGACCGGCGCTGGCTCGGAACTGCGTGACGACGTCGTTCGTGTGCTGCCCCACCAGTTCCATGGCGAGGCACGGGCCAGTGGTGAAGTGATCCACGGACTCGTTAAAGTGCGGCACCACACCTTCGTACACCTCGAGGAACTCGGCAGCTGTGGTGCGATCCAGGATGAACAACTCCATGGCCGTGATGCGCACGCCACCGTCGCGCTGGATAGCGGACACCACCTCCCCAGCCAAGCCTTCTTTGATCACGTGGGGTAGAACCACGCAGCATGTACAGTTGTCGAAGGTAGCAGTCGGAGCGTGCGGCGTCTCGAAGTAGAAGCTGCGGAGCTGCTGCGCCTCCAGGACGGACGCTGCGCTCTCGAACTCGCCTGGCTGCGCATTGAACCGTGCACTCAAGTTCGACACAACCTGCTTGAGCTTGCCAAGGCAGTTCTCCTGCACGAGCTCCATAGCCACGACAGGAGCTCCCGCGAGTTGCTCGACTCGCGTCTCAAAGTCGCTTGTCCCTCGCTGCAGCTCGTACAGCTTCTCCGCGTGCGACCGCCCCACCTCCATCATCTTAATCGCCGAGAAGGCGAACTGCTGGTGCGAGAGGAAGTCCAGTACGGCACCAACATGGTCCACCATGCGAGCTTTGATCACCAGCACGGACTTTTGCTGCTGTCGGCCGAGTTTCTCCGCCGTGAACGGGTCCAGATAGTCCTGCAGCTCGAAGTGGCGGCCGTAGATGAGCACCTTGGCCCCCAGGAAGAAGTCCTTGGCCGAGAGTGTGGCCGGGCACTCGCTCTTCTTGAGGAAGAGGCGGCTCGTCTTGGTGTCGAAGATCTCGACGTTGTGCGTGTCCACGAAGTACCGCACGTTGTACTGGCGATTTAGTCTGCAGCAGCAAGCAGCAACACACCGATCAACCTCCAGCAGCTCTCAACAGCTCTAAGGACGGAGACGCACTGGGCGTGGGTGTCGAACCACCGCGCCTTGAACGAGTAGATGGTCTCCCGGATGGCCTGCATAGCGACGAAAAGTCTGGGGCAATGCACTCAGAAGATGCTCGGGGCGTGTGTAAGGGCGGAAGCTCGACGTACATCGGTGCGAACGAGGAAGTGCGTGCTGGTGCTGGACTTGACGTGACGAGTTTCCTTGCTCAAGTTGAAGCGCCGCGACCCGTCGTATCTATACAAATATCAAGTTCATACACGTCGCAGAGGGGGCGGCAGGCACATCTTTTTTCAGCGAATCAACGCCTGCACTTGGCCACTTAGTGCAACGTGTTGAAGCCGGGTGTGGTGGTCTTGGAAATTGAGAATTGTTGCAATGAGGACTCGGCCATTTGAGGCACCTGCATAAACTACCAGTTGAAGCACTTCAAGCACCTTGTTGAGAGTCAAGTTGAGACTCTAAACACGTGAAAGAACGAGAAGATTATCCTCGCAATCAACAACCCATAGTGCCCATACTTGCATGATCCTGACGAGCGGATTGTGCCGTTGTTCACTTGAAGTTTAGAATGGAACGCCAAACAGTGAGAGGTTTGTTCCTTTGTTTCCGTAAGAAATATTTCGAAGCACTGAACACGACAGCACGTCTAACGTTCAGATTTTTTTAACCTATCAAGCGCTGCAACCTAGCCAGTTTTTACCCACGGGGTCACACTTCGTCCTTCAATCTGCAAGCGTCTCAAGCCAATGTAGTTCTTATCCGGAAGACACGACAGAACTTGAAACCGAGTGTTGTCCAGTAGCAGATACCTGTGACGTTTGCCTCCACAGACTTCGATGGACTCCTTCGTCGGAAATGTCAGGACGTCAATTCTGTCGAACGGGGATTCCTGACAAATGCTTGATTTAAATTTCCTGAACGCCTTCTCGGTCGTTGAACTTCCCAGAAGAGGAGTCACTGCCATACTTGGATCAGTCTCGTTCTGGAGACAAGTAGTAGTAGAGGTCTGGAGTACACTGTAAGCCACTCGCTCGAAAAGACGGCTGTATCAAGTTGCATAGTCCAATAAAGCCACTGTAGCAGATATGGTTCGATCAATACAGCACTAACTCGACATTTCCGCATCCACTCTCAACACTTGTGCGTGGGGCAAGGCAATCTTTAACAGGAAGAAGTGCTGTCTTGGGGGAGGGCGTGCGGTACTAAGAGTGCCGCCCCCGCAGTTCAGGCGGATGGAAGCTTCGCGAAGCCTCCACAGCCGCCCTACATCTGCATATCTATTTTAACTTGGTTTCACTATACCTACGGTGAGTCGTACCTACACTGACCTCCTATTGGATTACCTTTCTACCAATCAGATACAGTCACCCCTTCTCTGGCTGCGCGCCCTTCCGACTTGTCATTCCCGAAAAAGACAGAGAACCGCGACGCTTCCGGCTGTCGCCTGAGGAATTAGTCCGACCTCGCTTCTCCTTCGCCTCGGCCTGGTTGTTGGAGGCTTGGATTGGTTCCTTGGGCTGATAGTTGTGTCGCTAGCGGTTTCTACTGCTGCCGGAATGCAGTCTCCTGCTTCCGCGCGTTCTGCCTCGCCTCCAGCGACGGCTGATCATGATGTTGAGGCTCCGCCGTCTGTGTCGCCTCTGCCGGCCGCGCCGGCAGACTCTGAATGCGCCGCCGCGCTCGCGCAGATTGTCGATGTTGTGGCCGCTGCTGGTGAAGACAGCGATACTGACTCCGGTCTTGACGAAGAAATGGTGCATGTGTGGGAAGAATTAGAGCTCACCAGTCGCTCTCCCGGTCTTGGCTCTCCAGATTCGGGCTCGGCGTCCCCGGCGCCGCCGCCTGCGTCGCCAGCGCCGCGTGAGGTTGTTGCTTCGGCTGGTGGTTTTTCTCCACCTACGCGCCTCCAGGAGTTGATCTTCATGCTCGATGTGGAAGGGTTGTCTGTCGAGGAGGCGATAGCTGCTGAGCCTGTGCTTGGGGCGACCTTTGAGTCCTCGCCTGAAGATGAATCGGGGCTTTTCGACGATAGTGACGACGATGAAGGCCTGCCTCAGGTTGACCGCTCGCGCTTGCGTCGCGGTGACGAGACTTCGACGTGGCATCCGATGCCGCTTCCTCCGGCGCCCAAAAAGCACCCGTCGAACAACCGCAAGAACCATACGACCCGAAGAAGCCTTGGGATTACAACACTGAGGTTGGCATCGTCCGTGCCTTGGATGTCAGGGGCAAGGCTCCGCACCGTTGCTACTTGGTGGAATGGGAAGGCAGTCCGCTACAGCTAAGCTGGGTCTGGATGGAGCAGCTCGACAAACCGTCGACGCGCTACATGATGAGGATGGTGGACGCTTGGAAGGAATCGGGAGACAAGCGCACCTTCTGTTATTGGTATTCGGAGCGTGATTCCGCGTCGGAGGCTGGTACTTGTTTCATGGATGCTTTCCGCTCGGCCTTGTACTATCTCGGACAGCCGAATCTAGTCACAATGGAGATGTGGGATGCGTATGAAGACACGCGACCTGAAGCCATCCAGTACGGTGTGTCTCGCGACGACGTGACGGAGTTCTTCAAGGTTCTGCAGCGCAAGAGTATGCCACTGAACTACGACGTCCTTCTCCGAAACGCGCTTCCAGAGTCAAGTGCCAACATCACGACGCTCCAAGGTGTTTGCCGCAAACAAGCACCCGGTGTTTACGTCGTCAGCGCTGGCCGCAATGATGTCGGGCACTGCTTTGTCGTGGTTAACCGTCGTCCGGAGAAGCAACTTCTGGCTCTTGACAATTTCAATGCCCGCAAGAACCCGCCGGTGGACGTTCTTCCTCTGAGTTACCAGTAGTGGATTCAGCACGTGAAATGGATGGCGCAAGTGGAGCTGCAACCAGGATACAAGTGTCGCCACGGCAAGCGCAAGTCGAAGACGCAGAAAAAGCGGGAGAAGCGCATGAAGCAGCAGGTTCTGCAACAAGAGGGGATGTAATACGGGAATACATGTAGGCCTTTGAGCCCCCCTTCAGCTGATCCTGCTTCACCGTTTTCGACGCTTCTTTCGCCTTGCAGATTCAAATTCCGCGATGAGATCTGGGACTTGCGACAAGTTCTCCACTGGTTCCCAGGTTTGTTTCTCCTCGCCCACCCACTCCACAAGATATTGGATCCGCCGTTTTCGCGTTCGCTTTCCACGTAATGCCTTGACGATCTGGCCAATGCTGCCGTCCGCTAAGATTACGTCGCTTGGCCTCGACAAGCGAGTCAGCTCCTTGTACGGCTTCAATGACGCAGTGTTGAAGACGGGATGCAGTTTGTTGCTAGCCTGGATGTTGAGCTCGTACGCGTGGTTATGAATCTTCCGCACCACGGTGTACGGTCCAATCCACTTGGGTCCGAACTTGGTGGAGTTGGGCAAGCCGGGGTGCTTCGGGTTCAGATTCTGCGTGCTCAAGTATACCCTGTCACCAACTTCGAAGATCTGCTCAACACGGTTTCGGTCGTAGACGTCGCGCATCCATTCTTGGGCCTGAGCTAACGCCTCGCGACAGCGTAAGAGAATCGCCGCCTGTCGCTCGTGAAACTCTGCTCCGCGGCGACTCTTGGGGACACTCTCAAGTTGCTCGGATGCAAGTTGAAGTGGATTCAGCGAAATGTAGCCCAGATCGGCTTCGAACGGCGCAAGCTTCGTGCTGGAGTTGACAGTTGAGTTGACAGCGAACTCAGCGTTGGTGAGATGGACGTCCCAATCATCTTGAAGTGGACCGACGATCAACCGAAGATACTTTTCCAAGGTTCGGTTCATGCGCTCCGTTTGTCCGTCACCTTGAGCGCGATGTGCAACGGTCATTCTTAGCTTCGTCCCGATGGACTTGAAGACATGCTACCAGAAGGCGGACACGAACTTCCTGTCGCGGTCGGAGACGATATTCGTCGGCATGCCGTGTAACTTCCAGATGTTGTCGATGAAGAGTCGAGCAACACCTTCGGCGTTCACCTTCTTGGTGGTTGGCACGAAATGACACCGCTTGGTCAACCGATCGACGACGACCCAGATAGAGTCGACGCCCCGCTCCGTTCGCGGCAGATCAGTGATGAAGTCCATGGAGATGGATCTCCAACGCTCGTCTGGAATACTGAGTGGCTCGAGCAATCCAGGAGGTTTCGTCAACCGCGGCTTGTTCCTCCGACAAGGCTCGCAGTCGGCGACAAACTTCTGGATGGACTTCAACATCTTTGACCAGTACCAATGGCGCGCCAGTGTCAAGTACGTACGTTCCGCACCGGGATGGCCTCCGCAGTTGGTGTCGTGACACTCGCTGATAATTGTCTGTCGCAACTTCACATCGTTGGGCACGACAATCCGTGGAGCGTCATCTGCAGGCGTTTGATACCACAGTAACCCGTTCGCTTCGGAGTAGCAGCGGTATTTCTTGTGCTGCTGGTGTTCGCGCTTTGGTTTTGAGTCGGATTTGCGTCGCTTGATTGCTGTCAAGATTGCTTGGTCATCACGATCTTTCTTGTACGCTTTCTTGATGCGCGTAATCAGCTCCGAGTCACCCGTTACTTCGCTGATCGCGAGGCTGAAGGATGTGCTGTCGAAGCTGGTCACCCGTAAGTCGTGGAAGAACTTCGTCTCCGGTTGTAAGTCTAACCTTCGACTTAACGCGTCTGCGATGCCATTCTTCGCACCGGGAAGGTACGAGAACGTCGGCTGGTATTCCGCAAGGATGTCGTACCAGCGAGCGAGTCGTCGGTTGGCCATCTTCTGGGTGAACAGTCCTTCGAGACTTTTGTGATCCGTCTCGACGATGGGTGGTTTGTCCAGGCAGTAGATCCGAAACGCTGCCAGCGCATGAACGATCGCTAGTAGTTCCTGCTGCTGAGTCGGATAGTTGAGCTCCGCCGACTTCATCTTCCGGCTTGTGTACGCTATCGGGCGCTCAACTCCGTCCACCACTTGAAAAAGGACTCCACCGACAGCAAACTTGCTTGCGTCGGTACGCAGATGCATGGGGCTGCTGAAATCCGGCAAGTGCAATACTGGCGGGTTGCACAGTCGCCGCTTGAACTCCATGAAGTTCTTCAGCTGCTCGTCGCTGAGATGAATCTTGGCGTTCCGCTTGTTCTTCTTCTTCAAGAGCGCAAACATGGAGGCTGTCAGAGATGCGTACTCTGGACAGAATCGCTGGACGTAACCTGTCAAGCCAAGGAAGCTGTGAAGCTCTTCTTGCGTCCGTGGTACAGGCCAGTCCTCGATGGTCTGCACCTTGTCTGGATCCATCCGAACTCCATTTCGCCCAACGAAATCTCCGAGACACGGCATCTCGTCGGAGCAGAAGACACACTTGGACAGCTTGACGTACAACTTGTTATCACGCAAGATGTCAAGTGTTTTCCGCAGTGCGTCCAGATGGTCCTCAATCTTCGGTGACTTGGTGAAAACATAGATGTCATCGTAGAACGACTTCGTGTTCTTCAAGTCTCGAAAGAGCTTCGATGTCAATCTGTGCATCGTTGCTGGCGCGTTGCAAACTCCCATTGGAAGAACGAGATACTCCCAGAGACCGTTCGGCGCTTGGAATGCGGTAAACTTGATGTCTTCTTCCCGCATGCGCACTTGGTAGTACGCGGACATCAGGTCCATCGTGGAGAACCAGTACGCACCGGACATGGTGTCAAGGATGTCTTCCTTCCTCGTCATCGGGATACTTTGACGCACGGTGTTCGAATTCAAGTACCGGTAGTCGTGAACAATTCTCCAGCCAACTGGTTTCCGGACACAGAATGTTGGGGCTGCGTGGGGACTGATGCTTGGTCGAATGAGCTTCTTCTTCACCATGTCTTCGACCCAGCGCACGATTTCACGCTGCTGCTCCGGCGACTGTCGCCACTGCTGCCTGTACATCGCCATATTTGGATCCTTCACATCGATCCGGTGTTCAATGTCACGCTTCTCTGGTAAACCTTCGGGTAGTTCTGGACGAAACACGTTGTCCTTATACTCCATGAGAAGATTGAAAGCTGGATTCTCTCGGAAGGTGTCCCAGTCTGTCTCCAGATAGCGTTGTGCTTTCGCTCTCCCAACGTTGTCGGGCTGATCTCGGCGTTGCAGTGAACGTGCAACTTGCTTGATCGTCTCGTTCGATAGCACCAACATGAAGTCAGGCTCGTCGCTCGTCTTGGTCTTGATTCTCAGGAACTTCCGCAACTTCTTGCGCGTGATGTATTTGGTCTGTATACCACTCTCGTCGACAACTCCCATCGTGAACATCTTCTCCACGGCGTTGTCTCCACCCCTGGTACTGCTGCTTCCATCAGCCTCGACTACAGTACTCTCGCGCTCAGACGTCGCAACGTCGTCGTCTCCAGCTGAACTCTTGCCAGCTTGCGCGTTATCATGTCGTCCGCGGACAACACTTGGGGATTTCTTCTGTACTGCGTCACCAACAGCTTCAACCGTGAGCTTCACATCCGTTTCCAGCGCGGCACCTCGACAGGAATCGGGTCTTTTCGCCGACAGGCCTTTCGCCTCGACAGATCTCCGAAGCCCGGAGGTAATCACCGGTCCGCCTTCCTCGATCGGCTCACAGGTCTTCCCTGTTCGCTTCCAGTGCAGAGTCCTCGTTCTCGTTCCTTCGATTCGTAGTCAATATGTGGTTGCACGTCTTCGAAGAATGGTATTCCAAGAATGCAATCGAATTCGCCTGGAATCGGGTAGACGACTGCCACACACTTGTAGGCGTCGTCCAGCCTCGAGACCAGAATCTCTATCAGCAGAACTTCAAGCTCCGCCTCGACAATTTGGTTGTCTCCCAGCTTGACACGAATGTTCTTGTCGCTGAACTTGGTTGTCTGAAGCTGGTGCTCCTCGACCCAACGCTCGGATACGTAGATCGTGGTAGCTCCACAGTCCAACAACATGCTTCGTGTCGCGAGACACTTGTCACCAACACTGATTTCACCTGTTACGGAGAACAGTGGACGTGACTTGTAGACCAGAGGGTTTTCGCACAGAACGTTCAAGCTGATATTCTCAATCTTTGGTGTCCCGGTTACGCTCTCGCCCACGCCAGAACCCTCATTCACCGACGTGGTTGCTCGTTTCCCTGCTTCTCTTGCTCCTTCTTCCAGAGGAAGCAGTTGGCCTTGATGTGGTCAGGCTTCTTGCAGTGATAGCAGGTGCGGCCTTCAGTACGCTTGGAGTCAGACCTCGGCTTGAACCGTCCCTTGCCGCGGAAAGGTTTCCCTTTGAATGGCTTGTCTTGCTTGGGAGCTTGATCAGCGAAGATCTTCGTCTTGTCTTGGCGGGACTGGCGGTCGCGCACGTCGTCCACAAAGTGCGTAACTTCGTACTTGATCGCCAGATCCATAGCCGCGCTCAGCGTCTCTGGGTTCTCGAGCTTGACGTAGCTACGGGTACGAGGCTTGAGACCGTTTGCGTAGCTTAGTACCTGGTCAAGTACACTCATGCCCTCAACTCGGGAGATAAGAGCAGAGTACTCGCCGTTGGAGGTCTCGATGTCCGCCGTTTGCTTGAGTCGCTGCTGCTTTTCTCGCAAGACGGCCTGGTAGTTCGAAGCTTCGAAGTGTTGGAGCACATGCTCACGGAAAATCCCCCACGTGTGCTCCTTACTTCTCGTCGTCGATGACCAGTGCAGGAACCATCCTGAGGCCGGCTTTTCCATCGCCGACCCGGCGATACCCGGCAGACGCGCGCTCGCGTCTTCGATTTGGATTCCGTTGATGCGACAGGCCTTCTCGATCCGGAACAGCCCTTCGCGAACGTCTTCCCCCCGCTTGCCGGTGAACTTGGGCAGATTGGTGGGCACTCGCGTGCGCTCTGCCATCGCTTGATTCAGCCGGTCGATCTCGGCTCGTAGCTGGGCGTTCGTCGGCATGGGCTTCTTGTAGTCAGGTTGCTGGGACCAACAAGTGCTACCAGTTTAACAGGAAGAAGTGCTGTCTTGGGGGAGGGCGTGCGGACCTAAGAGTGCCGCCCCCGCAGTTCAGGCGGATGGAAGCTTCGCGAAGCCTCCACAGCCGCCCTACATCTGCATATCTATTTTAACTTGGTTTCACTATACCTACGGTGAGTCGTACCTACACTGACCTCCTATTGGCTTATTACCTTTCTACCAATCAGATACACAATCCGTTCATTATTAGAGAAGGCTCGGGAGAGCTGAGCTGAGGCAGCGTGTGGTGGGTTTTGCGAGCGCGCAGTGGCAGCGACTCATGCTGGGCCGCGCTCGGTGTTGGTCTTGGGCGCTGCTTGTCCGAGGCGAGGTAAGACCACAAATGAGAGGATTGCCAACAATCTAATCCTACCTAGCGCTGGGAAAACCCGCCCAGCCGGACACTCCATTCTGCAGGGCCGTATCTAAGCGGGAAACCGGGGCACATACACACACACACACACACACTTGATTGGCCCGACGAGCGGCGAGAATGGGGCCGATGCTGCCACGCGGCAACGAAGCGCGTCGTATCGTCGAGACTTGGTCATGACGCACAAAGTCTTGGCCGTTCAGCGGAAAAACACTTTTTCGCTACTTGAAAAAGTACCAGAATATTGCAGCGGAGTCAGATCAGAAAGTTGTTTCTCGAAGCCGTAAAATGGCTACATCAGCACGGATGAGGGGTACCGCGAATTGCCACCGTGGGTGCTGGAAAATACCGCGTTCGAGAAGGACAGCTCTCGTACCCAGCTTCGCAGTTGGTGCCTTGGAGGAACGAGGAGTACTGCACCGGCGTGGTGTTTCGCACAGTGTTGGATTAGTTTTATTTTCATTATCTAGTACGACTAGTACCAGTGCATAGTATCTGTCCAAATCGAGAAGGACATTAAATCGGTAATCGAACCATTCATTCATTCATTCAGGAGGAACGAGGGGTTGCTGCTGGCAGGGACGCCGATTATGGCATCTTTATTTATGTAAGTCAAGCTGGCTCATAATTAATGCTGCGATTCCCACGTCAAGCCCATGAATTCTTTTTCTTGGTATCCGAGGTAGCGTTTAGGTAGCTGGCATCCTATTACAAAATGAATGTGGTCGAAAAAACTTGATTCCTTCGAGTATTTTATTTTAAACTGATGGCACTCACGGTGTACAGTACAATATAGATTATTCACCGCTCCGTGGGAACCACTATTGTTTAGTTCCTGTTTTGAGCGATACAAACTAAGTGAACCCTATCCCTCGCTAGTTCGCTTTCATTTTCCCCTAGCTGTGGCTTGGAAGGCTCCGTAATTTAGATCTCATACTTCATACCCCACCATTTCACCCGCCAAAAACGCCCATATTCTGCCGCAAATGGGCGCCTTCCAAAACCTATATAAAACGGTTTGGTCATTAGGTGTAGGGGGGATTAAACCGGTCATTAAACGGAGCGATTAAACAGAATTGTTTGGAGGATCAAAAAAGTCTCCGTTCAAACAATTCGAAAATGGGTTTGGTCGTCCTTTTAATCATCCCCTTATTTGGCAACTCGATTAAAAAATATTTTAATAAACGTATGGGTCCAAACAGCTCCCTCATTTAGAGATTTCGTTTGAATTGAAGTTGCGCGCGCGATCTTAGAGGGCTTTAAGGCGCGAAAGCTCGCTCGCTCGCACATCCCACGCCTCATTTCGAATCTCGCCTCGTCGTGCCGAAGCCCCCGCCTGCTGTAAAGGTGTACGTGCGCTGTATGAGTTGTTGTGGTTGTGCATACCAGCTAAAAGATTGTTGATTCACCGCCTAGGCAACCATGCACCCGTCTCCCCCGAGCAAGCGCCGCCACGCGACAAGCTGTGCTCACGAGACTTTGAGTGCTCTCGTCTCCAAGCGCCGCAAACTCAGCGCCGAGGCGTTCGACGCCGCTGCGATCGAGTCAAACCGCTGCGAACCGCCGTCAGGAGAGCCACGCAGCGAAGTCGCTGCTGATGTACCAGCCAACCCAGTTCCTTCGGCCATCGCTGCTGCCACGCCACGGGACCACCGGTGGGACCTCGCGCCGGCGCGAAGGTCAAGAAGACCACGGTGCTGACAAGACCGTGATGACCGTGAAGACTACTGTCACGACCCGAGTGTCGCCACGCGCGACGTCCTCCGCCGAGGAGGAACTGTCCAGAGAAATCTCCGAGCACTCGGCCTCGTTGCCCTCCGGCATAGGAGCCCCCGCTTCTTCTGACCACCAACGGTCGGCGTCGCCAAGGACGCGATCCGGTCGGGTGGTGCTGCCCGAAGGCGTCAATGCGTCTGTAACGATGCAGGTGGCTCCACTTGCGGAGTTTCGGCTCTCCCCGCCTGCCTCGTCGGGTGATGGCCCTTTCAGTCCTCGCTCCAGCCAGATCACTGAGACGGAACCATCGCCCCGGTCACACCTGCGCGCTCAGCTCCGAGTCCAGACGCTGCATACTCGCCTGCGACGGCAAGTTCCCAAACAAGAACCGCGACGCCCCCGTGGTCACCCCAAAGCCCCTTCCGGTCGCGCCTGCACAAACGTGCAGAGGTTCTTCCTGCTTGGTATACCGAGGCGGTCGCCTCCGACAGCGGCGAACCCGAGACGGCGCCGCTCATCGGCTCCCCACTTCCAGCTGCACGCCCGTCGTTCACCGCCTCGCGCATGAGCTCCCCGGGCTTTACTGTTGTCGAAGGCGGTGCCGTGAACCCACCCCGCGACGAGTGGCAGCTCGAGACGTGGCCGGATGACGTGCAGTTCACGTCAGCGCAGCTGAATCCGCGCGGCTGGAAGTTCCCAGCCGTCAGCGTGGGGATGAGAGGGGGGCTTGGCTGTGGATGCAAGGAGCGCTGCAAGGCAAGCACTTGCCTCAACGCTCGAAGCAGCAGATTCGGCACGGAGTACAACTGCACCTTCGCTGCCGAGTGCGACAACGGGCTTCACGAAAGCCGCGCACTCGCAATTGGTCGCAATCTGCGCACCGGAATGCGTGGCTTGGTGGCGCAAGCTGCGATTCCTGCTGGAGAAGTCATCGGACAGTATTTTGGCCACATGGACTTGTTCGGGCCGCCCTGCAAGAACGACCCAGTCAACGACAGCTACAGAATGCACCTGCGGACCCGCACTACGGGCAACAAGTTCATCGGCATCGACGCCTTGAAAGTGGGCGGCAACCTCCACTTCATGAACCTCGCCTGCAATCCAAGCACCCGGTTCCACGAAGTTCAAACGGACCAGCGCCTGACGGTGGTCGCCGTCAGCATTCGTGATATATACCCAGGCGAGGAGGTGACGGTCTCCTACGGCAACAAGTTGTGGTTTGTCTGTCGCTGCGGGTGGTCGGGGTGCCAGCATCGCCACCTGCAGCACTTGCACCAGGACTCCGACTCTGCTTCAATCCACCTCCCATGAGCGGCTTTAAGGCAGCTTTGTATTGAAAATTGTGTACATGTTGTGTAATGAAATCTTTTGAAATTCGAAGCTTCCTGATTGACATACTGAACATCATACATACGACCCAGGACGCGATGGGTTCATTCGCCCCCTCGACGGCTTCGACACATGCAACGACGGAGAGTATGGCGGTGGGTCTCGTACAGCTCGTTGTCTCCCTTGGATGCGTTCCTCTTTGGGTCTAACCTGCGTCGTATCTTACGTGTTTATCTACGGCGAGGCCGGCAGCAAGGATACCAGAACTACCGTGCTAACGAGGAGCTTCTCCTTTGCGACTTGGCTGCAAAAAACCTTCCGACTGGAAGGAGCATGTGGATGGCGCTGGCGGCCGAGTACAATGGCTCCAGAGACCCTGCCTGGCGGGAACGCGACTTTGACTCACTGCGGAGAAAGTTTCGCAAGCTCTACGGAAGCCCAAGCCCACGGGCAATCAGGGTGACCGCCTGACGCTCAAACAGCGAGCTATCCTCATGGCTCATGAGACTCAATTTGAGATAGAGAAGAATGGAGGGGCGCACACCTCGCACGACGGGCGCGACAACGGAGCGGACGACGAGAGCCTCATGGATGAGGTCAACGTGGCCCTCTTCGCGGACGAGGTGGGCAAGACCTTCAACGCGAAACCGAACTCGGTCTCGACCAAGGACAGTGGAGGCAGCAACCGTGCTCGGATCGACAAGCAGCAGGAGGATGACGAGGAGGAGGTGGCGGAGGAGGACGACGAGTCGGTCTCCTCTAAAAGCTCGGAGGAGGGTACGTCCGAAGAGGCTTACGCCAACCAGCCTCGTGACCCCATCATCCTCCCGTTGCTGAGCTTCACGGCAGCGAGACGCGGCTTGCTGGGGTCGTGATGACCCAGCGGGGCCTCGTTCCGGTCGAGTTCTCTGCTGACTTCCGGCAGGCTGAGTCCAACCTTGGCGACGGAGAGGAGCGTGATATGGAAGACGGCCAAACTACAGCTAATGACGCACGGAGCGATCGAAGTACGGCCTCTGCAACGACCATTGACGCTCTATCGACACCAAAGGCGTTAACGAGGCCCAATTCGGTGACACCAAGAGCTGAGGGCCACCCGAAACGCGACTACCAACCTCTGGCTTCGGTGGCTTCGCCCGACGGGCCCACCCTGACGCAAAAACCGGATCGTGCTGCTTCCGATGCAGCAGAGGCCGAAAAACACAAACGGCTGCACAACACCAGTGATCACCTAGGTCAGCGAGATCTACGAGTTTTGCGAACAACTTTGAGGTGATGGGCGGGCGCGATCCAGGAGCTAAAGCCAAAAGCCCCGCGTCTGACTGCTCGGTGACGACGACGTAAGTTGCGTCGAAGAGAACCAAGCCAAGAAGCGCATGGATTCTATTGACAAAGAATTGAAAGACGCTGTAATGGGATTGGAAATGAAGGAGCTACTGCTCTTCTTTCGCGAAGACGCCGATCGCAGAGCCGAAGCCGAGGGGAAGCGGCGACGATAGGAACGCGACGAGCGGCGCGAAGAGGATAAACGAGAGCAAGAGGAGCGAGAGAGGGTTCGTAGGGAAGAAGCTGCGCTTGGCGAAGCCAGACGTCAGCAAGACCGCGAGGATGCAAAACAACACCTTGAAGCCGTGAAAAAGAAAGAGGAAGCAGCTCGAGCGGAGCGTCGAGAAGAAGAGACCGAGCGTCGAGAAGAAGAGGCCGAGCGTCGCCGACAGTTCCAAGCCCGCCTTGAGCAAGACCGTGCCGAAGCGCGGCAGCGCCACGAGCAAATGATGCTACTGATCTCGACGATTTACAAGAACAAGTAGTATACAGCAAGATGTGTGTGCAGGAAGGAAGACGTAGTATATTCAAGTTGCATTATGCCAAGAAACAAATTTAACTCACTCTTGTGTATCTCCTATCGCCCTCGCCATGAATGAATGTGGTTCGTATCTCACTAATGCCGACGGTTCTCACTCTGTAGTTAGTAAGTCTGAAAATGTTGTCCAAACGCTGCTGCCGTATGCTGCGGTCGTACGGCAACGGCATCAGCAACCGATGGTAGACCTTCTCGATAGACCCCATACTCCACTCAGCACTCTGTCTAATCGACGGTATTGCCCCTGATAAAGCCTTCGCCGCCGCCCGAACAGAAGGCACCAGTTTACTTGCATCTCCGTCTTTCAGCGGGGTCATGATCCTGCCGATCATGTCACCACTACAAGGGAAAGCACTGTCTGCTACAACCCCATATCGATCGTCAGGATTTAGTTCCGCCGACACCAGCTTCCGCCTGAACTCTAGGCTGGTATCGCCATCGCTCCATGACCCTGGACAATTATATTTAGCCCACACGATGAGCCCATCCGCTGAGAACCATAGCGTGCCGGTGACGAACACGCCATGTAGCCAACCGTTGTAGTGGGCATTCTGGATGTCTCTATCTGGTGGCTGCTGCACCTGTGAAGTAGAAGTATGATACGTGGATGGTAAGACCACGTACAATGAAACAATACAATCACATCTTGACGAAAGTACCTTGTAGTTTTTCCCATCCAAAAAGCCCCATGTGAACTGCAGCATGGGTTGCTTTGCTGCCACTAGAAGAGCTAAAGCTTTCTGCCTGGCGAACGTAGGCCATACAATCCGAGCGGGCGCAAACCCTCGGAGCGCCGCCGTAAGAGCGTCTTCAGCTGCAGTTAGCACGCGGGTAAGCGTCGTCGGGGGGGGGGACGCCAAACATGAGACACAGGCGCCCTCGATACTCACAGCCTACGTAGAAAGCTAGAAGCAAGCCCAACACCTGATGGTGCTGTTGGAGCTTTTGAGGCCGCCACCCTTTCGAGTAGAAGATGGGAATCTCGTAATGAGGCGCAAAGCGATATAGTAGAAGGTTGAATGAGGCCCTACGTGTCAAGCAATAACGGCAAACAATAGTTAGAAACCAACTACACACTTCAATACTGCATGTTGCCCTTACCGAGACAGGTTCGTCACATTTATCATATTCTCGTCGGTCCCTTTAAGCCAGGTGTCCATCCAAGAAGACTGCTCAGGCTCCTTTAGGCATTCCAGGGTGATGTAATGGCGCGTTCGGGTGAGCCGCTGCCACTCCCAGCGCCTGCGCTCGTCGTGCAGCCGGCGTCTCAAGTCTCGGAGCGTCTCGAGAGAGCGACGGCGCGTCCGGAACGACGCACAGAGCATCAGCAGAAAGCTCGTATCCGGGTGAGACATTGTGCTGGAAGAAGCGCGAGAGAATGCGAGGGGGGGGGTAAATGACTCGGTTGCTCGGAGAGGGTCGACGCGATCTGCGAGATCTTTACAAATAGAGATATTTTGTGACAATTTGTCCATCTTCGGATTGTCTCCTTTCGACCTACATAATGAGATTAAGGTATTCATACTTCAAGCGGCAAAGGTCGCCGGACACAGATAACTTTAAATGATGGTTTTGGCCTAGGTGTTTATCACCTTCGATTTGCAGACGTTTGGTCCGGCGAGTAATGCGCCTAGTCGGGTGATCAGAATTTTTCGATTAAAATTTTTTATCTAGGTTATGGTAGGCGTCCAATGCACTGTTTCTCCGCTATGTACTGTATTATGAGATCTAAAATACAGATATACTTGTATGCTAGTCATACAGTGCTAGCAGATGTACCCGTTGTGAAAGTGGGGTGCAGTTGGGATCAGGGTGGCTCCTATACAAATTTCCATGTATTTACCACTTCGCACTCCTAGATTTGGCGGATTTGGCGAATCTGCACGCATTTCTATTAGGCGTTCCCATTCCAAGGTTTTCAATACGTCCTAATTTGACTTAAGTGGGAAAAGGGACAGACTTCCCATCTTGCAGAAGCCCTGTACAATCGTACAGTGCACGGCGTGTGCTGTTCGGTACCATACTCCTGCTTATGGCGACTACCCTAATTGTCCCTCCGCTGATACAGTTGCTTACTGGTCCAGGGGCCACGCCTGCGTTACTGTACCGCCCAACCAAGCCGACATTACCGGTACCCCTCATTCTCCAAATTGCCTGCAGCCAACGAAGAAGAAGGAGGAGGAGGATAAACCGATGCTGCTCTACCGGGCCACTGTTTTGGCGTTGGCTCTCGGGCAAGTGTCGTCAGCTGCGAACATTACGTGGACACCCTGCCTCCCTACAACTATTCCTGCTGATAGTAACATTACTCCCCCCTCCGACTACAACATTGCCGAATGTGCAACGTACGCTGCGCCCTTGTGCCACCCCGGCATCTGCGAAACACCCGACTCGGCCAGTTCGACCATCGATATCTTCGTGAGGCGTCTCCCTGCTAAAACTGTGTCACCCGAGAAAGCTCGGAACGTCTGGCTGTTGCAGGGAGGTGTCCAATACTCGCAAACTCGGCGTACGTACTGTGCTGTATTCTACAAGAAAAAGAGGGGCCCTCGTTGAATTTTTTATTGTATTGTTATGCTACAGTGGATGGTCCGCTTGCAAAACTCTACATGGATCTGAACGGGGAGGTGAATGTGTACACGATCGACCACCGCGGAACTGGGAATAACACCTTCTTGACGTGCGAAGCCCTTCAGTCTTCAAACACGATCTCCCTGGACCCGAAACGGGTTCCTGCCTGTGCCAAGGACCTTGAGGAGAAGTACGGCGACCTCGTGACGTTCTTGACCACCAGCGCAGCCAATGACGTGGGACGTTCATCTCGAAGTATGGCAACGACTTTAGTACGACATTATACGGTGTGGACTACGGCTCGATGTGGGTGGAGCGTGTCATGCATCTGGATCCTCCAGGGGTGACGGGCTACGTCCTGGACGGAGTCAGCCCGACGTCGGGGCCCTCAGTTGACGACTTCTATGATGTGTCATCTGCAAACGTCGCATTTGGTGACGTTACTAATGCTTTCGCGGATCTATGCTCGGAAGACAGTTTGTGCGGCGCTCGGTTCAAGAAGAAAGGACTGAAAGCCTCGCTCCAAGATTTGATTACGAAGCTCGACAAGAACCCGACTCCGACTTGCGCCAAGCTGGTGAAGAGTGCCCAAATGGTGGAGAAGGATGACCCACCGTCGTTTAACCTTCGTTTTATCTTGGGCACATTCCTCGTAGACATTGATTCCGCCGATTATGTACCGATTGCTTCGTTGCGCCAACAAGGACGTCGAAGTTCTGATGAAAATCGTTAGTATCACCAGCACAGTGAATAAACGCGATGACGGCGACAGCACCTCGGCTCTCCTGGGTAGTCTCCTCACATTTTCGGAGTTTTGAGAGACGCCTACACCCTCTATTGATGAACTGAGGGGGCAATACGAAGCTACACTCGCGAACGCCTATCTGAACTACCAGACCGTTCCTGAATACTGCGCCACTTCCAAAGAGGAATCGCACAAGCTCAGCTTGGTAGCTACAAAGGAAACGGTATCATTTACGAACGGGACGAGTATTGGAACAAGGCTGCCAGAATCCCCGACCAAGCCAGCGTGTTGCTCGTGGCCCCTGAACTGAACCCCACGGTACCAAGCAGAAACGCGAAGGCCGTGCTGGAGGCGCTCGAAGGCGACAAGAAGGAGCTCCTCACGCTCAAATCCCCCACTGGTTTTGTAACAGCGTTACACGCACAAGTGGCTACAGTCACTTGTAACTCTAACAGACACGACGACGTCTGTTGGAGGTTCGAAAGACTCTCTCGACCTTGGTGTAGCCACACCAAACACACCAAAGGCTACATACATTTATGATCACCACAACGGGTGGTCCATAGAGACTTAGGATTCCTATTGGCTGAAAGCAGCATATTTTAGCCAATGAGAGACATGCATAGCATTGTAATTCTGCCAACCAGCCGTTGACAGATTCCCAACTTAGAATATTACATTTGGAGGAAGTCAGAAAGCATAAAACAAAATAGCAGTTCTCATTTTAACACAAAAACATTATTTGGATCGTTTATTTAGATTAATCTATACTCGGAGGCCCGAGCATAATTAACTCTAGTTTAAACTAAGCTACGCTTCCTCACACACGTGCGCACACGTGTAAGCTAAAGTAGTGAGCCGAAGTAGGCCCACTACACCTGGTAGCACTTTGTAGTCCGTCCAACGACCGACTACCTGAGTTCGTACGTCACCGCACGAACGCGGAGCTGAGAACCTTCCTATGGATACAGAGGTGCCCATGGAAAGCTCCACTACGCCTGCAACTCACGTTGCACGCGCTGACTGTCCCCACCTGTCGGATCCAGAGTGGGAGGCCCTCCAACGACTGTCAACAGTCATTGGTGAGGCGGCTGCAGCTACGATGCTGCGTACGCTAACGCCAACAGAGCAACACGGTGTTGCTCTGGGTTTCATCCTGAAGGAGCAACGCGATGTTGCTGCCACTACCGCGGTGCCGTCCGGGACGACACCACGCGCGCAATCCCTGAAACTCAATGTGAGTAACTATGTCGGAAGAGAGGGTGATCCCCTCCTCCGTTGGCTTGTCGAACTCGACACTGCCATTGCGGCTCGACGTATCGTCGACCCGTTGTCGAAGGTTGCGTTCGCCATGTCATGTCTTGGCGGACGCGCAAGAAGTTGGGCGTATGGACGCCGACTCTCGGATCCTACGTGCTTTAGCACGTACGAGGGTTTCAAGGATGAGCTCAGACGAGCGTTTGAGCTACCGCAAAACGAGTTCCGGTCGAGGGCGGAGTTCCTCGACCTGCAGCAGGGCAGGCATGATGTCCATGCTTACGCTCAGAGAGCACGGTACTTGGTCTCGAACATCGTGACCACTCCGATCGACGAGGCTGTGGTGTAGCGGGATCAGCAAAATCTGCGAGATTGCCAATCCAACTCCCCAACTGCGCCCAAACACCGACTTACGGAGGGGGTCCCCCGATGATCCGTGATCTGTGTGCTGAACTGGTCACCTTGTGTACCCGTCGGTAGGGCTGGATCTGCTCCTCTGGTGTCTGCTGAAGCGTCCGAGCCTTGAAGACAGAACAGTCTGGACGAGACGCGGGGATGTGGGTGGAGCAGCGCGGAAATCTTCACTCTGCTCGCGGTAGTATTCCAAATCCAGTGGTCTTGTACTTGGATCTGGCGGCCTGTATCTGGATCCGGCCGGGTTGTTGCCTTTCGAAGTTGTTGTCCTTTACGTTGCCTTCGCAGGTCTTCCTTGATCGTGTTTACCGCCTCCAATGACGGTGTCGTTGACAGTTGAGACGAGAGGGACGCACCGGCCAAACAGATAACTCCGGTGGATCTAAGATCTGCACTTGCAGGTAGTTCACTAGGAAGGTCTTGGATCTGGCCAATATATTATTCCAGTCTTACAACCAACGCTAGATCTGCTACCGCTAACCTCTCTACGCCGTGTAGGGCCAATGCCGTTCCCGTTTCCAGGCGAGGGAGGAAGCGCTTGCGTTGTACAAGGCAAATTCTGGTCTGATTTATGCTTAAGGTTGTTCCTATCCCAAAGTCCTATCGCCATGTGGCTCCTATCGTCCCATCTGTACCTACCGACTCTATGGACTCTCTTTGCCTCCATTGGGCGTCAGCTGCTTGCTCGTCGAGCCTTGTCCGCAACTCCATGGTCACGCTGGGGGGTCGACTTGAACCCATCTTGGATCTGGACCACATGGGTACAGATCCAGATCCATCTGAGTCTGGATCCAGATCCACCTGAGTCCGGATCCATCATTCACCCAATCAACTGCCATCACTCGTTTCCGAGAATTGTGTTTCTCCACACACACACAGCCAGCACAGCATCACGTTGACCACGGCGCGGGTCGCAGTCTTCCCGCACGGTCACTACAGAGATCATGCTGCGCACCGGCTCGCGGTTCTTGCCATCCGAGCTGTTGCCCCGCTCCGGGCACTCCGGGTCGTTTCGCCAATGGCCCTGCTGCCCGCAGGCGTTGCACTTGGACTTGCTCTTGCGCTTGGCTAGATCCTCACTGCCTCGTGAGGAGCTCTTGCTCTTCCGACGCTTGTTCCGCCCGCGGGGCGAGACGCTGTCGTTGGGGCTGCGTGGCCGAGTTCTCTGGTTGCTGCGGTTGCTGTTGGCTCTGGAGTGGCTGGAGCTGCGACGTTCTCCTCCACGACCGTGGCTTCCAGAGCGGTTACTGACGACAGCAACACCTTGCTGGACGACCCGTCTATCACGCCCTTGCTGGCGCTCTGCTTCCTGGCGTGCATGGTCAGCGAGTCGAAGACGCTCGATCGCTTGTTCCCACGATATGCTCTCGCCGCGGGGAGGCGCACCTCGTGCTCGTTGACGACAGCCGGGTAGACGCCCGCAGTGTTGGGCAGCAGGACGGAGACTGCCTCCGTTTCTTGCAGCTGCTGATTTGCACGACGCAACTGGTGCTTGAAATTGTCGATGTCCTTGATGTACTTGTCGAGCCGCTCGTTGCGCTGCAACCGGCGGTTCAGCATGTCGCGCTTGAGCAACACCACATAAACACCAGGGTGGTTCTCGAAGTGGTCTGCGAGCGTGTGCCACAATAACAACGGGTCCGCTCTCTCAATCACATTCGAGAAGCGACTCTTCAAATCCTCACTGAGTGCCATCACAATCTCGCGTTGAGCCACCCGAAGTCGCTGGCGGAAACACCGCCGTTGTGCATCGTTGCGCTGGTCCTCGATGTGTTCATCTCCGAGCAGCGGGGGCAGCAAATCCGAGGCGCCGAGAATCGTGCACATCTCTGCCAGCCACGTCTTGTAGTTGTCATTGTTGAGCCGAGCGTTCGGCGCGACGTAATTGCTTGAGTTCATGCACCGCGTGCACCGATGTTGTCCTCCCACGTTCGTCTCCCCTTCCGTAGCGTTAGCCACGAAGTCGATAGGCGCGACCTCGACGGCTGCCACGGACAGCGCAGGCGCAGGTGGGCTTGAGGGCTGTCCAGTCGCAGTCAGTGAAGTTGCGTGTAGCGCGTTGGCGGCCCCCTGCGCGGCTGGGGCGGCGACGGCTCGTTCGCTTGTGCTTGGCAGCTTGATCAGACGTGTGCTGGCGCTGGTGGAGCCGTTGTACGCTGGGAAGTTCTCGGCGGCGGGGTCCCCTCGGCGCGGTCCATACGGTATCAGGACGCGCTGCACCAGGGGCTCTAGCTGGACTGCGGCGAATTCTTGAATGAGTATCGCTGGGGAAGCGGCGTTGCCTCCGCAGCGAGGACGTTCCTCGTCCTCTGCTGGTCCGTCAGAAGAGCCACTACGGAACCAAACTGCGCCAGCAGATCTTCTAGCTGGCTCTCTAACCTTCTGTGCTGAGCCGATCCGGTGGCGGCGTTCCCTTCGGCTTCACCGCTGAGCTCGGACGTCGTCGAGCCCCGCAGACTTTATGAGTCCCTCGTTGGGCTCACAACCTGAGAGGTGTTGTGGGCCCGCGTACTGCGGGTCTGCACCATAGAGGCAGGTAAATACGTGAACACTGCAAGGCGCGGGACTCAGTTCTGCAGGGAGAAAAGATTGACGGCAGGTTGTGCACAGTACCACCTCTCGAGAAGTGAGTTGCCCAGCCGCCGGCCAAAACCCTAGCTTGTATTACAAATACTACAGGTCAAAGCAACAACTAGAACTTCCTTTGTGGAGCATTGGCAGCCACTCATCCGCTGGACAAGCACTGCAAGCGTGTAATGCACGTCGTACCTGCGCTGCAAGTACTGAGCTGGGACACCGCCCTGGCTCTACATTTGCACTTCACAGGGGTCAGTGCACGCAGCTAAGCGAGGGGCTTGAGGCACCATGGCGACGGCTGCACCACGGGCGACCCCCGCGCGCAGCAGGCGACTCCGCACGGATGACACCAGCCGCAGCATTTGGTAGAGTGATTATCAAAGTGCTAAGTCCGAGTTTTGTCCAATCATAACTTGCTCTACTATGCCGCATCGCCGAAGTCATTGTTCGCACAGTTGTCATAAAGCGCACTTGCTATTAGCCAATCACAATCGCTTTTAATATCAGCAATCACAAGACATAGTATACTTAGGGGCTGGTTGCGCTTTTGGTGTTTGGTGTCTGGTGTGTACCTTTGGCTTTCTCCTACACTGCGCGACATAATCTTTCGGGCACTCACATTTTTGTCCATATCTCAGCTTATAGAAAGAGTTAGAGCTCGCTATTTAGATATGTTGTACCTATCAGATCAATCTATAGCTGGCGTGTCCGAAAACTTTGTCGCGGTCCGGAATCGTGTCAGTTGTGTACTAGCCTATCTACGCGCTCAGAAATCTAGGTCCACGTCACATGCCAGCTATAGATTGATCTCATAGGTACAACATATCTTAATAGCGAGCTCTAACTCTTTTTTGAAGCTGAGATATGGACAAAAATGTGAGTGTCCAAAAGATTATGCGGCGCAGTGTACCCCTACCCGATTGGTTTGTTTGTTCGTGTGGAAACTTGTGGAAACTAGCACATCCTGGCTATTTGAGTATTTCGGTGTAATATTTTCCGAAGCGATGGCAGCACTTCTGGGCTCCTCCAAACAAGCCAAAATGGTATAAATAACGGGAGTCATTACGGCAACTCTCCTACAACTCGACGATATCTCGTTGGGAGCAACACAGGTGTTGCTGGTAATTTATCGCAACTTATCTTTCGTGAAAATTGTCAATATCTGTAAACATGATTTTTGTGATATCTTTATTTCCGTTTAGGTACGACGTGCCGCAGCCTCCCATTTTGTTTTACGTCAACGGGGAGAGCGCGAAACAGCAGCAGCGCCATCGCGTTGGGGATGGCGACGCACGGAGCGCACGGGGAGGCTCCTGAAGAACAAGTCGCGACGCAGAAGCTTACGCGCATCCATGGTAGTTGCTAACAAGTTGTGTTGTAGGGCGCTGCGCGCTCGGAGAGCAAGGGGGCCCCGGAGAACAAGGTGCGGCACAAAAGCTTACGTCAACCCACATCATTTGCTAACAAGTTTTGATGCAGGGCGTTGCGGCCACGCAAGACCGTTGACTACCTCCAAGCCGCCCAAGGCTACACGCAAGACGACGAGGGCAACGAAGACTATGTCGAGGAGGATGAGGTGACTCCGGACGATGAGGAAGAGATCGGCGTGGAGGTAGTGGAGAAGGTCGACGAGGAGGCGAAGGACACGGAGGTGGACGACGAGGAGGAGGGTACGGAGAACGTGGAGGACGAGGGGGAGGTAAAGGACGTGGAGGACGAGGGGGAGGTGAAGGACGTGGAGGACGACGAGGAGGCGAAGGCCATGGGGGACGTGGAGGACGACGAGGCGGCGAAGGGCAAAGAGATGGCGGGCAACAGCACCATGTCCGCCGTCGAACCCGCGGTCGGCCCGAACGAGAAACATGACGACACCACCGCCACGCACGTGAAGGCCAAGTGGGACGGTGGCATGGCTGCAGCCGTAATCGACGATGATGACTTGTTCGGTAGTGAGGACAATGAAGAGACGGCGAACGCCGTGGAGGACAAGGACGCGGTGGCGGAGGACAACGACAAAGGCGCTGGCAGCAAGCGGCAAGTGACGGGTATGTTGTACTATGTGTTGTTTGCAATGTTGAGCGTTATTGTTGCACTAATGTTTATTGGTGTTGTGTTGGTGTATTATTGAGATAGGTTTCGAAGAATCTATCCAGCAATTTGTACGCGCGAAGAAGCCGCAGCTGAAGCCGCTGTCCAAGCGTCGAGTGCCAGCCGTGCGGCAGCTGCTGCTTCTTCCACGACGGCTAGGAAGAAAGCTACAGCACGAAAGTGCAAGCCGTCCCCGGGTCGAAGTGCAGTTGGTGATTCACCTCCTAAACGTGCGAAAGTTGGGAGGAAGGAAAAGGAGCAGGCTGTTGTCACGTCAGCAAGGACCAGCCGCCACCACGTCATCGTGAGCGCCGCCGCACTGAAACGTGGGAGGAGCGGGAGAAGATAGTCAAGGCGCACAACGCAGTCGACAATTTGAAGCCACCTCTTGCCAGGAAGTCGTTCGCCTATTGGGGCGAGCTCGAGGTAGCGCTGAATGCCTATCAAGACGCGAACTTGGTGCTCTACCGCGTTCGGAGCTCGCAATTGAAAACGAACCACGACGGGTACGGGTTATGTTGCTGTTACAGTATGGTGCTTCTATTTATACTAATGTTGCTGCTTATGTTGTTAACTGTGTTGTTAAGTCTACCCGGGGTTCAAAAGCTCCACGATCACTTCACCCACAAGTTCAAGGCGATGTGGTGCACCCACGGCGCTAAACAATCTTCGCGAGGTGAAGGCCATCGGGAGAGTGGCCAGCGGTACACAGGCTGCGAAGCGAGCTTCACTGTGCGCTCTGTCAAGTATGTTGAGAAAGGTGTGCCAAAGTGGAAGGTGTGCATCGACCCAGAGACGGAGGTATTGTTCGTATCTATATTTTTTCGAGGGCTTAGTTGCTAACTTGTACAACTATGCACCTTGTAGATCTACATGCACAACCACAGGACCACCAAGATCATCTACGAGTCCTACACGCGCGGCAAATCCCTGCTGCTACCAGCAGCCGTGCGCAAGGACCTTGGTCTCATGGCCGAGGTGCAAAACAGTACGCCGGCGATCAACCGCTACCTCTCGGACAAGCTTGGTGGGTGTTCCTGGTGAACTCTATGCAGTTGTTGAGCTTTTCATTGTTCGTTTTGTAGTGGTTTTAATTTGGATTGGTATTAACATCTTTGTATTTGGATTGATCAATATCTACAGGTATGGTCATCCCCCCAGCAAACGAGAAACATACTGCAACAAGTACTAGGGTCTACGACTATCGAACGGACCCGATTGCTGCTTGATACATTTGTCCGTGTCGATGATCATGACGTTCTGTTGTTGCAGGATCAGATGGACATCACCTCCGTCATTGCGATGCAAACTGCAGTGCAGAAGACGTGCTTCAAGCAATGGGGCGACAGTTTAGTCATGGATTGGACACACGGGACCAACAACTTAGGCTACCATCTTGGTTTGAATTATCTCGTATTCTTTTCTATGTTACTAGCTATGATACTAATGAGATGTTATAACTTGTCAATCATTTGTTGAACGAGTAGGAAGTCTTGTTGTGACGTCAGCAACTGGAAGAGGCATCCCTGTGGTTGACTTTCTCGCACTGGACCAGAAGGACGGGACCATGGAGCGCATTTTGGAGTTCTTCAAGCGTCACAATCCGTCATGGACATCAATTGAGACGTTCTCTATTGATTAGGATTTTGTGGAGTGGCGAGTGCTGGAGAGAGTGTTTCCTGACGCCAAGGTTCTCTTGTGCCAATTTCACGCCCTTACGTACTGGAGGAAGGTGTGCAGAAGGCCGAAGTACAACCTGACGATGTCTCAACGCGAGCGGATGGAGCATGCATTCGGAAAGCTCATCTACTGGTACGAAAGGATTGAATCTTCAATGTTACCTGCTATGTTTTATTCTATGTTGTTCTATGTTATTGTGTTGCTGACTGTGTTGCTCGTTGGGTTGCTCTGTATGTTGTTTACCAACAGCAATACAGAGCGAAGTTTCAATTCAGAGCTGGACTCGTTTACGAAAGTCTGTGAGAAGGAATGTCCAGCACTTCTGGAATAGTTTACGTCAAACTGGAAGGAGTGTGACTCGATATGGGCTAACTATATCCGGGGAAAGTACTTCTCTGCTGGGAACACCACAACCAACAGGATCGAATCGAATTCGAACCAAGTTAAGCTGCTTCTCGGCAAACGACCTCGTCTGGATGCGACTATTAGCGGTCTGTTAGCGCACCAGGGGACTATTATTCGACGACGGGAAGCATGTGTCTACATCTCGACACCCAGGCGCAATCCCTGACTTCTTGACACGCGTTTCGGCGCGTCTTAGCGACAACCCGTTGTCTAAAGTGCGCTCTCAATGGGACCACTTTATGGTGTACCTGGTGGACACTAAGTGCACGAAGCTGGACGCTGTGGGCGAGTGGGAACTCAGTACTCGGAGGAATACCTACGTATGCAACGACTATGAATGGACGTGCACATGCCTATTCTATTGTAGTCATCACCTGCCATGCCAGCATTTGATGTTCATCGCTGATCATGTTCATCGATTCGAGTATCTACCTGAGTCGGCCGTCCCGCAGCGGTGGGATATGGTCGCAATGTCCGAGCTGGATAAAGAGCTTCGAGGTGGTGTCGGAGCGCTACAGGTAGTTTAAGCGTCCATGAAAGAAGCTGGAGATTCCTGGGCGCGTGACGGTCTGACCCAAAACGACGGCTTCCTGGATGAGTCCAAAGCAACACAAGGTGCAGCAGACGGAACACCCCAACATGCACATGATGTAGACGTCGCAGAGAAGATCGGGCGCCGCCGTCGAAATTAACGTGGTGTTATTTACGTCAAGATGCGTCGACGAGAACGTGCCAACGTTGTGGTTCTCTCATCAGAAGAGAAATATTGCTATGCTAAAGCTGTGTTCGAACCTGTAATGGAGCACCTAGCAGGATTGGCTACCCCAGCTTTCGTCGCAGCCTTGAAGTCCTGGAAGGACATTCTTCGAAGCGGTTTGGAGGCCGTTGAGGCAGATTCTACTACCAGTCCTGACGAAAGTGAGGAATCCGACGATCCAGACACGTCTGACACCGCATCTGACATCACGCCGGCTGATTTAATTGACTGCATGAACTTCATCCAGGAGTTGGAGCAAGATAAAGCGGGGTCCGACAGCACGGCTTCAGCCTCTAAGCGAGAGGCTACAGCAGAAAACAATGAAGCAACATTGGCGGCAACATCGAGCAAGACTAGTGGGACAATGCTAACTAAGTCGGCGATAATGCCCAAGACTGCTACTCCGCTTCTACCCAAAGCAACGTCACCCTCTACGCCGATGCTGTACCCAACCAAAGCGGTGTTGTCCTCGAAGAAAAAGTACTATCCTACCAAAGCTGCCGTACGTGATAAAACGGCAGCAAAAGTTGCAAATAAGGGAGGGATTCTGGAGATGCCACGTATTCCCAAGAAACCTAAGGTGCGCCACACTACCCGAACCAAACTGAAGCAAACCAAGCTGCCCAAGGGGGCGAAACCTCGACAGCTGGCTGCAATTGTTCTCCCAGACAAGAATGTTCCGTCGCTGGCGCGTGTTTTAGAGTGGGCAAACAACACTATTGACCGCAACCATGTCAGCGGCTGGCAAACTACCCAACCATCATGGACGACGACTTCATGAACTCGCGCGTCGCTCACAGCAAACGCAATCACGTCTACGCTGACGACTACGACTATAACTTTGTGATTCCAAAGAATCTCGTCGTCAAGTTGGAAGCCGTTGTCAAAGCGGAGAAGAAGAAGCGATCAAAGTCCAAATACTTCAACCAAACCGCGGACGACAATCATCCGGAGGACACTACCGAGGAGATCATCGCCTACTTCCCCGGTGGAACCCCGCACTTCACCAGGTGTGTAGTCACCAAGTTGCTCATTATGTTGTATTATGCGGTGCTCACAATGTTGCTTGTTATGTTGTTATGCTTTGTGTTGATGTTTAGTACTGCTCAGCGCCGCAGTGTACAGGATGAGCGAGTTTTACAACGTTGTCCGCAAGCTTGATGCGTGGAAGGAGGATGTGCATTGGCGGCTACTGTCGACTAAATGGGACGCAATGACGGTCAATCCTGAGCTTTTCGACGTGGAAACGGACTCGGACGAGCTCACAGATGACCCCACAGGGGCCAAGCACGCGGCCCTGGCAAACGAAGTGCTGGAGCAGCTCGAAGGAGCTTCTCTGAGCTCCACGTTCCGATTGGCAAGCGGTGCAGGCACTGTAAAGCTGGACAGATTGGTTGGGATGCTTGCTCGCAAGGAGATGCTGTCTGATATGATCATTGATTTCGCTGTCATATGTATCTGTGACGCGCTCGGAGATTGCTACGCGTTCGATACGTATGCAGCTACGTGTTGCTGCCCTGACCCGCCCCAGACCCGCATTTGGAGCATGCATTATGTTGTTTTGCCAGTTTATCTGAGCAACATACATGGGGTGTCATCATTGTCAGTATCACCTACCAAGCTGAACCACCGTCAATCACACCCTACTTCTACGAGCCGCTGTGTGATCCGCAATATCGAGCGACTATCGAAGATACCTACGAAGAGACGGTAGCGCCATTTCTACTGGACTGGCGCGAGAAGACAATGATTGGAGTGGATGAGCGAGTTTTACAACGTTGTCCGCAAGCTTGATGCGTGGAAGGAGGATGTGCATTGGCGGCTACTGTCGACTAAATGGGACGCAATGACGGTCAATCCTGAGCTTTTCGACGTGGAAACGGACTCGGACGAGCTCACAGATGACCCCACAGGGGCCAAGCACGCGGCCCTGGCAAACGAAGTGCTGGAGCAGCTCGAAGGAGCTTCTCTGAGCTCCACGTTCCGATTGGCAAGCGGTGCAGGCACTGTAAAGCTGGACAGATTGGTTGGGATGCTTGCTCGCAAGGAGATGCTGTCTGATATGATCATTGATTTCGCTGTCATATGTATCTGTGACGCGCTCGGAGATTGCTACGCGTTGGATACGTATGCAGCTACGTGTTGCTGCCCTGACCCGCCCCAGACCCGCATTTGGAGCATGCATTATGTTGTTTTGCCAGTTTATCTGAGCAACATACATGGGGTGTCATCATTGTCAGTATCACCTACCAAGCTGAACCACCGTCAATCACACCCTACTTCTACGAGCCGCTGTGTGATCCGCAATATCGAGCGACTATCGAAGATACCTACGAAGAGACGGTAGCGCCATTTCTACTGGGCTGTCGCGAGAAGACAATGATTGGAGTGGATGAGCGAGTTTTACAACGTTGTCCGCAAGCTTGATGCGTGGAAGGAGGATGTGCATTGGCGGCTACTGTCGACTAAATGGGACGCAATGACGGTCAATCCTGAGCTTTTCGACGTGGAAACGGACTCGGACGAGCTCACAGATGACCCCACAGGGGCCAAGCACGCGGCCCTGGCAAACGAAGTGCTGGATCAGCTCGAAGGAGCTTCTCTGAGCTCCACGTTCCGATTGGCAAGCGGTGCAGGCACTGTAAAGCTGGACAGATTGGTTGGGATGCTTGCTCGCAAGGAGATGCTGTCTGATATGATCATTGATTTCGCTGTCATATGTATCTGTGACGCGCTCGGAGATTGCTACGCGTTGGATACGTATGCAGCTACGTGTTGCTGCCCTGACCCGCCCCAGACCCGCATTTGGAGCATGCATTATGTTGTTTTGCCAGTTTATCTGAGCAACATACATGGGGTGTCATCATTGTCAGTATCACCTACCAAGCTGAACCACCGTCAATCACACCCTACTTCTACGAGCCGCTGTGTGATCCGCAATATCGAGCGACTATCGAAGATACCTACGAAGAGACGGTAGCGCCATTTCTACTGGACTGGCGCGAGAAGACAATGATTGGAGTGGATGAGCGAGTTTTACAACGTTGTCCGCAAGCTTGATGCGTGGAAGGAGGATGTGCATTGGCGGCTACTGTCGACTAAATGGGACGCAATGACGGTCAATCCTGAGCTTTTCGACGTGGAAACGGACTCGGACGAGCTCACAGATGACCCCACAGGGGCCAAGCACGCGGCCCTGGCAAACGAAGTGCTGGAGCAGCTCGAAGGAGCTTCTCTGAGCTCCACGTTCCGATTGGCAAGCGGTGCAGGCACTGTAAAGCTGGACAGATTGGTTGGGATGCTTGCTCGCAAGGAGATGCTGTCTGATATGATCATTGATTTCGCTGTCATATGTATCTGTGACGCGCTCGGAGATTGCTACGCGTTGGATACGTATGCAGCTACGTGTTGCTGCCCTGACCCGCCCCAGACCCGCATTTGGAGCATGCATTATGTTGTTTTGCCAGTTTATCGGAGCAACATACATGGGGTGTCATCATTGTCAGTATCACCTACCAAGCTGAACCACCGTCAATCACACCCTACTTCTACGAGCCGCTGTGTGATCCGCAATATCGAGCGACTATCGAAGATACCTACGAAGAGACGGTAGCGCCATTTCTACTGGGCTGGCGCGAGAAGACAATGATTGGAGTGGATGAGCGAGTTTTACAACGTTGTCCGCAAGCTTGATGCGTGGAAGGAGGATGTGCATTGGCGGCTACTGTCGACTAAATGGGACGCAATGACGGTCAATCCTGAGCTTTTCGACGTGGAAACGGACTCGGACGAGCTCACAGATGACCCCACAGGGGACAAGCACGCGGCCCTGGCAAACGAAGTGCTGGAGCAGCTCGAAGGAGCTTCTCTGAGCTCCACGTTCCGATTAGCAAGCGGTGCAGGCACTGTAAAGCTGGACAGATTGGTTGGGATGCTTGCTCGCAAGGAGATGCTGTCTGATATGATCATTGATTTCGCTGTCATATGTATCTGTGACGCGCTCGGAGATTGCTACGCGTTGGATACGTATGCAGCTACGTGTTGCTGCCCTGACCCGCCCCAGACCCGCATTTGGAGCATGCATTATGTTGTTTTGCCAGTTTATCTGAGCAACATACATGGGGTGTCATCATTGTCAGTATCACCTACCAAGCTGAACCACCGTCAATCACACCCTACTTCTACGAGCCGCTGTGTGATCCGCAATATCGAGCGACTATCGAAGATACCTACGAAGAGACGGTAGCGCCATTTCTACTGGACTGGCGCGAGAAG